GGGGGGAACTCGTTGTCAACTGCCTATTTTGACTCAGTTCTTCAAACCCTAGATCTATGCAATTTACCCCTTATTATCAAATGTTATACATACAATTTAAATCTTTTCCCGCCTTTTGCCATCATCTAGCTAACAAACTGAGAAGGGTGAGAAAATGTCTATAAAAACAGACATTCAAAAACACTAGTTACCTGAGAAGACTACCAAAAAAGACCACTAAAAAGACATCTAAAGACTACATATCTAAGAAGACTACCAAAAAAATACTTGACAAGGCCGCATAAGCGGCCGACTATTCTTGTATAAAGTACATGAAGTAGTATGAGTAACTAACTAGTTAGTTAGTTATAGGCGGTGATACAAGCTACGGGACATACTATACTACACTGAGATAAATTGAAACTTCCTTTGAAATTTTTTTTTTGGTAAAAACAGGCTTTTTGACATACCACACCTGGTATTCTGCGTTCTCGCGCAATTCAGATATCCGACCTGTAGCCTCCACACCATTCACCTCCCTCCTCTTCCCAACAGCAAGAAACGCCCCCGACGCCCCAGGCTGAACAACCCCAGCCCTCTTCAACACCCTTCTATGCAGACAAAGCAATCAATATCAAGACAAGGAAATTCGTGACTTCGTCACAGGATCTCCTGTATCCACGCCAGATGTCGAATGACATGGCAAAGTACATAAAGATTTTGGTACGAACAGCTCATTGTGACCCATTCTTTTCGGCCTGATCGTGTGCGATAGGGCCAAGAGGGCTTCGAAGAATGCATCCATGAGAAAACGGAGAGGGGTATAAACCGAGGTCAATATCCCATAAGATACAGCCCAAAGGTAGATGGGAAAAAACAATTGGCTCAAAAGACAATGGGTTGTGGAGTAGCAAATGATTCGGGTTCATCACACTGAAAGCAAAGAGCAAAAGAAAAAGGTCAAAACGGAGGCTGAGTAAATGCTTTTGTGAAGCAAAAGTGAGATATGATGAAGAAGCCTTTGGGGAGAGAGGTAGAATGTCAAGGGACCGCCGTGCCCTAGATTGTGCTCCTCTCTCCAGATGGCTCCATTGTAAACAGTGTTTCATGTGCAGAGGCGAGCTGTAAACACAAAAATGGAACGAGCTCGCCGAGATTGATGGATGTTATGTATGACCTGTCGACACAGGCGGCAGATAATCCTCTGAAGCGAGGATCAAAATGCATGACTTTGTGGAAGACACAAAACTCGATGTGTTGCAGGATGTAGTGGGTATGATGTTTTTTTTTTCAATGCGTCGTTGAAGAACGGACGCCCAGCCTAATGGCGAAGCTTTGGGGTGAGAAACCTCAATCCATTCGCTGGTAGAACAATAGATAGGCAACTTTGTTGTCACGAGAGCCATAGCGGCCCAGGGGAGTTCGGGCCCCAGAGGGAGCGGCGGGAGGTGGAGTGACTCCGTTCACGGATTTCTTGCTTGCATGTCCGTTGGCACCATTGCCATTGACCTGGCTCCAGCCCTTGTCGCTGTCAGTCAAATCCATGTCATCCTGATCGATATGGTCGAAAATATTGCCGTTCGGGATCTTGCCGTGCTTGTGTTGCTCAAGAGCGGCAGCGAGAACCTTGGGGTCTTCCTCGCCACCAGCTTCCGCCACTTCCTCGCTGCGAACGCGACGGATAGCAGTGTCATCCATGCGGATCCATTCCAGGCCTTCCTGTCGCCGAACATCGACTGTGTAGTGACCACCGCTGGCGTTCTTCCCGTGGTGGTAAATGACACCCATAAGGCGATACTTCGGGGAACCTCCCTGGGATGCCATGGCGTTACGCCGATGAGCTGGGAAAACCTCCCGCGGAAGCTCCAGGTCTAGGGGATATCCAACCTTCTTCCAAATCTTCTGAGTGGCACCTGTAACACTGTCGTACTGGAAGCGCTTGAGATGAAGAATGAGGACAGGAGGCAAGGTCTCAATGAATATTTGTTTGGTAGCGGTAATGTTGGGTCCGCGCGAGGAGTTGAAATCACCCTGGATGCTTTCCGGCTTTGTCATTCCCTTGAGCGCATCGAGAATGTTGTGAACGTCATGCGATCCAATGTCGAGTTGCAAAGGTTGATAGGGTTCCAATGTGACAGAAGTCTTGTTGCCAGGCACCTTGAATTCTGACCGAAGCTTTCCCCCAAAGATTCTGGTGACAGGCGACTCGGCGGCAAGAGAGCCAGACAGTTGAGTGACCGCTGCCTTTTGCTTGTGGCCAACTTCCAACCAGCCATCGACAGAAGAATCGCCGCCTTCTTTCGCTGCAGTGTGCGCTTCAGCGCGAGCGCACTCCTCGTGCATCTCCTCGAGAAGGAAGCCCAAGAACTCTTGAGCATCCTGCTGATGTCCACGCCGCATGTCCCTGAATCGTGGCAGCTGTCGAACCATCTCATAAACAAATTCAGGAACGAAAGAGTCGCCATATTGCTCAAGCTCATTGGGCTTCAATCTGAGACGAAGTTGGTCTTCGGAAGTGGCCGCGTCAATAACACGGAATTCTTTCATGAACATGATCATCGCATCGATCAAAGGAAGATCACTGTGGAAGGTGTGCGGAGCACGTCGGCCAAGATGATCAAGGAACTGGTAGAACGGGGTACAAGAAACAAGAATTTGCAACACAGAGTTCATGTAGCACATGTTTCCAGTGTTGACCAGTCCTCGGGGCTCAAGGAAGGCAATCTTGTCGCTGTATTGAGTGACATCTTCTCCCAATTTGCTCAGGACATCTGCGAGGGACTTGTTTTTCTGAGTAGGCAATCCGTGTGGCTCAGCCAAAGCAGCCGCGGCGGCGGCGCTTGCTGCTTTTGCCGACTCCTTCGAACGGACCAAATCAGCCCAAGACTTGGGTGCAGCTGGCACAGGCGAGCTTGTATTGGTTTCAGTGGAAGGTGCTCCATCCGATTCTACCACTGGGGCAGGAGTAGCAGGTGCAGTCGATTTAGGAGTTCCAGATGCGACGCTGCCATCTTTGGCTTGGCGACGTGGGGTAGATGGCACATTGGGCACCACTGGAATAACCGGAGCTGGCTTTGAGCTTTTCCACTGTGGTTGTGATCTCGCAACTGACGAAGGAGTGGTAGGCTGTGTGGAGTCTGCATCTGACTGTTGGAATGCGGTGGTTGTTGGAGTTTGAGGCTCCGAAGATTCTCGAGTGGATGAAGAAGATGGCTGAGCCTCTTCGGTTTCATCTCCTTCGATGACCATGTGGGTGTCTTTGGTGGGAAGCTCGACTGATGATTGCATGACACGGCCCTTGCGACGTCTGCGCGGGATCCTGGCCGGGAAGGGCTGCTCAGGAACAGAGAGCCAAGGAATCTAGACTAACAGTTAGAAAAATATTCAAGTCTAATTCGAGGTGAGAGTAAACACTTACTGGTGGGGCAAAAGTGGGCTTCGGCGGCAAGTTTGACTGTGGCTCCCATCGCGGTGGCGGAGAAGCGATGGGATATCCCTGGGCTGAGTGCGGTAGAACAGAAGGGTAATCCTGCATTTCGGGCTGAATGGGCTGAATTGATGGGTGCATGACAGATGGAGACATTATCGGTTGCAGTGGAGTCGGAGTTCTTTGATGCATGGGCATCGAATGAGGAATATGCGTGGGCGCCATGACAGGCTGCGAGTGAGGATAAGAGGATACAATCATCGGTCCATAGGGCGCCTGGTATGGACGTGGAGGGCCCTGGATATGTCCATATGGTGGATACCAGTAAGGGTATTGCTGCGATGAGTATGGTTGATGAGGCATGTGGCCATTCATGTGAGGATATCCCATGTACTGTGGTGATCGCATGTGGGGAGGCGCGGCGTTGTAAGAGAAGTCTTGCTGGCGCCTTGAAGGAGGCATGGGCAGCTGCCCATGGGGCATGGCAGGAAGGTGGTGGTTCATCTTGAGCTAACTAGAGAAAGAAGTTGTCTTGACGTTCACGCGTTGCCTCAAATGAGTGCCATGCGCGATAGCAGTCAAGAGGAAAGGAAAATCTGGAGCTGCTGGCGCATTTAGGCAGCCATCGTGGCCTCTGGATGAGGTTTTTGATATGTTGGAAGGTGGGAGTGGAAGATGAGTTAACTGGGTCGAAAGAGCTGTTGGGGTTGCTGGGATTGGTGGAAGGAGACTGGCAAACCAGATCGGAGTGAGGAAGCAAGAGAAAGAAGCAGATCGCTGTACAAGAAACTCCCTAGACGAAGAGAGAGAGAGAGAGAGAGGGAGGGAGAGAGAGAGTCACAAGTGGGGGATGAGAAGCGAGTGAGCAGAATGAAAGAAACAAGGCCTCGATTCACCGTCAAACGAAATGAAGCTGAAGGGGACGACCGAGACCGAATTGGGTGTCGGGACTTGTTGGTTCACGTGACATTACGATTTGTAACCGGAGAGGGGCGAAATCGCACCTTCACGACATCAACTGGCACCCTGAGGGCCGTCCCTCGATCTTCACTACTATCCTTACATGGCCTTTAGGGCCATTCATTCTCATTCACCTCTTCTGGTCCAATCTGAGGCATCTGGTCGATCACTCGATCTACTGCCCGCTAGCTGATTGACATCTTATCAGTTGTTGGCTTTATCCAACCCCCCTCATCTCCCATTAAGCCAACTGGCTCGTTTCGTCTCTCTGTCTGGTTGGTTCCACTGTTGCAGGACAAATACCACATATCGCAGAGATATGTCATCCAATGCAGGACAGAACCCACCCCCTTCTAAAGCGGTAAACATTCCGACAGTCTCGTCTACTCCATTCCACTCAACAGCCCCAGCGGACAACAGCTCTCAAAGGCGCGTGGGAGGCTCTGGAAGCTCTCGGCTGGGGGTCTCGAAAACTTCAGCCACCCCAAGGAATAATCAAGCTCGGAAGAATCAACATAACAGTCAAAGAAAACCTCGGCTATTGGATGATGACGAGTACAACGAATCGGTGGGTTCACAGGTCTATCTTCCTCAAGAGCTGCCTGCTGACCCTGGAGCCGTTATATAGGCCGCCATGAAATCCACCACCAGCCGGAAGGGACAAACGTCCATCACTCACTTGATGAACTTCTCACTTCCACCTCGCCCGCAATACCAAGCACCTCCTCGCAACATTCGACGGTATACATCTTGGGGAGCGGGTGCAGTAGACAAATCGCGTTATGTTCATGCGAATTACCGGTTTATTGTGATGCCAAATCAAAATTTCCATGCTCAGGCAGCCAATGCCGATGTTCATATCGACTGGGCCTCAGTCCTCCAAGTGCTGGTGTCTGCTCAAACGCAGGCTGCTAGTTGTCCCATTTGTCTTTCTACTCCGGTTGCGCCGCGGATGGCACGGTGTGGTCACATATTCTGCCTCCCATGTCTTATCCGATACATGCACTCATCCGACGACGATAACACGGTCCCTGAAAAACGGCACCGTTGGAAGAAATGTCCTATCTGCTGGGACTCCGTGTATATCTCCGAGACTCGACCTGTCAGGTGGTTCCGTGGCCAAGAAGGCGATCTTCCCGTCGAAGGCGGTGATGTTGTGTTGAGACTTGTAAAGCGAGAGCCGGGCAGTACCCTTGCTCTGCCTCGTGATGGATCTAAGACACTTGGTCCAGGCGAGGATGTTCCGTGGTATCATGTGGCAGAAGTTGCCGACTATGCTCGAATCATGAAAGGTGGCGAAGAATATATGACCGCTCAGTATGATGCCGAGATCGAAGACCTCCGCAGACAGGAAGTCGAAGACGAGCTTCTCTTTGGTGATGAGAATACTTGGACCCGAAAAGCAATTGGTTCTATCATGGATGCCAAAGAGAAGCTGAAAGGCATTGGCAATCCGCCTGAGGTCCGGCCAGTTAAGGAACGCACTATTGCACCTACGCCATCCAGTAGCTCTTCTGCACACTCTACCGTGACGTCGGCTACATCAGATGAACCGGATCATCTCTCTAAAACCCTAGATGAAGTCCATCTTGATCCTGCATCCAGTGTCAATGCTAAAGAGAAAGGCCGCAGCAAGCAAACGCCAGTGTCTTCCGGGCTAGATCAACCATATCATTTTTATCAGGCCTTGCCTCAGTTCTACCTCTCATCCTTGGATATCCGCATCCTCAAGGCTGCATTTGGAGAATATTCTCTGTTCCCTGCAACTATCCTACCGCGAGTGGAGCATATATCAACAGGCCACATTGTGGATGACGAGCTTCGAAAGCGGGTGAAGTACCTCGGGCATCTTCCGCAGGGATGTGAGGTTAGCTTCCTGGAGTGCGACTGGAGAGATGTGGTTGTCCCCGAAATTTTGGGGCGTTTCCGCGCAGAGACTGATAGACGGCGAAAGCGTAACCGGGAAAAAGAAGCCCGGGAAGAAAAGGATCGCATTCGCGCAGAGAAGGAGGAGGACGACAAACGGTGGGCTGCTGCTCGGCGCAAGCGGCCAAGCATTGGAAGTGCTAGCGTTAGTGAAGCTCCATTCTCTGCTCATGACTTCCAACCACTTCCTCACAACGTGGATCCTACATTATTTGACGCCACCGCCTCCTCGGCCTCTCCTCCACCCTCGTCGTCTGGATTCGGGGCATTGGCTTCTCCTTCCACCAGTCCCCCAGGTATCCGCACTGTTTGGGGCACAACGGCAGTGGGCTCACTGTCACCAAGCCTTGAAGCTCAACGAGTTGTACACAGTGACGGGTGGCGGCAGGGCTGGGAGGATGAGCTCTTCGCCCAGCAAGAATCTGATCTTCTCGCTCAGACCGCATCTGGAGACCAAAATCCAGATCCTGGGCCATCTTCCAGTGGGGGTAAGAAAAAGAAAAAAAACAAAACCAAGATCACCTTGATGGCCACTAGCAGCCAGAGAGGGGCATAGGTCTGGACGAAGCCTTGTTTCAGTTTTCTCAATTCTCATTGACCTTGTACTGCATTATCATATATGATCCATTTGCCGATTCTTCGGGTTGTTGTCTTCTGTGGTTCTCGGCTGTGCCCGTATGCTGTTCTACTGGTACTGTTGGATTTTCTATAATATTCGAATGTAACGCACAATTACATATACAATTCAGTAATCTTATCCATTTGGCTTAAGATGATATAAGGGACGTTATATCTAAGATTCTTCTCCGAATGTTACGAATTATAGAAAACAAACAGCTTCAAAAGGTTGTCCGTGAGACCTCAAGTAGGAGTCAACAGGGAGAAGAATTAGAAATAAAACCAATTCAGACATAGTCAATATGTACCCTAGTTCTGCATTGAGGTACAACAAGAGTAGTCGGCCGCTTATGCGCCCTTGTCAAGTAATTTTTTGGTGGTCTGCTGAGGTAGTCTTTTCAAATGTCTGTTTTTATAGAAATTTTCTCCCCCTTCTCAGTTTGTTAGGTAGGGGGCACGAAAAGCCGGAAAAAGGCCGAAATCGTATATACTACAACCTTTGATATAACCTTTGATATAACCTTTGACATACGTACCTACATGCATGGATGTTAGTACATAGAAATCAGTGGTGCCTCTTACATTTCAATACATATATTACGGAATATATACATATGTCTTCCTATAGTGGCGTGTATTTTCCTGTACCTTTAATACACCTGACCTCGGGACCCGTACTGGGATAAGGCTTTGTAGAACTACCTACATGAACACATATCGATACCTATGCCATGGATTGGGACAGTCTCTTCTTTAACACGGCAGCGTTGATTGCCGGGGTTTTTGTCCTTGACTATGGGGCGGACAAATTCATTGATCACACTGTGATTGTAGGACACCGACTGGGCATCTCTCCGACTCTTATTGCCCTTTTGACTGCTGGAGCTGAATACGAAGAGGTACATTGGTTCGAGCTCCATCTAACTGGTCTATGCTGACAAGCTTTCCCTAGCTCGCTGTTGTTGTCGCTGCAATCCTACAAGGTCACACCCCTTTAGCCCTGGGCAATGTTATGGGATCTACAATTTCCAACATCCTCGGTGCCTTTTCGTTAGGGCTTTTGTGTCATTCGGATGGGAGCCCTTTTGATAGTAGTGCGAAGATATACTCCGTGCTCCAATTCTTCGTCACCACCATTTTCATCATCTTGGCATATTTTCAACAGCTGAATAAAGTTACCGGTGGGCTTCTCATCGCTCTCTTCGCACTTTATATCATCTCTATTGGCTTTGCCATCTATAGAGGTATCAGTGAACCGCCTCAGCTGTCGGACAGTGAAAGTGACGACGAATCAGTCAATGTTTGTGATGAAGAAACACCAGGGCAGAGTGCCAGGCAGTCAGCCTCGGAGGCTTCTCCTCTATTAGGAGATACGAATACGCCCCAGGAATTGATGAGTGCATCCGCGGACAAGGGCAAAAGGCCTCCCCGGCCGCTTTATCATCATATCCTCCAGCTTATTTTTGGGCTGCTAGCACTCTCCTTGTCGGGATATATCCTTGCCCACAGCGCAGGCACTATCGCCGATTCCCTCAATCTGTCAGGCACTGTCTTTGGGTTGACCGTGATCGCTTTTGTTACAACCCTGCCAGAGAAGTTGATTGCTATGCTTAGCGGCATTCGTGGACAGGGAGGCATAATTGTAGCAACCACAGCAGGGAGTAATATCTTCCTACTGACGCTATGTGTCGGGATTGTCGCGGTGGCGGGGAGCCCCCTCGATCAGTCAGATACCTTTGTTCTGTTTGATCTAGTGACAGTTTGGGTGTCCTCGCTGTCCCTTCTAGCGGTTGTCTTTCTGGGGCCTCACCGAATGGCTGGCCTAGTACTTCTCGCTGCCTACGTGGTTTTTCTAGTCATGGAATTCACCGTTTACAGACGTTAAATCAGGGCAGTCCTCTTCGACGCAACTATCACAAGCCCAACCCAGCACGAACACCCAAGTGTACATAGTTACATAGTTACATGTATTTTGTCATCCCGGACGTAGTTTTATTTATATGGCATGTAGGTTATACCCGATATAACATACAGTGAACAGAATAGTTACGACAGTGATGAATATATGCAATCAAGCATGGAAGACAGGCCTTCCAGCCTCGCTTTTCACTTCCACGTCCCCATCCTCCACAAACTCAAATCCAAGAGCCCTCCAGTTCAACTCCTTCCTCCAATGCAGCCCATAGTACCCCCTCTCGTCTTGCCCATCGACCGCAGAAACATCAGCCTCTGCAGCTCGATCAAGCTCATCGGCCACAGGGCCAACAACCGGCTCAGAAGACAGGCCACCACTCTCTAACCTCCCACGTCTGGGGAAGATGACAGACCGGAACCGGGAGAGAAGCATGCCCATAGAGCAGCACAGACAAGGCTCATGAGAAAGGTAGACGTCCAAGTCTGTGCAGAGGTAGCCACCCTGAGAGCGGGTGCGAATGCGCGGGGCTGCGGGTGTTGTAGCCGGGGTAGAAGAACCCGCAAGTACTACGGTAGATGGGGGAGGAGCGGGGAGAGGTGGATGATGGAGCTGGGCTTGGGAAGGGTCCGTAGAGGGGTCGATAGTCAAGTCGGATTCGGGGTTAGGGTCATCGTGCTTCCTCTTCAATGGGGAGGACGGAGACTGAGGTGAGTTTGAAATGTTGGTGGATGTACCGGGACGGTGGCGGTATAAGAAGTATGATTCGAAGGCGCTCAGCTCCGAGTGTTCTAGTTCTGGCTTTGGATCTGCAGTGGCCGTTGATGCAGGCACGCCGTTGAGACGATCGTGCTCTCGGCGCCAGCGAGCAATCAGCTCGACAGCACGCATCAGCGCGTGCAGTTCAGGCCCGCCCTCGACATCCGCGTTGTATGTCTTGCTCACTGGGTTCGGCGCTACTTCGGCGTGCAGCTGGGCCTGGGATGGCGCGCCAGCCTCGGAGCGGGAGTACCGCGCATCGCCAGCAACTGCGAGGACTGCTTCGTCCCATTCTGCTGTAGTGTCGTATCCGCCCTCATAGCCTGCCTCGGTTATTTCTTTTTCAATGGCAGGGTCGACTATCACTGCGCCTACGCCACGGCCTCGCCCGGATTGTTCTGCTTCCTCAGCTACTTTGCGCGCTAGGGATAGGTAGTACCCTGCCCGTGGTTCAATGGATTCTTGTGCGCATTTTAGGGTCTGAAGGGGCGGCATGACAGTTGAGCGGGGTGCGGCTGGGTTGAATGTGACTGGCCAAAGTGTCTTGGTCCATGTTTCGGCTTGAGTTGTGTTGAGTGGGGGACAGATGGGGATCTTGATGGGGTGAAGTTGAATAGTAGGTGATGGAGGATCGGAGTGTGAAGCTTCGTCTGGCGTTTCATTCGTAGCTGGAGGATCGTTTGTAGCGGCCGGTGCAGTGTCCGGCGCAAATGGAGCGAGCAGAGCCTTGAGTGTGGTGAGATCGGGCAATGGCGGTGATATGAGGACGAAGATGGTTTGTGTCGGGGTTGCTAGAGGAACGTTCTGGCTTTCAATCGCTGCCCTAAGCGGCGGTGGGAGTAACTCTCTTTTGGCGAAGCGACGGAGGTGGGATAGCGGAAGGGAAGCGTCTTTGGGAAAAGCCGTGTCGAGAGCCCTAATTAATTCCTTAATTAATTTGCTATTCGAACCGGCAAAGTGTGCGACTCTGTAGCTTACTTGATCACTTTGGATGCAGACTTCACATTGACTTCTGCGACAAAGGCATCGCCTATTTGTTGGTTAATCATGATGTCGCAAGAAAACGGTGATATTGTAGGTCATACTGAATTCTTCTTGGGGCCTTGTCTCTTGGACTGTTCGAATGGGTACCACTTGTCCACCAAGGGGCTTGAGGTCTCTGATGTTCTTTTCGACGTCCATTCTAGCTATCGCATATGGTACCCAGTCAGGCGCGGGGTGAAATAGAATGTGGCAAGATAGGTTGATGATGTACAAGCAATGTCATAGCATAAAAGCAGTTGTAAATAACAATGCTTTGGAATTGCACACTTCAATTACCAATGTCGACTTCATTAATCCAGCGAAAGATGAAGTATTCATATGAGGACTTGAAGAAAAGAAGAAAGCTATACAAAGTTGGCAAGCAAACAGTGCAAACCTTGTTCCACGGGTTTGCCGCTAGGCCGTTTTGGGTCTTTTTAGTCTGTATAGTTTCGGATTCTTCGAGGAGTTTACTCCCCGAACAGCCATTATTGATTAAATACATTAGGTGGGAATCTAGGCCGTGGAAAGGGCATGGGAATACATAGCAATGGTAGTTGCTCTCAATCTGTACTTCGTGCCCCCTCAGCCCTACAATGTATAGAATGCAAGAACCAATATCCAAGTAGTACCTATATAGAACGCAAAAGATCTACAATGGCAAGTGCTCGGATTATGAGTGGATATTTGAGATTTGTATGGTTCTAAATAAACATTGAAGACGATAGGTGATTTGATCTTGATCGTAGATATCACCTCATCATCCCGTGAGATATCAAACGCCGAATGCCCTGTGAAAAAAAAAATCGCTGAAAGGTAGGAACAAGGTACTGCCAATTGACCTTTTAGTATATGCTGAGATAGATCCCTGTTCTAAAGCGCCATGTCCGATGCCGGTGCTTCTCGATATTAAATCAAAAGCAATGGTGCATCGAGATCTGACACCATCACCCCCCTAATGCAAGTGGTATGTATTAAATCACACCGCCAGTGACTTGGCGGGTGACAGGCAGAAGAATCCACTCATCCATGGCTGACTCGAGACCGGCCCGAGTGGTCCAGGGCAGAACGTAATTCGTGCAGATTTCGCATCCGCTGTGTAATTGGGCGTGGTCCAGCTTTATGTTGGAACAGGACCGGCTGCTGGAGCAATACCCGTTACCCCGGCTTTCGCACTGCCATTCTGGCAGACGCCTTCAATTTCAAACCCATCGCATCGATCGACGAGACTCTGATAATAGTCCACCAGCACTTCCGGTTGGGGAACAATGCGCCATTCAACTCGGAACAAGAAGTCCAGTTCGAGCATAGCTAATTCCGTCATGCCGATTCCACCAACTCGAGAATACGTTTTGTTGGTCCAAAAACTGTCGCTGAGTCCCTTGCTGGCGACTGTGGCGCTGGTGATCAGGAACCGATGGATGGTGAGGCTGGAAACGGTGAAGGCGGGGTAAAGCGCGCAGAGTCGATCGATGTAGTAGACCATGCTAAGAAGAATAGGGGGTGAGAGAGTAGCGTGGGTCGTCAATCGCTGGAGGTAATCTTGCACGGAGATTCGGGGCGGGGAGCGCGAGTGGAAGCGAGTCAGACGACCCTGGTGTAGTGGGATCTTGTCGTTGAATCGGATCAGCTCCATGAGCATGCTGGAGATCAACACCACCATGTCACGGGGGTCGGCCAGTTCATATTGCGAGGGTAACATCTTGACATCTGGTTTGGAAGGTCGCAGGCGCTTGGACTGCGACCTCTCCAAATCTTCACCATCGTATTCCGCCGGCGTCGCATCCGATGGGTGATGGTCGCGTTGGCTGTTGCGCTTGTTGGAACCCGAGGTAGGAGCGGGCATTGAGAGGGCGGGGGAGGAAGTCGGGGGTGGATTTGTAGAGGTGGCAGTCGCCGGGGTGGTTGCAGTCACAGCGGAAGAAGCGGCTGATTGGAGTGTGGAAGCCAAGGCCGAGTTGGTGACTAGGGTCTTTAGTGTGTCGGATGTAGATGTGCGCCTGCGTTGAAGATCCCCTGAAGTTTCAGGAGAGGAGGGATCGACGGTATGCCGATTCAAGGCTGAGCGAAGTTCGTCAATGGCCAGACGCGAGGATCGAGGACTATTGGATTGTGGAGCGCCAGTCGGCTCATAGTGGAAATGGGAATGCGACCCCGAAGTTGAAGGAAGCGGGGAGCGTAACGCAGCCGTTGAAGGCGAGGGCGAAGACGCCAACATGGTTAGGGTGTGACTAGGTTATTAAGGAATGCTAGGAATCTGATCATTCACAGTGCAAGGTGAGACCACGTGGGCGCACAGTCAGGGCGCGCTGTGGATGGCGTGGGTGCACGGCCGGCCTCATCCTCAGAGGCGTAAGGGCTCAGAGAGAAAGCAAAAGGGATGCAAGGTTATAAGAGGCAAATATTGAAAGAGGAAAGAGGGGGTGTGGTCTGGGAATAATACTCCGAATGACCTTGGACAAGAAAACAGGAAGGGGGCGAAAGCCGGTCTTTGAAAATCTTGTTCTTTCAAAGTTCGTCAGTGAGGTAATTTAGATCTATTCTGTCAGTGGCTGGTTGCTTCCGGTGACTGTACCGATACTGTATGAGTATTTTTCTATTTCTTGGCTCTATTATTGTATTATATACATGTAATATATCTAGAGACACATTTCCTATGGGGGTTGATAGTGGTTAGAATGGTTAAATAAGAAGAGTAATATCTTCAGTCTGCTCAAACAACCCTAGATACTGTATAGGTGCTCTATATATCTTGCATATAATGTGAATGAATCTACTACCGAGACACGGGAAGCGGGGGTAAACTACAGTACCTAGCTAGATTAGGTTAGAGTGCCAAGACAATTCAAGTATGCAATTAGTGTGCATATTGGAGTTCTAGATGCAATATACAATATACATATGTAGGCTACTCCAGGGCTTAATATACATCTCAGTAATCCGTAGGCAAATATTGATTAAGATCCATACACCCCTGATACCCCTACGGACTTGAATATGCCCCTCTTTTTGTAGAGAGGCAAAAAGTCTTGGAAACCATGCCAATGCAATGTGTGGCGTTAGTCCAGATGCTGTCCCCGTCACACTCGCTTTCCTATGGCGGCAGATCTTATTATAGAAATAGTTGGCGTGTTCAAGTTCCGTAGCAAAGTACATACAAATATTTCTATAGCCATCTATGGCTCAGACCAGTGTAAGGCTGAGTGTCGCTCTTTCATTAATCCGGGGCCGCTTTTCGGAGACGGTGTGGTTCGGCAGAATCGAAGTGCGGAGTACCTCTAGGCCCGGCTCTACAGTTCCGGTCTGCCATCATATCTATGTTGTACATCCAAGTCTACACAATCTTCACATTGACGGAGATAATTTCCTCAATATCATTCTAATATCTCTACCAATTCCTTGATTTAACAAAGTGAAACGCCGGGAACGTCCCGCTGGGAGGGGGTGATCGCCAGATGATGACGCGAGCTGCCGCACCGCCGATTCTGCTGCAGCTACAGAGCGCCGAATCGGCCTCCTCTCAGATTACAGCTTTGCGCACTCTGAAGAATGAACTGATTGGCCATGACCAGCGCAAGGAAACCTACATTGGCGAGGGAATCATACCAGCTTTGGCACAGTTGCTAACCTCGAGATGGCCGGGAACGGCCGAGTTTAATGAATCGATATCGCACCAAGGCCGGTCCACGCCAACGCCAAAAGCCCCAGAAGATTACGAAGTATGCCTTCAAGCAACTTTAATTGTTGGGAGTCTGGCACAAGGTATGTGAAGACTGGATCCTTGTCGCCAAGACAGACATTAACTGTACTGAGCAGGTGGTCCAACGTTTCTCACCCCACTATTCGCCAGCAATATCCCCCAAACCTTACTTTCAATATTTTCATCCTCGGACTGCCCAGATTCATTATGTCTTCCCATTCTACGACTTCTGAACACAATCGCAGACCGGATACCGTTGCAAAGCCAGGAACAATGGCCTCGGGACACGCAGCTTGCGGATCTTGTTTTTGCTTCTGCAAATATTACCTCTCTCAGACGTATAATCTCGCAGGAGTACAAGAACCTGCGCAGCCAGGCCACGATAGAGCTAGCAGCCGCCCTGATCGGCAAACTATGCACAGAGGAAACCCATAAGACGGCACTAGCAGAATCCGGGGTGTTGGATGCTTTGGCGCTCAAGATTGCCTCCTTTGTTGTGGCCAAGGGATTCGTGTTGCCTGGCGCGGAGGATCGCCTTCAAGAACCTGGCGCATTGGAGGAGCTGCCGCTTCCGGCCCCCGAATCCGCCCAGCTAGCACCAATTTTGCGCGCAGTTGCTGTCATCATTGAACAGTCAAAATGGAGGGCGGAGCACTTCCTGTCATCACCTGGCATTGTGACGGTGTTTCCAAAACAAGTTGCTGGGTTCGCTCCAACAGACATCAAGAAAGGTCCGTGGGGATCCACATATCTGTCGGGCTCCGCAGTGCCCCGTCATCTTGGCTCCAATCCCATAGAACAGCTCTTGCCGTCGGTTCCTCTAGCCCATACAAAATCATCATCCAGTTCTGCTAATTTCCCACCTCTGGGGCATGGGGGCTCACAGCGCCGACACAGCCATTCTTACCCCACGCCTTTTTCACTGGCTGAGACGCCAGTCCCAGAAGACGACGAGAATTCGATTGTTCCATGGCTGCTCTGCATTCTCCGCTCAGAGAATGGCATGACACGGTTGATGTCCGGCCGTCTTGTCACGGCCCTCTTCCGGTTAGGATTGACGAAGAAACATCGCACTCCAATGTTCAGTTATTTGTTGATCCCCATCTTGATTCGTATGCTTGACAAGAACGTCCGACTGCCGGATGAAGAAGGCGCTATTCATGATGGGCTGCTCTCGTCGACCCTACGCTTAAAAGAAGAGGCGCCTGCCGTATTAGCCAATTTGGTCATGGACGACCCGGAGCTGCAGAGACACGCAGTAGAAGGCAATGCGCTTAAGCGACTTTCACAACTTCTCAAGGAGACTTACAACCCAATCACAGAGACATCCCGGCCGATGTGGCACGCAGAGGATGGGCCAGCCCGCGGGACCCTTGAGTCTCTTTCACAAGAGTGCCGGCTCGGACCTTCCGGTTACTCTCCGACCCTTTGCCATGTAATGCGTTACCGAGAGAACATTCTCAAGGCTTTAGCAGCACTCGTCCCATTCAAGGACGAGTACCGCAAGGCGATTTGCGAACATGGCGTAGTCCCTTACATCATTGACGCCCTCAAACCAAGGCCTAGTGATGCACTGGCCGATGCTGCGATGCCCAGAAATACTGCAGAGGATGGAAATCCGATTCCGACAATTTTGGCTGCATGTGGTACAGCCCGGATGCTGACCAGATCCGTGAGCGTGCTAAGAACTAGTCTTATTGATGCCGGCGTGGCTAAGCCACTGTTTGCCCTTCTTCGCCATTCTGACCTCGAGGTGCAAATTGCAGCAACAGCTGCGATTTGTAACCTGGCCTTAGACTTCAGTCCCATGAAAGAGGTTTGTCGATGTCTATATTTCGTTCATAAACTTTGCAGCTAACATGATTTTCCTAGGCAATCATTTCCCACAACATCATTCCTATCCTTTGCGAACACGCGCATTCATCCAACACCAAATTACAGATTGAATCGCTCTGGGCTCTCAAGCACATGGTTTATGACACCGCAAACGACATCAGAATGAACATCATCGAGACGTTGGGCCCTGAATGGATTATGGAGGTCATCTCCCAGGATCCGGTCCGCGCAGTGGCTCAGCGGGGGATAGAAGAGGAGACAGATCAAAGTCCCGGGTTTGCCATGGGTCGATCCAACTCGGCTGGCGAACAGGTCGATATTCTGAACCCTATGGATGATGCAGCGGAGTGGGACGAGGACCTCAAGATGACCGATACCATGCCTCCCTCCAAAATGAGTCTGGACATGTTCCTTCCTGATGCAAGACGCAGACGCAAACTCGTTCTGCATGGAACCCTGGCTCAAACCACACAGTCTCGACAAGACGATATTGCCGTCCAGGAGCAGACATTCGACTTACTGCGCAACATGATCTGTGGTCGGGATGCACCTGAGATGATTGAATATCTCTTCAGAGAGCTTGGTCAAAATGATTTCCTCGATACCATCGCAGATACACTGCGACCACGTACCATCCAACTGCCTCATCGCCAGGACTCCAGCAGCCAGTCCCTCCATGTTCCCAATGAGATCATCAACGCAGCCGCCGCTCTCATCATCCACTTGGCGGCCGGGCACCCACGCCACCGGCGTATCGTCACATTCCACCGTGACTTGCTGCGGTCTCTAGGGAATTATTTCAACCATTCTCACAAAGACATTCGGTCGAATTGTGTCTGGGTAGTGATCAACCTCATCTACGAAGAAGATCAGAGTGATCATGAAGGTTGTCGGGAGCGGGCAGTGAGACTTCGTTCTCTTGGTTTTGCAGAACGGCTGGCTAGCCTCGAGGATGACACGGAGCTAGACACGAGGGAGCGTACGAAGACTGCGCTGCATTTGTTGAACAAACTGTCTCCCGCATAGTTGATATCTTTGTTATTGTTAGAGTTACCCGTGCACGTTCTGGATGGATCGGAGTACTGTAGGAAAATGTGGACAATTCTTTTTTTTTCCCCTACTGTGGCGAGCTCATCTCATATCGTAACTGAATATAGTATCTATTTCAACTTGATGAATATGTGCCTGAAAGCTGTATGTTGTTGACATTTCATCGGCTTGGGTGATAAGAGCTCCATTATCAATGTGGAGACAAACGTCATAGCCCTTTGCAATTCGGTCTATTCACATCTCTGCATCTGCATCTAGTTAGATATCCGTTTAAAACAAGTCTACTCTTCCTTACACCAGAAATCTAACAGAAATGTCTCCAGTACCAGAACCCATTCTTGAAGCCCTCTCACTCCCATCCGAATCAAAAGTCAGCCTCTCTACATCCGGCCTAGGCTCTGGCTTCACAAGCACAGGCACCATCCACGCCCAGATCCCCGACAAAAATGGCACAGAAGAAGAGCGACGCTACTTCGTAAAAACTTCCTCAAATGGCAAAGATGCAGAAGAAATGTTCCAAGGAGAATCCGAGTCCCTCAACGCAATCGCAGCCTCAGTACCAGGGTTCTGTCCCCAAGCCCTAGCTCGGGGACCACTCGAGCAAGGGACAAAGGCCAAAACGCACTTCCTCGCAACAGAGTTCCTCCAGCTTGGCGGCAAGATGGGACGTAGCACGAGCGACGAAAACACGCTCGCCCACCGCCTCGGAAAACTGCATACCACGCCCGCACCCCCAGATCCGAACACCGGCCGACGCAGATTCGGATTCCCCGTACCAACCTTCTGCGGTGATACCAAGCAGCCAAACCGGTTCTGTGATAGCTGGGCTGAGTTCTACGCAAACGAACGGCTGCTCACAATCCTGGCGACATCTGAAGAACGCAATGGACCCGATGCTGGGCTCCGCGAGACGGTTGAGAAGACGGCGCATAAGGTTGTGCCTCGGCTGCTTGGGGATGGTCATTTAGGGTATAATTCCAGTAGTGACGGGGAGGAGATTGTGCCTGTTGTTGTTCATGGGGATTTGTGGAGTGGGAATGCTGATTGGGGTCGGATTGTTGGCTCGGGTCGCGATGAGACGCCTGGGGATGTGGTGTATGACCCATCGGCTTGCTATGGGCATAGTGAGTTTGATCTTGGGATTATGCATATGTTTGGTGGGTTTGGGGCTCGGTTCTTTGATCAGTATCATCGGATTGTGCCGAAGACTGAGCCTGTGGTCGAGTATGCTGATCGGGTGGAATTGTATGAATTGTGAGTGTTTTTTTTTTCTCTCTTTCTTCTCTTGCTGTTGGACAAGTTTACTGATATAATCAAAAAGGTATCATCATCTGAACCATCATGCTATTTTTGGTGGAGGGTATCGATCTGGTGCTATGTCGATTATGCAGAAGTTGATCAGGAAGTATGCAAAAGACTAGAGTTTTATAGTTTCTGCAAGACTTTCTATTTCTTTTGTTTTCAAAGGTCATAATTTCAAGCAATATCTCGGTAGGGACACTGCTCAATCACGAATATGCTTAGGAAATGATGTCACACTAGCCTTGGAATATCCACGACTTGTCCAGCACTAATATCTTCCTCCTTCCTCTCACTTCTTCCTTCGAAACATGAAATTACATTCTACAATGCCCGCTCATCCTGACTCAAACCTCTATCCCGAGGCCAGTGGCCCGGCCAAGGCGCTGGTCGATCAGCATCGCGCTGAACAGCCATTGAAGTTGTATGCGGGGTGGTTCTGTCCGTATGTCCACTACCCCTCTATACTTAAACCAAACAACTGCTTACCAGGTGCAAAGCTTTGGTGTGTCCCCAGCCACTGAACCATAAGTAGCAATATTAACAAAACAAAGTGCAACGAGTCTGGCTCGCCCTCGAAGAGAAAAAGATCCCATACGAATATATCGAGGTCAATCCATACAACAAGCCAGACTCACTACTCACATTGAATCCCCGAGGCCTAGTCCCTACACTCTCAACACCAGCAGACTCCCACCCACGGCCACTGTACGAATCCAATGTGATCCTTGAATATCTGGAAGAAGCATACCCAGACCATAAACCTCGCTTCCTGCCAGAGAACGCCTACGAGCGTGCCCGCGCACGAATCTGGATTGACTATGTGACATCTCGAATAGTCCCATCTTTCCACCGTTTCTTGCAGTACCAGCCTGCAGATGGCAGTGGGCAGAGCGCAGATGCGGGGTTGGATCAGTCTCGGCAAGAGTTTTTGAGTCACCTGAAAGCCTGGACCAAGGAGATGCACACTGAGGGACCTTTTTTCCTTGGTGAGGATATTAGTCTGCCGGATCTTGTGCTGGCTCCTTGGGCGGTACGACTGTGGGTGCTTGATGAGTTTAAAAGTGATGGGTTGGGGATTCCGAGGGAGGGGGAAGGAGGTTCGGATGAGGGGGTTTGGAGCCGGTGGAGGACTTGGCTGGCTGCTATTGATAGTAGACGGAGTATCAGGGAGACTACAAGCGATCTTGCCCATTACCTTCCCATCTACAAGAGATATGCGGACAATACAGCTCAAAGTGAGTTGGCTAAGGCGACACGGGCTGGTCGGGGGGTTCCTTGAGGGGTTTGTGAGACAGTATCCTTCTATTCATGTATCTCCAGTATAATCAATATGTTTGTAATTGCACATTCGTCGTCGGGAAACAGAGCATTATGATAGACACAGATATATACACTTCGGAATGCGGATAAATATACTTCCGGAAGACCTGCACGTGATTGGGAGGTCTTGGATTGACACGTGATCGAGATATCAATCCAGTCAGTTGTTGCGCGTCTTCATCTTGCAACTTTCCAAAGATATTGCTTGGTATTGCCATATTCCTAGGGAATCCAAGAAGCCGCCATGGCACGCAATATGAGGGAAGAGTCTCCCCGCGGGAGCTCAACACTGGAGTCCGGCCTGTCACCCCCGGCCATCCACCCGTCTTTTATACAGGTGGCCAATCCATACATATTCGAACAGACAATTGAAAACTGCATCGAGGCGATGAGCGTTAATCCCCTTCGCGAAACTTCATTGCGTCTTCAAGGCGTGGCGTGGATCGACAGCGTGCGGAGAGCCCTCAACCTGTAAGTTGACTTCAAGCCAGGCAAAATGCATCAGGACTGACTAAAAACCCAGTCCCATTCGCACTTTTGACACAGCAGTGGGATATTATCACCGATTTCGATTGGTGCACCCAGACAATGAGTATAATTTCACAGTGAGTTCTCTCGGAAATTCCTCAAGGAGATCAGCCTAACCCGGGATACAGGATGCTGCGGCTGCGGCTTTGTTCACAGCATGCAAGATCGAAGATACGCTCAAAAAGTCGCGAGACATCGTCTGCGCTGCGTACAACTTGAAATTGGCGCCCTCAGAGCACTTATCGGCTGATGATCCCGTAAGTCATGATCACAGACGAGACAAAACAGAGGATTAACACTTGTCACCAGATGTTTGAATCCAATGCGCGTGGTATCATCGGTCTCGAACGACTCATGTTAGAGGCCTCTGGTTTTGACTTTCGAACCCGGCATCCCCATAAGACCCTCATGAAGCTGAGTCGGCATTATGGACTACAACAAAACTCCGAAGTCTCCAATCTTGCCTACCGCATTTCGTCGGATCTTTACCGCACATTCGCACCCATCAAACAAAGCTCATCAACGATGGCCTTTAGCTGCCTTGAGCTTGCAGGACGACTCTTGGACCAACGTGTCGAACAAGTGGAGTCCGGACTAGACTATGCACAGTGGAGCACCAGCCGAGCAGAAATCATGGGTAAGTACTGTTGTTGCATTCATATTCACCTAGAAAACATCACATATTAACAACCACCCAGAAACTCTCTTCGACCTCTTAGAACTCTACACCCACCACCGCTCCCTAACTGCCGTCGGCTCGGAATTCCCAGCAGACCGGTTCCTAACAGTCCGCATCCCGCTCAACCAAGAAGCCAGCGAACACCACATCCCGCGCTACCAGCCGTGGATCGGCCAGCCAGGCAAACCATCCAACGGCACTGGCGCCAAAGACCAAGATACTCCGCGACCTGCTCATCCCTTAACACCAATTGCCGCGAACGGGGACCGCCAGAGGACAGGCGAGCGAGGCCGTGATGCTGCCGTGCGATTCATGCTCGATCCCGCATGTGCGGATACGGAAAGGCGACAGGTCGCGGCATACTTCAAGGTTGAAATGGAAGAATATGAAGTCGATTGGTAAGAGATAGTTCTTGCTATTTGCGTTCCTGGCACCTGGTGTGCCTCATGCAGCGAAGCGAAACTGAGAGAAGGCCTTGCTTTGTTTCCGTGGAACGGTAATACGCTTGCGGGTTTGGTGGTGAGCTGGGATGGGGGCCTCATATACTACACCCCATCTTGGTTTCGACCAAACAATGCTCCGGTTACGGTGACTCGCTATCGGCTGTCCGTCCTGATTCTTGTTGGGATAGGCCGGCATCCTTGCTAAGCTCCGATGAGGCCTTTGTCCGCACTTTTCTGGACAGATGGGCCAAAACAACTCAGACTCTTGCTCTACGGTTTCGGAACTGAGTTGTCTCGGACACGGGAGACTCACATTCTGGAAATTTCCCATATTGATCCATATTTCCCACGATTTACCGATACCCCAGACATCTATGACCAGCGACGAGATATCGATAGATACAATGAAAAGAACCATCAACTATCGATGACCGGTTTCTCATTGTAGGACAACACCGTGTTTGATATTTGCTGTACCTACGAGCCCATTCGCAAAGAACTGCATATGGAGTGAAACAAATCAGAAATCAGCTTCAAAATTTGAATTGAAAGCTATGTACAAATCTACAGCCCGTTCCCTTCACGCGTCCAAAAACAGCGAAGCTGGAGACAAGACTGCCAGAGCAAAACAGACAGATATGTCCCCTCATCCCCCTTCTTCTACCACTTCTGTAGAGGGATGTGTCCGTTCCACGAATCGGGAATATAGCAGAGCTCCAGGTCAAGATGGACCGAGCAACACAAGTCATCAAAGTTAGGTTCAGTCCAGGGCCCATCAATCAGAAAGAGAAGAGAAGAGAAGAGAAAAAAAGAGTACTAAACAAAAGTACAGGGAAACAGCCGTCAATGAAGAAGAAGAAAAGTTATCCCCGTGCCTCCGGCGTGGAAGATTTTCGCTCTTCACACCGGTTCATTAGAGAGAGCCCTTGCCACGGGCCATTTTGTTGGGTGTGCCGTGTTGAAAGGCGGGTGAGGCGAGCGGGGCGCATGTATGTACATATCATGCACGCACACATTAAGGCTTGCATGCATATTCGGTGAACCCAAAAGTCCCGAATGAAGCAAGAAGCAAGAAGAGCAGGTCGTCGGCACAGCAGAAGCAATTGGAGGAGAGTTGCAGGGGGTGAAGCGCGGGGTTGAAAGGTCGTCCTCGAAAGGTGGAAGTGAAAGTGAAATATGAGTGTCATAAATTTGGGTCGGTTTTTCAATCTGAATGCCGGACAATTTAAGTTCATCGACGCTTGAGCTCGGTGACAAGGCAATCCAGAATCTGAAAGAGGTTAGCAGGATGACCATGGTAATTGGTTCAAGGAAACATACCGATTCTGAGACTGCACCCTGATTGTACAAGTACTTGCCCAAGCCACGGACGACCTCGAGCTGCTCATCAACCGTAAGACCGTTGATGGCGGTCTCGATGATGTCGCCCACGCTGACCTTGTAGACAGCAATGAAGCTGTGGTAGTACATGAAAGAGAAGAAGCCCATGATGAACTGGCAGTCCATGCGGTCAGTGATACCACCGTGGCCAGGAATGGACTCGCCAAAGTCCTTGATCTTGAAAGTGCGCTTCAGACCGGAAGCAAAGAATCCACCGAACGGAGCGATCAGCGAAGCGAAAGTGGCGAAGGCCAAGATGTGGAACTGAATGGGTTCCACCCAGAAGGTCTTGTCCAGGCCAAAGATTTCAAGAGAGTAAGGTTGCGACGTGAAGACCGGGTTCGGAACACATTCCAGACCGGTCAGAATATTCGAGCCCAGGTCGTTGACAGGACAGATGAAGTACTTGTAACGGATCAGCAAGTTGGTCATGAAATAACCGAAGGCAACGGTGCAGGCCCATGCGCCAAGGAATCCCTCAACAGTCTTCTTCGGGGAGAGCTGAATAAGTTGTGTCCTTCCAAAGCTAATACCGCAGACATATGCGAAGATATCATTGGTGATGACCAGCGCAGCGGGGAGGAAGAACCAGATCATGCCCTCGAAAATGTTGTTCATGACAAAGTGAGCCTGGACAACAATCAAATACAAAGCCATATGGGTCCAAGCAAACTGGGTGAACTGGAATCGGTAGTGGCCCTTCTGCAAAGATCCGACAAAGAACACGAATCCTATCAACCGGGATTAGCGGAGTAAAAGGGGAACAGTCGAGAAACTTACCCATGACGTAAAGTGTGAAGCTGATGAAGCGGTGGTGGTTCGCCAATGGAAGCAACACCTTGTCAACAAGCAGGATGTGCTTGAAGTAGTAGATCACGCTCTCTCCGTATAGGAAATACATAGTAGTCGCCAGGAAGTACCAATTCAACGATTTGGTAAACCGCAAGTTCTTCTCCTTATTGGGGATACTGGCGATAGCGATGACTTCCTTGAACGAGATGATTTGGATGCCGGTGATTAGGACAATAATATAAATGTGACCGGAGAACAGGGCGACGAAGAAACCGGCGATCATCACAAAAGTCCATATCGTCCGGGTGATGAAGGTCTGCTTTTTCTTCTCATATTCGGACTGAGGGGGATTCTAGAAGTGAAGATCGTGTCAGACCTAGATTCCGAGGCCATACTCCATACTGCACTTAAAACTGACCTCTTCAGTTATTGTAGATGGTTTGGACCCGTTGCCATTTTTGCTGGGGCTAGTGGGTTCTGAGGGTGCATCGCTGACGTCGGAGGACACGCTGAGGCGTCGCTCATCATTTGACCGGTGTTGAAACCTAACATTACGGCGAGATTTCGACATGATGTAGAAAAGGGGGCCGGGAACAGAATCTAGGCGGTAGAAGTGGAGAGTGCAGAGAGCGAAAGAAGATCATCGGATTAGAACTTGATGAGCTCATGTGAAGTACCGAAAGCGGTCAGCTTCAGCTTCAGCCCCGTGTTTATTTTATTTTTTATTTTTTTCGTTGCTTGTATTTTTTATAATTGGTGTATTATTCGGGTTTATTAATTGAATCAATCATTATTTGACCTTCAAATATTACGTTCGTGACTAGAAATTGAAATTGGATGTGCAGGGGTTGTTATCCAGGTGCTTTAAACTGCCGTGCTCTCTCTCTCTCTCTCTTTTTTCTCTTCAACCTCGGAACGACTCGAACTCGAGAATGATCAAAAGCCCTCGGTGAACTTAGAACGCGTCAACTCCCTCTGGTAGTCCATTCATGGCGGGGGCATGGAAGACGACGACGACGACTACGGCTCCGACGAGTTCGACTCCCTGCCACCGGGGACGTTGTATGAGCTGGAACAGAATGCATTCCAAGCAACTCAGGCGTCAGCCTCTCAGTACCACCCAAACCCCATAAACAGCAACCCGGTGCTACGCACTCAAGCAGTGCCATTAAACAACAATGCTGGATCGCTGAGACCGCCGCCTCGCTTACACACCGGGTTAACGAACGACTACAATACACTGGAGGTGGGGGAATTGGAGGCCGAGGTGTACGATAATGTGGATAACCCGCATGTCATTCCGCATGGCCAACATGTACTCGCCACGGATCCTAGATTTGCAGTCAACGAGCAGCTGGGCGATGCCATGGATGTGGACGACTACTATGGGCAAGGGAACGTCGCCGCGGAGATCAATGCACGCCTGGTGCAGGTGGGTTAGATGAATGCTTCTTTGTATAAACCCTAACAACCTTTATAGATGGAGCAAGAGAGAGAACAAATGTTACAGGAGCTAGCCGAAGCGAAGATGCAAGTGGAAACGAAAGCCGGGGAAATATCGATCATTCGAAGAAAGCAGACAACGATGACACAAGACTATGATCGGCAAATAGCGGCTCTACGGAAATCCATGGCCGAGGAAATGGCGAAACACAAGCAAGAGGTTGAGGCGGCCATGTCCGAAGGCAAGGTATTAGCGACGGAGAATGTATTTCTTCAACAAGACCTCGTGGATGAAGCCTACCAGCTACGGAACTACAAATCCAAGCATCGCGAGATGGAAGCCCCAGTGACTCCTCGAAAGTCCCGGGTGCTTCCATTCCGCGATGGATTTGACGATGATGAAATCGCCATGATATCGCCTAGCAAGTCTGCAGCGCGTTCCAAGCGAGCCACGCCGACGGTTCCAGGAAAACGTAAACGGCAATCAAGCCAGGATGGCCCTGCGCCACTACAGCTGAATCCTGCTGGTGTGGAGCTTATTATGACGGATGCGACTGATACTCCGGCGGAAGTCGACGAGGTGAAGCGCAAGTCTGCAGAGGCGGGTCGCAATCAACGATTTATGATGCGACTTTTGAGCCACCGTACGCATCCCAACCAAGAAACTGATTTCGAAGCCATGGCCAGGCTTGCGTTTCCCTCGGAACCGCATCGACCCATGTCCAGCATTGTCATGGAGGTCATGGCTCGTGTCGACCCGAGCAGCTACGTATTAGAATATACGCAAACGATTGCCTCGCTCTGGCAGCGTGCCATCAATGAGAAGTTCTACGAGCCGATCCCCCGATTTGAAGCTATCACAAAATATAGTTTGATGTCGGATGACGTCCCACTCTCCGAACTGATCACGCCTCTAGTTGGAGTCTTGCAAGACACCGTGGAGGTGAATGCAGTTCCTCGCTTCAAGTACGCCCCGGCATCACGAGATAAACGAATTACTCGACAGACACCACAATCAGATCTGCAGCCCCTAGTCGACTCGACTGGGGCCATGCGTCTACTTTACCAAATCGCCTGCGGAGTATTGCACATCAAAAGTGCAATGGAGACATTCTGGCAAAACATCCGGATCTCGTTCATTCTCGTGATGCTGCACCCGTCACATCCACTGGGTGACATTGTGCTTTTGATGAACCTCCTGTCAACAAGTATTCGCGCAGACTCCTTTGGTCCAATCAGAACCTCTGACCAGGACCAATTGGACGTGCAAAAATGGATTGTGGATCGCCTCACGCACATGCTGAGCGAACCTGCGACACCGGACGAAGGTGTGGAGCCATACACCGCATACGACATTTGTGCGATGCGGCTCGAGGTCCTACTGCTGCTGGAGTCGCTGGCATTCAACCCTATGGCCTCGTCCCAAAAGCATGCCAGTACGATCCTCGCATTACACCCAAATGCACTCGCTCGTTTATTCCGGTCGATGCACGATGAGCTGGATGCACTTTACTCCTCCCCGCCAGAGTCAGACCTGCGTGTTGCGCTAGTCAATGGCCTTATGCGGCTGATTTTCGGGGTCATGCGGCAACATGGCCCCTTGATCAATATGCAGGAGAAGCTGGCGTGTGTGTCTGGCAGCAAACAGAAACATCTCGTTGTGTTAACTCGCTTGGCGTTTTGTGATGGGACCGTGCTGGAGGCGGGCATCGATGATGAAACCGTGGATATGGCGCACGAGCTACTGGAGGAATGGACTAATCCCCAAGAAGCAGAGTCATTAGCGGAGGCGTTCCCAAGTTCTAGGAGAGAGTGACACAGTGATGACAGGGGAGATGTTCAACGTTGTACGACTGGGACTTTTGTATGCATTTAACACGGCGTGATGTGTTCTCTGGAGTTACTAGCTTGTTTCTTTACAATATACCAAACAATTTCATTTTCATATTTTTCAAGCATCCAAGAGATTAAGGAAAAGCTACAGAGTACACGTAGCTCTACTCCGTAGTAAGAGAGGTTTTAAGACATCGAACAAATATGAGCGGCAACATTTGCAGGGGTAATGCATCTCCCAATGCTTCACCGGATTTTCATCTCTCAGCGGTTAAAAAAAGGGCTGCAAGGGACCAGGAAAGGCAGTAAGGTGATGGAGCAGTCATATCTAGGACAGGGGCTGGAGACATTGTGGTCACCGCACGACGCGTCAGACATTTCCTAGGGGAGCTTCTTGAGGGGGGTTCTATGCAGAGCGTGCTGCACAAGGTCAACAACATAGGGGACTATAATAATGGCAACATGTTTCACTAGAAAGGATTGATATTGAAGCCGAGGAAAGAACTAAGAAAGCTTAGGTGTGCTCACTTCTAAATCATACGTAAATATAACCGGGGTGACCTCTTCTCCAACCTCGTGCCACTGGCTCAAGAATTGATGAAAAGAAAATATTCCACGAATGGAGGTGCCAAAGAATACGCCTGTCAATGACACGGATGCCATTGAACAGACTGTTCCGCCGCGCTGTGCAATGCAGGGACCAGCCTGTGGTAACACGTCTTATTGATCACGGTCACCCAAACAAGGTAAGTATGAAGAAGAAAGAAAAAGGAGAGGAAGAGCCGGTGCAGAGGGACCTATATATACACCTCCCATAGGGCGGTGGCATAATTCAGACAGGGCGGTGGCATTAAGCGAGATTTGATTGACCAATCAGCAAGTGGTACCCCTTACATAGCATGCAAACGAGGCAAACATATACTCCCCCAGTAATTCCTTCCTTATGTTTGAGGCATCAATTTCCTGACAGTCACGTGCCCTGAAGTTTTGAGACTCGGCCAATTTGGACTGGATAACATATCATTTGCTACAGCATTGTGTCTACCGAGTCGCCATAATGAGAAACAGAGCAACCAACACGTTGTCGAAAGGCGTATGTCTCTTCTGCTAAACTTGATTTCCCCAATTCCAAAAGACTAACAAGACACCGTTCAGAAAATCCGTCAATCATGGAGCAAATACAACCTGTATAACATGCAACGATTCCGCAGCCCACCCACCGCCAATCGCACATTCTTCCAGCAGAAATGGTCTGCTAAGGCTGCCTCCCGTGCCTATCACGGCGAGCAAGTCCGCGAGGGACAGTGGAAACGCATGTTCAACCATCGCATCCGCAGTGTTATCCCCATGAATGCATCCGACTTGGCCGCCGATGACGGTTCCCTAGTCTCGTCCGGTCGAGGCTCAGGGCTTGATAAGGGTGGAAAACCCGCTTACCAGACGCGTCCTACACCTTACACCAACATGACCTTTGCGCCCCTGGAGCGCCGGTTAGATGTGGCCATCTTCCGAGCTCTGTTTGCTAGCAGTGCCAGGCAGGCGAGACAGTTCGTCATCCACGGAGCGGTCACTGTTAACGGGCAAAAGGTATGATGCGATGTGGGAAGCCACTGATTCGTTGGTTACTAACTCGCTTTTGTGTTACTAGATGAAACACCCCAGCTACCTCCTTAACCCCGGTGACCTCTTCCAGGTCGAGCCAGATCGCGTCTTGTACGCTACTGGTCACACGAAGACTGCGTACGAGCGACGTCACGGCCGATTGGGTCGGAGAAGGGCTAAGGCACAGAGGTTAGCGGAAGCCGAGGCAGCCGAGGCCGCACCGGAGGCTGAGGCGGAGTCGAAGGAGACCGCCAAAGAAGATACCAAGGAGACTGAAAAGGAAGATACCAAGGAGACTCTCAAGGCGCTTATGGCACAGGCCAAGGCTGTCATGTCTGCCGGCAAGCAAACACTCGCGCCCCAGCGCAAGCAGGAGCTCCGCGGCTTCCAACAAGCTGTCCGCCGCGTATTGTCCCGCTCCGAGTCCAGCACCATCCTCGCAGAGAGCCTGGAGGCCCAATTTTCCCAGCTGACCCTGCTGCTCAAGGCCAAGCGAGGCGAGAAGAAGCCAGAAAAGAAGGATGTGAAACCCCGTCCAGAAGACGCCTTCGCATCCGACAAGGGAGATAAGGAAGTGGCTTCCGTCAAGAGAGATTCAGAAGCCACAGCCAGCGACAAGCTCTCCGAGGCCTTCGCACAGGCAACGCTCGGTAATGATGTCGATGCCTCGGAGCTCAGCGACGAAGAGTTCGACACCCTCAAGCGCGCTCTTACTCAAATGCGCGACAACCCTCTCGACAACAGCAAGACCTACTCCACCCCCTGGCAACCACGCCAATACATGTCTGCCTTTGCCTTCATCCCGCGCTACCTTGAGGTCAACCAGAACATTTGTGCAGCCGTGTACCTGCGCCATCCCGTGGCCCGCCCCGGTGCCGCCGAGGTGCCCACTCCCTTCGGCGAGTCCATTGCCACTCCGGCTTATGGCTGGTACCTGAGGAGACGGTGGTAGAGGATACGATTTGGCCTGTCTTTCTCTGCCTAACCTGTCCCTTCCTCGTTTGTCTCTAATGTTCTACTATTTTCCCTCCCCTAAACTTCTCATCTGTGTATTAGTGGGCGCTTAGCTCTCCCTCCTCCCTTTCTGCATATTTCTGGATCATGTTGACCATGGTGTTGGTTCCTGTTTTGCTTTCTCTTTGGAGCTTTTTGTGTCAGCTCCGCCCCCTGTACCACCATAGCCATGATGTGTTGTAAATGGATATATTATTGATGCTATTGTTTCACGCTGTAGATTCCCTTGTCCTTTGTATAATCCTTGAGTAGACCAAGCTACTTTGCCTGCTTATTATGGGTGGATATTATGTCGAACAGGATGCTCTCGATGTACTGTTAGATTCTAGTTCCATGAGATACTAGAGCCTCACGAAGTTGTACGGACATGATAAAATTTGTGGAAATTACGTAGAGGTGGTCGAGACTCCGATATATACATCGCGAATATATAAATGTGCAGCCATTGAGTACATACTAAAAATCCCACGGAAAGTATATAATTCAGCGACTACATATAATTAGATAAAAACTAGACATCACTAATTTGTTAAATTGTCCAATTGAAGCTCATTCCCATACTCTACAAGACTAATAGATGCTTGGCGCACGGACCTCACGGAAAACCCTCAGGTGAAATCCATCGCAGCTTTATCTTTATCCCCACAGATCGACAAGGACAAGTCTGCATTGGTCTGCTTCACCATTTCAAGGTTGTCACCCTATTGATGACTACACTAAACCAAGGAGTCTACCTCCTGGACCCCATACACCACACAACTTGCACTGTTGATCTCCCACAGCGACTGCTCGGCTACTGCTATTGCTACTGCGCAAGCTGCTGTCCTCATGACGCGCATTCAACCACATGAATACAGCCGCTCTTCATATCACCCTCCTGCACAAAATTCCTTCGGAACAGTACCATCGGGCCTGCGCGCAGGGTTCAGCCCAGCTTCCCAGTCCGTGTCCGTGGTAGTGAGGAATCCACCTACAACCGATAACGCATCAGAGAGCAGCGAAGAGACACCTGGAGGGGCAAATATAACTGGAAGTGATTCACGCGAAGGAGACATCCTCGAAAGCGATCTATACTATGCGCCGATGCCGGTGGGCGTAGCTCAAACCAGCGAAGGAGATGGGTCAAGGCTGATGTCGGGATCAACCACTAACAGAGGCACGAAGCGCAATCACAACGGTGACGATGAGCTCGATGGCGACACTTCACGGCAGCATAGACGTCTTACGACCAAAGAAGAGGTAGCGCTCTTCGAGATCTGCAACCAAAACGCAGACACCTTCGGCAGCCGCAGTAATCTGTGCAAGTGGTGGATATCCATCGCCGCCGAGTTCAAGCGCACACATGAGGGCCGCTCATACTCGTGGCACTCGGTGCGGCGCAAAGTAGAAATGGTCACAAGACAGCGCATCAAGTACCTTGAGGACCAGCGACAGCGGGGCTCAAACGCACCCGGCTCAACGGCCGAGGAATTGATGAACCCGCAATGGCTCGCTGCCGTCGATGCCTGGCTTCCGACCTGGCAGCGGTGGGAAGAAGCCGAGAACCGGCGCATTGCAAAGCGGGATGAGCTTAAGAAGCGTAGACAGCCGCAGCCCTGGCGCCAGAATTCCAAAAACGGAGACCAGGATTCATGGCGGAGCCTGCCTGGGTCATCTGCCACTAGCCCGACTGATGTCAACGCCGCAATGATGGGTATGCTGCACCAGCCTGTCGCGAATACCATTGGTGATGCTACCCTCCCGGCTACCAGCCCTACGCCCTCTCCCTCAATTGCTGGTCCTGCACCACCCGCCCATTTCCTCGAATCACCTTCCACCCCCGTCTCTGCGGCCACCTCACTGAAACTACCACCAGGGTTTGAGAATATGTTCTCAACCCCACAACTCACATCACAAGTCGCACCTCTGCCCTCCATGTCCACACCACCAGTCCCACAATCCGATGGCCATATGGTCTCAGCCGTCCTCGAAACCCTGGGGAAACTCAACAAACACCTAGACGCCGCATCGGGTGGTGGTATAGACCCGAGTGCCGCCTCACCCGTGATCTCGGCTTTGGTGCAGGCTGCCTCGGAACCATCGGTTCTGGCTTCTCCCCGGCAATCACAGCACTCGCAAGTACAGCCCGCGTTACAGCAACAGCCTGCGCAAGGTCTCACTCACATTCAAATCGAGCAAATGAAGGAAGAGCTCCGGCAGGAGATGCAGGCCCAGTTTCGAGGTGAGCTGGAGCGCGAGCGTGTTGCCATGGAAGAAAAGCTGGACTCTGTGCAGCGGACCCAGGACTTGATTCTTGAGATGTTGAGACAGGAGCCTGCTTGATGCAGATGGAGTCTTAGTTTCGCACTTTTTCTCCAGACATGGCTTGTGTGGCCTTCTATTTTTTTTTTTCTATTTCTTTCTGATATGATACCCATTATCGACTGCGAAGGACGGCGTGCCTGCATATGTATCTACGAGAAGGCTGATATTTCTACCCAAGTCTTTACTTTCTTGATATTCTTGACGAAGACATTGCAAGATTACTTCCTAAAATTTGATGCACTGAACTTGAAAAGGACCCAGCCGATGGCAATTGCTCTCTACTCTAGAACAGAAACCAAGTAAACAAACATAAGAGAAAATAGTCATCGGGCTAAATTACAGATAAATGATAGAACGACTCAAGAATGCCTTCCCGAGCCTTCACACAACGATTAAAAGCTCTTCCATGATGCACAGAAGTGCCTATAGGGCAAAACAATCTAGTAGTAGAAAGTCTCATCGACGGTACGACCACGCATCCACTTGGGCTCAGAGCCACGGACGTAGATGTCCTCGAAGAGGTTGCGGGCAGTGTTTTCGGGGAAGGGCATCTTCTCAGCCTCGGCGACCTCGGCGTCGATGTTGGCACGGGCGGTCTTGTCGAGACCCTTGAGCTCCTCCTCGGAGGTGACGCCCCACTCGAGCATCTTCTGCTTGAGGCCAGCGATGGGATCGTTGGTGCTGCGCATACGCTGGATCTCCTCACGGCTGCGGTAGGTGGTACCGGGGTCGGACATGGAGTGACCACCGTAACGGTAGGTGACGTACTCTAGGACGAGGGGTCCGTTGCCGGTGATGGCGTAGTTCTTGCTGTACTGGACAGCAGCCTTGGTGGCAAGGACGTCCATGCCGTTGACCTTCAGACCGGGGATGTACTGGCCACGCTTGTAGTACTCGGTCAGAGCGGAGGAGCGCGAGGCGGAGGTACCCATGCCGTACTTGTTGTCTAGAGGAAACACAACGTTAGTACATCTGTCGGTTTTTGAGGCTGTAAAGACCTGGGAATAAACCACTTACTCTCACAACCGAAGAGAACGGGGAGGTTCCACAGCTTGGCCATGTTGAATGCCTCGAAGACCTGACCCTGGTTGGAGGCACCGTCACCGTAGAGAACGATGGAGGTGTTGGGCTGCTCGTTGTACTGCTGGGCGAAGGCCAGACCGGCGCCGACGGGCACCTGGGCACCGACGATACCGTTACCACCGTAGAAGTTCTCGGCGAACATGTGCATGGAACCACCCTTGCCGTACGCGATACCCTCACGGCGACCGAGAAGCTCACCAATGATGGACTTGACGGTACCACCACGCATCATGGCGAAACCGTGGCAACGGTAAGCGGTAATAATCTTGTCCATGCGGGTGATGGCGTGCTCAATTCCGACGGCGACGGCTTCCTGTCCGGTCGACAGATGGCAGAAACCCCGGATCTTCTTCTCCTTGTACAGACGATCGGCGGCCATCTCCATACGTCTGCAAAAGAACAAGCAGTCAGTCAGCAGCTAGTTCAAACCATCTGCCATCGTGCTATCGTACCTCATTGCGACCATGTCGTAGTACATCTGCTTGAGCTCCTTCTTGGAGGTCTCGAGAGTGTACGGGGGTGGGTCGAGCTCGTAAGTCTCGAAGCTCTCATCGGAGAGACGGACAGTGAATAGCTTATCATCCTCCTGTTCAAGCGCAAGCACAATCATTAGCAATTGAAACTCCGGAAACCTTCGGGCGAGGTTTTTCAGTGCTTCCGGATAGGGCTCAACAAACCTGCGGGATCGGGCTCTCGACGTTGGCGGAAGCGGCGTCGGTGGTAACAGTGCGACGGGCAAGAGGAGTGAAGGCACGGCGCCTCAAAGGCGCAGCCTGACGGACCGCGGCACGGAAGAGCATTTTGTGAGGGAATTGGAGATGGTACGTTGAAGGTGATAAGCACCTTTTTCCGTCCCAACAACTCTCTTCAATTTTGCCGTCTTAGTCAGCTTCCAGATCGGGGCCGCCCGGTGAGGAACGTCAGGCCGGGTCCGATGCTTGTACTTCACTACTTCACTCTTGAACATTGAACATGGATTTTGCTATATTTGCTTGCATGTTCTTGTATTCAGCAATTAACTCCCTTGAAATTATCAAAATGAACCATCCCGTCTAAAAACTGGCGTTACTGCTGTGCCCACCTGGAACTCTTTTCGGGTTTCGATATCCGTTCCGATCCCAACGGTTCGGTGCGCCTCTATATAAAATAGCAACTTCAACCCTTTGGTGATAGGAGGATCAAATCCAAGCTTTTCTAGAGAACTAATTACCTCTTCAATACGTATAGGTCATTTAACTGGCTTATAACAAGGTCAAGGTTAACAAACAATACTCTTGTAAAGCAGAATATATACAAGCCTGGGATATTATCAGTGAGTTAAAGGGCAGTACACTAACAACCTAACTGGGTAAATGATCATAATTGCATTAGCAGTGATGAGAACGGAATATCAGGCAACTAGACTTGCATATCCCAAAGCCCAAAGTATGTCTGTTTTGACTGTGAGGCAGAAAAAAGCCACTCCCAAATAGATATCAAAAGGTAATTGACACCAACCTCGGGACTATTGAGAGAGATAACTATTGAGAGGCTCAAAAGGCAACACGTCCTTGTCGCTAATCTTTTCCAGCAACTCCAGAATCCTTACTCCTAAGTGAATAAGACCCCAAGAGGATGATTTATTGACTATATTGACTTATTGACCTTCCAAATGGATGCGCAGTTTGTTCAGGCATTGCGTGTCGAACGCCGAGCCTCATTATTTAAGACGCTGCTTTTCCCCTCCATCATCCTCTCTTTCTCCGCATCAGCTTCTGAACCGGTGTGACCAAGGTATCGTTGTACTATGCCTCCATCTCAAGACAGGAATCTAACAAACCACCAGGCAGCACCAACCTCGATATGGCGGAATCCACTGCCAGAGCAAGCCCTCCGATGGCTCCTCTCACCGGCCCTCCCATTGGCCCTGCTCACGAACCTCTGGTTGTGTTCGTTGCCCGTGGAGCTCCCAATCCCACATACGTCGACCTTGGCCAGCTGAAGTACTATCTTCGTCCCGCCCTGATTGAGCTCCAGGAAACATTTGAGCGCAAGTATGGGAAGCTGGAAGACCGTTCCTACTGCTATTGCCCATTGATTCATAAATCCATCACCCCCCTTGAGCCAGATTCCGACTCATTCCAGTGCCTGACAGACATGCTCGTGTATGGTCGCACATACGGCCGCGACATCATGTTTGTCTTGAACCACTGGGACTCCATCACCTCTGACGGACCGACCTTTGCCAATATCTTCAAAAACTTCACCGACGTCAAAGTGACTATTCGCGTCTACGGCACGATTTCAGTTGACCACGTTTCCGAATTCCACGATCTCGACGCCCACAGAGTCAGCGCTCACTACCAGGGCCTAATCAGACTGGAAGAACAGTATGTTATTGATGATGCACTGCGTTTTGTGGTCAGAGTCGAAGAAGTCCGCGCAGTCAGAATCGGAGTAGAGGAGTCAGTTGGCCTGATGGTGCAATTGACAGGTCAACCTGAGAACGAGCTGCTAGAGAGAGTGCTGTGGATGCTTTGACGCAAGGAAACGAACTGAGGAATTGGGCACTTGGATATTCGTGGAGATGTAAGGAGATCTGGCGATGGAAGTTTTCCCTCCATGGGTTGAGACATTATTCTATGCCCAAGTTTCTTTGTCCGAGGGCTGAAGCACCGATGTACCTTACCAACAGCTTTGAGGAAGCCTAATTACAATACCCGAGAAAGCCTTGAATTCTGCTTGTCTTTGGGATCAAATGAAACAATTAATACATTCATATCTCATTACTTCCTGTAAAGGATTATCTCGAGCATCGCATCGGGTAGAACATGGGACCTGTTCGCCCTGCACGTGTCTTATATAATCACCCAAAGCTGAAATGAATTCCAAGATTCTATAGTTGGATATAAAAACCTGCAGCTATTGCTTAGACACGATGCCCCAGTGCCGCTAGAACCAGCCCGTTTTCGACAAATTCAATATTGACCGCGCTCGTGACTCTCTTAGAAGACACCACCATTCTGCACAACCACGTCTGAGCACATTGCAACCGCAGAGCTATATAAATTCTTAGGCAAGCCTATTAATGGAAACATGATACCTTGTCTAATGCCACCTCCTATATGCGAGACTAAGAGACCATCTAAACGGATTATTCTCATGATTCCAATCGACTGAAGCAATGAGATACTGTGCATTCATGCTGTTGGAGAATCTACTCATACTGACCAATAATGTAGGTATAAGCCAGACCTGATGAAGCGCTCTAGGCTAACACAATTCTGCCTACACACCAATCGGACAGCACCCGTACATCAAGCGTTGAGGCGCTGTTATGCCAATCATATGATCTCCATAGAAGCCTTGCATTGGGTATAGGGAGTTTATAACCGAGCCAATTGAGATACACAAAGCATCTAAAGTACGAACTCGACACATCATAACGGCACGATCAAAGCCGTTGAACAAAGACAAGAACAGATACGTCGTATTGACTCAACACTAAGAGAATACGTGTCAGAAATATCGATACACAAAGTACGGGGTAAATGATAGATACATAATATATCCGAAACTACCCCGCTGCAAATGTACAAAACTTCAAGTGATGATGGATCTGCAAACTGCTGAACGCCGTTAGCACTACGGATTATGCACCTAGGTATCAGGTTAAAGGCAGTTTTATACCACATCCATTAGGCCTGACGAATGACGCCACGTCTCCATCAGTTCGCGCATTGGCTCAAGTTTACCCATAATTTATATTAACTTATATTAACTTATATTACCATTTCGTGCTAATGGCCACGTTAAGCCCTACAGATGATAGACCTGAAACACTGAGTTGATTCGGCTGAGACAGCTGCGATCGGTTAACAGAGACTTCTAGTGGCCCGGGCTGATAAGATCCAAGACATCCTCGTGTAGGACCAAGAGATACGTACTTTGTGTGAGGTCTTATGGGTATGAGAATGTGTGAAGGAGCACTTCGAAGGATTCGAACCACCCACTTGCATGGACGATCTGTGTTGCATGTGTACACCGGATTATCCTTCTCGGAGACTAAGCGGGTTTATTGTCGAGCTATCTACGCCATCGGGCGCACCGTTGTCCTTAAAAGGCACATTGGCTTGTGACAAAAGTCAGTTCTGGGTTAGCTAACCCGAAAGGATATATATCCTCGTTCTTATGAAGCTGGGGCTGCAGTCTATTGCATCTATTGAACTTTGATCGCAAGTTCAAGGCCTCGAGTCTTTTATGCAGCTAGAGATGATCGGGTTTCGGGATCAGCCTGGCCAATGAGACCTACATGTAGAAATTCACTCAACCGCATTTCACCATTAAAAGTTTAAAGGGTTACATTTCTAAACTTACGATGTTTGTACAAAGTAGGAGAATGCTATATCGTAGCCCTGGAGGTATCATCGTGATTATGTCACTTCCAAAATGCAACAAGTCAATTATCTAGAAGCGACCAGTTCGCACTCTGAAACACTGGTTTGATGATGTGCTCTGCCACCGCAAAATTGAGAGGGAAAGGACCAAAAGGATCATCCTGCTGAAACGAGTTAGACTGTGTTTACATTATTTTCTCCGCTTTGGAAACTTTCAACGGTGATGATCATTGAGTGATCTATGCGCTTCAGTCTACATCGTACTTTGTATATTTGGAAGATTGCGGAAGAATAGCCGGATACGCTATTTTACGGCCCAGAGCCAAGGCAGCCGACAACTGAGCTGTCAGGTAGGGTTGCCACCCTGGGGATCTCTATATGCCTAGACTTGACAGCTTCAAGGACGGGCAGCAAGGAGTTGTTACCAGTCAACTCCGCTCTTGTCCGTTCTTTGTAATCTCGATTAACCCGCATGATAATTCTCCGACGTAGGATGACGTGCAGGCCAGCACAGGGGGCATACCTACTTACATAGTTTGTGATAGATCCAATATCAATCAAACCCCCACCTCAAAGGGGGAGGCGTTGTCAATCGTCATCTACTACGGAGTACTCCGTAGCTAACGTTGTGTTAAGACGGGCTGTTAGGATATGACAATTGATACGGAGTACCCATTGGTGATACCTTCCGCAAGCTAGCATTTTTGATACAATAGAGAAATACTTGGTAAAGTGAGCACAGACACTCTGCAGCATCCAAAAAACAGGAGTATGTCGATCACCGTGTAAACGACATTTGCACCCACCCCGGCAACGGTATGATCCATAAGCGGGGGAGTTACAGTCAATGATGTGCAAATCAATTTCTCCTACAACATAGCTTTGGCCTCTCCTATTCCTATGGTAGATGGTTAAGCGCTAATGAGTGGGACGAATACGATAGACCCGCCGGAGTCCAATGCAGGCGCGACGAGGGAGATCAGCAGTCCAAAGCGAAGCGAGCCATACCAATTGGACCAAGGGCCTTTTGGTTGACCCAGTTGTGGTATAAGCTCGGGAGGTGCCTACCATGTCGCTTATGTTGTAGGCATAAAATCTCCGTTGGAGGAGTGATCGTCAAAACTCCGCTGGTGCGTCTAGAGGCCACTCCGTTCAGGACATCCGAAACCGAGGACCAATTTTGGTTGATGATCCGGTGTTGATCACGGACGGCAGCGGTTAACAGACTTGGGTTTAGAACTGGGGTAAACCCTGGGATGGTTGAAGAGAAATTGCGTCATTGCAGAATGATTTGACAAAAGAAGAAGTCTCCGATGGTTTTCCAGAATTCTTCTCCAGAACCAAATCTTTTGACAGGGGGAAGCCGTTTGGAGGATCGACACAGAAATTTGCCACTGTTTCCAGGAGCGTGGTCTTTGGTCAATATTGAGTGGGTATACGGCCAGTGGATAAAGGAGCCGCCTGTAATCACGTGCCTTGTCCGCAATTAGTGTTAGCGGAGATTGAGTTCCTCCGACCCGAAGTAAACCCACCAGGCAACCTTGTTATCACCACTCACGGATCCAGATTTCTCTGGAACGTCGGGAGTAATTCCCAAGGTTGGTGGATTGGTGAATTTGCCGAAATATTTGAGTGTCGCGAGTCCATGGGAAAGAGGTGGATGGGAACCCAATCGGAAGAAGCAAGATTTAGAGTCATAGCTATAACCTTGGAAGTTACGGAGTACAGAAAAAGAGGTTCATAAGTCAAAAGGTTAATAAATAACATAATTTATGTCTCCGTACTTCGTACTCTATTGCTCCATAATAAATTAATTAATCCGATTTCAGGATCATATAGATCCCTTAATTGGATTGTAAAGCCGATCGGATATCCGTGTTCTGTCCGAGAGTACCACAATTGCATTGAAGTACCGAGGTTATAGTATATAAAGTAGATTCTACATACTATTTAGTACGTAATTCTCTGTACTCCATACTTCGTATAATAGTTAATAATAGATGGAATATAGTAAGATGTTTCGTAAAGGAGTGACACTAGTAGTTCACTATATACCTACAACATAAGGCGGATAATAAGGGGTGCAACGCTAACTTTGCCGTAAAAAAAATATATCAATTAATTCAGGGGATCTCCACCTTCAATTCCATGGTTGAAAGTGGAACTTATTGTACTAGTGAGATCTTGACCAATTCCATTTTTTTGACCATTTTTTTTCTTTTGTTTTACTTTTTTCTCTGCTTTAGTTCCCATGTGTGTCCACTCTAAACGTGTGTACAACATATACTCTACCCCCCTGTTCAGCTCCATCTTTCTCACCTAGGCTTCTTCTATACATTACCTCTTGAAATGCCTCGATTTAATTATTGTATTTGGATTTAATTGTTTTTATTAATTGTTTTTGTTTTGTTTTTACTTTTGGGATCTCCTTTTGCCTTGTTTTTTTTTTTTTTCCTTCTTTTTCCCCCCCACCTCTTTGTTTCCCATTGAGTCGATGTGGAAACGTTCACCTAGATCGGAGGACAACTCTGGGAACGACTCAACTCAACATCATCTATCTGAGCTGGGTTTCCTAGGTCGATCCAAAAAGTCCAAAAGTAAGTCTGTGTGTGTCTCTCTTCTATTCCCAGTCTTGGACCAAATGTCCTAGATCTGAGACCATTGTGGCCTGTTCTAGATGCCTCATGGGACTAGTCGGACTAAAATCACCCTCCCCTGACTGGTGTTTGCGCCTTTTCTCTCTCTTCTATCCACATCTTCGATCCCTGAGCTTCTGCAAAATAGCCCCAATCTGCTATTAGTCTTGAAGGGCCCCCACCTTGCTAACCAGGTATCTGTGCCGTACAGAATTTCAATCGCAGCCAGAATCATCCTCTCGTTCACCTCTCCGTTCATTTCGCTCATTCACTCGGGGCGTGATAGACAGACCTAGCAGCAGTCTTTCAAACCAGACCAATATTACCCGGCCAAGAGCACCCTCGACTGTCGCAGGATCGATTAATTCTGCTTACCCAGAACCCGCCGGTCAACCTGCGCATTCAAATCGCTCACGAGCATCATTTAATTCAAGATCGGGACGGACCACCGGCCCAATGGAGGTAGATCGCACCCACACACGGAGGGAGAGGACTTTTGTCGGGAGCGAATGCGCCGTCTGCGAGGAACCCTTGGAGCATACCCTACGCGGCGAGCGTGTTCTGCAGCTCTCGTGCTCCCATGTCTCCCACGAGGCCTGTTTCTATGAATTTCTGCGGGAATGCGATGGACAATACTGCCCAACCTGCAATGCGCCATTGGCCCTGGACACAAGTCGCGGTGGAAATGTCTTGGATATCGGTATGTCCCTCGTGCGGGGTTTAGAGGGGCCCAGATGGCTAATGTGATTTTCCCCAGAGAAAATCAGTAATATTGTTCGCTCAGTGACGTCGCATGATACCGCTACAGTACGCAGTGGCTTGACAACACCAACTCCATGGGAGCAGTCGAGTCGACGACCACCAAGTGATTCTGGCAGTCGCTACACCTCGGGTACCCGAGAGCCACCCCCTCACACCTCTTCAACGAGGGAGCCATCTTACAACCCTTCAGCAAAAGAACCATCCTACAACCCCTCGAGAGATTCATCCTATAATCGACGAGATAGCCGTGATACCAGCAGCCAGCGTGAGCGCGTAGAGCGATTGACTGTGGGCTCTAATCCTCGTCAACCCCACTCCCGGAATGGCAGCGCGGCCGGCTCATCGGGCGAATACAATGAAGGCCAACACAGCAGTGGGCGGCGCCATGATTACGATGTTCAAGCTATGGAGTCAGACATCAGTCCTCGCCCCAAGGTCGCCAAGAATCCCATTCCCGCGCCGATAGTCACTGTCCGAAGCGAGTTTCCGACTATGAACCGATCCCGCCAACAGCAGACCCTCACGTGTCTGATTACGGTCGAGGTGCCAGATGCCAATTGGCGTCCTGACTTGGATGATCTACGACATACACCTTCAGGACAGTCGCAGCCGGATGAGCCATACACGGGACGATTTGGTGCACAGGATGCGCGATCGATTCAGCATGAACCGACGGAGAATATGGAAGAAGTGGCCGAGGAATTGCGCAACCGGGTGGACAATTGGCACGGTCTTGAGTTCCAACGGTTTGGCAAGCTGCGCCTCCACGGACACATGCGCGTGGGCAAGGATCGGGATTCCTGGCAGGAGTTGGAATGCTATCTCTTCGGAGAGATGCTTATCTGTGTCAAGGAGAAGAAATCGGCCGACCCCCAATTTGATGCCAACGGGCGACGCAAGCCTGTTCGTTGCAGTCTCAAGGGCTCAATTTTGATTAAGAAGCATTTAAAGTCCATCGAGGTGTCGCCAGATGAACCTATTCTCTCCTTGAACCTTTCTGTCTCCGAGCTGCCTTGTTTCTTCCTTCGCTTCCAGAATCGCAACCAGCTTGAGACGTGGCGTCGGTCTTTGATCGATTTGCACCCGGAGGCCCTTTCACGCCACAATGACTATGACTATGACAACTCGGGAGCGGAGGAGGATGACTACCGTGGTAGCCGTGGAATCCAACGACAGGCTTCTATCAATTCGTCTTACGGCGCAGGAAAATCCATCAATACCGCTATTACAGACTACACCAACCCCGACTACGCCCACCCCGACGCAGAATTCCCTGCAATCAACACTGTTCATATTCCCCTCGATCTTGTTGTGGTCATTCCGGTATCCTCGTCTATGCAAGGCCTGAAGATTACTCTCCTGCGTGATGCCCTCAAATTCCTTGTACAGAATCTCGGCCCTCGGGACCGGATGGGTCTCGTGACTTTTGGCTCGAGTGGTGGAGGTGTGCCCCTGGTTGGTATGACCACCAAGTCTTGGGCTGGATGGCCCAAGATCCTCGAATCGATCCGGCCGGTTGGACAAAAGAGTCTCCGTGCGGACGTGGTTGAAGGTGCCAATGTCGCCATGGATCTTCTGATGCAGCGCAAATTCAACAACCCCGTCTCGACCATTCTTCTGATCAGCGACTCTTCTATCTCCGACCCCGAAAGCGTTGATTTTGTAGTCTCCCGCGCGGAAGCTGCCAAGGTCAGCATCCACTCGTTTGGTCTTGGATTGACCCACAAGCCCGATACTATGATTGAGTTGTCTACTCGTACTAAGGGATCTTACTCATATGTGAAAGATTGGATGATGTTGCGAGAATGTGTTGCTGGATGCCTGGGCGCGTTGCAGACAACTTCCCACCAAAACGTCAAGTTGAAGCTCCGCCTACCTGAAGGGTCACCCGCCAAGTTTGTTAAGATTAGCGGCGCTCTTCACACCACAAAGCGTGCAACTGGCAAAGATGCCGAAGCCGCACTGGGAGATCTCCGATTCGGTGACAAGCGCGACGTCTTGGTTCAACTTGTCATCCAGCCCGATAACGCCACGCAGGACAACATGCCGCAGGATCCATGGGAGAGCCTAGTCTCTGGATTGGAGGCTCTCGGCGGCGGTTCTGATGGCGATGAAAGCCGAGTTCTGAGTGTTGAAGAGGTCCCATTGATCCAGGCTGATCTAACCTACGGCGACCTGCTCCGTGATGGCCATCTCACCCACTCCCCCCGCCCTTCACTCCTGGCCATTACCATGTTGCCCCCTAATCCTCGGGCCAAGGGTCACCGATCCTCGACCCCTCCAATTCCTCCCCACCCCTCGATCGTGCAGCGCCGCATGGAGCTGCTCACTTCCGACATGTTGACCCGTGCTCTCACTCTGGTTTCTCGGGGTCAGCATGATCGCGCGATGCATCTCCTCAACGAAACCCGCAGCATCCTCAAAGGCCTGGGCAAGGGTGGCCTGCCACCTCTGCCCCAGGGTGCTTCCCGATCCGACGGCGATGCCGACAGCCGCGGTGACACCCCAGTCTCGGCCTCCTCTCCTAAATCGTCTACCTTTAGTGGAACCCATTCATCCGCTTCCGATACCAACACTATCACACCACCCTCTGCGGTCGATGCTCAGACGATGATTGCCCTGAACGCAGATCTAGAATCGTCCTTGGAGTGGATCAACCACCCGGCAGTCTTCGGGCGTGATTCACGCAAGGCAGTGCTACAGAGCATTGGTGTGATCTCCTCACAGCGCGCCTACACCTTCCGCACTCCATCCGAAGCTCACTGGGCCCAGCGCGTCTCCGGTGTGCGTCGTTTGACGGAGCGATCCCAAGACTGGCGCGAGACTGGCGACGATGCTTTGACGGAGGAGTAGGGAGTCAACCCTCTACAACTCAGCACGTCTTTTTCTTCGTCTTTCTTTGATTTTTGAAACGTTCTCCCTTGTCTCATATTCCCGACTTCTACATACATACCGAGTCGACGTATTATTTCCCCTCTGCTTTTTCCCCCTTTGCGATTACTTTTACCATCCCTATGATACCACTTTGTTCCCATGACTACGCAACATGATACCAGGGGCTTTGTTGTCGATGTGTTTCCGCTGTATTTGGACATAACATCTCTGTTTCTATGTAATTGCTCTGACGGTCTCGGCTATGGTGCGCGGGTGGGATGGGGTTCTGTCGGTTTTCTTTTTAATTGTTTGAACATGTGACGATTTACCGGACTTGTTTTTCTTTTTTTATACACATGTGCATCCAGCCTTACTAGTTTCTCTGAACCTATTAGTTGCCTGGGGATTAGTACATACACACCTCATTGAAACTGTTCTTTGCTTCCAGCCATATATCTCAAGTGGATTGACTCGTGGACCTAGTTATGTATGTATTGTGAGAATTTCTGTAGAGGAACGGTAAACGATGTCAAAAGATAGTGACTTCAATGTTAATTCGAAGAAGCAGCTAGGATATCCTCACAGTGGGGGATTTTGGAGACATGACGTTGCTCACAGGCCGGATGTCACGCGTGGACGAAGAATGGGGAAAGTGGCTTATCGCCGACTACTGATTCTCTCAGATCTTCAACTTGCAACTTCCCGCGGGGAAGGTCTGGTTTACCTAGATCATTGCAAATTGTCAAATTCTCTTCTTGACAACATTTCCATGAGCTAGACAGGCTCTCGACCATGCTCCGTCAATCTATGGCGCGCGCTTTCCGCAGCGCATGCGCATACCCTTTCTTATCGCCGAAGCCCTCCACCCACCTCAAGGCCGCCTCACTCGCAGCTCGAACATCACGCTCATACAATACCGCAGGGCCTCAATTCTTTACTAATCGGGCTACCTCTCTGCGCTCTCAGATTGCACCCCTACGACAGCCTCGACTCCAATCACAACTCTCATTTCACACACCTTCCCCAAGCAACCAGCGCACCTTCTCCTCAAGCCACCGATCCGCCTACCAACAAAGGCAGAACCAATACAACCGATTTCGAGGCAGCGCCCGCCAACCTATCGTTTTCCGCTTAGTGCAGAATGCAAAACCGCACCACTTTGTTGCGATTGGCGTGGGGATATCCGGACTTTATCTATACAACACGGAGATAGTGGAGATGACCGGTCGACGACGGTTCAACTGTATATCTTGTCACCAGGAGCTAAACATGGGCGAAGAGAGTTACCGCGAGGTTCTCAGTTCCGAGCGTGGGAAGATCCTACCCCAAAACCATCCTCTTACTCGTATGGTTGATGGTGTGCTGCAGCGCTTGATCCCGCAGGTGGATATTGAGGGCGCTGATTGGAAGGTTCATGTTATCAAGAATGATGGAATGGTTAATGCTTTTGTGCTTCCTGGGTAGGTTCTACTGGGTTTATGGTTGATGTTTCGGTCCTATCGTTGTGGACTTGGCTGACATTGCTTTGCTTCGCTTAGGGGAAAGGTATTCGTCTACACGGGTATCTTGCCCATTTGCAAAGATGAGGATGGCTTGGCTGCTGTACTGGGACATGAAATTGCTCATGTCGTGGCTCATCATCCTGCAGAGCGTATGAGCAACAGTTTCATTAAGCTGGGAGCTGTGTTCGCTATCTCTTTCTTGTTCGATGTCTCCGGGCAGTTTTCTTCTTTCCTTTTGAATCTCATGTATAGCTTGCCAAACTCGCGGACGCAAGAGGTATGTTTCGTTTTTGGTTTTTACTACATGGTCACTTGGCTAATCTCTATCTACAGGCTGAAGCAGACAATATTGGACTAAGTATGAACCCTTGAAACTATGGATCAACTTGCGATTATGCCACTAATGATTGTGATCAGTGATGATGTCCAAAGCCTGTTTCAACCCTGAGGCAGCTGTCAATCTGTGAGTCAATATGACAGAATATGTTAGCGACTTAGGCTTTGCTGATAATTGCTAGATGGGCTCGCATGCATGAGCAAGAGAAACAGGCCCCTCCACAGTTCATGTCCACTCACCCATCGGTAGGTTTGGAGAATTCATATAAAGGGATCAAAGCTAACTTACAGTAGAGCTACAACCGAATGGAAACCATTCAAGGATGGTATGACCGTGTCCCCGGCGTTGACTTATTTGTTACTAATTCGATCAAATAGGCTCGACAAGGCCGAAGCAATCTACCAGGAGAATGGGTGCGACTCTGTCAAAGGATATAGTAAGAGCTTTCTTTCTTTGTTCCATATACTAAATTGCTAACTTCTTTAGTGCCTGGTTTCCGAACCGCGTATAGTTCGCATGTCTCGTATTTGAGATGATCAACAGAGCATCCAAATCAATAGTGCATTGATGGTAACTGTGTATTAGTATTAGCCAATGTATTAATAAACATGAGAGCATCTCCCATTATAGACCTCATGAAACAATAAACAAAAACATACATAAAGGTAGGATATTAGAGATTGTAATGTTGCTGATCTATAGCAACGCCAAGCAACTGGGCAACTGGCGGGCTCCCCCTCGTGCAAACCGAGCAAACCCACCACCGCAGCTCCAAAAATTGCCCGGCACAACAGCTCCATCCACTCCTTCACATTCAACCCATTTGATATCCAGTCGCATCTCTTTCGGAAGCGACCTAATATCATGTCGCTATCAATCCCAGGTCCCTCCCAGGCGGGGCTCTTCAAACCCGGGTACCAGAGGTGAGTTCGAAAAGTCGGGGAGCCCGAAAACCCACCGCAATAGGGACCTCCTTATCTGCCGCCCCTCCAAAAAAAAGAAGCAAAGCAATTGACTGATTGTGTTTCTTGCTGTATAGCCACGATGCCGAAGATGGAGCCGTTATCCGTAACATCGAAGCCTGCCAGGCTATCTCAGGAACCGTCCAGACCTCCCTGGGTCCCTATGGCCGTAACAAGATCGTCATCAACCACCTGCAAAAGATGATTCTGACCTCCGACGCGGCTACGATCCTTCGTGAGTTGGATGTTGTTCACCCCGCTGCTAAGCTGCTTGTTATGGCGAGTCAGCAGCAGGATGCGGAGATGGGTGATGGTACCAACTTGGTTATTGTGTTGGCCGGTGAATTGTTGAAGAAGGCAGAGGAGTTGATCCGTATGGGTCTCAAGACGAGTGATATTGTTTCCGGATACGAGAAGGCTCAGAACTTTGCCTTGTCCGTTCTCGAGGGTATGTTTTCCTCCCCCATGATTGGTTTGTCGATATACAAATGAGGGAATGTTTCTGATTCCATCTAGAGCTCGAGGTCGACAGACTCCAGGATATGCGATCGGCAACAGAATTGAGCAAGGCTCTCCGCACAGTTGTGGCTGCTAAGCAGTCCGGTACGGAGGATGCTTTGGCTGCGTTGGTTGCGGAGGCGGTTCTGGCTGTGTTGCCCAAGAACCCCCTTAACTTCAACGTCGACAACGTGCGAGTCGTTAAGATCATGGGTGGTAGCTTGGAACAGTCGAAAGTGGTGAAGGGTATGGTCTTCCCCCGGGAGCCCGATGGAACTATCAAGAAGGCCAGCAAGGCCAAGGTCGGCGTTTTCAGCTGCCCCATCGATATCAGCCAGACCGAGACCAAGGGCACAGTTCTCTTGAAGAATGCTAAGGAGATGATGGACTTCACCGCGGGTGAGGAGGATCGTCTGGAGATTGCCATTAAGGAGCTATACGATTCTGGCCTCCGTGTGGTCGTTGCCGGCTCCACTGTCGGCGACTTGGCCATGCACTACCTCAACCGTTTCAATATCCTGGTCATTAAGATTCTGTCTAAGTTCGAGCTCCGCCGCTTGTGCCGCGTTGTCGGTGCCACACCTCTGGCTCGCCTGGGTGCCCCCATGCCCGATGAGATGGGCCAGATTGACGTTGTCGAGACGACCGAGATTGGCGGTGACCGAGTGACCGTCTTCCGCCAGGAGGATGCCAACGCCATCACCCGCACAGCAACCATTGTCCTGCGCGGTGCCACCCAGAACCACCTGGAGGACGTTGAGCGTGCCATCGACGACGGTGTTAACGTCGTCAAGGCCATCACCAAGGACCCCCGTCTCGTGCCCGGTGCCGGTGCCACGGAGATCCAGCTTGTCGAGCGCATCTCCAACTTCGCCGACCGAACCCCCGGTCTGCCCCAGTACGCCATCCGCAAGTTCGCCGAGGCCTTCGAGGTCGTCCCCCGCACACTCGCCGAGTCTGCCGGTCTCGATGCCACCGAGGTTCTCTCGCGTCTGTACACCGCACACCACCGCGCCGCTGCTCCTGGCGAGTCATCCGAAGAGGATGACGAGGAGGAGGGTAGCTCATCTGAAGAGGAGGAACCCTACTGGACTACGGGTGTGGACCTTGAGATTGGCGACTCCGACGGCACTCTGGACACTGTCGAGGAGGGTATTCTAGATCTTATGGCCACGAAGATGTCTGCGATCCGTCTGGCCAGTGAGTCTGCCCGGACGGTGCTGAGCGTCGACCAGATTATTGTCTCGAGACAGGCAGGAGGCCCCAAGCCTCCGCAGGGTGGCGGTGATTGGGACCAGGACTAAATGTTTAAAAAAATGAGCGATGAGGGTCTGGATGCTGTTTGATAATATGAGGCCTATAGATCTTCGTACGATGATACGCTTTTTGAGAACCATTGTAAATTGGACTATCTTTCTCTTCCAGTAATTTTTCTTTGCTCTCTTCGTATATACCTACTACAAATCTCTTTTATAATGAAAGAATTCAAAGGATATCAAAATTGAGTTGATCATACGTTTGGTGCTCCGGCTGTGTTTGCCTGATAGATACACAAGTATGCCTAAGGCATTATAAATCACGTGCCACTCCCAGATTTTCCTCGAGTGTTTCCTTTCGGTCTTGATATCAACGAGCCGCGATTCCAATCCCCATCACTTTCCTCTAATTTCCCTTTCTCTCGAGCTTCCCACCTCTTTCTCACCTCCGCCATGTCCTTCTCCACCCAGGCCGCAGCCCGCTGCGCCAGACAGCTCTCCGGCTCCGTCCGCCCGTCCTCCCTGCGCATTGCGACCTCCGCTACATACCTCACAGCCCGTCGCACACCCAGCAGCCGGCGATGCGAATCCACCCAGGCAGCCCCTGCTGCTGCCGCCACCAACCCCAAGATCTCCCAGATTGTCGACCAGATCAGCACATTGACGCTGCTCGAGACTGCCGACCTGGTGTCTAGCTTGAAGGTGTGTTTTTGACAATCTACACATAATGCATGGATTTCCAAAGAGGACATGCGGACATTGGATATATCTATCTATCTACATTATCCCTTTACTCAATTGAGGTATTTGTCCGAACCATTGCTAACCAAAACGTTTGCACAGACCCGCCTGAACATCCCCGACCTTCCCGTTGGCGGCTTCGCCATGGCCGGCGGTGGTGCCCCCGGTGCGGCCGCTGCCGTTGAGGAGGAGGAGGCTGCTCCCGCCGCTGCCGAGAAGACCCTGTTCAACCTGAAGCTCGAGTCTTTCGAGCCTACCTCCAAGCCCAAGGTCATCAAGGAGATCAAGACCATGCTCGGCCTGTCGCTGGTGGACAGCAAGAAGTTTGTCGAGTCCGCGCCCAAGATTCTCAAGGAGTCTGTGCCCAAGGAGGAGGCGGAGAAGCTCATTGAGACGTTCAAGGCGCTCGGTGCCAAGGCGACTATGGAGTAAAAGATGTGTTATTATTTAGGCACGGGGGAGTGGATAGATTGGGAAGAGAGTCGGGGAAGATGTTGTTGCTTTGGTCTTTCCCTCTCTTTTTCTCTCTTTGGATTCTTGCTTTTGAGAGATCTTGTTGAACATTTATTGTGTTTGGCCTGGCAGATCAAGGCAAAATGTACATTATACGCATTGTGTTCTGGGACCGTCTGGTACAGAGGTCTCGTTTGGTTAATTGATGCATTTAGCATATCGATGCTATTCGATTACTTTTAAAATCAGTAAATATATTTAAATGCTAACTTTGGCGTATAGTCAAGTTATTGGTAGATCTAAATATCGGAGTAGCTTCGCGAAGTTCCCGATCTCCAAAACTTCAACCAGAGAAAACCTCCCCCTCACCCTACCACCCCCACGATTTCCCCTCCGCACTCTTTTCCATGGCCAGACCATTGATTCTGCCGTTGCAATGGCCCCAATTACATCAAGCTCTCTCTCCAAAAGCGCACGCTTTACGTTACCACGGCGCGCAAGCTTGCACCGCTCGAGCTATCACCAATGGCAACACAACCACATTGAAACGACCCTTCCACACCACTCAAACACGATCAGCTCTCGGGCGTTCATCCCAAGCACCATCTATTCGAAAACAAGAGAGGAGGGGGACAAGAGTGGTACCCGAGAATGTGTTGGTAGCCCGAGGTGGAGTGAAACTAGACCGTGATGGGTTTTGGAATGGTTATTGTATTGCGCATGTTGAACCAACGTTGGCTGAGTTTAAGCAATTCACACGCCAACTTTATGAGACTTACTCTTTCATGTTACCGCCGGGTGTCAACTTGGCGACGTTCGGATCCGTGGGTGAACAGTTGATCAGGCTATCGCACTCGCAGCGCCCTTCCGCAAGTCTTGTTCGGAGTATCTCAATAGGTGAGTTTAAGTCTCCAATCTGCATAGAGCGGAAGGCTACGGATTGGATATTTTGATACTAACCATGCACTTTGTTATAGATGTCGATGCCATTTATCGAATCGCGCTCATTCTTGCCGAGCTTCAAAAAGGCCAGTTCATCTATCAATGGGCGTTGACCAGCTGCGCAAAAGCGCATTCGCGCCGAGCCCTTGTCGACCTCGTGAACCGGTATATCAGCACGGACGGTGTGGACATTTACCAGAACACCGAGTGCATAGCGCAGGTCAAAGACTTGGCTCTCAACGACGAATTCCCTCATGCGATTATGCTATATGCCAAACTGCTCATCTGGCGCGGTGAGAACGGACAAGCCGCCCGGCTTCTAGAACAGAAGATTCTACCATATTTGCAACCCACGACCAAACACCCTCCCCTTTGGGAGGATATAAGGTTATCGGACAACTTCGATTCTCCCTGGCGGATGTACGCTGTTGCTGTTGAGAAGGAACAGGGTCTAGAGGGCATCCAGAAGGCCACGCAGCGAGCAGCCCTGGAGTTCCACGACCCAGTCGCCTTGACTGACTTTGCCATCTCCGTGTTGGAAACTGAGGCCCCCAACAAATACGAGGCGTACGAGGCGTACATGGCTGCTGCTGCGTTGGCGGGACACGCTCCGGCCTGCTTTCACCTTGCCAATTTATATTACCGCACCTTTCAAGGCGAATTTACCACCGAAGCAGAGAGAGTCGCCAAGAAGAGGGAAGTGGCCAATGCCGCGCGCAGCGCCTGGTTGAGACGCTTCGAGCCTATAGCAAGTTGGGTTCATACGCTGTTCAACCAACCCATGGATCACAAGACATACCGCATGCTCGCGATGGATTGGTACGAGCTTGCTTTTGATCAGGGAAACAGTGAGGCTGGGTATATCCTGGCCATGCTCTTTCGAGAGGATGGCGATATGGAGAAAAGCCGTGAGGTGTACAAGATTACTGCTGAACAGGGTCTTCCGACCAATTTGTCAAAGAGAGGCCTGTTGGAGATGAGGGATAAATGGGAAGACCGGACCTTCAACCCTGGTCTGCCTCCTAAGCTTTTGAGGCTTGCTTAGATGGCTTTGGGCTGTTGTGTTTATATCTCTGCTGTACAATTTTTTTTTTTGCCTGTATCACTATGTATCATAGCAATGTTTCTTTTTGGGCCTTGATTGATACCTTTCCTTCTATATATTCCCCCGCTCCCAAGCATTCATGTCTCATCTCGCCTATTCCATGCTGAACTGACAGAAAGAGAAAGCAAAAGGTCAGAACTGTCGTTATGATTGAAGAAAAGAATCAAACGCCATTCCTGTTTCATCCCCGAATCTAATTTTCCTTTCTTCGTGCCAAACCCCACAAAGCCATTCACAGACTCCAAACCAACAACCAAGATATTCGAAGGATGATAATATCAACACAACAGAAGAAGAGAGAAGAACCCCCAAAAAACGACAAGAACCCCAACCAATCATCGCCTCTTCTTTCCCTTCCCCTTCCCATGCCCCCTCGTTTTCAACTCCACAAACCCAAGCTCCTTCAATCCCTCCGCAAGAATCGACGAATCCCTCATCCCAGGAAAATCCTTCGCAGGATAAACACGGAACGGATCAGACCACGCCTCCGCAAGAATCGGCATCGACTGCCCCGTATCCTCAACAGAGCCCCAATTCATCAATCGGAATTGGAGCCTGTAGAGACCCGCCGAGCGGATCGAGAGATCCGCGAAGATGAAAAAGGTAGCCGGTTGGTGGAGACGCGAGGCGGCGTGGTTGTAGACGTCGTGGGCGGTATTGTCGAGATGGGGATCGGTTATGGAGGATGGGTGTGCGGGAGCGGAGTTGGGATCTGGGTCGGCGTCGACGTAGAAGGGGGACATGAAGGCTTTGCCGGATAGTAATGGTGTTGAGAAGTTGTCGTCTGTGCGGGCGACGCCATCTGTTTCTCGTTCTCTCTCTCCTTCTCGTTCTCTATCGCGATTCCGGTCCCAGTCTTGATCTCGGTCGTGATCGCGCTCGCGCTCCCGCGGTTGTGTTTCTGTTGGTTCGGCCCATGGTAAGGAGGGCGAGACGGGGAATAGTAGACAGCCCACTGTGAAGCGGGGGTCCTGGAGGAGATCCCGGTCTTCTTGTGAATTTGAGTCGAAGTCGGTGAGGAGGATCTGGACGATTGGGGGTGGGTCGACGGGGCGGCGGTCTCTGTCGCCTGCGCCGCAGGCTCGTGCGGCGATGGGTTGTTGTCGGATGTGGAGATGGTATCGGGATTGGGTGGATGGTCGTCTGGGTGGTGGAGGGGGTGATGGTGATTGTGATTGTGGCTCTGGTTCATGGTGGAGGAGTTTGTCGAAGCCGTGTGGCATTCTGTAGTTCGCGTTTCGGGATTGCGGTTTCGGGTCTTGGTGGGTGCTGGGTAGTATAGGATTGAATGCGTGGGTTGCAGCGCTTTTATCCGACCAGACGGGGCTGGGCATGGCCGTGGAACTGCTGCTGTGTCTATATGAAATTTCGTGGTCAGAATGTGGTTCTTATTCGAATGTATCCCTGCGTTGTGTAACCTGTCACAGATGTGACATGAGAGGAGGAAGGAGGGATTGTGTTCGAAATTCTCAAGCCAAAGACATCGCATCAGGATGGACCACTGACAGATAGAAGTGGTTCAATCGACAGAAACGAAAAGAGAGGGACTTTACTGGGACTCCACGTCGTATGTCCAGCTCCGGTGACTATCATAGTCACGGGCATGGCTCGAGGTTGGGTATGTTCTCTCTTCGTATGGGTTGTAGTAACCACGGGCATCAGAGCTTCCCGGAGGTTGGTGATAGGATCGCAGATGGAGCGCTTGCGGCATAGGTTGTGTGTTCATGTAGGCATTGTCGGACGAGAGCATATATCGTGGATCTGCGCTTCTCTCCGGAACAACCAAGGCAGGAGGCCTTGGACCAAGGGACGCTCCGACCATAGGGTGCTCATAGCTCGTGCTCTGTATAATCTGTCGAGGCTCATGTCGGTACGGATAGGGCAAGGGTATCGGGCCGCGGTGTTGAGTGCGGGGGACCGAATCGATATATGGCCGTTCCGGCGTGGAATTCCCACATTGCTGTGGCGGTGGCCTCGACATCTATCGGAAACTTGCGCAAGTGCCGACAGGTGGTCCTTGTGTTATAGTTTAGATATTGCCGTATTCGGGTTGGTATCAGATCGAGGCATCGAATACAACCCAGCGGTCAGATAATCACGATCAGAACAGAGTCAAAGTCCCAGATAGTATTATATATGTTGGGGATGGGAAAGAGAAACATATCCGGTCAATGAGGGCATCTGATGGTCCGCATGTGAATGCAGCTGGTTAACAGCAATATCTCATGACACAATTTCGGTATCCTTTTTCTTCGCTGGCTCCGTGAAATTGGATCTATACTTCCTTCGGGGGGATTCGTTGGCCACCGATTTTCCTCAGGAACCGGGAACAAAACGTCCACGCACAGCAAAATTTAAACACCCCTGTCAAGTTTCCCCGGGCTATCCAATCACCCGAGGGCTGGGATATGACAGGAGCCAAGTGGGAATGGCGAATTGCATCAACAGTATGGATCCCTTTCTTTTTGTTTTAGTAGAAACTCATCCTTGATGCTCTACGATTGGCGTATCCACCGATGATGAGAAAGGGAAGAGCCGGGGGAACGGGCCGAGCGGGTTTTGCCACGAGAAGGGGAGACCAGTATTAAGTGGGCGTCAGTATTAAGTGGGCGTCTGTGGACATGGGCTGTGCCTCCATGGGAATGGTGCGTGGAGGAGGATTAACTGGGACTCTCCTGGCAGAAAATGATGTCCGGCCCGGTTCTCTGATCTCTGGAAAGACGGTCAGGCAATCGAATATAAGTGGAAGTCGTTCTGCATTGTGGAACTCGCGTGTACAACTGGGAAGCTTCTCTGTGAACTGGGTGCTCTGAAGTGTCTCGTGTCGCCGGTGTACAAGTCCGTTTTCGACCTATCGGGCTAGTGCGAATGGGGCCAAAAAAAGACAAAGTAACAGAGTCCTCGTGGAAAGATGCCTTTTTGCGAACCGGGGCTACAAACTTGTGGGCCACAGATTGGACCATAGGGGGTTATCGTGCCTTAGCCCGTCTCAAATGTGTAAACAGTACTCCGTACGGTGTACGGTGTAACAGGCTTGTGAGAAAACTCAGATCTCCGCTTTATAAAGTACTCCGTACAGAACAACAAATTTGCCGGATGCTGACCGACAAGCCTTCGGAGCAACGAGGTATCCAGTTCAAATCCCAAGTGGCTGGAGCTGCGAGCTGCCGTGAGGCGCGGTGATTGGCGTTCAACCGTTGCTTGGCAATCCTTCAGAAAAAGATCTGCCCCCCTACCCCCACAATGGGGAATCTGGAAGTGCTGGGATTCACCGTGATAGTGGGCCGATCTTGGGTGTACGATGTAGTCCCAGATACTTTCGAGGCAAGTAGTAACCCTTTCGGAGGGAAACCGAGAAGCATATAGATCGGCAAGTTCCTCAGATAGCTTTCCTGAAATTTAAAGTCAATTAACATTCCAGGACAACGCTCTTACCATTGCATTCTCCCCGCTCGTAGGTCTTCAAGTGGACATTGACACCAATTCCAATTGGGGATGGGGCAATTATCGTTTACTGTCAGATCGATCGGCGAGGCAGCTACAATTTGGCGAAGGCGAACGGCAGGTTAGACAAGTTCAAATGGGTCCAAGCGCTAGAGACAATCTATTGTAAGAATAACAGATCCGAGAATTGTGCCTACATCTTATGTGGCGTTTTGCCGATGCTGTGGGCCATTTTTGAGGATTTTGCAGCCCGATGTTGGAAGAATTGGTCTGTCATAGGATTGGAATTCTTCGTCCCGCAAATGCAGGAGTTCGTCAATGGCGACCATTCGAGCTCTAAACATCATCGGCAGATGTAGGGATTCAGATCCCGTGAGCTTCCACGTCAGTTCTCATGCGTCGAACTTAGACTAGGCGGAGATCAATGACCTCACTGCAGTTCTTTGTAAATGAGAATCGAACACCCTATGATGTAGGGCGACTGAGAACCGACACAAGTCAAAGTTTTTCGGTATGCACCCCCACATAGAGGTGTGGCTGCGTTTGGCTGTTCCTTGTAGTTCCCTACAATACCGAGATGACTGCCCCCTTGAGAGCCTTGCGGATCTGCGGTTGCTGCGTGCTGCAGGAATGAGTGCAATAGTCCGTGTCTCCATCTGTTCATCGTCACACAACCGGCCAGAATAGGAAGGGATATTCTGACAAACTACCATTCGTAGCCAGGCACATCCAAGATTTCGAAGGCTTCAATATGAAATGGGTGGCGTGCGATCCATCCTTACCGACGATCCTGATAGTGCAAATGGCGTGGGTGGCTTGACTCTCTGTGGTGTGGAAAATCCGCCTCAGTGCGTGTCACTGGTAAACTCATAACATCCCCGGAGACACCGAGACAATCCAAGCTGGGATCAGGATCCCTGTCAACTGTCGATTACAACTGTTGATTGGCAGGCATAGGATCATAGGGACACCTCCGTTGGATTTTAGACGAAGGAGTAAAATATCATAAAGCTTTTTATTGAGAATATGGGAGTGATATTGGAGATGGAAGTGTGGCTGAAAAGGATATGCCTGGCGACTACAACGTTGTGGTACATCTAGATTCTGCCGAAGCACATCACCGCTCAGTCATATCAACACCTGGCCCCGGGAGCATCCACCTGGGCATGATTCATCTCAGTGTCCAAATGACATTTTCATCGTTTCATGATTTCATGGGTATTTCACACTGTAGGGGAATACTCAATACTCTAGATCTGCACTTGGATCTACATCCAGATAGTAAGGCCCCCAGCAATTTCGAGAATGAGTGCGTATGCCAGTGGGATAAAATGTTGGTTGGTCAGGATTGGCTGAGAGCGTGAGATGCATCAAGGCACCAAGAGGGCCATCTGAAGGTGTTGGACCACAATCAATGACCCCGTTGTTCTGTCCGACATAAAGTCCGAGGAGTTCCCCGAAATGACGGTCCCAAACCACGATGTAGCCTGATGGCTGCCATGGTTGGTCTGGACTATACCGCATGTCCATGCAACCGAGTTGCATCAAATGTAAGTTATTGATTCCCATTTGTGGAACTCCATGAATGATCAAACGAGCCCGAATAAGGCCTAGGGTAGATGGGGGCATAGGCTCAGAGGAATCACGCAGTGCCGGAATTTGGGAGTTAGAAAATTCAATCGGTGAGTGTTCTGGTACCCATCGAAGTTCGAGCGATTCATATTTGGTGCGAAATTCATCAAGCCGTGCCGGATTGTAATCAAGATGAGTGACGATCTTTTGGGACTGTCCGTCGTGGTCATTCAACAGATCTACAACCCTGCCCAGTGCAGCCGGAGACTTGGAGCAGCCATGAACGCGAAGCTCTGTATACAACTGTCTTCCATGATCAGAGCCAACAGATTTGTTATCAATTTTGGGCAAAGGTTGATCATCAAATGTCTCGTAGACTGATTCTGAAGGGTCCAAAGCCGTACTGAAATGGGTTTGACTCTCAGGGCTCCATTGAACACCCATCCTTCGATCCATATCCTCAAGACAGAACCCAAGTAGTTCGAGGTAGTCCTCTCCCCTCACTAGGTCAGGTAGTGCCTCACCCACAATAAGGTCACTAAGGAGGAATCGAACATTCGGGAACTTCGCAATGAATGGCAGGTTATCACCGCAATGTTGTGAGATATCTTCCAACCATTTCACTGCTGTTTCAGACTGAACATTTTGGATCAGACCCAGCACTACCTCATAGGCAGCGATGCAGCTCTGATAGTTTTTAGGTTGAATGTTCTTCAAGAAATGAGACCAGCATCTGTGAAGCACTTCATCATTTCCAAGCCTAGCAAGTAGACAGATATAATCCTGGGCTTTGCTTTCATAATTGAATTGGTTGCCAATTTGATCAGTAGATTGCGTCCAGAACAAGGTATTATGCAAATTGTGATTTTGGGTCACGAGTTCTCCTTCGCCTGTAATCTCAGCAACGATGGGATTGGGGTCATAGTATGGGTCCTCAAAAGCTTTGCAGTCAAGTGCTTCAGAGCAAGATCGGACTATCTGCAAACTTTCATGGAGACTTAGGGCTGGAACGCCCATGTGGTGGTGGCAATCCAAGAAGTGCCTGAGATCTGAAGGCGAAAGATCAAGAGATGCAAAGCATAATGCTATAGTGTACATCCCAGGCTGGATAGGAAGCTGGAGACGCTTCAGTCTTGCAAACAAGTCACGTAGAACCGACAGGATTTCTGCCGATGTGTTGTTCCGTTGACAGCGCCGCAAAGCGTGATGTAACGGCAAACAGCTACGAGTCTGCAAGATCTCTGCTCCGTGTCTGTCATTGACATATCTATCAATTAAACTCCGCAAGGAAGCGACATCGGCGATGTCGCTATTGGCATCCCACAACAACTCTTGGTTCCGCGATGTAAGCCCCTTGAGGGAAGTCCATAACGGGGGAGGTGGAGTATTTAACTTCCATTCGGTGATAAAAAGTTCACGAAGGTACCCAGATAAGACCTCGTTAGCATTCGAGTCATGAATTGGCTCAGTTGAATCCGTCAGGGCGAATCGAAGCAGTTCAGATGGTGAAGGGTCATGGGGTCGTTTAATTGTTGCGTGATAAAGGCTGCGCACCAATTGCCGTGATAACACATTCCCAGTGCTAAGCCGTCGCCTTGGTTGCAGCAGCAGCAACCGAGTATGCAGCCCTCCCATGTCGACTAGAGTAAAGCTGATCTAACATGTGGAGAAGATAAACACGGGCTGATAAGGGGTGTAAGTCTGGGGTTTGGCCAGCAGATCAAGGGCGGTGTGGGAGGCGGTACTGGACCGCATTCGCGCTTTTATTTCATCTTCAAACAGCTTCCATTTATTATCAACCTAGCTGCCAACAGAACAATTACCGCTTCCTATCCACAGCTGCTGTTGATCTATTGATCAACCCAAGGAACTCATGGTTCGAACCAGAAATGCGGATAAATCCGCGAAGGACGAGGCGAGCCAGGAGCAGTCCATTGAGCAACCGACCGAGAACACGAGCGAGTCTCCTGTCGCAACTTCCGAAAGCAAGGCCGAATCTCAACCAGATGACACAAAGGATGACGGTGCATCCAAAGCGCGTGAGAGAATGAATAGGTTCAAAGCCCTACAGGCTCGAGCAGTAAGTGGTCTTCAAAAATGACTTGCACGGGTCAATAGGCTTGGCCAGTTCAACGCCCTCACATGACTGACACAACATATAGAAATCTGCAACGGAACGCAACTTAAAAGAGACTGCAGCCGAGTCCCAGCGTCTGACCACCGATCCGGCCCTGCTAAATACGTTGTCCCGCAAGCATGCATTCGCCTCCCACAACCTCCTCAAAGCGGACACGGAAGCCGAAGGAGAAGATTTTGAACGCAAGCGCGCATGGGACTGGACAGTGGATGAATCGGAGAAGTGGGATAGGCGCATGGAGAAGAAGCAACGTCACCGAGATGACGTAGCTTTCCAGGACTACACTCAAGATGCCCGGAAGATTTACAAGAGACAGTTGAGAGAGATGGCGCCGAACTTGGAGTCATACGAAAAAGACAAGCTCGCTGCGATCGAGAGAGCCGCGGCTAACGGCGATCTGGAGATTGTGGAGACCGAGGACGGTGAAATGATTGCAATCGATAAGAACGGTAGTTTCTATTCCACTGCGGACTCGACTGGATTTACGGAGAGCAAACCAGATCGGGCAGCTGTTGACAGACTGGTCAACGACATCCAGAAGGCAGAGGAGGTGCGCCTGAAGAAACGCAAGGAGCGCCGTGGTGGTGATGATGACGCGGATGTGACATACATCAACGAGAAGAATAGACAGTTCAACCAGAAACTCGCTCGCTTCTACAACAAGGTCAGTGTTCCCTTGCTCTGTTTCTGTGTGATCGTCTCGCTAACAGTTTTCTAGTACACCACCGAAATTCGGGACAGCTTCGAACGTGGTACTATGATTTAATTTGAATGTGAAATTGATTGCGATATTTTACATGAGTGGAAGTTCCGAGCTATACAGCTTTGCTTGGACAATACATCAATCAACAAGCAGAGATCCCACGCGTTTTCCCCTCTGCCAAAAAAACATTGTTATACAAACATACAAGTCACTTGGTCAGCCAACAGACCTAAAGCATCGTCTTTCGCCAGGCTTTTGTTGCAAGTGCCTCAATCTGTTTTGTTCCGACTGCACCCTTGATGGACTCATCCTCCAATGCCTCGACCACCGCTTCGCTCACAACATCGGCTTTGAGGGGCTTTTCGGCCATAGTACCAAGGAACCCAAGCTTATTCCCGAGGAATGTGTTTAACTCCGAGGCAACAAAGCCACCCATTGCAATTGGCAGCGTGAACTTCCGACTCGGGTCGTACATGAAGCCCGGGCGTATGAAGATGCTTCGCAGGTCCGGGAGGTTGGATGTGATAGCTGCCTCTGCTTCTCTTTTAGTACTGATGTACCTGGCCGGCAGAATCGGTGCCCCGGCCGCTGCAGATATGTAAACGAAGGTCGGAACATGCTCATTAGTGGACTCCTTAGCTAGTGCGATTGCTAAATCACACATGTATCAGCTTTCGAAACAGACTTTAGAACTCTTATACGCACCTGAATCTCGATTCATCAGCTCATAGGTCAGCTGCCTATCTTTCTCCTTTGGTTCCAAAGCCTCGCCCTCTTGTCTTGTTAGAGGGTTCTGGCTTCCAAGCTTAGATGTACTAAAAGCTCGTTGAAGACCACTGAGAATTGGTTCTCTCCCTTGCACAACGCCCTTGTAGTCGGCTTCCAAGAGAATGCCCATTGAGTGGACAACAGCAGAGGCACCATTCAAATGTGGCTTGTAGCTCTCTGGCTTGAGGATATCTGCCTTGGCCCATTCCACGGAGCCTGCCCAGCTGGGCCGTTCTCGAGAATCGGTGACTGTCTCCCACCGGGGTTCACCAGATCGACTAGACAAAGATCAGCATCGTGATCTTCCGTGGATCCATACATAGGCTGGAAAGCTACCTTAATGATGTAACTATCCATCCCCTTGCTGTTGCGGCTTTACAGATTCTGGATCCTGGAATAGCTGGTCAGTAAAATGATATTGATATTTTGCACTGGATGGGCACCACAAACCCAAAAAACCGCTTCCTCCAGCGACAACTAGTCTCTTGGTCGGCATGCTGTAGCTTTGGGATAGCTCCGGAGAATGATATCACTAAAGAATCGGAACAATGGATTTAGGCTCGCAATTGAGACTTTAGAGCTGATCGAGAAAGTATATACCGAGCTCTTCAATAAGCAAAAGAGTTAAATAGTTCAAGGTAATTGTCTCTTGGACTTTGAAGTTAGCGTTCGGCATCATTCGCCGTCGGGCCACTTGAGCCCCGGCGGATTATCTTTATTCCGCGACTTTCTTGCGCCCTTGCTCTGGACAATCCGTGCCCATCTGGTTCTACAATCTACAAGCAACGTACAAGATGGTATCTGCAACAGGAAACAAGCGCGTCAGGGTAAGCTTCAAATTACGGGAAATACCGAAATCAAACTAACACGCTCGCAGGGCGTCTCGGTGTTCCGACCATTTGGTATGTCTGCAAAGGGCGCATTATCGCCAACAGTCACAGGCTAATAAACACAGTATTTGGCAGTATAGCGCACCCCTTCGACCCCGAGAATAAGCCCCCAGGCTGTCCTCCAGACCACACACACAGGTGGGAGATATTCGTCCGGGGAGTCAACGGCGAGGACATCTCCTACTGGCTAAAGAAAGTCCAATTCAAGCTGCATGAGACATACGCCCATAATGTGCGCTCGATCGAGCAGCCCCCCTTCGAAGTTGTCGAAACTGGCTGGGGTGAATTCGAAATCCAGATCAAGCTCTACTTTGTGCCCGAGTCAAATGAGAAGCCCCAGACCCTGTGGCATAGCCTGAAGCTACACCCTTACGGCCCAGATGCGGAAGGAATGAAGGAACGTCGGGAAACCGTGATCAGCCAGAACTACGAAGAGATCATTTTCAATGAGCCCGTTGAACCGTTCTACGAGATCCTCACCGGAGGCTTTGCTGGTGGCCAGCCTGGCAAGAGCAAGGGAAAGAATACCAAGCTGATTGGACAGAGGACGGCGGATATTCCGATGAGTGATGCGCCCGGGAACCCATACAGTCGGGTGACCGAGAGGAAAGAGCTTGATCGCATGGCCGAGGCCACTCAGACAGTTGAGCAGATGATCAGGGAAGAGAAGGAGCGCCTGATCGAGAGGGAGAAGTATCTGGCTCAGCTGCGAGAGAGTGAGGGTGTGCCTGCCAACACGAAGAAGCGGTGATCGCTTCACACGCCTCTCTAAAGCCAAAAACCGAGGCCATCGCTGTGTGGTTGGCTTTTGAGCACCCCTTCAGAATGTGCCTGGCCAACAATCCTCATCATCCCGGTCCAAACATTCCTCAGCGCTGGGACCTTCTTGACTAGCTGTACTGCTCTGAACAGTCGAAGTTCGTGTCTACGCCTATGACAATCGCCTGGCCACACGATCCAGCCTGTCTGTTTCCACCGAATTCATCACGACTATTGCATTATGTGCCAGCTACGACCAACAGGCTCGAATATCTGCGTCATCGCAGGTTTTTCCCTAGGACTCACATGGGATCCTTTTCTCGTTATCTGCGAGGTGGAACATTGCAGACCGTGCTTTAGGGGGTCCTGGGAATGCATCAGGGATTTCATCCAAACCATATTCATACCAAGTTTGCAACAAGGTTGACTCGGGGGTCTGCTACTTACCTGGGAAAGGGGAAATCCCACAAGGATACAGTCCTCCCGTCGTTGATGCCAGATCTGGTGACGCATCCAATGCTAGTTCTTGATATGATTCTTTGTTTAGGAAGGTCATTTTGAACCATAGTACTGGTGGTAACCAACCAATATCAATTTACAATATTGAAAGACAAGTCTATATCACAAAATGTTCGTTTAATCATCCCATGTCCATCTGACACCTAGCACTTAGCATCTTGAACCGTATCTCTGGTTTTTTTCAGGAAGGGTATCAAGTCCGTGCCACCAGTCCCAGCAAGCTTGGTCTTCGCGCCCGCTTCCTTCATTCGAGAGCTGACCGTGGCTAGATTCATTTTGCCTTTTCCCTGTTCAGTGGGATTAGGCTGTCTCGACGCCATGACAATGTATCGAGTGACCATCTGGATGTGTGTATCGCGGAAAGCCTTGAGCTCGTTCACAGCTGCGTTGTATGCATCCTTGGGCGGTTGAACCGGCGAGTCCAGTATAAATGGACGAACACTAGCTCGAGTGGATAACTCTTCAAGGAAACGCCTATGCGGACCAGGCATGTAGTCTCGCATTTGCTGTCTTTGGCGTTAATATTTATTCACACATGTCTAGAGACAGAGAGACCCCGAAGACCAATATCCCGCGATGTTCTTACCTGAATAAAACTCGGACCACACACCTGCTTCCCATCCGTCGCAGAGTGCTTAATACCAAGGAAAATATCAAGTGCCTGGATCAGCGAGCTTTGTGCATTACTCCCACCACTCAACTGGAGCCAATTCTCTGGTCTTTCCACCCCATCACTATCACCAACATCATAGTACACACCCCTGGGAAGACCAGCATGACCCATATTCTTGCTGCCAGCCAGGAACGGCCGAAGCTGGTGGAAGAAGACAGCCGGCTTGTTGTGCTCGTACATCCTTTTCAGCGTCAATGTCAGGTCACATAAACCGTCCGCAAACGTGTACAAGAGGGCAGTGAGTAGGTCTGCGTCGTTGGCAGCAACTGCCTTGAAAGCGTCCCGCATCTGCGACATGAGCTTGATGCCTTTGGCTTCAACGGCGACGGAGATCACCATGAACCATTCCTCATCCTTTGTGCCGGTAAAGGAGGTCTGAACGTGGAGGTTGTCCGGGTCTGTGGTGTCTGCTTCTGGGTGGGAAGGTATGAAGTTCCATAGTGTGAGCCCGGCGTAGGTGGCGCATGCGGGAAGTTCAAGGTGTGCTGATATTTCAAGGAAAGGTTTTGAGATTGAGGGGGGCAGTCTCTGTTGTTTTGATGTTAGGGATTTCTTTGTTGGGATGGAAAGGAAAGGGTGGTAGGTGTTTACATCTTTTGGGATCTCTCCTCCCCAGATATAGGCATGAGCCAGATATCCCATGATAACACATGCTCGTCGCCATTCTGGTTCTGTCTGAAGGTGCTCAGTCGTGTAGACGGGCATGCTATCGATTCTCTCGCGGATTTGGCTAGTTTGGATGAGGTTCGGGAGTTGGCTGGCTATATCCTCCCAGGTCTCGTAATAGGGGTTTGAGATTCTGGCCAGCGGAAGGCCATCTGAGAGAAAGCCCTGCTCGGCATAACTTTCGAAAAGATCATTGAGAACAGCATCTGTTGATTGCAACATGGTGGATGATGATCGTCGTGGAGGTTTCGTGTTGTTCGGGAGAAAGAACACGCCTGGCGTGGTATAAAGAAAGGCAAAGGGGAAAGACTGCCTTTTAGGTTTATAGTAAGAGAATAGTTTGTGTACGATTTGGCCTCATTATTGAAATATCTTACTTCATCGGCTTGCATCGGGGCCATTTGTCAACTTATCTATACAATTCGGAAGATATACGGATCTATATCCGTCTTCCGCCTCTTCGCGGAGGGATACGAGAACCGTCCATACTGGATAGGCTTAGTTCTACCCACTTGGTTTAACCCTCAAGAATACAGAAGATATTTGAGATATAGACTAGTTGCCTGCTAAGTAGTAATACCCAAATAGGATAGGAAACAAGTGATTTTTGAGTTTGAGGGTCAAGACTTGAAGACCTGATACCCAATCCAACACAGGATCTTACGTTCTGTTGCTTGGTTGCTAATCAAATATGTTGATTGCTTTTTCTTTGCTGGTCTGCATGGTATGGTAGGCAAGCCATTTGCAGATATTCATGCGTTATGATGCATTTCATGCATGGTAGATAGTTGATAGCCTATGAGAAGGTGATGTATGTTTATGTTACATATGATACATCAACAAGATTAGTACCTAAGGTAGAATATCATTAAATGAAGTCTAATATTATACGGAGTACTCCGTACTAATATTATTATAATATCTATGATGTAACGATAGCCATGTGGTCAACCACTAATAAACCCGTGGACAGTATGGAGACGGATCGGGGAGACGGAAGCGGAACATGATCCGTATTTACTGCTGCAGCTCCTTTGGAGGTCCCTGGTCTCCGATTCGGTGTATTCGGTACTTGTCTTATAAAAAGCAACGACATTTCCGAGCATTAATCTTTCTCTTCCCCTCACTCCCACACAAGTCGGTTACAACTCAAATCCTCACCGCTTGACTTGCCACACTATATCCGACGCATTTCACGACAGCATTTATCGCCAATATGACGGGCACTAAAGTGTCTAAGTCAGTCTTCCCTGCAGAGGCAGCATCACAAGAGTATGCCACGTCTCTGGATGCAGCGGATCCTCTGCGTGAATTTCGCGACCAGTTTATTATTCCCTCCAAGGCGAATCTCGCTACGAAAAAGCTGGCAAAGCCAGGTAAGAACCATATCCCTGCAGAGACGCGAAATATAGTTTTATGATCATTGCTAACAAGCTCATGCAGGTCTCTCATCAGAGCCAAGCACGTACTTTTGCGGTAACTCACTGGGTATCCAGCCCAAGGCCGTGTCAAAGTACATGGAGGCTCAGTTGGATACTTGGTCGTCCATCGGTGTCTGTGGACACTTCACCGATCTTGAAGACTCACCGTTGAAACAATGGCAGCTACTGTCTGAACAGGCCGCTGCTTCAATGTCCCGCATTGTCGGGGCCGCGCCTGAGGAGGTCGCAGCCATGGGAACGTTGACTACGAACCTCCACCTGTTGCTTGCAAGCTTCTACAAGCCGACTGAGACCAAGCGGAAGATTCTCATGGATTGGAAGGCATTCCCCAGTGATCATGTGAGTGACAAGCCTACAATGAAAAATGATCCTGGTTCAACATTGTGATAATCTGCTGTCCCGATTACCCATCACTAACACGTTTATAGTATGCAATTGAATCACACATTGCCTGGCATGACCTAGATTCAAAGGAGAACATGATTCTCATTGGCCCAGATGAGGGACAATACGAAATCTCAACAGAGAAAATTCTGTCCTATATTGACGAGCATGCGGAAAGCGCAGCGCTGCTTCTTCTCCCCGGTATCCAATACTACACCGGACAGCTATTTGACATCCCCACAATCACCAAGTACGCCCAATCAAAGAACCTCGTCGTTGGATGGGATCTGGCGCACGCATATGGAAACGTGGAGCTGAAACTGCACGACTGGAACGTCGACTTTGCAGCTTGGTGCACGTACAAGTACGGCAATGCCGGGCCCGGCGCGATTGGTGGTCTTTTCGTGCACGAGAAACATGGCAAGGTTGATTATAGCGCTGGACCAGATGCTCCCCAGTTCCGTCACCGCTTGACAGGGTGGTATGGTGGTGACCGATCGGTGAGGTTCAAGATGGACAACAGTTAGTTTCTTCTTATTTGTGTCGCGCGATACATATTCTAGCATATGCTAACCACAAGCAGAGTTCAAGCCCATTCCCGGAGCTGGAGGTTTCCAGGTCTCCAACCCTTCAGTCATTGATCTGACCTGTCTTTGTGCGGCTTTGTCCGTTTTCGACCAGACCTCGATGGCTGATTTACGCCAAAAGTCATTGAAGCTGACTGCGTATCTGGAGTTCCTACTTCTGAAGGATACCGATGAGCAGACTCGTCTGTATGATATCATCACTCCATCGGATCCACATGCTCGAGGTGCTCAACTTAGTGTTCTACTCAAGCCTGGCTTGCTGCACAAGGTATCCGAACGCCTACAGAATGCGGGCATCATTTGTGACAAGCGGGAGCCGGGCGTTGTTCGTGTGGCACCAGTGCCGTTGTACAACACTTTCTCCGAGGTGTTCAACTTCGTCAAGGAATTCAAGGGCGCCTTGGCCTCTTCGTAGTTGATGATTAAAATGATGACAAGTTTATAAATGTCGAATATGATAATGCAATGCACTATGAATAATACGCCGTGGACCTTTTATAGCTATTCAATCTCAGGATTGAAGACAAGATAGAGAGATAAAGATACATAAGAGCCAAAGCCTGCTGTTGCAAGCCTTAGAAATTCCCAACACTTTCCCAGTTATCACCACTGCGCAGGAACTCTTGCCCCTGCGAAAAGAAATTGGTAGCAAGAATAGAGAACTCATCATTAGACATCGTCAAATGCTGCGACGAGAGTAAAGGGTTTGCTGGGTAGTCCTGGCTAGGAAAGGCGGTATTGGTACTGAACGAGTGAGACCGAATATTTGGTGTATCTTGTTCCTGGACAGTCAACCGGAACGGCGGAGGCAAAGGAGATGTCTGAGATACTTCTGCGCCCACCGAAGACGAACCGGAATACAGTGACTCCCCAAATAGACGCCGAGCAGAGTCTGTGTCGCTGTTGGATGAGTATTCGAGGATTTCCCAGAATCGGGATAGATCGATTAGGAGGCTTTGATTTTGCGCGCCTGGGTCTGATTGGTAGGTTGCCGAGACTGCGTCTTCTAGTCGCTGTAATCTATGTGCCTTGATATGACGAATGAAATGTTAGATGCTATTTTAACCCAGAGGAGGTCCGGGAGGATGGAGCTTCATACCAATCGAGCCATGTGCGGCCACCTTTCTCCTACGGTTTGCACAAATTTGACACACTTGGCGAATCTTTCCCGCTTATGTTCTCTAATAGTCAAATCGTCTGTGAAACTGAGTTGCAGCTCGATTGTAGCGACAACGGCGGCGCTGTAGCCTAGTAACGGATCTGATACTAGAAATGACTTCTCTTCAAAGCAGTTGATGAAGTGGATGATCCAAGTTGTATGTGAGGAGATCAAGTCCGAGGTGTGCTGTAAGAAGATCTCCGGGATAGTGCTCCGGAAATTCCGAAGGCTGAGCGAGAGAAGCAGGGGATGATTGAGTAGACACAGGCTGGTATGATACATGAATTGATTCAGAAACCACGGGCCCCAGTATTCACGATGAGTCTGTAATTCCTCGAGAGAGCGTTCACCGAGGTTGGCTGGCTTGAACCGATGAAGATACGGCATGCGAGTCTCGAGGTCCATTTGTAAAGCGAGAATTTTCGAGTATTCGGAATGAGGAGACCAAGGTGGGACATTGCTTGGGCGTCCGTGAAGGCGCACGTATCGTGCTGTCCTTGCGAATACTTCGCTCAGGACTACCACATATGCAATGATTCCTTCATCTTGCATGTCACTTTGCCGTGCTTCGACGGTTGACGGCCCCGGGGAGAGGAATCGTGCTGGTCGTGCCGGGCTTTGGGGATATGGAGGGCCTCCGGCCTGGGGTATATCTGGGATTGGGAAATCACCGCCGTGTAGTCGTTTGAGAAGACATATACTCCAGAAACAGCGCCTGCGTTCTTCGCGCACTATGGTGCTGCTCGACGAACGGGGCTCTTGTCCAAGATTGGCACATTGTGCAAGGTTCATTGCTAAGCTGCTGTGGATGCTGGAACGATGTGTATTGCCGTCTGGTAGATATTATTAGCTCAAGTTTAAATATTGGAAACGCTAGGCTCATACTCGTAAAGTCAACCAAGCTCAAGATACAGAGACATTGAAGCGTCGAAAGCTCCACTGGCCCTTCTGAGACTCTTTTCATAACGAGACCCCGAGCAACCTCAGCATAGCCATTTATCAGGCTGGTGGAATCGGCCCTGTTGGGGTGAGAGTATGAGAAGCGGAGGGCGAGTGCCAATATAGCAAAAAGAAGCTCTGCCTCGCGTGTTTGTAGACTGGAGAGAAAGCTATTCCTGTGGAAAAGAGGCAAAGGCTGAGAGTCACAATATAGCAAATATAGTTCCGCAATAGGAATAATCTCCTCCCACGGTGGTAAGGTAATAGATGAGCTTGGCATTGCCAATATCACAGACGGAACAAGAGATTCTGTGGGTATTTGCGGCTCACTCCTCGAGCTACAATATGTTCCTAAGAGTAAGCAATTGCTCAAATAGGGATCCTATATGTTCTTACCCAAGTACATCCAGGACCTCTCCTACTTTGCTTTCAAGGCTTCGCAATCTATCTTCCTATGGTAGAGTCAGTAACTGGATAAAAGTCCCGCGGGCTTGCATTGAGAGATAAAAAAAAATACTCACCAGAACATGAGATGTTCGAGAGTCTGAATCATTGAGCCTTGGACTCGTCTCGGGAAGTGGCCGACGCCTTTCATCGGCGTATAGACATTGTTGCCGTAGTCTGGCACATAGAGAACAGACCGGCTGCTCTCCGGGGCATTTAGCCTTCTTACGCCTGAGAAATTGGTTAACAGTCATCTTTTTAAACAATCCGATGGGTCTGGTACCTGCAAGGCTCACAGGCCTGACGAACCCGCTTAGCGGGTCTCTCTGAATAGGCGAAGCTCTCGTCTTCCATTATTATATTCGCAATATGCAATGCTTTCGATGAAGAGCAGTCATCATAGGAACTTGGACCGGGTACTTCAGGGCCCCAATTGACAGACTATATCCAGATAGAAATATGTTCAGTGCATGCTCTTTCTTCCAGGGATATACAGGTTCACACAAGCAAAGCCGTTGTATATTGTGGCGTACAAAGTAGAGCCGGAAGTAAAGCCGTGAAATTGACCAGTGGACCCACGGGCTGTGAAATAGCTGAGTAATCAACTGTAAAGTGGCCCCGGGGGCACCCGGGCGTGAACCCATCGAAGCCGGCCGAGGCGGCACCGGGGCCCTGGGGCTTGAATCCTGCGATGCCCACGTCTTCGGCACGTTTACGTCCAGCCTCATCCATTATGAGCTTTTCTTGCGCTCGATTAGTTCCATACTGACCAGATAGGACTGCAATACCTTGTACGTCCGGAACCGCGTGTTCCTAATGAACAAGATTATAGTAGAATAAACCATGCCTGTCAAGAGCTATCTTTTCGTCTCATATTGAACTACTTCTCTAACCTGTTTCGCACAAGCCCAATCTCCAAGCCTAACACATTTTCACATGTTCTAGATATTCAAATAAAGGCACCCATTTGAAACTGAAAATACGAACTTTCCCAGAATTGTGTTGACTGTAATGACTGCTATATTTGACTTTCGGAGTTCTTAAAGCTTGTCACAGGAGTATCAAACAATCGGACGCACGCACTATGTATACGGCTACCATAACTATAGGTTAAAGTACAATGTTCTTCAGAAGGGTATCGTCCGTCTCCTGTGTATGCCTGCCCAATAGCCCTGGAGCCCACCTGGGCAGGCAAGTCATGAGTCATCCATTTCGACCTCCAGGGCTTCGGGATAAGATACCTCTCCACTGTCGTACATATGAGCAATACTGTACTTAATGCGTACACAGTATGTCACCGCCATTTGGATGCTTAACAGGTCTAGTAAAGGCCAAAAATAGCTCGGCCTCCGCTTGTTGCGGGTCATAGCACGGCCATCTCTATTCTATCAAAAACAGGACCGCTCAACTTGGGGCGAAGGGTCCGAATGAATACTTCTGTGAGACCAGGGAAACGATATATGGCAGCATCTCTTGGATTGGCGCTTGAATTGATCATATGTACAGCTCCAAATCTGCGTGGCTGCCAACCCATCTAACCCCTTCTTGGAGTAGAAATACACCATACAAAAAACAACTGATGCCGCAGCTTGAATAACCAACGGAACTGAAAATGGCATCATTTATCTCTGCCAAACTAAGTCTTAAGACCTATAATTTAGATCCAAGTCTTGTGGCCCTGTAAAGAAGTCAGCATGTGAACGAATTAATTCGGTTACTCGTGCTTCTTGTCGGTCGGAGCATGACAAGTAGCGGGTTGGGTGGAACTAACGAGAACCATGCGGCACATGGCGTAGGTGGTAGCTATTGTTGATTAGTTTTCTATCCTCAACTGAATCTCATATCGGAAGACGGTTCCACTCACCAGCACCGAGGCCGTAGACCGAGAGGAGGTAGGGGTACATGAGGTAGCCGGAGCGGGAGGTCTGGGAGACAATTCCAATGTCAGTTTGTTGTTCTTCCTGAAGCTCAATTGAAGGCATATGTGCCCCTTCTGGAGTGTACTGACCTTCCACCATTGGCGCTTGCCATCGTGGTTCTGGAAGAGACGCTGGTAGTAGGGCACACGGTTCTCACGGAACACGAAGCTAAACAGAGCCAATCAGTCAGTATAACTTGCAAGAATATGGCGGAATAGCAGGTCCCCGCAGCCGCATCATTCGCAATTGGACTCCGAAGGTCGCGGGACGAAATTCGATGGTCGCACTCTGAAGATCGGGTGTGTGCGCGGGGGATGTGTGTGGCGATTCGAAGGGAGTACATACCCAGCCATGCGGGAGCTAGTAGCACGGAACATTTTCGCAGTTGGAAGCGAGGAAGGAGCGGGGATGTGAGGTACGACGTGGGCAAGATGGGGATGTGAAGTTGGTCCCGGAATGAGCTGGATATCGTGTCACGTGCCAAACATCACCTGATCGAATCAGACGTTGTATCTGGTCATCATCCAAAAAGGGAAAAGCGCCAGAAAAGTGTCCGGACGCGCATCAACTTTTGAATATTCGGCAACGAGACTTTTGGATTGACGTCGGGAGCTCGAAGAAGGATGTTTGGCGTCGAGAATTTGCTTTCCCGACCTTCCTTTCTTAACCACTCATGCGCCCGGCGCTTCTGCGACTGTTGAAGAGGCCGTCCGCCGTCTCGATTCTTGACACACTCACAGCAACACCGATCGGAATTGAGCAATTGGAGTCCAGGTACAGGTGTCTACGATGTCATTCGGGAAGCGCCAAACAAGAACCACTTGAGGAACCCGACAAGAACCCGACCCGGCATCAGCTTGAGGATTCATGCCGGGGGAAACGGCCGTTCAGCTTTCCCATCTACGACATTGAGGCCTCGAACGAACCAAATACTTTGGAACCCACGCCTCTCGTGGAGAGCCAAACGCAAAGTAACACGACACAATGCCCTACCAAACTTCTGTCTCTCCGACCGGACAAGCTTGAATTCGAATCGGACGTCGGACACCTCAACAACATTGGAACGCGATTAGTGGATAATCCGGAGCATCAAAACAATCTCGATCTGTGGGAGGAACTTCTTCGATACCGCCAGCGTCACTACGGCGACAATGGTACTCTAGAAATATGGGAAGGATTGAGGGTCCGAGTGGATGGTGTACGGCTCCCAGTTACAGGAGAGCAAGCGGACTTCTTTTGGCAGAGCTTTGTGGACATGGGATTGAGGCGAGAGCTTTTTCTTAAGGAAGTTCTTGACTATGCCGTCATTCTACGGAAGCAACAAGGCAACGGATGGCCACAGCTGTATGAGCGCGTGGTGGGTGGACTTCTTGATCAAGGCTTGACGAAACGTGCGGTCGAATGGCACAAGAAGCTCCAAAGCTCTCATTTAGCCAGTGCAAATGATGTGCTAAAAATCCTTCCCTCGGCGATCCGTTCTTCGTCTCTTCCGGCTGGCACGGAATTTGCGACTTCGGCTGATCTCGAGCGGTCGTCCTTGTCGCCGGGATTGCAGGCGTTCCAAGCCATATGCTCCACGACCCCTGACCATAATTTGTATGGCCCTATCATTGCGATGCTCATGCAGCAAGGCCACGGAGAGGCAGCGATCTCAATGCATCATTTCCTTGCTCGGCGTCAGGATCACCCACAGAGCCCTGACGAGATACAGCCATTGCTGGAATACGTTGAGAAATTCGGGCTACGGAAAGAATTCAATCGGCTCCGTGGCTATGTCAAAAAGCGATTTGATCCCGAAGCTTCGATTGATCAACCTGGCCCAATAGATACAGCGCCGAAATCTGAGCAGAAGGGGTCGCAAGACGAAAAACCCTTCAAAGATGACATTGGTGCTAAGCTGTTTGCCACTCGTGCTCTCAATTTCGATATGATTGTTGGTGGCCTGAAGATGCTCGGTGTATCAGAGATCGGCCACCGGACGTTGCGTGAACTAGCCACGAGAGCTCACGGCAACCAAGATCTTCTGGACAAACTTAAAATACTTAAGCAGTCTGGCATTTCTATAGGAAGCACTGTTTTCTCGCGCTTAGTTCAAAAACTTGCCGCCCAAAATCGAGACATCCTTCTCTCGGACATCCTCCGCAGCGATCAGCATCCTGATACCCTCGAAGACAAGCGTATGCAGGAGTCATTGTTGGTATCTTACTACATGGCCCGGGATTGGCGATTGTACAATATGACTCTAGCGGTATTGACGGAACTATACCCGGGTGTACCAGACCTCTACGACATCCATTTTCGAAAGCATATCGCGGCCTGGGAATTGAGTGCGGCGTCCAAGGTCGCCGACGAGCTAGCCCTCCGTGGCCGGACTTTGGGCGAAGACAGCGTGGATTTCATGGCCGAGCAGATTCTCACCCCTCGGCGAATGAATCATCGCCCGCCGCCAGGTCAACGCCTATCCGCCGTCGACGAAGTGATCTTCATCTTCAAGATTTTGAAGCGCGTGGTTCCCGCAGGAGGGTATGTCAGTGCTGCATTCTGGGTTGAGATGCTCAAGCGTCTCGGCATGGCAGATGCATGGGCAGACTGGGATAAACTCCGAGATTGCTGTCTGTGGCTCGTCCGCCAATATGCCGAAAGCCCTGAGCAGAAGAATTTTCCATCCTCCAAACTGTCCCTGGATCCCACCAAACAGGCCAACGGTCGCGATCGGCGGATGCTTGATCTAGTCTTTAACCCACAAATGCAAGCCGCCATCGTCTCCTGGGGCTTCACGTTCCGAGTATTGGACACCACCGCATCGAAATTTGCCATCGCCCCACCTAACTCCCAAACGGACGAAAAGCTCATTCCATGGGTACGGGGACTGATTCTACTTCGAGAGCTGGAACAATCCGGTCTTCGTCTTGACAAGCGATTGATCTCTCAGGCAGTTCGCCACCGGCTGGCTATGCTCTACAGCCACCATGTTCTGTCGGCGCGGCGCATGAACCGCATGCTGCGGCGGCGGAACCCGTATCCTCTACAGCAAGTGTTGAACGATGTGTTCCAGGCCTGGGGCGATCCATCTCTCTTTGATGGGATGGAACGGAACTTGGAGCAGTTGGTGAATCCGCCACGAGCGAGCAGAACGAAGCGACGCGCCCCGGGTATACGTCTGTCACTTAAAGGACTTTGATACTTTCACTCGGCGTCCATGTATATTAGCAAATATGTAAATAATTGATCATAATACCCATATTATTCGAGAATCAGTGTACACGTATGTTTTTCTGCGCCGTTGAGACATTGATCGTCAAGGATCAATAAGAAATTCGCACATAGAAATGGTATCTAATAGTTTATGCCTAGAAGACCGGGCTATGTCACAAGTCGAAGAGGTCGATTGGTGTAAATGGCCCAATGGCAGTGCAGTTCTCGATCCACCGATCTAAGAATAGTTGAGAGGGCAACGCGGCCTGGTAAACATTCTAATATTCTGTTTATTTGAGCTCTTGTGTCTCCTTTTCTTTTTCTTATTTATACCTGATCTTTCTAAAATATATTGTTACATCTTATACATCATTTGTGTACAGTTATGCGAGTATTCAACTTCCTGGCATTGTTGCCTGTTGTCCTTGCGAACCCTTTGGTCCAGACGAAGCGTACAACAGCATGCAACAACTCCCCCGATCTCTGCTCCAAGACCTATGGAGAAATCACACATCTCGGCGCCCACGACAGTCCCTTTGTCCGTGACTCTAATAGTGGCAACTCGATAGCTGCCAACCAGTACTACGACACTCCAACGCAACTATCAGCCGGTGTCCGATTAGTAACAGCCCAAGTCCACAAGAGCAACTCACAATGGCGTCTATGCCATTCCACCTGCGACCTGCTCGATGCGGGGTTGCTGAGCGACTGGCTGAAGGACATCAAGACGTGGCTGGATGACAATCCAAACGAGGGTGAGTTATTTCCGCGAGGATGTTTAGAAAGAAAACTAACAGACCGTCCCAAATAGTGGTCACAATCCTCCTAGTCAACTCCGACGATGCCACAGCCTCCGATCTCAACACCGAATTCACAACAGCCAACATCACCGACTACGCCTACGCGCCCACCTCCCCAGGCACCGCGCCAACCACCTGGCCCACCCTCCAAACCATGATCGACGACGGCAAGCGCCTCGTCGTCTTCGTGGCCTCTCTAGACACCAGCACCAGCTACCCCTACCTAATGGACGAATGGAGCTACATCTGGGAGAATCCATACGACGTAAGCTCCGCGTCGAACTTCACATGTGAGGTGGACCGACCGTCGGCATACAAAGACAACAGCGCATCGGCACTTGCAGCCAACCTCCTCCCGTTGATGAACCACTTCCTGTACTCGAGCAATCTCGCGATCATAGACGTCGAGTACCCGAACACCAGCTACGTGGGGACGACGAATGCCGCGTCCGGCGGAACAGGTAACCTGGGCACGGCCGCGACAAACTGCAAGAAGGCGTGGAATGGGCGACAGCCGAGCTATATCATGGTGGACTTCTTCAACCGCGGTCCGGCGATTGATACCGTCGATAACTTGAATAATGTTACCAATGCGGTTGGCCGCAAGTCTGTCTCGACTTCGGCGGATTCGACTAGCGATGCCTCGTCGACGAGTAATGTGTTCAAGGCGTTGGCTGAACTGGCGTCATCGGCTAGGTCGGGGACATCCGTGTCTATGGGGAATTGGATTTGGACTGGTGGGAACTGGGGGAATCTTCTCGGTGGGGGGATTTCCTTCTGAGCCGAGTGTGTTTGGCCTCGGTTTCTCTTGTTTTGCTTTTTACATTTGGAGCGTTTGGACGTTGTCTCTTGGGTATCTTTTGAGTCCTGCGGTATGGGGCTGTGCCCTGGTTGAACGGTGCATAGTGCAGGGATATAGGGTATTGTTTGCATGCAAGGACATGGCGTTTTGGATGGGACTGGAATGGAATGGCGGGTTTCAGCATTTTCCCCTATGGTCAGAATATTTAGTCATAGAGTTTCTACGAATGGAATGATTCAAAGTCAATTGTCCGTGTTTTCGTAGCACTTGTGGAGTTAAGCTCCTACTTTATTTTCCCAATAACTGCTGCACCTTGGCCACCTTATCTTCAAACGACTGCATTTTATCAGTCCTAATAGAGACAATTAGCAATGGGAAATGGATTACCCAAATAAGATAAGTAAGAAGCATAGAATAGATTAGAACCCACCTCGACCCGACGCGGATATCAGTGTGAATCCGAACAATCCCCTTCTGGTGAAGAAGCGTATGCGCCTGTCCGATAACCTGATGAACCCGGTCCCAGGATCCTTCTACAAAAGCAAAAAGGAGTCAGTAGATATAGAAATAGTGCCACACAGGCGTGTCAGCTCTCAGCTCCCAGCTCTCTCCTTCTCTCCTGTGATTTCAGTTCCATCTGCAGACAGATACAGCCGACAGTTGGAGATAAGAGGAACAAGTCCAAAGCTCCACACAATTAGGAACCGGAACTGCGGACGTGGCCGAGAGAATACTATAATACGTAGTATTATAGTATATTATAGCCCCAAGACATGTACTTCATACGTACCGAGGGTTGTGCCTGCAGAATGCATGACATATTTCAAGCCGGATGTTTCAATCATCCGATGAATGTCAGCGACTTCCTCTGAGACTGAGGGCGACGAGGTGCCGATCTGGGGTTATGCTGTTAGTTGGGGCTTGTAAGCGAATAGGGGGAACTTGTTTCAAGAGGCTTACGGGGACCAGACAAAAATCGGCGACACAGTGGGCGGGGGTTGCGATGGCGGCCATGTTGGATGTTGATGAAATGGCGGGGTAAAATAGAATGTTTGTTTTTATATTGGAGAGATTTAAGGAGACTGGGGAGATTAGTATAAGATGGACCCCGGAGATGAGATGAGGATGTGGTCAGTGTGACAGGCCATTATCCACAGGGCTGAACTTGGACATTTACGACATTTGCCACATTTACCACATTCACCACATTTATGACCATTTACGACCATTTACGACATATTTACTCACACCTTTTATACCAGCTACCATTCACACGGAACCCTCGAGCCTCTTTCCAAGGTTCATCTCACATCTGCACAGTCTCACTGCATCTCTACAGTTTGAGAGATCCGATTGCTGACCGCCATTGACACGATAAATGCTTCATCAGATTTTCTTTCTTGAATCTTGGGATTCCTAATTCTTTAACTTCATGGAGTACTTCTATTCTATGATTCCATGATTTTCCGGACTCCCCAGACTCTTTTAACTCCGGTATGATCGACTCCAGGGGTTACGCCACTCACTCTTATTGAGTCCCCACAACTTAAACCCTTGCCCGGATTTTCAACTGAATGTCGGGCTTCTTTGTCCGGAATCTCTCTTTTTCTCGAACTCTTCTCCTTTCGTGGTGAAGGAGCTTTGTGTGCTCTTAAGCGTACAACATACTTGCATTTTGCGCTTTCGTCGAAACTGATTGGATATCCCAACCTTGGAAGTGTGATCCGTCTAAACTTGGTTTAGCCCCTTTGGATCGGGTTTGAGCCTCTCATCACTGGATGCATATGCATAATCCACTGAAGAGGATCGTTTCACATACATTCTCAACATTTCGACCTTGGAAATCCATTCAATACATTATCATCTGTGGAGATAACGAAATTGTCTACTATCAGCCACGTCATGATCACAGACGTCATTTGGATTTCCAGCCCAACACCCATCCCTCTAACGGATGACCAAACCCAATCTACTTGAACTCCCCTTGGGAGTTCAGCTCGTCTACCTTGCCGAGGGAGGAGCAAATGTGATTTATCGATTTGTCGGAAAACCAGTACTCGCTAAAAAAGACCCCAAGAGGCCACTATCTCCACCTACACTCGACACGGATCACGGCAACATACCAACCAAACTCAAGGGGAAATTGCTGCGACTCCGCAAAGAAACCGCAGCCGACATCTCCTACACAGAGATCGCCCGAAACTTCGACACTATCATCCGACCGTTATTTAACCCCGAAGAACTAGTCGACCAAACCCTCATCAGACTCCCCGAAGGTCTCCTCTCCAGCTGCAACGAGCAACTCCGGACCGCCGAACGAAACGGCGCGCGTCCAACGAAGCGCCATGGCAGCTATCTCTGTCTGCATGAGCCATTCGGCCTTCTCATCACCGACATGACGACGGCCGGAGACCCGGGCGCCAGCCTAGCCGAGCTGAAACCCAAATGGCTCAACCAGTCACCATCAGCGCCGGCGACAGCACATAGGTGTCGGACCTGTGCGCTACGGGAGATGAAAAACCGCGAGTCGCAACTCTCAGGCCTGAAAGTGCAGCGGTCGTTCTGTCCGCTGGATCTGGTGTCGGAGCAGTATGAGGATGTGTTGCGGGCGACTGGGTTGATTAAGGGCTGCAAGGATCGATCGCGACTAGCTCGCATTTTGTATCGGAACCCGACGCTTCAAAGGCTGCAGTCGCTGCAGAAGACTGAGAGGGATGTCGGGCTGCATGGTCCGGCGGCGCAGTCTCAGGAGATGTCGCTTGCGATGACGCTGCGGGACTGTACGATGTTCATCAAGGTGAGTTCATGCTGCAAAGTAGGGTTTGTTGTTTTTTAGGCAATATCAACATCCTGTTGCGAAACATCATCCAGATTCGAATACTGACCTCGCCGCAGATCCCTCATGACGAAAAGTCACCTGTAGAAATCCGTCTTGGCGACCTCGATCTGAAGACAGGCGCCGGCGGGAAAGCTGGCTACTGGCGAGACCTGGAAACACGGCTGATTGATCAGGGCTGGTATCAGAGAAGCAATATCAGCCAAGATTCGGGCGAGTGCGGTTTGCATAGCCCGCGAAGACCCTCTCAGTCCTATTTAGCATGAGACTATATCAACGTCGTCTGGAATGGCGGTTCGAATTCTTGATGCATTGCGATTTCTTTGATGACTTGGACAGAGACAACGGATGCCTTGAGTGTGATTGGCATGGCTCGTTTGTTTGTATAGTAATTCCTTGGACTTTTATGATTTATTTTCGGGGGCTTTTTGGGACTTTATTGTTTTGTTAAATGCTTGAAATGCTAGTGCATCTAAATCCGCCTGTGCTGAACCAATCGTGGTTCCCCGTTCTTGATATAGCTAGTTAGAAAGACGGGAAGTCCAGCTTTTATACCAAACGTCCCATATGCTCGAGAACTTTAAACCGTCCGACGATCCGCTGGGCTAGCTTTTTTAGCAAGCTAGTTGGCTTAGATGTCGTATCCATGGCCTAGGCGGAGGTACACATAATCGCCAGGCTCAAACCACTTTCTGACAGCTTGCGGCTTGCACTATATCAGAATGTAGGGTGTGGTGTATCTCCGCGGAGGCGCCCAAATAGGTTGAACCTCAACTTATAAACTATGGTTGGGGTATGTGAAGTGATCTCACGATAATACGAAGAACATCGAACCCTAAATAATTAACGGTCTCGTGCTCTACGGGTGAAACTTTATATATATATATATAGCCACGCCTTAAGTAAAAGCTCTAAATGTCGGGAGATGTATTAATATACTTTCTATCCTTTGTATGAAAATGCTAGAGTTTATTTGAAGTAAGAAATGTTCCATTGGTAAAATCCGGTAGAAGGCGGAATCTCTTCCCGTTCCCAAGTTGATCAGGGCGATGGAGAGGTAAACCTGCCGGCTGGTAGATCTGGTAACTCCGCGCTCGTGTTTTTAAACAAGCATGCCGAAGATATCCCTGAATTCTTGAGACGCACATTTAGTAGCAGCTACTTTAGCATGCTGGTCCGCCTCTGTATTCCATTCTCTTGGGATACGCCAGAATTGAATACGCATTCCTTCCTCATCCCACCGTTCCACCTCCCCAAGTAAACACTGCCAAAGGTCCTTATTTTTGACTGGTTCTCCCACTCTCGTTGTCCAGTCATTGCGTATCCATCGTTTCACCCATTTCGTCATACCCTCCACCACGTATTCAGAATCAGTAGCAATGACTAGACAGCGACATCCTTCCCCAGTCCAGTATCGAAATCGAGAAGCTGCAATAACAGCGCGCAACTCAGCCCGGTTGCTCGTCTGCGGGTGCTCTATGCCAGTAGGACCTTGTTTCTCGAGCGGAAAGCTTGTATAGCCACTGACTTGAGGGCTTTGCGTGGAGTTTCGGTAAACAAAACAACAACCAGCTCTTGGATTTGCACCGCCGTTGTCTAAGCACGCGCCGTCCGTGTAAATCAAGAATTGGTTATTTTCGGCGCTGTGACGAATGAACCGATGTACAGCTGGCGCGGCGTTCTCAGTTCTGGTGAGTGGGAAAAGGGACTTGGGCGTGTCATTTGGATTTGGAGGATTGAAATTCGTTGGGAAGATGCGTCCCGTACCGACTCTGCGCTCTGCGCCAGGGATAACCACACTGAAAGGAGGCACAGGTTCATTGGGATTATCGGTGTCGTCATCGGTATGGTCGCTATGGTCTGAGGCTTCTGCGGCGTCGTCGTCGTCGTCTAATAACTCGTCCATGAAGCTGTAGTCCACGGTACAGTAGCCACAAACTACGAGTCTGTGTGGGCGACAGACTAGGCGACCATTGGGAAGTGTCACGGGGTCCTCTGGATGCCAGGCCATGTTGGATATGATATTTTGAAAAGCAGATTGGCTGAAAGACCTGAAAGACAAATTCGTAATCCTAGATATATGGTGTTAGTTGTAGATGTTGAGGTTTTAATGTGGACAAACCGACCAGGGAGAAGATGTAGGAAGTAGAATGATGAAGGGAAGAGTTGTCTATGGAACGGGAGGCAACTTTATACATGATGTGACACATTGGTAAATTAGGAAAATCTAGAATGTCATGGCGGTCAGCAGCGTTAGTTTTCTGTTTACAGTGTTTCTCGTAGTTTCACCCGACGGTATATTGCAGTACTCGATTTTCTACTTCTCAACCAACAGGCCTATTCTCACGCATTTCTGCCCAACTAGATACTTGAATTCCTCACTTCTTAGTTTTCCCCTTTACCCCGCCCCCAAGCACGTCTTGAGTGCTCACATATCCCAATCTGTTCAGTCACCTCGTCTCCATCAACAGAGGTTTAAAAACATCAGTATGGCCAGAAGCCCAATTTTTCCCTTGAGGAATCATGGAAGTCCCCTGGATTTTGTTCCGCACATCTTGCGATGGTGAGGGATGCGAGAAATGTGGCAAGGAAAAGCCAAGAACTCCTATCGACTCGTTTGATTTACCAAAGCATCAGCAATTCGATGATCACCTCGCATGGAAAAAGACACCAACGCTATTCATCAGCTTTTCCAACACCTGGACAAGAGCAATGCGATGGCGTGATTGGTTAGAGAAAGAGGGTCATACGGACATTAAAGTGGTTGCTCTGTGGGCGAAAGATATGGGCAACGTCTATGAGGCAATGCCAGTCGCTTTGAGTTTGATATACCCGAATACGGGCTCCGATCGTCGACGAAAGCTTCAAAATCATGAAAATGAATACCTCGTTGATACCGGTGTGAACTATGAGGATCGAATCTTGGCTGTGTTTCGAGGCGGTGCTGATCTTCGATATATTACCTTTGACGGTCCTTGCTACGAGATCACAGCGTCAGTTTCCAGTGATTACTTTCTTGGGCAAGGGAAGAATCCCCTGGAAGACTTGGAGGATGAGATATTCCGGCGTACCAGATTGCGTGATGATCTTTGGCTGGATCAGCTTGTGAAATTAATCAGCAATTGGACTTCACCAGTTGAAGTGCGGATAGATTACTCAAGGGTGACATTTTCTATGCAACCTGAGAGTGTCTATTACTAGTGACTTACTCTTATCTGGGTTTGTGAAGGCGTCTGTAGCGCGTGTTTTGCTTGACCTGAGCGGTGGGATTGGAATATTAGACTTGCTAGCTATCGGGTGAAACGAGATTGATATGACCAGTATGAGAAATACGATTTCTTCGGTCATTTCCCTCGGAAAGGACTGAATTCGAAATAGAATGATGGCTTTATTACTACATAATTACTATGAGAACTCTTGGAATGTGTCACCTATACTAATAATATTGGTACATATAGACATCGCGCCCCTTTGAAGATGAAATATTGCAATCAACACTTGTCTACTCGACAATGTCACAGCACAACCGAAAACCAACAAACAAGATACTGACATAATTAAACCCCTTTTCCTCTTTCGCTCTTCATTCAAGGAACCATCACAAGAGCACGATGCCTCAACTGACGATCCGTATGCAATAATATCTCCAACCTCTCATACCAGTCGCAGGGACTCCCAACTCAAGTCGAGGATGCATCTAAAGAGCCCCACCCAACACGCTACCCAGCGGCAAGCTATTCTGCAATCCAACAGAGCTAGCGCTAGCGCTTGGCACCGGGGTGGACAAGCTAGGTGTTTGGGAGGGGAATGCGGTTGGCGTGGCTTGCATCTTCATCAGGGTGGGGATGCGCGTGCTGGATGGACTTGGGATTTGGCTGGATGGGACCCCTTGATTGCCTAGTCCGCCGAGGCCATTGAGGCTATTAAGGCCATTGAGGCCGCCGAGGGGGAGTTGAGCTGCGGCGTTGCTGCTCAGAGCTGTCAGAGTGGACAGGGTGAGGAGGATGTTGAAGAGCATGTTGGTTGTTGAGATTGGAGATTATGTGGAGTGATGGTTGGTGAGTTTGAATTGTGGGAAAAGTGATTTCAACTGAGAACTGGAGTGTTTGTTTGATGGGAAAGACATGCTGGGAGTGTATGGGATAGTATATAAATATGGACGGGGGAGAGAGAGCAAGGAGGTGAACGGATTCGTATAGATCACATCGCCATATGATAGAGGCGGGAACTATATGAAGATCGTGATTCCTCTCATGAAGATCATTGAATATTGGTCTCAGGTCTGACATATCATGTCCTAGAGAGGCTGTGATAGGCTGCGACATTTGTTTTTCGTGCGATGGGATTCTTATAGTTCGACGTTGGTTCTGCAGGAACAAATCATAAATTGAAGATCGCTGGCTACATCCCTGGATTAAGCATATATTTTTCTTTTGGTCCCTTAAGCCACTGCATACCCAAGCGCAGTAAATAAGCATGTTAGATGAATGTGAAGCAGATCATGTTCGTTTCAGGATGTGACTGTTGTTGGTCACACTCTGGCGCTTTTTGCCGTTCAAGGTAAGAGATTAGCGCTGTACCCCTGAGGCATTTACAATATATGCGATTATCTATCACATTCTACATCGTAAAACCTACGATACTAATATCTACAATAGTGCAATATAGAGCACAGGATATCCATTACCCCCTGGAAGAGCCAAGAGGTAATCTCCCCACTTCCCGATAAGCGCGGGATCACACTTCATAAAGTTCTTCTCTCCAAAACACCCACTCGCACAACATAAAATGGATCCCAAAGTCGGAGTCGGCGTCTTCGTTTTCAATGCTGCAGGCAAATTCGTCATTGGCAAGCGAAAGGGAAGTCTTGGCGCCGGTATGTGCATCCAATACCCCCACACATGCAACAGACAAGCAATTATAAGCAATGATAAGCAAAGTTGACCATTTGTAATCAAAGGCACATGGGGATTGCCAGGCGGACACCTCGATTTTGGTGAATCCTTCGAGACCTGCGCGGCCCGCGAGACCCTCGAAGAAACAGGTCTGAAGATGCAGGATGTGCGATTCCTGAATGCCACGAATTCAATCATGAAAGCGGAGAATAAGCACTACATTACCATTTTCATGGGTGGTGTTTGTGAGGAGGGTGTTGATCCTCAGGTAAGTTGATTGATATTTGCTTTTTGTGTTTTTGTGGTTGTATTGAACTTGCTTTTTTTCGTGGCATCTTTCATTGCGTATCCCCATGTCGTGGCTGCGTACGGAGTACCCTATACGACCGGAACCAGGATATGCGGCTTACTTATTGGTAGGTACTTGAGCCGGAGAAGTGCGAAGGGTGGGAATGGATTTCGTGGGATGAGTTGCGGGTGTATGGGGAGGAGGAGATGAAGGCTGGTGCTGGGTTTGAGGGGAGGAGGTTGTTTTTGCCTCTTTTGGAATTGTTTAGACAGCGTCCGGATTTTCGGGTTTGAACTTTCCAACGGAATTAAGCATTCGTACGTAGAGGACCTAACATACAATATATCGGATTTTCGGAAACAAATACTCTGTACACGATTCAACTAAGGGATATAAGAATAGTCGGCCGATTATGCGGCCCCTGTCCTTGACGACCTAAGACTTTGATAATCTGATTTATTTGGACCAAGATGGTATTAGGGATGTTATATGTAAGCACCCTCTGATGTGCTTTTTGAATGTTCTTTTTATTTGTCTTCCTAGGTGTTACGAAGGCGATGAGAAGTATACATTTATACATTGTGCAGACGATTCTCTATGTATAACCTTTGAAAATAGGGCATAATTCATTATTTTACCCCTCTTACGAATGGAGATAGCCTTGAACGTTCGTTTCGATGTTTCCTTGACTGCAAAGTCGAGCCAAGATCCAAATCAAATTAAGGAACACACGAGCCAGGGTTTTTATCAGCGACCCGCTTAGTCCTCACTCGCAGGACAATTCTCGAAAAGTATGATCGTATTGCCTCTTGTAGCCATAGTGGCAAGGCCCTGAGCGACCCGATCACCGAGGAATGTCTAGGCACGATGCTTTGCCCACTCTTCCGAGTGACAATATGTTCCACCACTACCTGGGCAACGTTCTTTGGATCCAGGAGTGGTTGATTGAAATCAGCTTTATGTTTAGTGAAGCCTTCGATCATGGGCGTCTGAACCCAAAGGGGGTGAACGGTACTAGGTATTGTCAGCATAATCTCTTTTTGAAAAAAAAAAAAAAAAAAGCCTTCCTAAACTAACCTCGTCCGCACATTTGGAGCCTTGTACCAATATTTCAACTCTTGCCGAAGGCCTTCCTGGAAAGCGAGCGCGCCGGCCTTAGAACAAGCATAGTCCACCATCTCGCCTAGAGTAACAAAGCTCGCAATGCTCGCTACTGTAATGATATGGCCACGGTTCATACGGATCATAAATGGAAGGAATTCTTTCATGATGAGGAAATGAGAGATGATGTTGACATCGAATGTCTGACGCAATTTCTCCTCTGGCATTTCGAGAATAGTACCATGGTAGAAAACAGCAGCATTGTTCACAATGACAGTCGGCTCTCCGTGTGACTTTCGAATAGCAGCTCCCGTTTCGGAAAGAGATCGGGCCGATGTTATATCTGTTTGATAAAATGTGACGTTTTCTGGAAGCTCAAAGGTAGGCCGGTTGATATCGAGGATCACAACGCGTACTTTCTTGCGAGAAAGATCTTCCATTATTTGTCTGCCGATGCAACCACTGCCTCCGGTCAAGAGGACTAGCTCATTCTCTGGGATCCATGTCTCGCTGGCTTGGAAGTTGTTTAGAACTCGCTCTGAGATATTTGTGTTGAGGTAGTAAAGGACTAGAGAGCCGATCAAAGCACTCAGCAAAGATATCATAATCGGCGCATTCAGGAAGTTAAGCATGGTGCCAATGAAGAGCTCCGATAGTCACACAAAGTCTGAGTAGTCCTCGTGCAAATCCGGTTCGAGAAGGGGAAAGAAATAAAAGTTAACACCAGGGCAATGTGTTCGAATTCTGTAGCCGATGTGCTGGCCCAGTTGTAGTGGGACGTTATTTTATCCTTGTTAGAACCAGCTGTCATTCTGCGGAGAGCGTTGCATTGTACGTCCTTTTGTCACCGGCGGCACCGGCGTGGCTAGGCCAAGGGCCTTTTCAGCCGACCAATGCGAGTAACAAAGTAGCACTCAGCTGATAATCCCTGCATTATTGTCAATTCTTGGAGGCACAGACTCATTACTAGGTTCCGAGTCGACTAGAGTCTGAAACATTGATAATGAAGACCCGATACGGCATAGAGCCAAAGGAGGAAAGACCCATGCATGCCAAGCTATGAATAAAGAAGGAATAATAGTATCTATTTAACAGTAGAAGAGCAAGAACTGACTTGGAACTATATCGCCGCGCTCAGCTGCGACCTATTCGAGTAAAAACAACTGGATCCTTTGTCTTGAAGTTCTATGCCTCCCAGGGTTGATATGAAATTACAAGGCTAACTTGTGATGGCTTTCGTTTTTCGAGGGCCTACACAGCCTTTCTTACTGAGTTCTTGGAAATGTCTAGCGTCCGACTGGTCAAAAGATTATATTCTATAAAGATTATATTCTATTTCTTATGGAGGGTCACTTAAGTCGTCTCGGTATTCACTCCGAAACTCAATAGATCCACCCTTGAGATACTCTGCGAGGATACCCAGATAACAGAGTCCCACTATGTTATATTGATGAGGCCCAATAGAAGATTAAGACGCAAATATTATTTTGTTGAGAGAGAGGGGGGGTATGTCAGGGAAGAGAGCGAGAGACATTGAGATCATGGAGATCATGAGGCATCAAACAAAGGAAACAAACAACAAACAGGACCTGAGAGGCAAGGCTTCCACAGTCTTTCCACGAGGCCGACGACCTTCACTCCTGTCAGGACAAGACTGGGCATCGATACAAGATATCAAGAAGAAAATATTGGGGGTTTCCATAGTCTGCTTATAAGATAGGCGATAGACCATGCATCTTGATAAGAAGTCATGAATCTCTGGCGGTTCACTAGGTCCTCAAGGAGATCGAGAAAGAATTGTGCATTTGTCTTGACGGAGTCTATAGCAACAAAGGTAAGGTAGCTATAGAACTCGTCGTAGAATCGTTTAATATCATCGGGATCAATAGCTCCACGAATTTGTTCTCTTCGCGCACTGCGGGTTACCAGGGCTACCTAGGTAGGATTCATGTTCTGACAAAGGCCGGGTCGTCGTCAAACCACCCAGTGGATATCCCAGAAGCTTACGCCAAACCGCTTTAAACAATGGCCGCATACTTGCAATCTGACAGCTTTTTGCACGGTAAGGATACACCTCTCCTGGGAAGGGCAAGCGAAGTACGACCTTTCATGCTATACACATATGAGCTGACTACGGTGCCGACTCATAGTGTAGATAGCTTTTCGATGTCGCAGTACCGACTATCAGGATGAACATGGTGATATATGATGGTTTTCAAGCTTAGGTAGGTTCGCTTTTGCAGATTCTATGTAAGACCGAGGGACTCATAGGGATGCTGGTAGCTAATCAACAGCCAGAATATATAGCGGGTATAAGATATGTGTATAATAGACAGTAGTATAATAGCAGGAAGGTTCATGAGGGAGGGGTTTTCACTCTTTTATAGTCTGTGATACGTATGGTATTGTTTGCACAGCAAAGCAACGGAATGTACTAGAATATTGGGCTAAAATGAAGTTGATAGAGAAGATCAACTTCTCAGATACCCGCCAAGCCAGACACAAGAACTGGAAAGACCTTGGCAATTGCTTGATTTGCTTGATTTATACTTCAAAAAAAGTGAAGAACAAAAAGCTTAATCAACTCGAACCAAAAACCCAGTCGGATACAATAACAGCGATTGTCGCAACCTGTACAAATGTTAGTCATCTATACACCCCAAAAACCCTCAAGACTCGAATACTCACCAACGAAATATCCACTCCAGGCATTACAATGACATCCATAGCAGGTCGATACCCCTGCCTAGAGCCTCTCATCAAAGCCAGTTTCTCATTATGATGGATACTCTCTCGGACTTCAGCAACCTTCCTATCCCCATCAACAACATCAAAAAGCGCCAGCGCATTCCCATGCCGTTCAATATGCAAAGTAAGCATTTTCTCATCCCGGCGTTTTCCCCCAAAAGCAGCCGCATTCTCAAACGAAAGATCAAAATTCCCAAACGAAGTATTCCCCAGCGTCCATCGCGGGGCGCCAGTAGCTATCGTCGCAGTATCACACCCGGGCAAGCTAACCGACCAACTATTCGTCCATGACCATTTCCGATGCAGCTCGAAGAGAGGCAGACCCGAATCATCACGGAACTCCCGACAGGAGCGGTCAGTGTATTTGCGACCGGTCACCGTGAACTGTGGCGTTCCATCCTCTTCGGTGATCTTATATGCGACGGCGGAGTGGGGACTGCCGAATGGTCTGAGAACGAGGGTTGTTTTTGAGCGCGCTATGTACTGGTTGCGGAAGGCGATATCACGGTCTGGTGACCGGAGGGTTTTGCGGGGTTTGCAGGAGTATGAGTGCGATAGTCGGGCGTTGGAGTAGGAGATGGAGGACATGGTTGTTGGTATGCCGTGTTTATTCGTAAGATATACGCGCTGGGATTATGCGCGGTGCCTCTTTATACCTCCAGGGCTGGGTTGCAGAGTATCTTGCGCTACTTATCCTTGTTGCGGCATTTATCTCGTCCAATGCCGGATGATCTCACTGATTGCTGAGCCACAGGATGCCAAGAATATACATGAAGCTATCCCCCTCAGTGCTTCAGCGGGGTAAGTGAAATCATGACTTGTGGCTGCATTCTGTGTCGAATGGTTACATTCTGATTGATACCATGGATTCAGCCACCTCTCGTACCCCTCTCAAATGTCAATACCCCAATATTTGGAGAACTCCATAATTCCAAAAGTACACAGAAAACATCGGGTGTATTGCCCAAGTTAAGTACATAGCCGCCCCTGCCCAGGTGCCCACAGCACAGGGTGGAGCCCATATCTGCTGAGTCATGCTTCACGGCCCCCGCGGGCAGGGCTGACCTCTCTTAGGCAACCCTCTTTGAATCCCATCACATCTACGGAGTACTCCGTACAGAGTTACGCAAATATGGCTGGGAAATTCGCCGTCAAATCTCTAGACCACCTGGTTCTAACAGTCCGCAATATTCCCAAAACTGTGGCATTCTATACAACCTACCTCGGCATGCGGCATGAGATCTTTACCTCACCAACTAACCAATCCATTCAGAGGTAACCCCTCTTTTTTTTTTTTTTTTACAATCCTAGCGGATGTTTAAAATGTATTGACAATAATAGACATGCCCTCATCTTTGGCTCTCAAAAAATAAATCTCCACCAATCGGGCAAGGAATTCGAACCTAAGGCCCAGGATGTTATGCCAGGAAGTGCCGATTTATGCTTTTTGACAGATGAGAATGTGGAAAAGGTCTTGGAAGTATTTCAAGATGCAAGAGTTGAAGTATGAACATTCCATTTTTTTCTCGCAAATGGTGTAGATAGAGACTGATCTCTACAGATTCTGGAAGGCGCTAAGGTTGTAGAAAGAACTGGGGCCGTTGGGAAGATTCGCAGTGTATACGTGAGAGATCCTGATGGAAATCTTATTGAGTGAGTCTTTTTCCCTTCCTCTTGTAGTACAAGTTGACTAAGCCCAGCTGTAGATTGTCGAACTATGTTTGATGGGCCTATAGCCACAGACATTTTCTTTCTCTTTTCACCCTATACTTTTCTAAGCTCCTCCTATGAGGGGATTGGGTTGAATTTTGATTAGACCAACCTCGAATATCCCCAAGAATATATGTACGGAACTTGTCCTGCTTCTTGGGTGAAGCAAAAGACTCAACGGTGATATTGACAATGCACCAGATGAATCCAACTATCTCGAATATTAGCAAATTCTTCTTGCGTCGGGGGTTATAATATCCACTGGCTTCGGCCTTTTGCGATGTATCTTTCAATGACACCCTTAAACCCTTTAAACCTAGGGCCATAGGTCGAAAATTGGCCGCAAACCATCGCCCCCACGCATCTGGAGGTGCGGGGGCTCGGTTACTCGGGATATTCTTCCACTTCTAATGGAGGACTCGAGCGATCAAATATGCAGCTAAACAAAACTTCAACCGGGTAAGGTGCTCATACCCCGAGAGGAGATGGATCTAAAAGACTACTCAATAGATAGCAGGATCTGTAAACATCAACTGCATTGGGAGCAAACGGCAGAGGTCACGTAACCTCCCAACACTTATCATACATGGTCGATGGGGTGTGTTCGGATATCAATCACATGTCCCGAGATGAAATTCTTATCAGTGTCATGGAGCGAATGCTCAAAGTGTTTTTCTTTGTTCCTCATAGCTCGGACAGTCACCATGAGGCCGCGGTAAGCCGGAAGTGTACCTGAGTGAAGATTGAGTAATCTTAGAGGAGAAAAGACACAGTTTCCACGAAAAACGGAGTGTCAGAATCATCTTCGGATTGATGCAGACAGCTGGATCAGACTTTGGCCCTCATTTTTGATCCGGTTTTCATAACACGAGCAGCCACCAGAACCAACGCGCCCAGAAAGAAGGTCAACCCGCCCCATATCTGGGCTCCAATGTAGCCGTCGGCCCTAGCAATGAGAGCTCCACCGAGGGGTGGACCAGTCAGACAGGCAAAACTCACAATGGTAAAGCCCATGCCGATGCGGACTCCGGTTTTGCTTAGGTCGGGTGTAAGACTGGAGAGTGTCGATGGCCAGAGGCCCTGCACACCATTTGAAAACATGCCGTAGAGCACGGCAAAGACGTACAGGCCTGCAGTCGAATGTACAGCAGCCCAGCAAAACATCATTACACTTGCAGCCAGGGTCAGGGGAATGATGGTGTTGAGGGGTCCATACCTGAGATCGGCCAAATAGGCAGGGATAAGGCGACCGACGATTCCTGCTCCATTGGTTACAATGATCAAATTGCCCGAGTCCGAGTAGGTCAGGCCGAGAACGTCGCGGCCAAATGCACCAATGTAATAGAAGGCGAAGTATAGCCCCCAGAAGTTCAGAAACATGCCCAGACAGAAAAGCACATAGGTAGGTTCCTTGAACGCCGACCATTCAATGAGGGGGCCAGCCTTGCGCGGGGGTAGTCTAGTTTGCAATAGAAGAACAGCAGGGATACTCGTACCGAGCATGACAAACCCCAATACCCTAACCGTCCAACCGAATCCGATCGTCGGCAGGAGAGCCTTCACCAAGCCGGGAAGAAGCATGCCTCCAGTTCCACTCCCAACCAGACAAAACGCCAGGGCAAACACCCTCCGCTCAGAGAAGTAGGTAGCGACCAGTCCCATCACGGGGCAGAACTGCAGGCCACTGCCAAGGCCTGTGCAGATACCCTGAGCGAGGAATAGCTGCCAATAGCGCGTTGAGAGCGAAGTCATGAACACCCCGAGGAGCTGCAGAAGGACCCCGGCTCGAAAGACTGGCTGAAAGAAGCCCGCGTCCAGGGCTCGACCGGAGAATGCCCCGACAAAGAAAATGAGGAAAACCTGTACGGATCCAACCCATGAAATAGCTGATGGTGAAACGCCAAGCGTGGATTGATAGTAGGCCTGGAACATGCCGAAGGTGACAATGTACCCCCAGGTGTTAAACACCACTAGATGGCCCATAATGGCTTGTGTCCATGCCTTCACCCCTCCGTCGGGCGGGGGTTCAATGAGGGAAGATTGTCGGTCGTGCGAAGACTCGGGGTCTTTATCATTCAATGTCATGGTGGTGTGGGGTGCAATGCAATACGAATTATCCAATGTGGAAAATGGGTTAAGTTAAGATTATTGCCACTCTTTGTGTCCCAATTGCGTTGTTTTGAGGGGAGAAATATCACGAATGACTCAAAGTGTCGGAGTTAAGAAGCTGCGACAACCTGTGCTACCCGCCATACCCGCTATATCCACGGGCTTTTTTTTTGAAGGGCGCACTAGTGTTTGACGTTATATGTACACTAATATATTTCAGGATAGATGTAGGGTTCATGATTCTACACATTCGGGCTACTCCAGAGCTCCATCATACATACTAAGCACGGCTGATCGACAGGCTCCATTATTTACCCAATCCGGCTATGTATCTACAGGGCTAGGTATGGCTGTCGATCGTACTTTTGTTATGTCCCTTTGAACCCATTTTCTCGGTTCTCTGACCTTGCATGTGAGTATCTCCACGTGTGTTGTGAGGAATTGGGGGTTTAAGAATATAATGACTTTCAAGTATTAAGATACATCAGCTTCGCGACTTTGCAGAAGAAACTGAGAGCATTATTGGCCATTTCTACTCAGTAGGGGCAATTTCCTTATAGAAAGATGCATAATTACGCTCCCACCAGGGTATGTGGTAGCTATAGTAGTGGCTGGAGGACTACTCAACTGAATGAGATATAATTGTTGGTATTAGGTGCCCCATCTATAAAAACATCGTAGACATGCATTGACACACCATTAGAACACCAAAGGTCATCACTCAGTGATTATTGATCACCGTCAGCAAGTTTTCAACCACCAAAGAAGGATCTGAAGTGCGTCACTTTCACTGTTTGTGATAATTGGTTTGAAACTATCATTTTCAAAGCTATCGCAGATGGCTTATATTGTAGGATACACTTTCTCCATCGACTCAGCATGTTGCTGTATTGGCTGTGTTTCGTTATTTACTCTTGGAATTCATTGAGTAATCCAGGCTAAGCGTCTTCCAGGACTTCGTATATAGTATAAGGTTGACATCTTCTAGACCTACTGTAAGAAGACACTTGGTGCTTGGTGGAATCACAGAACTACGGAATTACGAGAACCCACCTTTTTACCTGACCAATTGGCTAATTTCAAACATTCTCCATAAATTATTTGTGGGTACAGGGACAGCATTTTAGAGAATGTCAATCTCAATATCAATGACGACATCGTGGATCAGCCCCGAACCAGATAGGGCCGCTGCCCTCTCTGCCCTCTCGCGTAAACAGATGACCCGTATAAAGTATCTGAAAGGGTTAATCATGATCCCTACAACCTCCAAGAAATAGCGCAAATCTCGCTGAATCCCCGAAAATGGGTTGGATTTGCGCAATTCGTCTCCAGGGTATCTCCCTTGATATGGGACGGTTTCTTGAAATATGAAATCTCGACAATATGCGTGAAAAAAGATTTACAACTTAAGTTTGTTTGCTCACATATACACAGCTTTGGGGACTCAATTGTTTTCTCCATATCAATATCAAAATCACCATCTATCAGGTCCAGGATAATTGTTCCGCGATGGTCCCCGTTCCTGGGTGGGACCGACTAGCTCAGGTACGCGATGCACTCCATTCTATTAATTCTACTTTTTTTCCTCCTTTTTTTTCTTTGGCACGCAATGATGATATTTTATCTGTGACTTACCTTTCATGGTGAAATTTGATACCTTATGTTTCAAGACGGGTCTCTGAGTGTGCCAATTTTACCTTGTGTTTTATATGCTGTGTCTTATTACGTGTCCATGCTAACTCAAGTGAAGTCTCTAGGTATCTTGTCGGAAATAATAGGGCTTGATCTTTTAATATCATTATAATGTTTACGACATTCAAAAAATACTATGGTGCTGGGGTAGATGTTTCCCACCTCTTTTAAGCATATGGTACTCTGGGTTCGGCGCCGTCTTCGCTAGATAGCTGCTGAATAACTTCATTTATAACCCATTTTTTGAATTTATATTTCTTCATGGTACTCCCGTATATCACCTGACAAAGTAATTAATTTGTTGATCAAACCAATTGCTGATTCACCCAACTGCTGATAAATGATTATTTAAATCCGTACTTAAATCCGTAATTCCGCGATATCACGATGGTCGGCCAAAATTACCCCTAGCTACCCGTGGGCGGATTACAAGCCACCGGATTAGCAATTGAGTGATAAGCAAGAGACTACATGTCTATATAAATGACAGATCCGCACCACAAAAGCCATCTGTACAATTAACTCGAACTCCCAAAATGACTGCTCCCCTCACTCAATCCCTGCACGCCATAAGCCGGGCAGCACTATCCAGAACCAGTCCAGCACGCCTGGTATCCACCTGTCAAACCAATCTATATCGAACCCAAACACAAACACCTCGCTCATTCTCCTCCTCAACCCGCAAACAAACCTCAACTCCAGCAGCAAACATGTCCAGCGCTTTAATAGACCTCGCCAAGAACAGGCGCACGATCTATCAACTCGGCAAGGAAAGTCCAGTCCCAGATTCCAAGATCGAAGAGCTTGTCAATGCCGCCATTCTGCATGTCCCCAGTGCATTCAATACTCAATCTACGCGGTTAGTCGTGCTCCTACACGATCAGCACGATAGGCTATGGGATATCGCCATCGAGGCCTTTGAGGTCCTTGTTAAGGCGGGTAAGATTCCGCAGGAGATCTGGGAGAAGCAAACATTGCCTAAGTTGCTTGGTTTTAAGGGGGCATATGGAACGGTACGTACTTTCACTTTTCCCTCCAGAGCTTTCGATCTTGGTTCTCTCTTGAAACTCGCGAGATCCAGTCTTGTCCATAGCTAATCAATACCCAGATCCTCTTCTACGAAGACCCATCACACATCAAACCGATGCAGGAGAAGTTCGCTACCTACAAGGATAATTTCCTGCCGTGGGCGGACCACACCAATGCTATGCATCAGTATTTCCGTATGTTCATTCTTTTCTTTTTCTTCATGTGTCACTTCATTCCTCGTTCTAACGGTTACCAGTCTGGACGGGTCTTGAAGCACTCGGCTTTGGCGCAAACTTGCAGCACTACAGCCCGCTCATTGACGCTGGTGTTGCGAAGCAGTGGGATCTTCCCAGTGAGTGGCGGAATGTTGCTCAGTTAGTCTTTGGGAGTCCTGAGGGTGCTGCTGGGGAGAAAGTGCACAAGCCTGTTGAGGAGAGAGTCAAGGTTTTTGGGAAGCTGTAGTTTAGATATAAATTTAGATGAGGCAGGGATTTGAGTATAGAGTTTGGTATAGATTGAATTAGAGCAGCTCCCTTGCAAAGAAATTCAAATGATTTGTAGATGCCAGTGAAAAGGCCAGTCAACCCCAACCATCGTGCCTTCCTCCCATCGTAGGGATTGTAAGATCCCCCTCCCGAGACTTTGGTCCGAAGAGACATACACATTATTGGATGTCTGCTGGAATGTGCGGGTCTTCGAAAATGTTTGCTATGGGGTCCTCAGTGTCGAATGGTTCAAGCTTTACCCATAGCGAGAAGTTGGAGTTTGTCTGCTTGGACATAAAGCCTCTCAAATTATCCCAAGAACCGCCCATTGCATCTTGATCAAAATCAATATCCTCCGCACTGTCATGGAATTTCAGTCTCAACCCCTGGAGGTTAAGTCCAAGCTCTCGGCAGCCCATGAAGCGTAGCAGCTTATCTCTGAAGTGATAACCACTGACGCACAGCCGCGGGTCCCATGGTAACTCCTGTTCAGTCGAGGGAATACCTATGCCTTTCAAGTCCGCTTGTTCAATAGCTTCTTCGGTTTCTTCATTTTGGCGAACCTTTGGACCCCGAATCCAGAGAAGCTTGACCTCGATGGGTGGAAGTTTGTCGGTCTCGAACGTTGAACCGATGGTCCCAAGGCCGGGCGGTACTTTTTCGCCTGCGGTTTGCATCCAAGCGGGAAAGTTCGACTGGTTGACTGTAGTTCCATTGTTCATTGCCTTGGAACTACCAAAGCGTTTTTTCCAGTTTGACCTGAAAAACCCAGATGAAATATATCGCTGTACCTCCCAGCAACGATTGAACACCTCCAGTTCTCCCTCCTTCGTATCTTTGAAGGGGCCGAGATAGGGAGAGGGGAATTCGACTGTTTCACTTGGGAAAGTGAGATTTAGCTTCTCAAATTCTGATGCGTGGCGCTCTAGAAACTTCGCCTGTTCAGATTTTGTCCGTCTGTTGTTTTCCTCTGCGGTGTTTGCATTGTAAACATGAACGTTAAACGCCATCTTAAATAGCGACCAGGCCACGATCCATTTCTTCTGAAAAGCCTTTCGTAATTCGCTGTCTGTATCCTTGTAAGGCCACGCGGTTTCTGGTTCCTCTACCCGTGCAAGTCTGTCCTTGTTCGCAGCCTTTGAAAGCAGTTGAAACGGTCCGATCTTCCTCAGTCCCCTGGCCGCCCCTCGAAAGTACTGTTCGGCTGCAAGGCACACCCATGAAATTGCAAATTTGCGTAAGTCAGAGGTGTTCTGAAAGCCAAGATATGCAGCCAGCATGGCCTCTTGGCCGTCGGCTTTCAGCCAATCTTTCCCCTCGAGATTCACCGGAACAAAAGAGGTGGCTTTGGTTTGTCGGGCGGCTTTGAGGCTCTTTGTCTTAAGCGAAGCTATCTCTGTCTCTGTCTCTGTCTCTGCGGCGGAGAGAATTTCACCATCCCAGGTATCTTCCTGAGTCTATATTTAAACCCGAGATTAGTCCAAGCTAAATTTGAGCTTGAGTTTCTGTTCTTACTGCCTTCTTGCTTGGGCCCGGAGACCCCGGTGCGGGCGAAGTTGCAGGGCGCTTCCCCTTTGCCTTTTCGGAAGACATTATGTCTCTCTGCTGACTGTCAATAACTCTGTGGCCAGTTGCTCTCTGATGATGAGATCAGGAAGTTTTGTCTTCATGGGAGACATGAACAGTGAAAAGTACTGCTTGGGGACGAGCTCACTGACAATGCCTCCAGAGTGAGAGCAAGCTCATGCGCGTTGCGCAAGGAAAGGATTGGGCCTGTGCTGTGGAGCAAAAGTGCTGATGCTCGAGGAGGATGAATAAAGTAGGTGAGGATGCGATGTAACCTTGGAACCTTGGAAGAAAGCAAGTGAGGTATGAGAAAGGCTGGATGTGAAGTCGATCAGTGTCAAAGGAGGATTGAGTCTCAGGGTAGACCTGGGAGACTTCCCCTAACATAAGGCACGTGGGCAGGAAGTCAGATCCAACGTGTAAGTGCTTCGGGTTTGGATTCACTGCAAACGTGTAGACACCGTTCTGACTAGCAAGTTACGTTGGTATGTTTGTCCACTTTAGCTGTCTCATCTTCCCGGTATTATTTATCATCTTGGTAATACCTATCGTCTTCAATCCCTAGGTATATAGCCGTAAGACTGTCGGTTGTCCTCGAACCCAACGTAGTAGAACTGTTGAAGAGATCCGCCCAGGGTATGATTCCACCGAATTCTACCTAGCGAGCCCATAGATAAAATGCTTACAGCTTTTTACTTAGAGCCTTACAATTAGGCTTTAGGTCAACCCCGATTTGGGAGCGGCTCTCATTAATGTCTCGTCGCATATACTCGTACATGATATTCGTAAGACTTTTATTTCATTTCCTTGCTTTCTATTTCTCTTCACTGCATTGATCTCGACATGAAATATCGGGGAGTGTACCGGGTGTTCAAAGGTGGGACGGGATTTAAGTCCGTTAAAAAATACACCAAATGAGGAGGACGTGCAGAATTCATACGTCGACTCAAAAATGGCAGAAACAGAAACCTCGATTTCGAGGTCCACGTCTTTGTGGACATCATGATGGCCGGATTTCATCTCCGATAAATTGTTCAACGGGAACAGTGCCTAAAAAATAAGGCTCGGGCGTTAGAGAAGATCGCAAATAAACATGAAGCACGATATGATGAGGAGCTTGCCAGCCTCTTACAAGAATATAGCAAGACGGAGTGGGATTTGTACCTCAAAGAATTAAAGCTTCCTGTTGGGTTTGTGAAAGGGTCTTACGATATCTTGCGACAAAATCCAACTTGGTATCTTCGGGAAGAACTAGTTGAAGACTGCGCGAGAAGGGGTGGCTGTTGCGGTCGAAACTGTGGGTGTTGTAAAACTCGCCAGTCAGCAACAAGACGAGCCAAGGGGATTGGACATTGTACTCCTTCGTGTGGGTGTTGTTCGAATGAACGAGGCTTCGAGTATACTGCGTACGAGAGGCAGAAAATGGCCACTGATCTTAAGAAGGCATTGAACGATAATAACCCAGCATATCTTGTCAAGATGGCAGAGGGTTATTTTCTGAAACCCCGGGGCGGAATATTGCAGTGGAACTGAATATTTAGAATGGTTTGAATACCAGGAAAATGTTGCTTACAGATTCAACACCTATACTACTAAGTAGTGACTATTGCTGCTAGAATACATTTAATTGCAAGGTCTAAGAAGCTATGCTCAGAAAAATAGCAGTGTATATGTAGCTTGTTGATATAGAAGCAAAAGATATACACTAAGTCGGCCTCAATCAATCACTGGATGATTACTAGAGGGCTTCAATAACTCAAATCTCTGCTCCCGTAGTAGCATCCCTCAACATATATAGATGTGCCATAAGAAGATGGTTTCTTCATAGGTGGAGTGGAACACCTATAGAACCCGCTGGTCGATCGTGTATTCCACGATTTGGCAGTCGGGGAAATCATGTACCGCCCTCTTCTAGGTATACCGAGTCACCTTTTTCGAAGAGCAATCTGGATGGCGGCAAAAGATTTCACCTTGGTAGATCATGGGATTTTCTACCACTAGGTTTCGTGTGGTTGACCTTCGCGATTCAAGGGTAAGACTAAAGATATGTTAGCTAAACATCACTCCATATTGGATGTAACATACGTGGTCAATAGAATTAAGGATGGCTGCTGTCCCCTCGGGATGACCATTCGTAAGTTGCCACAAACGCGTCTGTGCCGCTTCTGTGTGTAGAATTGACGTGTCATGATTGTGAACGATTTTGGTGCTAGGACGGGGCCAACGCGGAACTGGGGTTCGTCTTTCTTTATTGCGGCATCGGTTTTCAAAGATAGGTTTCCCAGCGTGGAGGCATGAAGGCTCTCTTCAGTACCTTCCATCATTGTCCTATGTTTGTGAGATCCAGTCATCATCCCACAGTGAACACAGGGCGACATCTCGTCGGCACCTTTGTTGAAGAACCCTTGTACCAAAGGGAACGCCAAGTTCAACCCCAAAGTGTCTTTCCCCCAAGGAATATCAATCCTCTCTCGGATCTCCTCAATAAATGACCAAACGCAAGGTCTGACAAACTTGTGAGAGAACATCGGCTTCTCCAGAGTCCCCAGCAAGATAATGAACAACCCTTCTAGAAGATTGAGATACCCTCCTTCGATAGGAGTATCGAAGGCCGCCAGAACCCGAGCATACGCTTTCTTCCTTGCCCAAGTTTCTTGTACAGCAGTGACCTCCGACTTCTTAACCATATTGCCGGTTGCCTGTGTGTTCCAATTCGAACCCGAATTTTCACACTCGATCCCACGTATATTGCGGTAATGACGTCACCTTCTCTGGTTTCCTCCTCCACCACAATAAACACATATATTCCCATCCAGCCTTCCATTTCCACATCAGGCAAGGCAAGCCAATCCATGGGACCTGCCGGTCAAAGCGTAACCTCCGCGAATGACGAAAATGAATGGCAACCCATGGGCGTAGGCGAGAGGTGCAGAGTCTTCTTGCGTCCGTCCGGCGCGCACGTGGCCATTTCGATCGAAATCCACAGGCCATCTTTTACTCCGTTCGACTGCGGTGACAGTTTTCATGGCCATGTAAACGTGTTCGTCAGAGAGTTTAACCCCATTGAAGGGGGGGGGGTGCGACCCAGATGTGGTGGTCCCCAAACCAATCCGAGCACACTAATGTAACATTTTCGCATCATCCTCCAGTGGAATATCTGAACGATTGCTTCATGCTCTTGGGGGTGTTGATGTTCAGCTTGGTTTTCAGTTGACTTTGACTTCACCCACGGCTTTGAGAGCAACTTGGACACCGCATGAGACCGTATCTGATGTCTTGTGGTAGCCAGTATCGGCTGATTTAAAACCAGCGAAGCGATTATCCACTATCTGTGCCCCTTAATCATAAGCAAATGCTTGGTTGGGCGTTTCAAAAGCTCTAATCAGTTCTTCGTTTGTGGATCGGCTATAATATGGCTATTGTAAGTAGGTATTCCATAATATCTAAGATAGAAATAGCATTCTTACCGCTTCTCTTTCTCTCGCCATATTAGCACGTAGCCCTTGATTGCCGCAAAGGCAACTAGGCCAACAACGAGGACCAGAACGGTCATAAATAGCCGAGTTCCAAAATATTCGCTATTGATTGTTTATCTTGAGAAAGATGAAGTACTGCTCATCTGCTGCAATGCCATAGACAGTTGAATTTGTCTTCTCAAGTTCTTTCCGTCTTTGATGTACACATCCTTTGACCAAGTTAGATTATGTACTCCAGACTTGGAAGTAAAGATAGTAGAAGCCACTTACCCACATATCCGAGTGCCTGAGATACTCTAATCAAAGGCCATGGTGGGTGTCAAGTGCCAAGTGATGTAGTGTTGTGAGAAAGAGAAAAGAAATTGTTGAACGATATGGATGGGAAATGGGAAGTAGGAAGGAAGTTGCGGCTTAGACTCTTGTTTATATATCTAAGTACTACACGGCAGTCACGTCAGCTCACTCTCATATTTTATTGATACATACATACATGTACATGTGCGTTGTTTTCATCTTACCATGCCTTATACTACCTTGTATCAATACGATCAGTAGTAGAAAAGGTGATGCACTTACTACATATGTATATATGTACGTGACTAGAACAAGAAGTGATCAACAGAAGTAATGATAAATTGCTGATGATAATCTAAGTACTGCCATGAAGCTCTCTAAATAGCTTTATGAAGACAAAGGGACAAAGTAACAAAGGCCTGAACCCCACAAAGGGGCAAAGAGAGGTCTGACAAGCTGCATGTAACTGTATCAAAAAGTACGTATGAAGTTATTTGACAATTTTCCTACTACGGATCACTTATATGTCCATTTTCATGAGTCCCAGATCTATTCACGTTGAAAGATCAGGTAGTCCACATTAACTGTGTATTCATCGGTCAGTTTTAAGCCGTTTCTACCACCTATAATCTAGCTACAACACCAATAAGGGGAGGAATATCTAAACAAAAGACAACTAAAAAGACGTGATAAGGCCGTATATGCGGCCGACTATTCTTGTTCTATATCCATGGTTAAGCGGGCAAGAAATTGTCCAATGAGACAAATACTCGCAATGGCTGATCTTTCCATGCGCCTGGCACTTTACGTGCTATAACTCAACAGACGATGGTATTCCAACATTATACACTATATCTACCACTTTGTTTGAGACAAAATCAAAAGCGCATTGAAAGATCAGTGAAGTTCAAATTTCTGATTTGTACATATGTGTGGATCGAGGACACAGTTGCCCATGTTCTATTTCCTTTCCCAAACCTCCTCATCCATCAGGTTCTCAATTATCTTCCCCCCTTGCTCAGGTGCAACCCCCGAGAACCGCGCAGCTTATTGTAAGCAACCTCGAAGAACAGAGGGTGCTTTGGATTCCGTAAATCATCAGGGCCCCAGACTTTCTCCGGTGGCAAAGTCAGCAAGACCATTTCGTAGCTGGTCTGGTCATCTGGCTGAGTTGCGTCGGCAAAATACTTCCACCTCATCCGCCGATCAAATTCCTCAGAGTCGGCTGTCCGGTGTGTGTTGGAGCTGGCTTTCGATTCGCGAAGACTCATCGAAAGATCGTCGTCTTAGGGTTCCTCTAGGTTTTGCTAGGCGCACTAGTATTGTAGCGCAATCTCGAGCGTCTGATTTGTATTTTTAGATTGACCGTCGGCCGGTTGTAGTAAGCCGTATGGTCTGCGAGGTGGTACCCTAATTTCCAGACGGGTGGGGCATTTCCTGATATACTGCTTGAGGAGTTTGGCTCCTTTGTAGAAACAGATTCTCTTGAGATGCCTGATTGTCCAGGCTTCAGACTATGGCTGTTTGCTGGCAGACTGAGTATTGTTGAGATGACGTTTTCAGGGTATAAATACCCTGCCATTGCTGGTTTGAATATATCATGATTCTTCCTCTTCTTTCTCTCCGGCCAGTAGTAGATTGAACATATCCCTTTCAAACGCTGCCAGCAGCGATTGTAGCCCTAATGTCTTCAGGGGTTCGGCTTGCTCGGACTATTCCGTTACGGTCAAAGTCGCCGGGGAACTTCTAGGCTCCTTTCCTGCTTTATCGTAGTCGTTGTCATTTTAGAATGCAGGCCGGTTTCGGGTTTAGTCTGATCGCGGAAGCGCCGTTTTAGATCCTCCAGGAATCGCCTCCAAGTCAACAATCTCTTTACCTACTTGTAAGATGTGTTGATCCAAATCCAAATGTTAGTAGGGCTATCCTTTCAAAGAGTACCCTTGACTAGAGAACATACTCGTAAACAACGACCAAATGACTGCGCTTCCTGGCTCCAACTCCATCCTAGAGCTGAGAGAATCACAAGGTCACAGGCTTCATGGAGATTGAGCCCCACTAAGCCGATGTCACACGTAATTACCGGGATTTTGAAGACCTCTTTACCAAGCCTTTCTCCACAGCTCATTGTTTTCTTTGTTTTGTCTTTAGTGAGAGGAAGACTGCAAGCTCTTCCTCGTATAGTGTATGTCATATATACATAGGATGCGGCGAAGTTTGTCCTCATGGCCAGCCCAGAACTGTCGCACTCCGGTTCTCAGCATGAGGAAGTGATCCCTGGCCCATGGCGTCTTAGCTTCGCCGATGATCTTGATGGCAGCACTAGCGTTCATGATAACAATGTCGGAACTCTTGCGTGTGCAGATCGTGCAGCTGAACTAGCCGCCTTGGAGTCCCCAGTTTGTAGGTTATGCCCTTGTGTTTGAAGGCATGCTGTGACTGTTTGTCCCAGGCGTTCGTTCAAGCGCCCTTGTAGCCCTGTCTCGTCTCCCACTACTAGCTGTTCTCGTGGGACAGAGTTGTCTGCACCCTGGCCACTCATAGTCACATCGAGGGTTCGCTTATCGAGCGCAGCTTTCTTTTGAAAGAAGTATTTTGCTTTATCGTTTTTCCAGAACGTGTCAACTGTAATGCTGGTCTGAAGAAAGCAAGAGTGCGGATCTGTCTGGGGATAGGGTCTGGTTCTCCTTTCCTTCCAGTGCCGTGGGAAGTTTGCCATCCTGTCTCTGGCCCTTGACCTTATTGGAGCTAGAATCGATGATTTCATTTACCTCCTGGTAAAAAGTCGCGATCGGGTCCTGAGTCAACTTCCCAAGTAGATCGAGTAGGTCAGGATGGTTCTCAACCTGTCCGTTTGTGACCTTTTTCCATCTCAATCGCTGGCTCTCGAGCATTGACTGCTAGCTGAAAACTGACCTTCTCGGCAATTCTTTCAAAGCAGAGGGAGATTCAGTCAGGCCGGTGGGCGATCCGCTCGAACCAGAGATTGATTCGCTTAGGCCAGTCATCGATTCGTTCAGGCCAGAGGTCGATTCCGTTGGGTCGGTCGCACATTCGTTCAGCGTAGAGGTAGAGCTGCCTAGAACGTTCGCAGTCTGGCCCGGGGCATCTACAGGGCCATGTCTCGAGTTTCGAAACTGGTCGTGCAACTCCGGGATCCATGGCGCCTGAGGTGAGTGGAAAATGCCATTGTGGAGCAAAACATCGATGCGACCCGTCTGCGCCCAGAATCTTACGCCATGGTTCTCGGTAGATTTGGCATTGCATCCTTCCGGCAGTTCTTGAAATGCAGTCAACATGAAGACGATCTTGTGAGTTCACCAAGGGCTTATAACATACTCTTCAATACGGCTGGGTCGATTTTGGTATTGCCCGCCCCGCATTCAAGGCCCTGGCAATACCACCCTGGGCAATTTTGGAACCCATCAGGATAGAACCAAACAGTAGCTTCCATGGGTCTATCATTCTGGAAGGATTTAAGAATACAACAGGACTCAGAAATGAGGCGCATAATTATTCAAGGTTAACACCGAATTTTGATGTGTACTGATATGCCTGTGGCTAAGATCTTGATTTGACACTTTAATGACTGTGACAAAATGTGATAAACTCTATTAGGGCGGGAATAACTAATTAAAGACCACGAGGAGTGACCGGATAGGAATTGGATATCGTTTGTTCACAAGCACTGCAATCGAGCCCTACTAATAACAAAAACACATGCGTCACGTACACGTACACACTAACGCAAAACCACAAGTGGAATATAGGGCATAACAGAGCTGCGAGAATATTTCAAGAAGTCTATATGTGCAAACCAGGGAAGTTGGACCGACATCACCGCGTCGAAAGTTCGTAAGGTCCTTGTCGGGAGACTTGCGAATGGTCCGTCGAATTTTGCGCGCCTTGTTCGGACTGAGAGGTCTGCTGGAAGCTTTGCTCGTATCCTGAGGTTTGTGTTGAGGTCTGTGGGAAGGCAAGGGCTCGGTCGTAGCCCAACTCATGCAATATGCTAGGTTTGGTGTCAGGAACTTCCACGGGTGCCGTGGTTATTATTGGGAGCGGGGGTTGCTGTAAAGACCCATCTGCCGTTGCACTGTCCTGACTTGCAGTTCGGTTATATTGTTGACGACGACGTAGGATAAACCAACAAGCAGCGGCAATGATCGCCAAAGCAGCAACACCACAGCCTGCGCCAATTCCTGCCTTGGCGCCGGTTGAGAGACCGGTGCTGCCGGTTGAGGCCGTCAAGTTGGTCGTGGAAGAATTTGTGGATGCAAGTGACGTCCAAGCGTTTTTCCAAGTAGGTTCCCAGCTATTCCCAGAGGCTGAGATGGTGGTGTCACTAGTGCTAATGTCGACAACATTCTCAATATAAGAGTAGTCTGGTCCGGGGGCTTGAGCCAAAAACCAGGATTTCTGGGACCAGTTGACGCCGACGAAAGCTGCCTGTAGAAAAGCACGACCAAGTGCTGGATTGGAGTCGGTGCCCATGCATGGAAAGTATTGCGTGGGGTTGGTCACTAGGGGGGCTTCCAGTGTAAGGTTTAGAAGAGCGAAAGGAACCTTTATGGTGATATCCGCAGTGTTAACACCATTCTTGGTGAAAGTAAAAGCCAAGTAGCTGGGCGAGGTCACAATTTTGGTATATTGCGAATTGGTTGTGTCCCAAAAGTAGAGGCCCAGAGCGGAATCGTAAGTGACAGGCAGTTTGGCGGCAATGGCGTCGCACGAACTTTGGGGTAGATAGATATATGGGTTTGCTGGGTCCACTGCTACCGTGAAACCAGACGTCAAAGAGGAATTGCTCTGTGCAAGCAACCCCGTCATATTAGAGGAATTCCAGGGCGAGCCCCCGTTTGCAACGCCGATACTTATGTCGAGCAATTCAATTGGAAGCTTCCCACTGTCGACTGGCTGCGCAGAAACATCCCCAAAGACTCGACTTTTGTCGTATCCCCCAAGCTTAAGAGAACCGGGAATGCCGAAGGAGGCAGAGCCAATATGCATTCCGTACGAATAGGACGGGATTTTTCCTTCTTCGTAGAGGTAACTGGGGACGAAAGTGCCATTGATAGCCGGGTATGGGTCGTTGGTGAATGTTTGGTTGATGTCCGTACATCCTAGGGAAAGGACACCCACTTCCAAGGGGTAGTTCTTTCCACCGGGATAGGTCTGGTACCCCTGTGAAATGGTAACCAAATCCACAGATTGCACAACCGTGCCTCCAATGTCTATGGAGTCTAGCGCTGATTGTTTCACAGCGTTGATAGGCACTGCGTTGGTATATCCGAGTTGCATACTGGACCAACCACCTTGATGTGGATCATAAATAGAGGTATCGTCATATTTAGATGAATCTGCGGTGTCGAAAAGACCAGCCTGATCCCCGTAGCAGATAGATGATATGTCCGTCGTGTTTTTGCAAAGTGTAGAGAGGAGAATTGTACTCGCCCAAGCTCCTCCGGGATACAACGCGATCTTTGTGTCGTTGCCGCCAATTCTCACGCTGACGGCTTGCCAAGGGCCATCAGGTCCAAATTGCTCAGAGGACCAAGTCATGCTCCAAGGACCTCGGGCAAGAGAACCATCGATGTACAAACCCCAAAGGAGGGCCACGGCCCAGAACAATGGATGCTTCATTTCTGATTAAAAAGGAGAGTTAGCCGAATCTCTACATGCTAAAATTCCGTCTCATAGAATATCAAAGTACGTGTGAATAAGTTTGAAGTAAACAAATGTGACTTACCTGTAGGGTTTGAAGGGAAGCTTGGAAGGGGAGAACAGGAACCACGGTTCGTTTAGGTGTATTCTGACGATCAGATGAGGGTTCGTTCGGCGTTTCGTCAGATTTATTTGACAGGAGATCTTCTGAGCAAGCACGCGAAATTCAACAGAAATAGAATCGACACGACTCGATGCCGGTAACAGGGTATTTTTTCAACAACCGCCGTGGACGGACGCATGAGAAAAACCGGGAAATTGGAGAGAGATTTTGGGCAGAGCACGCGTAGGACCCTATTGTGCATTGACTGTTTTAGCCGCATGGGCTCAACTCGTGGAAATTGGCTAAACACGCACTAATGCACAGTCTACTAAGTACAATATAGGGGCAGTAGGATGGCCTGATCGCCCTCCCCAGCATAGGTAACAATCCCACACAGATTTCGATTTGTCATCGATCGCCAAATAACGATCGGCTCTGACCATTGCTAAACAAAGCATAGCATTGCACTGATGATCCAGTTGACCTGCCTCTAAAAGACGGGAGATTTAACAAAGAGCAGGACTACATATACGTGGGTGGGTGGTAATATAATACCAATCGTATATGTCATAAGATCCCTAAATAAGGAATACTAATTTATAGACCTGGTTTCGGTTGTGGACAGAATTTGGTCGAAACCGGAAGCGGCAGACTATAGAGAATAAGCCTATTGTCCGATAGATCTTTATTAACAAGGCTCTACCCGCCGCCCAGACCTTTCCATTGTCGATCGCGGACCGGCCAGCTCAGTGATGGCGTACCGCCCCCAATCAGTGTACGCTAGCAAAGTTAGCGTGGTTTTAGGTCCTGAAATGAGGGGCGCTTGCCCAATCTACCCCACCCGTAGGGTGATTGCAATATTCCTATTGGTGTTTTTTGGTTCTTGCTAGCGCATAAACGAGTCATGGCTAAGACACTCGCTTCGATTACGGCACAGATTTTGGGTCCCCTGAGCCTCCTCGTGTGTTCTGGGTCATTATCCCAGCGGTTGGCTTGCTGTCATTTCTCTTCAATCTGGCTTGGAGGCTGACAGGCCCAAGAGAAAATATTCCTTCGATAACTCACTACAATCCATAAATCTAGGACATTGATGGCTTATCGCTAGATTTTGCAAGCGATCATGTTAATCATGTCCGCAAGGTCTCCCAAAACCTTCCGCGCTGTATTCGTCCTGATATCCGTCACATTGCTGGTGGTGACTTTTCTTCGAGTTCGGGGCTCCTCGAGCTATCTTAGCCCTCAACTTACCATTCATTTCGGGAAAGAAGTCGACTGGTCTCGCTTTGCATATACACAATATGTCACCGACACGAATTATCTGTGCAACTCGGTTATGCTATTTGAGGCCCTGCATCGTCTCGGCAGCAAACCCGATCGCTTAATGATGTACCCCGACTATTTCTCGGTCGCTGATGACGATGATTCAAGACAGGCGGAACTACTCCGCATCGCTCGGGATAAATACGGAGTCAAGCTTAAGCCCATTCAAGTGCAAAGCAGGAACGGGGGTGATCGTAAGTCATCCTTCCCCGCTGCGGAGTACACTATGATGACTTTGCGGGACCGCCTTTTTTTTATGTCCCTCTCAACTAATATCAGCCGCAGAAACATGGGCCGAGAGCTATACGAAGCTTCTCGCTTTCAATCAAACACAGTACGATCGTGTTCTTAGCTTAGACTCCGACTCCACTATTCTCCAGGTCTGTAAATCAAAAATATCATCTCATCGTTCCCACTAACCTACCTACAGGCTATGGATGAGCTGTTTCTGCTCCCTCCTTGCCCTGTCGCAATGCCGCGAGCCTACTGGCTTAATCCTGACGACCGAGTCCTAAGCTCCCAAGTGGTTCTCATCCAACCGTCCGAGTTTGAATTCATTCGCATCATGGAGGCAATTGGCAATGCAAGCTCGGGCGACTACGACATGGAGATTGTCAACGATTTGTACAAAGACAGCGCATTCGTTCTGCCACACCGTCGCTACGATCTTTTGACTGGAGAGTTCCGCGGCAAGGAACATGCGGGCTACCTTGGAAACCCATTGGAAGAATGGGATCCCTATGCGATTCTCAACGAGACTAAGTATCTCCATTTCTCCGACTGGCCTGTGCCTAAGGTTTGTGTCGAGATTCCAAATTTGCCTTCTAAATCGACCCAATGATGCTGACTCGCTGTGTTCGATAGCCATGGATCGATGCTCCCAAATATATCATCGATGAAAAGCAACCTACCTGTGATTTCAACCCTCTGACCCAACAAGAAGATGACTGTCGCGCTTTGAATATTTGGTTGGGCATATATGACGACTTTAAGTCACGACGGAAGGTAAGTCATTAGTTCTCGATTCATATCTATTGGTCTGTCTTTTTTTTAACGAAAAATAAAAATACAGAGTATATGTAATACCAACGCGGCGGAAGTGTAATTAATCCACGAGATGTCTTCACCTCCACGGCATAATGCCACTGCATACTTCATATGGGCCCGGTTTATTCCCATATCGTTGGATGCTACATTTCCATCCATTTTCCCTCTTATATCTCCATCGCGATGTACATACATTACTTTGTTTTGGGAGCCAGTCTTTTAAAGTATATATAGAAACTGGGCATACAGACATACTTACGGAAAAGGCAAGCGTTTCGTCATGGTTTTGAATCATCATCTGAAGACCTGTTGGATCAATAAGAAAACGCAACTAGATCAATAAGAAAACGCAACTAGTCCGTCAACCCTATGTACCCGCGGCCTCTAGCCAGATTGCCTTCCCTTCATGTGTGGCTGGTGCCTTCGTCCCTATTAGCCTACTGACCAGCCCTCCTCTCCTTCCTTCCACTGTTGTGCACCTCCACTCTTCTCCTAAGCTCTTGCTCGGTCTTGAGATAATTTCTGGGAAATACGCGCTTTAACTGCTAGATCACATTGTGTACTGCCATCGTACCGGCGAGCATTGGACTCTTGAAGCCACTCTGATTATCTAATTTCGCTCAGCGCCGAGAAGGTCCCGTTTTTTTGCTTTCCTCGCTTTACGACTCCTTGTATTCTGAATGTCCCTAACAATTTCTTGCCCCGTTGATTTGTTTTCTCTCATTGTAACTAATCGGACTTGGCAAGGCCTCGGCCCAGTACACCAGCGAGCTAAACCGTCATAGATTCACCCTCTGTAAACTGAATTACGCCGGCTCAGCCTCATTCACAGCGATAGGATTGACACCCTGGGGGAACTGATTGAATGAACATGCCTTGACGGGGTGCGGGGTTGTCGTGCCGCCAGCAGAATTACCAACTAGGCTATATGTTTACCATTTCCAAGAGCCAAGATATTGGACTTCTGGAAGATGGCGGTTTGCGCAGTTGGCGGTTCGCATCCCTGAGCAGCCACGGCGCGCCGTCTAATCAGCAAGCATCACTTGGTGAGCCAGGGTCGTGAAAAGCGGCACGCGCGGGGTAATTGTGCAGCAACCCGCTCAAGTACGGAGAGAGTAGTATTCTACACGATGGTAAGCAGGGGGACACAAACCGCTCCCATTGCCCCGTTTCTCCGCCCTCCTGCCCCTTCTGGCATGGCGCCCACTGCAGCCGCTTTTTGTTGCCCGATGCCTCCGTTCCTCCCTCTATAACTAAAAGACCGCTTGCCCTCTTGTCAAAACTTCCACGCACTTTCGCTCTTCTTGCCCAGCTGACCCCCTTTCTTCTCGCCCCCACCGACCTCCGACGCATTGGTCTCATCATCTTGACGCACTACCCCTTTCGTTTCACCGAAGATGCCGCTGCTTCCGACCCTCAGCCGTTCTGGCCAGTATGGGCGACGATGCGACCTCAACGCCCAGGGGCATCGGTTCCGAAATGATCAGTCCTCGGTGGCTTTCTGACTCGTACTCCTTCCAACAGAGTGGCAGGGGCTCCCTGCTACGAAAAACGATATGGCAATCTGGTCCAACGCGGAAAACTCGACATTGGCGCTGCAGAGTGGTAACTATGCTGCTTAGTCAGTCCTAACCGCAGCATCACCAAACGAGGTAAAGTAGTATCAGTTGGGATGATGAATTGGCGGCCGGAAGTGGCGCCTATGATCCGATATGTTGAGATACATATATATCGGATTTTAGTCGTACTCAGGGTGAATCATGCTCTTGCTCACTGAGCATGATCGCGGTTTCTCTTTTCCTGAATACCTGGGATGCCTGGGTACTAGGTGTCGCACGTGATCAGATGACAGATAGTTTGGTTGGCTCTCGGTGGTCGATCAGTTAGTTACGGCCCGCAACTGATTGGAGGTGGCGGCTCGGCCCGTTCCAGGAGATATCCCTAGCTATGATTCAGCTTGCTCCTTAAGAGACAGAACTCCAGTCCCTAGGTGGATATAGTTGCACTTTTCAATGATTATAGAAACGTTTTTCTATTGCTTAGTTGCCTATGCTAGCCGCTGGTGCGATGCTAGAACACTTTTTCGCTACCGAAGTTTTCTCTTTTATATCCGCTTTTTATACACTCTCTAATAATAAACCACCGAAATAAGTCAGCGACCGCCCTAGTATTTAATGACTTAGAATATCTGTATAAAAGTGATTATGACTCGCCTGGAGTCTCTGCATCCCCTATTTAGATGAAAAGAGTTAAACGAATGACCGTGTTTCTTCGCAAAGGTGCGTCATCCTCAATCGTACTTTGGGTAAACGGGAACCCACGAGCAGACTGAACCTCATCCAAGATATCCCTTCCCTTACTGTCAAACGCCCTCCCATATAAAAGCGCGTTCGGCTCGAACACCTCACGGATTCGGCGGGGTTTGGGCAATATGGACTACCACTGGTTCTGCTGCACCATATGTTAGTTCATGCCATGCCACGTCGGTACAGGTCAACCAACCGAGTTGTATATTCTCGCATCTTTGCTGAATGCCTCTGATTTGAAATATCTCACCAAGGATCATTCTATCGGGCTAGGATCTTTCTAACAGCTCGACCTGCCTTATCTCTTGCCCTAATGCATTCAGGGATGAGACTTCTTGAAATATGTTGGCAATATACTACGCCCTCATATCTGTCAACGTTAGAAAGCGGCATCAAGAAAATGAAAGGGCTCCTGCTTCCTACCGTGAGTCATTGGTCCCATGACCAGGCGGTGCAAATCGTCTTTATTGTTCTTTCTGGATCGAACCCAAATTTTCCTCCATTTCAGCAAAATTTGCAACAGTATGCTTGGTTCAAGTGCACGGAATGCTGTCGCAAAATAAGCTTGTATTTGAACAGTATCTTTGATGTCGATGGGATGAGGTTGAATCAAAGCTGACCGCTCATCCTCCATAGACAAAATCGCTTCAAGATTTGTGAGCATAATTTTGAGTTCGTCTAACCGAATGTCGTCATCGAATAAGGGCGACCTTTGAAGACGGCGAAGCATATCATTAACAAACCCAATGTCAAATAACCATGGATCGACCGACTGATAGTCACTGATATTGGCTATTCCCGAAATGCTGTAGCAAATGAGAGCTATGCTCGCTCTACTCCCGAAGGGCCTCCTAGAAGGATTCTGCCGCCTCCATACCATGAACCTGGAACTGGACGACTGAAGTGAGGCTTCGCCAAGAATGAAGAGCACATATCCGAGGTGGGCTTTCAAATCTTCCACTGAAAACGCACTAAGGGATCCCGCTTCTGTGAGAAGGTTTCGTGCCTTCATCCACCAACCCTCTACCTGCATGTGATTAGATCTCCCAGGCACGAAGCCGGCCTCCCATTCTTTAGACCAAACTTCACAGATAATGATCACTCATGTAGCATCCCAGAAATCTGCAAGAAGACCTCGGGGTTAGGAAAGGCCTCACCAACCATGATAATAGGAACCAGATTCTTTAGCTTGAGTGAGCCCTTAACCAGAACAATCGGCCAGCCGCATACTATTGGAACCGATTATCAACGGAAGGCCGATGCCTTGACATAAACATTCTTCTTGGTATCGTCTATATGTACAGTGAGATGGCGGCAGCATACGATTTTACCATTGGCTCCCTGCCTGTTTTCATAGTTTGGAGGCTTCAAATGAATCATGGAACGAAATTTGTTGTGTTAGCAATCTGGGACTTGCTTGCGTGTACGTATGGTTTACTTGCTCTCCTATTCTGGAGCTTATGCTAATAATAAGCAGAGCTAGCATGGCTGTCGTAATCTGCATCCCACTTTTGCGTTACGTGGGAGACCAGACTTCCGTGGATTAATTTCGTCGTCCAAATCCGTTATTCTTCTAATTCGTTCGTAGACGAAACCTAGAAGCCAGTCTATGCATCGCTGCCGGCAGTCTAATAATGGTTCGACCTTTGCCTCGAGTTTTCTAAGACCGACAGAGAAAGGAAAAGATGAGCTAGGCCACTGAACTATAGGTCTAGCAACCTCAAGCATCAATCATATGCAATGCCTCGACAGAAACGGGTGGACAGTGAGCTTAGACACTGTCAAGGCGAAATATATTCGTAATAAGTCTATGATTGGCCCCTCTAGATTTCAGCCAAGCTACCAAATTCGAGCTACATATGATCAGCCTGCTAGATTGATATATCATTATTGTTAAGCACGACATGAGATTATTCGTTATAGTGCATTGTCCTTTTCCTATATTTTATCCTAGTCACTACTTGGGTCTCACTTTTACGCGCATCAGCGCTAGCGAAGCATGCCCATCTATATTCTTCATCTCAAGCGAGCCCATTAGCAGTAAATGTCGGTGAGAAAGATAGTGTAATGCATCATGTAGCCATTAGTATAAGCACATCCTTTGACGTCAGAAGAGGCACAGACACCCTCGAATTTATGTTGTAGACCTGCAGATAAACATTATTGCTGCGTTGTGACAAACTCAAAACCCGCGCGGGCTAGTATTTGGCCAAGAAATTAGCGAAATGATATGAGTCTGCACTCCCATTGAGCGCCGTGTGTCCCACTTTTCTGGTGTTGTATAAAGCCTCTTCTCTTAAGTTACATTTCTGGCTCAATAACCTCTTTTTCGGTATCTTAACGAAAGAAAACTTTCAAAACTATCTCACAATGGCGGACTATCAACTCAGCATCGAGCAGCGTGGCGAGGAAATTCTCAATGTTTTTAACAAGACGTTTGGCGACCTTCTCGCCAGGGACCCTGCTGCATTCCAGGTCAAATTCCGCAAGATGGCTGCCTCGGCGTTTGCCTTCTATCGTGGTAGCGCTTGCCTCTTCTACCACAACCTCGACCTCGACCCGAAGCAGCATGTCAGCCCTTTCTTAGATGATAAAACAAAGCGAATCTGGATCCATGGCGATTTGCACGCAGAGAACTTCAGCACCTACATGGATTCTCAGGGTCGTTTAATCTTCAACGTCAACGATTTTGACGAGGCCTATGTTGGACCCTTCATCTGGGACATCAACCGCTTCGTAGCCTCAATTGCCCTAGTCGGTTACGCAAAAGCTCTCAGTGATAAGCAAATTACCCGACTCGTGAGGGTATACACTGCAGCGTACCGCGAGCGGATTCATACCCTAGCCACTTGCACAAATCAAGATGAGGTGCCACGCTTTACCCTAGACACCGCGAAGGGTCCGTTGCTGGACGCCTTACACTCAGCCCGTGCGCAGACACGTGTTGGATTACTCTGCTCGATGACAGAAATCCATGATTCCGAGCGGCGTTTCACTTTAGGTGGTGGCGCAATTAAGCTGGATTCTGCCACACGAGAGAAAGTCGAGGAGGCATTTAACCGCTATCTCGATACACTTCCCGGGTCAAGGGAGGACTGCGCCTGCATGTACCGCATCAAGGACGTGGTGGGTCGTCGGGGTGTGGGTATTGGCTCTGCGGGTCTCCCACCATACAACTTCCCGCTAGAAGGCAAGAGCGAGGCGCTGGAGAACGACGTAGTGATCTACATGAAGCAGTCCGTGGCTGCAGCGGTCTCCCGGCATGTCAAAAACAGCGCAGCCGACGCCTACTTCCATCACGAGGGTCACCGTACTGTCATCTCGCAGCGCGCTCTGCAGGCCCAAGCGGACGCATGTCTCGGCTGGACTGAAATAGATGGTGTAGGCCAGCTGGTCGCAGAGGTTTCCCCGTACGCGGTGGACCTGGACTGGTCAGATATCAACGACCTGAAGGAGATGGCGGCAGTGGTTGCCGACCTGGGTACGGCCACCGCCATGATGCACGGGGCCGGAGACGATGATTGCAGATACGGGAAATTGGTTCCATTTTGTCCCGAAGAAGTCATTGATGCAGCTATAATGGCCGATGAGGACGGCTTTGTGGATGTCCTTGTAGAATTTGCGCATAAGTACAGTGCCCAGACACGGCGAGACCATCATATCTTTGTGGATCTTTTAGAAAAACAGAATAAGAAAAACAGAAGGAAAAGAGAAAGAGAACAGAAGGAGGAAAAGATAACAGAAGAAGGAAACAGAAAAGAGAAATCAAAAGGAGTGTATTAGACCGCCACTGGTCGTGGGGGATGTGAAAAGGAAGGAGAGGAAAGGTGTGGGTTCCAAGGTTCCATTCGGTTGAAGGTAAGACTTGTGTAAGATCAATTTCCAGGACAGGTAGGACATTTACGGTGCCGGTAAGTTTAACTCCTTAGATAAATGGTTTGCCCCCGGGGGGGGGGGGGATCTAAAGCACCAGCAATCAGTATGAATTGACTCAATCAGGCCTGAACCAGCCTAGGAGGCTGCTGCAGGTCACCAGGAATAATAAATACGCATGGTAGCCATTTTTGAAACCCTGAGCCGTAGCTAGGATTGAAGATTGAGCAGTGGAGCTGAGTATGTGGACTGAGTAGGTGGAACTGAGCAATAAAGAGGAAAAAGGAGAGGGTGAGTAATGAAAATAAATAGGTTGTTATAGTGGGACCTAAGCTTATTTATGTAAGATCAATTCCAAGGGCAGATTGGACATTTACGCTGCCGCTAAGATGAACTCCTTATATAAATGATTGGAGGCAGGATCTATAGCACAAGCAATCAGTACAAATTGACTCAATTAGGCCTGAACGGGCCCAAAAGGCAGCTGCAGGCCACCAGGAATGATACATACGCATTGCAGTCATCTTGTATTGATAGTTGTAGACTGGTACTGATGGGATTGAATCATAAAGTCATAGGCTTCATGGAGGTTGAGCCCCACTGAGCCGATGTCATACGTGATTACCAGGACCTTGAGGTTTCTATTTGGCTTGTTGCAATTTTCAACAAGACACTTCCGCTCTTGCTCGTTTAATTTGGTATGAGAAAGCTGCAATCTTGAGACAACACTAATGCACGGGCGTACATTTCTAGCTTAGTGCGAGCGACGATCTCCCAGGATCCGGCCAACCGTCGGTCAAGCCCGTGCCGCAATCTTGAGACAACACTAATGTACGGGCATATATTACTAGCTTAGTTGTCCGCCAGTAAGATGTCAATAGGGGATATCCACTGAGACCATGTATTTTCCTTATTGGTACCCTTCTCCGTTGTGCGGCTGGGGAAAAGGAGCCAGCGGCTAGTCCACTGTGGAGTTCGCCCGTGGCCGTATACATACTAACAACATAGCCTTAAGCAATTGGTTGATGAAGCATATTCCTTCTTTGGAGGGACGCTTGGCATATTGGAATGGCCTAAATGTTCCCATGTACCTTACTATTGTTGCGAGTTTGCCAGGTACCCAGCCTTCAACGACCCGTAGACCTCCGACTATTGTCCTGTCTGAGAGCTCCCACTATGGGTTGAAATCGAGTCTATATAAGACGACTACAGACCCGATATACTGGAGGTTAGATGAAAACACAAATCCCTTTTCCAAAACACCAGTCCTGCTTCTTAAGTAACCAAAGGTGCACGCCTTCGTCATGAAAGCTTTTACCTTTATGCCTTTTGGACTTGCCCTCTCTGCTGCTCTGGGAGCATTAGCCAGCCCAGCGAGCCCTGGGTCTCCTACATCAAATGACTTGGATGTCAGAAACGAAAACAATCACCAGATTCAGTACCCAGGAGTAATTCTCTAAAGTTCATTGAGGTACGAGACGAAGGGCCTGATCTTTTCAAACTAGAAGCGCTATCCAGAAACCAATCAATGCCATTATGAGTCACAAAGTGGGCTGAAGGCTCTATGTCGTTGCGAGTTCAAAAAGGTAATTTGCCCTCGACCCCATTACTCCAGGAGTATGCTAACTTCTACGCACAGTGTACCGACGCAATTGAGAGTAAGGCATGTTATTTTGATTCTTTTAGTAGAAAGTGTATCTGTCAGGATGTCGTGACTCCCCAAGGCGGATAGTTCTGTGCTGCTACTAGGTTGATCGTGAAGCAGCTACTGTAGAGGAAGACACAAGTTTGCTGCATTTCAGTATATGTTGTCCTGTTTTCTACACTATACCAGCATTGAGTATGAACTGTTATCTCGACGTCTATAATTCGCGTCACTGTACTCCGTATTTTCAACTCTGCTGGATTCCCCTAGATAGTCAGCGTATCTAGCCCCAGATATCGAGTCATGGACACGCCTGCTGATCTTTTTCTGATCCCCAGTGGGTCTCCTACCCTAAACAGTGGCGTGTCACCAATTGTATATCACCAATGGTATGCCACCAATGGCATACGGGTCTGATTGGAAGCAAAAGATTGTTGCTGCCTGCCACAGAGACATCTCATTTTCTTTATCTACTCAGCCTTTTCTTATTTTATAAATAATATATTGTCTAATCCCATTGCATTCTATCTCTCCTACGTTCACCTCATTTCTAGAGATTCACCCTCTTGACTCATCGCCAATCGGTACTGCCAGCTCTTTACATTCCTGAACTTAGGATGCACGACTTACTAAGAGATTCACCGAGCTCAGCACCGCGAGGTAGCTCTGGCGGCTTCGCTGCATGCAACCGAGCGGATTGGGCGGACCTGGAGGAGGCTGCTCGAGCAGGGGATTTCGACGTCCTCCAATCGGTGGCATATAACAGAGCATGGATCACGGGCCAAAGCTATTGCCGGAGCCGGGCGTCAATTGATTCCTGCGAGCCGTATCTGCATTCTCTCTGGTGCGTCTATTATCAATGCGCCAGGCATGTCTCCCACGAAAGCTTTGAGCAAGACAGATGGGTCCTCGACATCCTCCGGACGCGGGGACGCGGGCCTCTAACCAGACCGGCACTGGGCGGTGGCATCGATATTGCTAGAACTCCCGATGGGACAGTCTGGAACGACCTGCCGTTCCTTGCGACGGTCATGACAGAGTGCTGGATCAACGACTGCGCGGAAATGGACTTAAAGCAGCGCCTTAATGCTGCGTCCTTCCTTGCGAAGCTTGCGTCCACGCGCATTACGAACGATAGGCTTTGCCAGATTGCTCTGGTCCTTTTTCGTGACACATTCGAGTCCGAGCGTCCCCTTGGAAGCTCTAATGAGCCAGATGACGAAAACGAAGACCATCGCCGAACAATGCCTGGACGTACTATTGCGTCGTTACTCCCATCTGCATGTGCCTGGATCCGAGAAGCCGGGCATAACATCATACTCTTATCCGATGTCTCATGGAATGATTGCTCCCACAGTACCATTGGGACAGGTGGCTTCACCTTTGTCCAGTCGGAGCTAGGTCAACGGGCACCTGGAGGATTTAGTCCCTGGAGATGGTTATACTGGCTTAAGCGGTTACATCAGATTGCCGATGAAGCATCAAAAGCAGATGAGATGCTTCTTGCAGAGCAGGCCGCGAAGGCAATTGACATTATGTTAAGTGACGTTAAGCAGAGGAACTCTCGGATTCTCAGGGTGTTTGAGGCAGCGGGTGATGCTGTGACCCAGGATAAGGATTTTATGGGTCTGAAGAGGGAATGGTAGATACAGCACAACCAGACTTGACGTGTGATCCTATGTCCAAGGACTACCGTGTTCTTCCTTTTCTTTCTTCTATGTCAATTTTATTGCGAATTGCTGTTCTCGTGTAGCATGTTTCTTCGCCCTAGAGGTCTCTTTGGGAGACGTTTTAATTTGATTTGGACATCATGAGTGCACGTTAACGGCCTGCGCCAAGAATTCAGTAGCCTCTGTGAACTTAAAGAGAACCACATGTACGATACGACATCGATCCAAGTCCCTACATCATTATGTGGGTATGAGGTTGATTCCCGAACCAAAAATCGGATCGAGGCGCTGGCCAAGCTCCTACATCAGCCAAAGGAGCGAGTTTTCCGAGTTCTACCTTGTGTAGGTTGGAAATACCTCCCAGATCAAAGCTCCATCGCATTTGTTTTCGAGGTACAACCAAAGCCCATCGGGGCGCCAGTGAGCCTGCAAAGACTACTTTTCAAGGACGACTTGCGTCCAGAGCTGGGAGACAAGTTTCATCTGGCTCTTGGTCTTTCGAAATGCATCGCCCAAATGCACATGGTTCAATGGGTACGTCCGATTACAAATCACTATTGACCAAGTAAATAACAGTTTCAAGCTACATGAGAGTTTTCGGAGCGACAACATACTCCTTCTTCCGCACAGTATCGAAGATGAACAACTGGGGACCCACGTTGCAGTCAATTACCCGGAGCCATGGGTTCTCGGCTTTGAGTTCAGTCGCCCAGAACCATTCTTCTCGATGGGGAGAGCTGATTTCGAGCCAGCGCGAGATATATATCGCCATCCAGACCGGCAGGGCCAGCCCACGGAGATGTTCAAGAAGATCCATGATATTTACGCGCTCGGTGTTGTGTTACTTGAGATTGGGCTTTGGGAACCGGCTGTTGAATTGGAGAAGAACATGTTCTCGCGTGCCAGAAACCCGCACGCAGTCCAGGCGCAGCTGATCAAACATGCACAAAGACGGCTTGAGTCTCACGTTGGACGGATGTATAAAGAAGTTCTTCTCAAGTGTCTTACGGGTGACTTTGGGATCGAAGATGATACGAAAGAGGATTTGAAACTTCAGCAGGCGTTTCGGTATCAAGTCGTTGATGTTATTGAGATGGCTGCGAATTACGTATAGAATTGGAACAAAAGGCATATCGTATTGACTAACTATATGAAGCTGTCAAGACATTATTTTTACCATCAATTCCATTAATATCGATGCTTCCTATAGTCCACTTCCAGATGATTCCCTCCCACCGTATACATCCATCCATTGTTTACTCTATATGGTAATCAATTTCTGCCCCTGTGAAAAAGCATCGTCCATATCATCCAATTATACAGTATTCGTGACAAATTTGTCCTATAATCTGATACATTTAGCTTAAGAGTATATTAGGGACATCAGACTCCATGTGTCTTTTCAGATGTCTTCTTTCCGGTATGTTATGAGCTGCAAGTAAGAATTCGCTTTAGATATTTGAACCTATGTATCAAGATGTCTAGAATACTCATATTACAGGCAAAATCTGGCAACAGACTGCTGTAGCTAACAATATGCATTGATGATGATCACAGTAGTCGCCAGTTCATATATGAAGATAGGCAGCCCAGGTTAATAACCTAGAATTACATTCGCCAGGCACTCATGTCTGCACAACGTTTTTGAGAAGAATAACGTATAGGTTCAAAAAAACCTAGGAGTTCTATACACAGACATCCCTTGGCCCAAGTACAAAGACCAAAAAGAACAATCACCCAGAACAACCAGGAAATAAAACATCACTCCAACCAACACCGACCACCTACCTCCCAGCACGAGACCAATACTCAGACGGATCACCAAGACACTCGCCAACAGTAACAGCTATAAGCGAAACCCGTTAGCCATAGCCCATAACCACTGACAAACAAAAAGAAAAGAAAAAAAGCCCTACCTCTCAACCCCCTCCGCTCAACATCAGCAAGCATATTATTCACCAAAATCTCAACCGTATGCTGATGCGAATCATGCGCCAACACAATCGTCCCACCAGCATCAACCTCCCTCTTGAACTTCTCAAAACTAATCCAGTTCGTATCAGCATTATCATTCTCATAATCCTTCGTGTCAACACTAGCCCCAATAACATGGTATCCCAGATCGGCCATGGCGCCGAGGACGATGGGCGTATGTCTGAGGAACGGAGGACGCATGTAGGTCGGGAAGAAGCCTAGGATGCGCAGAAAGGCTTCTTCGAGGGTTGTCATTTGGTGTACGATTTCTTCGTATGGAAGGGTGTCAAGGGAGGGGTGGTTCCATCTGGATGGTGACTTGGTTAGTGTATGTTGGTGTTTGAACTGGACTGGGCTGGGCTGAGCTGAGCTGGGGAATAGAGAGTGGGTGCGTGGGTGGTATCAACGAACGTATGAGACCCCAGCTGGTGTCCTTCCGCCAATGTACGCTGCACTATATCGGGTGATGCATCGATGTTTCCTCTGTTATGGCCATTGAGGAAGAAGGTTGCTCTTACGCCGTGTTTGGCGAGTGTATCCAGTATCTGGGATGTGTAGATGTACGGGCCATCGTCGAAAGTGAGGGCGATTGTGCCTGGGATGGTACAGTGGGTGATTACGGCTCCGACTGGTAATTTGGAGGCGTTGAGTTGAGTGGTGTTGGTTGTATTGGTGGTTGTATTGGTTTTGATATTGTTTCCTGTGGGAGCGGCTTGGGATAGGGTTATAGCCGAAAGGAGGAATGGAATTAGGGGGCCGAGGAAACGCATTGCGACGAATGAGCGAACCAGCATGGGATATATAAGGATAATTGGAATGACAGTGGATGCTGGATTGGAGTGAAGAGGTGAGGTTGAGATGTTGGCGAGGTGTGAGGCGGCAAGGCCATCTACTTCGCTGCTTCCTGGGATCCGAATCAGACACAGAGCTTAATGATCTGAACATAAAATCTGCATTTAATATAGCTAAACGTTGGTAGATTGCATCCCCAGTCTCATGGTAGATATTAATTATATCTTCCACAAATAAATATGAATACATCAAATTAGAAAGGTATCAAAAGGGTAGGATAAGACATTCAACCCGTATCTTTCCCACAGAAAGAAGCGAGAAGACAAGAATAAGAATCCTCCAGAACAAAGACACCCATCTAACCCTTCCGGGTGCTCTTCTTCGCCTGGCGTCTCTGTCCCTTCTGAGCCTCACGGTCAAGGAACTTGCGCTGCTCGTCGGCGCTCAATCCACGCAGGATGCGCTCACGCTCATCCTTCTTGATCTTCTCGGCGGCAATGCGGCGCTCCTCGGCCTTCTCTTCCTCGTCGACACGGCGCAGCTTCTTGATCTCCTCTTCGCGGACGTTACGGACCTTGCGCATGACTTCGCTACGGAAGTGGGCGGAGGCGACCAGTTTGTCGGACAAGCGCAGGAACTGGTTGAACAGAGGGAGAGTGGAGGCATAGCCGGACGCGGAGGAGGCGAGGTTAGCAGAGAGCTGGATACGCTTCTTGGGGATAGTCTCGTCGATCCTGGGAACACACATTTGTTAGCAATGGATCCGATTAAAGTCTCGTACTGAGGCTATTTACTTGGTAGGTCTGTCGATGGGCTGGTCCGTCACGATCAAGTACTCAAAGTCATTACCAGCCTGCTCAATGGCCTGGATCAACTCCGGGGTGAGGAGGGTATCGCTAATCTCGGCACTCTCGGTCATCACGGTGACCCACGAAGGGAGCTTGGGGTTGTCCTTAGAGAAAGTGATGGAGGCATCGTAGCGGTCGTTGCGGAACTTGCGCATGTGGCTCTTGTGAACAACAGCCCAGATGAAGCCGTCGTAAGTCGAACTAGGCACCTTAACGGGAGCAGTATCCTTGGCGAGAACGGGAACCAGGTCCTTCTCCTTACCATCGAAAGCATACAGCAGAGCCTCGTATTTCTCAACGGGGGGCTCCCAGCTCTCAAAGAAGAAGCTGAAAACATACTCCATGATGTAGGTGATGGGGTTGTATCGCTTGGGCATCTTGATGTTGACGTCGAGGAAGGCAACGTTCTGGCGGCCAGTCGCATACGCAGCGAACTCAGAGGCAGACCTCTCCTTCAGCAGCGACTCGGGGTTGGCGAGCTCCACGGTGATTGCCTCACCTTCCACGGCAGCCGGTCGAGCGATTCCATCGAATCCGACGACGGCAAACTCCTTCTGAAGATAAGGTCCGTGGGCCTGCGCCCAGTCCCTCGCCTTACGTCGGTTCTTGCGCGTTCCCCACAGATGGAAGAGGACAATCAAGAGGATGACGGGCATGATCATTGCCTCCTGCTTGAAGTCGCTCGGGGATGTCCTCTCCCATATCCGGTACCAGGCCGTGTAGGGGACGGCCTTGGCGGCCAGAGTGTTGGCAGCCGGGACGATGGTCGAGTCTGCGAGGAGGGAGGCAGGCGACGGGTTGGGAGCTTCCACGAAGTCGGCGAAGTCTACCAGAGTCAGCTCAGCAATTGAGATATATCAATTAACATACCATCATCGGGCTTAGCCTCCTGGGAGCCAAACATGTTCTTGAACATGCCCGCCATATTGGTGTTGGTATGATGGATGGAAGGGAAAGGAGTGGGAAGGAATCGAGAGATGTCCGGTGCGTGGTGCCCGGTGCGGAGCTAAGTTCCTCCCGGGTCTAGCGCTGTCTCCAGCTTTTTTACCCGCATCGGAGATATTTAGGCGATTTATGCGATTGGAGCGATTAGAGCATTTGGTAACAAAAGAGAAATATAATTTAAATCCCAAATATCCATTCGATCTTCACTAGGTACCCTTGACCCGCGCTAAAATAAAAAATACAAAAAAATAATGGCTAATGAGTGTGGTATCATGTAAAAATGAAACCCCCGAACAGAACTCAACGCCAGCTGTACCATGACAGAACCCAGTTTTGTACAATCCCGCTCCATAGAAATATCAGTTTAGCCCAAAAAAGGGAAGAACAAAAGAAGATCCAAGAAACGGTAAGAAATGAAAGGAAAAGTAAGGAAATCGTAACGGTCATGCTCGAGGGTTACTCAAGTGTAGAAAGAATATGGTGGAGGTGAGCGCTCAGTGGCCGTACGCCGGAGGAGGACTTTCTTCATGCTGGCGGCTCCAAAAGCCGCTGCATGCATTTGTCATAAGCTTGTCCTCGCGCATCCGACGAGCGATTTCACCGGCGAGTCTCTCAACCAGGACGGAATCGACGCTTTCGTTGTTGGCATTCTCATCTTTGGTGAACGGAAGAACAGTTGCAGGCAGCGGGGGTCGCTGATTGCTAGACGGTCCCGGCTCAGCCTTCTCTTGGGGATAACCACGCACAGTAGCACGAGGGGTGGCGTCCACGTCCGCTGCTTTGGGTCCACGGATAGTCTCATGGGAGTATGATAGGTCCCCGTCCCGGCGTGTTGAGCGGGAGAAGCTGGACAAATGCCTTTCGGGGATAATGGGCAAGTGGGAGTCGGCTTCGGGTGATAGAGGTGGTGTGACTGGGTCATCTGATGGCTCATTCACAATGGGAAGAGGCGCGGAGGCGATAGAGGGGGGGCCTGGACGACTCGGTCATGACACTCTCATCGCTGACGCTCATAGCGTCATCGGTAGTCTTGGGGCGGCGCAGATCCACAACACGCTTCTTACGTTTCCGAGCGTGGGCTTTGGAATGACGTCCAGCTCCCAGGCTCAGACCATAGGTACTAGTGCTGAATGAATGGCTGGACATAGAAGGTCGACTTTGCATCGAGACAGTGCTGGCGGTTTCGTGAAGGGAAGACATGCTTCCCATTTGGGAGTGTGTTCGCGAAAGGGTCGGGCTCAGTGGTGACATCACGCTCGAAGGGAATTCGCTAGTATCGGTTGGAGAAGTCCATGCTCGGTACACTACTTCCTGGATCGAGGGAGTGAACAAGGACAGGGTGCGTTGTGAATCTGTCAGAGCGGCCAAGCGAAGGAGGTTCTTTTGCGAGAAGAGGGAGTGGGTCTCGACCGATGAATCCAAAGAGAGCGATGCGATTTCGGACTCATTCAATGCATTTCCGAGGGAGTCGACGGGATCCTGTGGCGGGCTAGCTAGAGGATCTTGGCCGGGGCCTTCGCTTCTTGACTTGGCTGTGTTATCGGTTTCGTCATTCATCTCCTCCCCTGTGCGATATTCTGGAACCCATAACCGGAGCGACAGTCGATGGATGATGGCTGGGAGCTCGTCCATGAACAATATCCGGAGCTGAGCTTCGATTTCTTTTTGTAGGAAGTCGCGTACGAATGGGATCGAATCGAAGGTCGAGGAAACCTTGAGCGACTCAAGCGGATCATTACGGAACACGACTGTAATTCCTTTTTGTTTTGAGAAAACTAGTATGACGAATCCAGAGAGTTTAAAGTCGGAGAGGGTTATTTGTAGAGGTATGGTGAGCGGGGTACTAGAATCGCGACAGTGTCAGCAGATATATCGGATAGGTTGGAGTCAAAGGTAAGAGAAGTGAGACTGAAGACTTACGCTGCAGCAAGAGGTACTGGCGAGCCGAAAGTTGGTCGTGTGAGCAGGAAGGTATTGAGTGGATTTGCCTGAACTCGGGTCTTCAACGTGAGAAAGGCGTCGCCGGTATAGGACATCTTAAATATGCCTCGAAAGCGATCTTCGGCCAAGTCACCGATTTCCAAAATCTCGAGTTCGGGGGGGATGGATCCCAGGTTCAACTCGGTGACGTGAATATCGTCGACGATTATGGGGGGTTTTGGCGATTTATTAAGGGCGGCAGTGAGCAGATCTTGGGCGCGAGTATAAAAACTCGCGTCCGCCATCAAAGGCGACCAGTTGAAGTTGAACGCCATGCCCAAGCATCGAGAAAGTATTAAAAAGTATTACAAGGACATTAGATGAGATGTTGAAGAGAGAGAGAGGGAGAGGCGGGAGGCGGAAAACGAAAAACCAAGGAAAAAAATGGCAAAGCGCACACCCGAGGCGCGTGCTTCCGGGACTTTTTCTTTTTCTTTATTTTTATTTTTATTTCTTTTTCTTTTAGTGTTTCACTATTGAACTGTTTTTGAATTCGATGTATCATTTTGATAGTTATTTAATTTCATTTCATTTCATTTTTTTTTTTTGTGTTGATATTGTATTCCCTTCGACCCGATACTATAAGAATGGCAGGTACGTCACAATGTGACCTGCAGGAACCACTTCCGGTCAGCCCCGGCTTTGATGTCCACTGTGGATGGTACTGGGCCATTCACCGTTCAGGGCTATCCGGCTTGCATGTATCTAGACTCTTGGGCTATTGACTATTTTATGACTGTTTTTGGAATCTGGAGAAAAGGGGGAAAAACACGGGATATGTTTCTGAACTTTAAAGGTACACTATATACAACCTACAGAAACAGCCAGGGTGCAGATCTTCAAAGGTCAGAGTTCCACGTTCGTTTCGTGTGCCTTGTTACAAGAATAGTCGGCCGCTTATGCGGCCGTGTCAAATCTTTTATGATAATCTTCTTAGATGGTCTTTTAGATGTCTTTTTAGATGTCTTTTTAGATGTCTTTTTTGGTGGTCTTTTCGGATTCTTCTCAGCCTTTTCAGATGTCTGCATATGTATACCCTTTGATATCCCAAATATTTCCCCCGAAGTACAATCGCGTCAAGATTTCTTATGCATTTGATAGTTCATAAATCAAAGCAAGATCTATTCAAGTATTCCGTATATAACAGTACAATCTAAGTCCAGAGGCAAAAGGCAGAATGTTTTCACCGCAGCAACCCCACGCTAAGCCCGATTAGGCTAAACGTCAACACGATCCATCGCTTCTGACCCAAATCATCTTTCATGACCTCATTCTGTCGAACAGAACCATCCTAACCCCCCTAACATAGGTGTTCCACACCCGAAACTAATATACTGGGTGTATAAATCTCCCTCAACAATGTCAACCCGGTCACCCTCGCCAGTTTCAAGTCACGCGACACCAGTGGAGCCTAAACAAACCAAACCCAAGTCGGTGGCCCAGCGCAGAGTGTACGGGAAACGAAGAGCCAATGCCCCCCGCGCAGTATTTGATCAAGGAAGTCCGGCCAGAGAAACCAGATCCAAGACCCAACATGTCGACCCTGTGGAAAGCCTCCAAGCGAAACTAGCCCAAGTGACAATCGATGACGACTCGACCCCTCAACCACACGATCATGCAGAGCCTCCGAAGATTGAGAGCGAGCAGCAACACGGGTTGACGGAAGTCCCCTCTGATGAATCGAGTCCGTCCACGATAGAGGACACTTCGGACACCCCGACAACGCAATCCTCCGTCGAATCCTCCCCGGAAGAGTCGAAGTCAACATCAAAGCAATGCGAAACGATGGTGGAGGTCAGAATATGCCCGAAGGCTCCACAAAATCGCCCCCAAATCACATCAGACTCCCCAGCTACGACGTCAGGCTCCACAAGCGAGGATCGAGAAAAGCCAAGTACATCATCCGACAGAAGGAGAGCAGAAAGAAAGAAGGTTCCTGCACCCAGACGGTCATCTGGAGTTGTTCACGACAGCAAAGCCAGCGACTACGTTGGGCCAATTCTGAATGAGGCACTATCTCCAATTGCGGCACAGGGCATTCAGAAGTTCGGCTCATGGGCTTCGCGATCAGCAAACATGTTTGACGTCGCAAAGCTCGCAGAGGGATCCTACGGTGAAGTCTACAAACTCCACCTACGGGAAGAAGCTTGTCGGCCAGTGGTGTCAAAATCAAAGTTGGCTAAACTGAAATCATATGGCGATGGAGTCTTCAAGGTCGTGCCTCTGCGAGCAAAGAGTGGTCCTGGATCCAAAAAGTTCACCTCCATTGACGAGATTGTTTCTGAGGTCAAGATGCTCAAGTATCTGGACCCTATCCCTGGCTTTGCTCGCTTCAGAGAGATCCATGTTGTTCAAGGTCGTTTCCCAGAGTCGTTCCAGAATGCATGGGACCACTATAAAAAGACCAAAGACGACTGCATGAATCCCAACCCGTCCAACAAAAGAGCTTATCCAGATACCCAGCTATGGGCAATCGTGGAGATGGACGATGCGGGATGTGAACTGGAGAAGTTTGCTTGGTCATCGATTTTCCAGATCTATGATATTTTTTGGGGAGTTGCCATGGCCCTGGCCCGGGCAGAGGAGTATGCTATGTTCGAACATCGCGATCTTCATCTGGGAAATGTTTGTATACGTTCTACGCGGGAAGATGGCTGCATGGATCCCCCGACAGAACTCGATGTTGCACGACAGCCATCGTCTAGTGGATTTGGAATCAGCTCCCTTGAAACCACCATTATCGACTACTCGCTCTCTCGGGCGGATCTACTCCTGACCGATGATCCTGCCGGTCTCACTGAGGTTGCGTCATCAGATCTCGACAAGAAGCAATTGTTCGATGCTATTGGCCAAGATGAAGACGAAATCATGCAAAGAAACACCTACCGATAGTATGTTACCCCATGTCTGCGCATCCGCTTTCTTGAATAACTTGCTAACATTGAAAATTAGCATGCGCGCAACACTCTATACTGGTTGCCCCATAGAAACAGAAAAAGTGGCGGATATCCCTGGCATCTGGGCAGAATACTCCCCACGCACCAACTTGGTCTGGCTACTGTTCCTGCTTCAGAGTCTGTTCAAGAACCGCAAACCAGAAGAATCGCCTGCACAGCCAAAGCGAAAGGCTCTTGCATCTTGCTCGCCCAACAAAATTACACCGAAACCGGAGACAGCCAATGGGAAAAGCCAAAACATGGCCGTGTCCCTCGTCAAGGAGAGACAGGCCAAGGACGTGCAAGCTGGTATCTCGCGGCTCAAGCAAACACTAGAGAACAGGCTGAAAGCCGTCCTCGAACTTCTCGATTTGGAGCATGGACATGAAGACATGTGTTGCGCCGCGGATTTGGTGGCCTACGCCATGGACTCGCAATGGCTGGGTGAACAAGATTTTTTCTGAGGATCCTTTGGTATACGAAAAAGCATTAGCACACTGGGGAGTTATATGGATCTTGTAATTTGCATGATTAGGAGTTATCATTTGTTTACATATTGTGGGCTTGGGGCTGGGCGTTTCAATATAAGGTGCATTGCCTTGGATAGGTCACCAGCATAAGGGACTTGCATACACAATACCCTCACATTCTACATTTTTGCATGCGAAATACATGACTTTACCTACATTCACCTCAAATTATGGGAATAATCAAATTAAATCGTTTGTCGAGAACACGCCACAGCCATCATGAACCGTCTATCGGTTTCCGGCCAAGTGACTATGCCCTCTGACAGATGAGTATGTATTTGTTTTTCTATTCTAGCGGTAAAGTCCCACTTCCAAATGCCTCCAACCTTTTGTACCGGGCAATAAGCCCCAGTCGATTAGATGCATCCATATGTTATGTACTCACAGTCCCAGACAGGACGAAACAAACAGCCCAGCCGCAACCCCGAGACAAAAAGAAAGAAAACGCCGTTTCAAATTTTCGACAAACGCTTTTCGGACCCATGCTTTTCCACAGTCCAGACAACGATCTGTCCCAACCGGATGTGTAGTAAAAAAGAGATGTCGTCAGTTCGTTTCATAAATTCTACAGTGTAGATCCAGAACCGGCACGGAAGAGCTTAACCATCAACTCAGGACGGCTCCAGAGCGAGAAGGACTTCTGGTCAGTCCAGTTTAGAGACTCAGGGAGCAGCTCCAGGTCGAAGTTCCACAAGAGCTTAGCAAGCAGAAGACGCATCTCGGCGTTCGCGAGGCTGTAGTTGAAATGTTAGCAAACACTGCCAGGTACAGCTCAGGCGGAAACACGGAGGGAGTGAGTGGATAGTGATGGAAAGTGTGCTTACTGTTGGCCAAGACAGTTGCGTGGACCGTAGGAGTAGGGCTGGAAGGCCTCCTTCTTGTCGTTGCTGTACTCGTCAGACTCGTTCAACCAGCGCTCTGGGACGAATGCCTCGGGGTTCTTGAAGTGCGAGGCTGCGTGGAAGGCGGAGTACAGCGAGACCGAGACGGAGACCTGTTTGTATTCAAGTGTTATCAGTATTGAGGTATGAAATTGGAATTGTGTTTTGGGTTTTGTGTTTTGTGTTAAGATGGGAATAGCGAAGGTGGAACCGTCTTTTCTAGAACGAGCTCCATGTACTTCGTATATTGTTCACAAAACACCACACACACTAGCACTAGAAGTAGCGTGTTGTACTCACTTTTCCAGGGACGTATTGGTCGTTGATCATTGCTCCTCCTTCGGGAACAATGCGCGGAAGCATGGAAGGAATGGGCGGGTAGATGCGCATCGCCTCAGTCAGGACAGCATTCAGGTATGGGAGGTCCACGAGGGTGGACAGCTTGATGTCAGCGTCCCTGGCGAAAGCACCACGAATCTCCCGAATCAGGCGCTCGTACTTGTCACGGCAGCGCAGAAGGTAGTATGTCACACCAGAGAGCAGGGCAGCGGTAGTCTCGCTGCCGGCCAGGACGAAGACCGCGGAGTTTGCATCCATCTCCTCAGACGACATTCCCTTTCCATCTTTGGCGTGCTTAAGGATGTAAGAAGTGAAGTCGGGGCGAGTAGCACCCAGGGCGAGACGACGACGAACCTTCTCGACGCTCAGGTCGAAGCTGGCCTGGCGTTTCTGGAGAAGGTGCTTGGGAACCAGGACGCGGACAAGAGGAACGAGAAAAGGGTAGAACCAAAAGACCTTGAGGTAGGCACTTGCCTTGACGGCATCCAGAATAATTCGAACCCACCAGTGGTATGTGCTGGTTGACAAGCAGCCGAAGGGTTCTCCAAAAGCGAGGTCGCCAATGAGGTCGAAGGTGGTGAAGTTGAACCAGCAGGTGATATCGATGTTCTGGGACACAGCGTTGCCCATGAGACCCTTGAGCTTTTCGATGAACATGCTGGCGTACATCTGGAGAATTTCTTCCTGCTCGCGCAGGGCTTTGTTGGAGAAGGCGTGGGTCAGCAAACGGCGCATCCGGGAGTGGTCATCCTCATTGGCTGTAATGATTGCATTGACACCGTTGGGAGTGGGTGCATACAAGGCGGGATCCTTAACGAAGACCTTTTGTCCCTTCTTGCGGTGACCGTAGATGTCTTTCCAGGCGGGTGTGGCGCGGTAAACGAGGGCATTCGGGGAAATACGAACCACGTCTCCGTACTTGTCATGGAGACGCTTCATGGTAGAGTGCTGCTTACCCTGGATATCCCAGATGAGGTGGACCAAAGGAGTGATGGCAGCCAGCTTGGGTCCAGGGTAGCCACTCAGAGGGTGGAAGCAGAGAGTGTGGATGATCCAGCCCACATAGTAAACACACAGCTATGTTATTGATACAAATGAGACACACACTCCTTGGATATCTGGTCTTGTATATCAGTACTCACCAATGCAAGGAGTCCACTCAGTAGACCCCAGAATGAAGGGACGGCTAGGGCATGGCACCAGCCGCCCATAGCCAAGGAATCAAAAATCATCATGAACAACAACTAGAGACTGTAAGATATACGACCAAAGACATCCAAGGAGGTTGTTCTTACTGAAAGACAACTGAAAAACAAATATCAAAAGAGGGAATGGTGTGGGGAAGGGAAGAAGGGAAGGGAAGAGGGGAGAGGTGAAGGATGAAGGAACTGAGGGGACCGGGGGTGGGCAAACGGGAGATGGGATGACAGGAGACTTACAATAGGAGTTGACGGGGAGACGTACAATGGTGGGGGATTGCTTAGAGATCGTTTAGGTCCCAATTGACTTGTGTGTTTAACAGCGATTGAAAACGCGAAGGCGACAGCCGGCAAATTTCGACTTGGAGTCTCAAAGTAGGGCTTCTATCAAACGGAAAACAGGGGCTACATTAAAGGACTCAATGGGTCACGTAACAAAGGAGTACTCATGCTGAGATAAAGTAATGGAAGAATTTTCATGGCTCGTCATTCATTATATCTGGGTCTACTATATAAACACAAATTATATGGCACCAAAATCAACCACTGGCAACAGAGAAACTCAACAAGCTCCCAGCAGCCAATCCACCGACAAGAACAAGGCTCATAAATCCACCAGCAGCCGGCCTTTCATCGGCAACAACCCAGTGACTAGCGCCCATCATACAGCTTGTCCCCAGGTACCCATTGGTTGCACCAAAGAAGAACTGTACAAGGAAATAGAAAACGTCACTCTTGACGGCAGCTCCTTGGCCGTTGACGTTGCAGAGCTGGTACATGGGAATAAAGATAACACGGGCAATGGCCACAATGGCAGCCATCTGAGGATGCTTTCCCAAGGACACTCCTGGAATAGCCACACACATTCTCCCTGCCAAATCACCCAGATTCCAGAGCAAAAACGCCAAGGGAACAAAGACACTAGGATCGTACATCCGTGAACTGGCAGGGTCATTGACGGACTTGATTTCCGCCGTGTAGACTGGGAATACCATAGAAACCAAAAAGCAGACGAACACAGCGAACGCCAGGAACCGGAGCTTAACGAACAAAGTCCAGAGGCTGACAGTCTTGGAATGTTCGCGGTCATCCGTAATAGACTCATCATCATCTCTTGCCAACTTTTGCCCCGAAGATGGTTGTTGTCTCAGAAGATAGAGGAAAGCCAGCAAAGCAATGACTGAGACACCCGTAGACGTAAGGAAGTAAATAAACGCCGACGTCGACGCACTCGTCTGAGGCATGCTGGGGCCTTGATCTTGACCTTGGGCTCGGCCAACGCTATCCTCCTTCGGCGGCACAGCCAGCACAGAGAAGATCTGAACAATGCAGGGTAGCACACCGGCAACACCCTGTCCACCCATAATAGCCTGCGTATATTCCTCTCTCCCGAACCCGGAGACGAACGCAAAGACGCCATTCTGGTTGATACCAGTGGCCAGACTGGCGGCGAACACCATCACCATCAGGAAGCCAAAGTACGCCCGCGGCGAGGAATCGGTCATGACGACCGCCGAGAAGGCCAAGATAGTGAACACAATGGAGTTCATCAACAGCGAAAACGTTATACGCTGTGGATAGGAGGCATTCTTCTGTAGCTTTGCTAGGGCATAGGCGGCTCCGAGGTTGGTGACGGTTGACATGGACTGAATCGACGGTTGGTAGTGCAGTCTTGTCCAGTCGTCCGACTGGAACCGGCTGTAGAAATATGGTGCCGCGGCAAGGAACATGTTCCTGGATTGAGCTCCACGTTAGCTATGGTTGGCCCAACACATATAGTAGGTTCCTCCGGGTTCGGAGACTGTTGGGTTCCACTTACCAGGCCCACAGCATAGACACTCCGAGGAGGAAGAATATGCCATACTGTAATCGTGAGAAGGGAGACTGCTGCTGTCGCTGCGTGTATGTTGTGTCATCGGCGTCGTCTGCGGCGGAGTCCTGCAGTCGCTCATACGCCGCTGGACGGGCGATGAGACTACGTATGCGATTCATGGCTGTCTTTTCCAACCACTACTTCTTATGTATAAGTCAACGATTCTGTAAAAATAAGGAGATTATCTGACGGCAAAGAGCTGTAATGCGCTGTTGAGGTCGGCATATGACTGGTTACTAAGCAAGATATGTCGCGGGACCCCGGGACCCACACGGGACTCCGGGCCCCATCAGGCGATCTAGAAGTTCTCCCCTCAGGGCTCACCTGCAACTTGAAACTTAGCTGTTATGTAACTTTTCGAGGGCTGGCCTCACAAATTTTCGCATTTTGGTATCTTCAAAGTATCTTCAAGATATATTTTCGGTATTAATTCTTTTCATTTTTTATATCATGCTAGAACAGAGGTGACAAAAACCGAGCAACAAAAGTAGAACTTGAACAGTAATATTGATATCAGGATTTATACACAGTAATTGCTGACTTAGTATCTATCGCAAAATCTAACATGCAGAGTGTAGATGGGAGTATGAGAAGAGAGGACTGTGAGAGGTGAGAGTATATGAGAGAACATGTATTTCGACAAAAAAAAATCAACAAGAACCAGACGTCGTAATGAGATGGCAGTGTAAGGATAGGGTCGGGAGTGAACGAAGTGTGGAGTATGATTAGTCCTTTTTCGGCGAGGCTGTCTCCTCTACCTCCTCTATCTCATCTTCCTCCAGCCCAGGCTCCGATTCCTCCTTCTGGAGCTCCCAGAGCTGATCTGCCTCAATAGTCTTGGCTGGAGGTGGCGTTGTTTCGCCAGCACTCATTTGCCATTCCATGAGCTTCGTAAAGGCGCCATCCGGGTGAGAGCTGAGCTCATCGTAGGAGCCTTGCTCGGCGACCTTGCCGTTGGGGCCAAGGACAATGATCGTGTCGGAGCGCTTGATGGTAGAAAGACGATGGGCAATGCTAATTGTCGTGTTGTTGCCGCGAAGCAGAGCGGCCAACGCACTGTTGACGAGGGTCTCGGATTCGGCGTCGAGGGCGGAAGTGGCTTCATCCAGAATCAGAATATCAGGGTTCTTGATAAGGGCGCGCGCAATGGCAATGCGCTGTTTCTGACCACCGGACAACTGAGCCCCACGAGCTCCAACATGAGTATCAAGTCCATCAGGCTGTATTATGTTAGCTGGATTCATGAAAATAATAGCTGCTCGGCGGACTTACGAAGTCGCTGATGAATTGACAGTTGGCCTTGCGTGCAGCAGCAATGATCTCTGAGCGTGGTGCCCGAGGCATGCCGTAGGAGATGTTGTCGGCGATTGTTCCAGAGAAGAGCACAGGCTCCTGGGAAACCACGCCAATCTTTCTGCGAAGGGACTTGGCGTTCATTCCACTGATATCTTTGCCATTGATCAAGACTCGGCCCTCGGTGGGGCTATAGAACCGGAGCAAAATAGATGCAATAGTAGATTTGCCTCCACCAGATGGTCCAACGATAGCAACGTTAGTTCCTTGAGGGATCTCGAAGTTCAATTCCTGGAAGATCTTCACAGCGGGACGGGTAGGGTAGGAGAACGTGACATTCTCAAATCGGATTGGTCCACGTGCGGTCTCAACCTTGAGACCTTTGGTCGGGTGAATCGTGGGTTGACGATCTTGCAGTTCAAAGAGTCGACTAGCCGCACCCACACCTTTCATCAGCTCTGAATAGAAGCTGGAGAGGCCGAACATGCTGGAGCCTGCATAAGCAGTGTACATTAAAAACGAAGTCAATTCTCCAATGCTGATAGCACCTGACTGAACCATCCCACCACCAACATACAGCAAGGTCAGAATGGTCATATTGCCCATCAAGCCAGTCTAGTAAGAAGTCAGTCAAGGTCGCAAAAAAAGCCCAAAATAATCAAGACTGTCGACTCACCGAGCTGAAGAAGGTTGCGCTAATTAAAGACTCTTTTTTGCCAAGCTCGAAGATCTTGCGGACTTGTTTGTTGTACCGGTTGACTTCGATAACTTCACCGGCAAACGACTGACTGGTCTTGACGTTGCCCAGACGCTCTTCCGCAATCTTAGTCAATGATCCCAAGTTCTTTTGGATTTTGCGACTGAGATTCCTGATTGCTCGACCGTAAAAGAGAGCGCCGAGGCCAATTGGAGGAAGCAACACAAGCAAGATAGTGGACAGCTTTGCACTAGTATAGGCCATCAGACTGAACCCAGCTGCACCGCTAACAGCAGCTCTGAGACCATCAGACAAATTCTGCGTAATACTCTTGCCAACAATAATAGTGTCGGAGCTAAGGCGCGAGATCAGATCACCAACCCGGTTGGCATCAAAGAACTCGGCATCCTGCACGAAGGTTTGACGGAAAAGCTTGGAACGTAGCCTGGCAACAATTCGCTCACCAACAATTCGAAGAATGATGATGCGCCCATAGTTTGCACCAGCACCGAGAAGTAAGATTCCACCAAGAGCAGTGTAAAACATGGGCATGCTCATGCCCAACAATTCGCCGCCTCCTTCGGTTACGCCCTTGGTCGCAGCGTCCATGATTTTACCAATGGAGAACGGAACTGCCATTGTAATCGACGAGGAGATTAGGAGGAAAAAGAAGGCGAAACCGAGGGCCTTGGATTCGGGGCGCGCGATCTTCAAGAGCCGCCAGATTTCTGCGAATCCAGAATTCTTTCCTGATGCGCCTTCCTTGGCCAATCTGGCGCTCATGTTGACCTGCGCTGCCTGCGCTGCTCGCTCAGACAATTCAAAGCCCTTGTCTTCCTCCTCCTCTTCTTTCGGTTCTGGAGCGGACCGGGTGATTGGGTCTGTGGAGGCTGCGGGTGGTTTCGCTTGGAGGAATTGAGGAGTTGAACATAAAAGGCGTGCTTGGGAGACAATGCGAGACGTATAAGGGGTATATTTGAAGCTATTGTTTTGAAGCAAGAGTGGGTTGGCACCATCCCGGAGTGTACCCGAGGCGGTTGAGTAGAGACGGTTCAACCCATTGTGGTCGCCGGAAGAGACAATGGGCGATCTCGTTTTGGGAAGTAGATCGCGAGTAAAGGAGCTATATGGTCTCAAGGCCTGCCGTGGGCTGACGCCCAAGGCCAGAGACACAGGCAGTCGGGCACCGCGCATCTCGGAGTTGGATCGGACAAGGCTCGAAACGGAATGGAGTTACAATGATGTCACCGAATAAGACGTCGGCATGCCATATCTGAACGGAATATTATCAAGTTGAGCACATCACATGGCACACATTCAGCTCCTTGGAACGTGCGATGAATTAAGAGCGGATGTGTCTGGAGCTTCGTCGGACGACCACGGCCATCGGCAAAGCGGTTTTCGGGGGCCGATTTTGCCGTAGTCGACCGCTCGTAATTTTGCCTTGATCTACCGCCCGTGGAAGTCGGTCGAGAGCTCTGGATACTTCATCTGTTCTGGCGCCAGAAGCTTCATTTATTTCGAGTTTCACTGTGTCGAATCGCTTCAAAAATATATTCGTCAACTTGTTGCATCATTATTTGCATCAGGATCGTCAAAAACTTGTTTCTCACCTATTTCCTCTGCCGCTGATACGCCCACCCCACCTCAACTCTACACATTCACTGTCAGACAAGATGGTGCTTGACTACAGCAAATGGGACGCCTTGGAGCTGTCAGACGATTCAGACATTGAAGTTCATCCCAATGTCGATAAGCGCTCTTTCATCCGAGCAAAGCAGGCCCAGATTCACCAGCAACGAGAGCAGCGTCGTCATGAAATCAAAACCCTGAAGTACGAGCGCATTATCAATGATGGATTGCTGTCGCGCATCGATAAGCTTCTTGAGTCTCTCAAGAAGCACGAAGACTCGTCTGCTTCCCCCGATGAGTTCATTTTCACAACGATTATGGAGTTTGCAAGCAACCCCGCCGAAGACCAGGCCCCCACCCCGCCAGAGGGAGTATACACACACGAGCCAGAACAGCCCAAATTTTCCCAGATGATGAGCTCACTGGTGGATCAGGTGAAGAAGGAAATCGGCGATTCGAAGCCTGAGAACCTCTTCAAGGCATACATTCAGGGCGTGAATGGGCACTTGGAAAAGATTCAAGGACTCCAAAAGGAATTGTTTGCAAAGCTTGCGCAACTTGAGAAGGAGGAAGGCGCCAAGATCACCAGTGATAAGCTACATGAAGGGTTCAACCAATCACATGTGGCCAAGATTGCTGAGCAGGAGAAGGCGGCTACCAAAACAAAGGAGAGCTCTGTTGAGCTCCTGAACCCTGGTGTGGGGAGCTCCGCCGCCAATGCCGATGATGAAGGCGACGATGATGACCCTGCCGATATCGAGATTAGTCCGCTGGCAAAGAAGTTTGCTCAGCTCAAGCCTGGAGACTACAAGGCCTATCTGAACTTCATCTCAGCGAACCCTGACATTGTCGCCGAGAAAGAAACCGACGGTCTACTTGTTGAGGCATTCAACAGTCAACTCAAGGGCCAAGATGCTTATGCTCGCCAGTGCGTGCACCAAGGTCTGCTTCTGCAATACTGCCGCTCGCTCGGTCGTGACGGTATCCAGCTGTTCTTCACTCGGTATGTCAATCTCCAGCGTTTTTTTTTTTTTTTCAGTCAATGGCTAACATATACACTTCTAGCATCACCACCAAGGACCACCGCGCATCCACCCTGTTCCTTAATGATGTCAATGAAACTTACGCTCGTATCAAAACCCGCTCTGCTGAACTCAGCAAGGACGGCTCGGCATCCAACGATCCTGCGGGCGTAGAGCAAATCCAGCTGCATGCCGTTGACCCCAACACCAAGATCACCATCAACCTTCCCGCGGCTAACAGCCAAGACCCCACTGAGATTGAAGTGCGCAAGATCTTCGACGCTTTCCCTGAAGACCTGCAAAAGGCATTGGCAACTGAGTCCTTGGACGAAGTCAACAAGGTTCTCGGCAAGATGTCCGTCGAGGAGGCAGAAGTCGTTGTGGAGCAATTGGGCAATGGAGGCATGCTCAGCTTGGAGGAAGGGATCGTGGATGCCACGACAGCAGAGGGCCAGAAGAAACTGAAGGAGTTGGAGGAAGAGGGAAAGCAGGAAGTTGGTGAACCCGGTGGTGACGTTACTGAGCTTGACTAAGGATATGCAAAAAGCGATGATGATATGAACTGAGTATGCATTTATTTCTCTTGATCCGAGAACAGTTCACCAACTACTTCCAAGCTTGTTGTACATTTGTGACTGTCCATTCTACTATTAAGCGCATAATAATGATACCTAATCAGGGTTAATCAGTCGGAGAAGGAAATCCGTGGTATTAACGATGCTATCAATTTGAGTGAGATACTAATTTACAAACCCCCCTAGAGACTTCGCTGCGTGGAGTAAAATAAAATAAAGAGAAGAGACGTAGCTGCCAGATCACGGTCAGGCTACCGAATAATGCGGGGAGGGGAATGTAGAAAAAGCCATATCATATGAGTAAATGTGGGAAAACTTGTGAATACCACGTCTTAACCCCAGACTCCCGAATATTCTATCCCCCACGCGCCAAAGCAAACCGCCTAGATTCCGCTGGAGCCGGGAGCCTCCTGGTCTTTTCGGAGGTCGATCAACAATTCGCGGAAACGCTCCTTTCCGGAGCCGCTGGCACCGCCCGCGGAGCCCTTGCCCGATACATCAACCAGCTTAGCAATGCGCTCCCAGCTGGTACCACCGGCGGAGGTGTCCTCCCGGCTGGCGAGGAACTGTTCTGCCTCGGCGCGGGCGTGGGAGCGGTTCTTATCAGCCTTGTTGTTGTAGGAAACGTAGAAGTCGTCAATATCCTCCTGTGCCTTCTTGACGGTACTGTCCTTCTTTTCGGCGGAAACCTCTGCACGGCGGGCGATCTCAGCATCACGCTTCTCGCGCCATTCACTGATAATTGAAAGACAGACGTTAGCTTGGGGCTCCGAGCCGAAACAGGATGAATGCAGATCGTAAAGGCAATGCGCCCCATCATCCAGAATTTGAGATTCAACTCACCGAACAGCATCTCCCTCATCTTCGGGTTCCTGGGCGCTCTGATATCCGGTGCGGGGGAAGGGTGAGCCGGAGCCAGTGATTGTGCCACCGGGAGCAACGCGCTGCATAGATGTAACCCCTGGTCAGCATACTGAATGTTTACCACCATGTATCTAATAGCCAATTCATACCTCGTTCTGGTTCTGTGTCGCCACGGAGGGGAAAGATGATTCAAATTGGCCAATCTCCTCAACGGGCTCGTCACCTCCGCCCAGCAGGTCGTCATCCCCCGCGCCTAGATTCCCGCCGGCAACGTGGTCTTGAGAAGTAGCGAATTGCTCGGCGTCTTCACCGAGCGCGGCACGCTCACGGGCAAGGAAATCGTCATCGGTGGTAGCTTGGATGTCGGCTACTTCGGTTTGGCCTAAATGCGGGTCATGTTAGCTCTGGTGTAAGGAGAGCAAGTAAGGTGGGTTGAGCATACCCTCAGAGAAGTCCTCTAGGGAAGGGAAACGGTCAGCCATGCTGGGAATGGATTGTTTTTGACTGTTGTATGATTCAATAAAGTCGTTTGAATCAAGAAGATGGTCGTGAGGAGAAGTAATCAAAGGGTCAGGAAGTTGATTGTTATAGGAAGTAGTGTTGACAGGTGTGGCCGGGGCGGGCTCGGAGCCCCGTTGTTCTGCCGGTTCCGGGGCGGTAAGCTTATCCATGTTTCAAGCTTGGGGTACAAACTAAACCACTTCAACTTCACTTGTTATGAAGAAGGTTGAGAATTGAGATCTTCGTTTGATATTCCTTTGGCTTTGTTGCGGTGACTCTACTTGACTGCAACTTAACTGCGTTTCTAAATCTCACTAGTGGTCTTCAATTGCTCCTCGTTGCCTATTTGTCTTCCACGCGATTGCGACTTGCACTTCAGATCTGATAATCTCACTTCTCAAAAGCTCCCCATTCAATTCAAGTGTTTACTATTTTTTATCATCATGGCTTTCACTGATGACGCTGTTAAAGCAAAGCTATCAGCTCTGAACGACTCGCAGGAGAGCATTGTCACTGTTGCGCAATGGGTCATGTTCCACAGGTACAGACGCTTGCTCCAACCTCAAAGAGACCTTGCTAATTTTTTGTCTGTAACTATAGACGCCATGCTGAACGGACCGGACAAATTTGGCTTCAAAAGATTCGCGACTCGCCGCCTCCCAAGCGACTCAACCTGATCTACCTAGCCAATGGTACACATGTCCTCCCACACCTGAGCTCCGCCCCGCTTGCTAATTATATTTACAGAGGTTGCCCAGCAATCTAAAGTACGCGGAAAACATGATTTCCTCATTGCGCTATCCCCGGTTCGTCTCCCTACCAGCCCTCCATTGCAACTCAAACTAACAGAACAATAGATAATTGTCGATGCTACATCAGCGGCTTACAAGGGCTCGTCGAATGAATACCAACAAAGGATCCGCCGAGTCGTGGAGGTCTGGAGACAACGCAATGTATTCGACACAGCTATTTTGGATGCAGTGGAAGCTCGCATAGACGGTAGGTCGAATCAATGGGCACGAGGATGGACTAGCCAAACTGATCATATTGCAGAACTCGACAAAGCTCGTCCTACAAACAAGAAGCAAACCCTCGGAGGATCTTTCTTCAAGGACACTTCTTCGGGATCCACCCCGTCCGAACTACAGCCTCTCAACCCATTGCAGGTTGCTGTCAACAAGGCTGTCATCAACTCCAACAATTCCGCCACAACCGCTACTTCAGAGTTCGACAAGCTTCACGATCCCAAGACTCCAAAGCCTACACTGCCCGTTCACGCCGCACGTCTTAGTTCACTCTTGAAGACGCTCGCCAACGCAGAAAACTCCGTATCCGAGGTAATCAAGTCGCGCCGTGCCTTGATCGATGGGCTTGAGAAGATCCTTCAGACCAACCGTGCAGAGCTGTCGAAGGAGGAGACCCTTAGCAACGAGCTCTCACAGAAGAAAGCCTCAGTCGATAACGAGAAGCGCGAGGTCGAAGATGCGATTATGCGCGGTCTGCCCAGTGAAGAGTCTTCCACAAACCCCGGCGAACACAGCGGACATGATGACGTATCCGCCCGCCCAGAAGTCGAAGCTTTGACACCTCCCCCGGTGGAAGCTATTACACCAGTGGGGTCCCCACAGCCAGAAAAGCAGCAGCTCCGTCGCGGGCCTTTTACCGAAGATGCGGACGACGACACCTCGGAGTGGAACCCCATGAGCATCCCCAACATGCAGGAATCAGGCAACGGGACTGCCGTCGCTGATCAATCCACTACTGTTTCTCCAAACCACCATGGCAATGACTTCGATATCGCTACCGATGGCCATGCAAAGAGGCGCAAGATCTCGCATGGCGAGGAGGACTATGCGGCTTTTGCGGCCGGCGATCTAGATGCTGATGTGGCTGACCTGCTTGCCACTCAGGGTAAACATTAACTGAGCTAGAAGCATTATGGTCGAGGCCATATGTTACCTTGGTAATGTATGTGCTTCGATTGCCCTTGTTTGGTGTGATTTATTCATTTCACTTCTATTCTATTGACTGCCTCTTTGGGCATTCTAGTTTCGGTTTATGTTAGATATGATTTTTTTTTTCGTGTATGAAGTAACTAAATGTATGAGTTGGAGCGTGTATCATATGGCATTGATCACAGGCCTGCCTGTAGCCCGATATTCTCCGAATTTTCCCCGTGCAAGTGGCTTGCATGATGTCAGCTTCTCCATATACCTACTTAGGTACATCGTGTCTAGATGCCTATCAAAGGTTATACATAGAAAAGTCGTCTGCACATAGTATGCTTTCCCCCCCTTTTTCTGCCGTCTAGCTAAAAAACTGAGAAGGGGGAGACACTATCTATGAAAACAGACATCTGAAAAGACCACCAAAAATGACAACCAAAAAAGACATCTAAAAAGACATCTAAAAGACCATCTGAGAAGACTATTCCAAAAGACTACCAAAAAAGACTACCAAAAAAGACTTGACACGGCCGCATAAGCAGCCGACTATTCTTGTTTACTTACAAGTAAAACCAAGTAACTACAGCCACTATCGATATGCAAAGGGAATGTCTGTTCTTCTGGTCACATTAACTATGAACCAATGCTATTTGCAAAAAGAAACGTCATCGGAATATATCCGGATCCATCCACCGATCTCGCGCGAAGCGGTTCGACAACTGATGCCTTCGCCCCCTGTAAGCCAACACAGAGCGGATATTGTTTGAAGATTCGTCCTCTGGAGGTGGTGGCGGTGCTGAACTGCTTCCCTTTGGTTTCACAACCAGTACAATGATCATTCCCACCACGACCAGGAGGAGTAATAGCATGACCTTGCGCTTGGTGGTTCGTTGTTGATAACTCGTAGCCTATATGAGTCAGTTTCTCGTTAGCGACATCCAATAGAAGGCGGGAGGGGGAATAAAAGTTGCTGCAACATACCACTTTCAGTTCCTTGTCCGCAGCCTTGACCTCAGTGCCCATTCGCTCAACGTTGTAATCAATACGGTCCAGCATGGTTCCTTGGTCGATAATCATGCTTTGCAGTTCACGGAAAATATCCGACAGTTCAATAATTCCCTTTGCGATATCATTGATCTCGCGCTCCCGCTGCGCAATGGCAGCATCATTCTGACCAGTCTGCCGTTGTGAAGTCTGCTGCAACATGGTCTGCGAAAAGGACCTGTCGGCGTCTGACTCCATCATCGACGGATCCGTGTATGGGTTCTGGGCCTGCGTAGGCGTGCCATCGAACGGCGTCGCGATACCCTCGAGATCTCGCAATTCTGCACCGAAACAAATCAACACATTAGCATATTTGAACCGACCAATTCTGCCTCCACGGGAAGAGAACAAGAACAAGAACACAAAAAGAAAGAAGGGTCCCATACTCCGCAAATAAGTACTCTGCTTCTTCCTAAACCTGGCACTAGCCTCTTGCACCCTCGCAGCAAGCGAAATCTGAATATTCTTCGCCATAGTCTCCTCCCCACTCGTAACACCACCATGCGCCTTAGACTCGCCGACCATAGTCTCTATGCGCATGATAGCGCGCTGGCAATCATGAAAGGAGCGCGTGACATCCTGCGTCAAGCGCTCGATAACGCCCTCATCCTGCCTGCGCAGGTCCTCGTCGCCGAAGCCGGGGAGCAGGTGTTTCTGGTGTAGCTTATCGAGCTGGGCGGAGTTCTGGGCGATCTCGGATAACAGCTCGGAGACCTCTTCCTGCACGTCGACCCAGCGCGGCGGGAGGAGGTCCATCTCGATGACCATGTCGCCATCCTCGTCTGTTTCGGGTATTAGGCGCCTGTTTTCCTCCGGGTGGGAGGGTGTGTCGGAGAAGCCATTTGTTGGTGTGAAGTGTGGCTTTTTGGCTGGGTGGTGGATTAGGGATTGGCGGTAGGAGAGGTAGCTGGGTTTGGAGGTGGAGTGTTAGTTGTTGCTATGATTTGTAGGCTGGGTTTTATGAGTGGTGTTTCTTCTTTTCTTTTTTTTGGGCTCTTTCCGGCGCTGACGGGTTGCGCTTGGGGTAGGGTAGGGTATATGGGGTTGCATACAGGTTGGTTCGATCCCGCCACATTGTGAGGGCGTTCGGAGGATCGGGTTGTGTAGGTAGTTTATTGATTTGCTGAGGTTATAGGAATCATGATCAGGTGGGAGTGTTAGGCTGGGATTGAATGGTGGTTTGGGGTCTCGACGTAGCCGGAAGTGAATGATAGGAGCTCTCCACATGTCGGAAGGGGTCACGTACGCCCGGTATTCATCATGTAATCCTTGGTTTTGTCCACGTGGAGCGGGGTAATTTTGGTATGGCTGGGTAAGCTGAGAAGGCAGCTTGACCTCTACATATTCTCTACTAAAAAAGACAGTGATGTCTCTTGTGTCATCGTGTCAATTTCTGCAAATAGCTTACTATGGGTCGCACGCTCAATTGCAAGTGGCATCGACACCCCCGGATTTTTGAGCACAACATGGCCTAAATAGGTATATGGTGTTCTTATGATAGTGCAAAATCGAAGGCTACATATGTATGTAATAGACTAAAGAACAGCTAGATTCCATTATTACAGGCTACTATAAGATGTCTTCTAGTCTGTTTCGTTCTAGATCTATAAATCCAGGGCCCCGCAGTCAACACCACAAAGCACTAAAGATAAAGAAAACAAAACAAAGGCCAAGACCTTCCTAATGCAATTAGGCTCCAAGTCTATTCGGCATATTATCACGGTTAGCTCGCTCAGCGTAGCCCTGGGACGGGATCAAGCTTTCTTGTCCGGCGTTACATCCATATTATATTATACAAGATGTAAGCAGGTATTTATATTAGATAGTACCTTGAAAAGAGTTCTAGATATGGATATAAAATAATCCAAACATTTTAATAAAAAAGACCCAGAATACACATGCCCAGATGCCAAACTGTGGCAACATTCAGCCCCGGGAGGATCCCCACCGCCCTGAGATGAAACGACGCTGACTGGGCACCTCAGGCACGCTATTTTGGTAACTCTCGTAAGGCTGTTCCCCTTAACTCTCTTCTTCCTTTGATCCTCTTCATTTGACCCCTCCTTACTTTGTTGTATTTCCCATCAACATTCATCATGGTATGTCCCTGATCCCCTAACTTATCAGTTGTGTTGTCGAAAATGAAACCCCCACATTGCGGGGCATCCCTGTTCCTTTGAACCTCACTGACCATCGCATTCTCTAGGCTGATTCCCTCACCGAAGAGCAAGTGTCTGAGTACAAGGAGGCCTTCTCCCTGTTTGTGAGTGACCTCCGCGTACTATTGAAGACGTGGTAGTCGAAAACATGCTGACCGAAGTTTGTTTTATTGCGAAATAGGACAAGGATGGCGATGGTACGTGTGGTCGCGCCCGACAGCTTAGTCGAGCCCACAGCAGTGTTTTCTACGATCGAATTTCAAAAGAAAAAGTGTTCTAACATGCAATCCTACCAATAGGACAAATCACCACCAAGGAGCTTGGCACCGTCATGCGCTCGCTGGGCCAAAACCCCTCCGAGTCCGAATTGCAGGATATGATCAACGAGGTTGACGCCGACAACAACGGCACCATTGACTTCCCCGGTACTTGACCATAACCTACTGATATAAATGAGAGACGGCTACTGACGTGCGGTAGAATTCCTCACTATGATGGCTCGTAAGATGAAAGACACCGATTCCGAGGAGGAGATCCGCGAGGCATTCAAGGTCTTCGATCGCGATAACAACGGATTCATTTCCGCCGCCGAGCTTCGCCACGTCATGACTTCCATTGGTGAGAAGCTGACCGACGACGAGGTGGACGAGATGATCCGCGAGGCGGACCAGGATGGTGATGGCCGAATCGACTGTATGTTTTGCAAACAATCTTGGAGCCTACCGGCACTTGTCTGCCCAAATGCTAACCTCTCCCTCTCCATACAGACAACGAGTTCGTTCAGCTCATGATGCAAAAATAAACGACGCATTCCCACAATGCGCCTTTTTCCATGTTAGCTGACGTCGCGGTTTCTTAACGAGAATGTTTCTCTTCCATTTCAATTTTCCAATACGGATTTCCTGTAGTCTATGCTCACTAGGCTATACATCTTGGATGATTTATGATCAAGCGTGTGCTTTGAAATGCAGACGGAATGGACTGGGCGGTACTTTGGGTCAAGTGTTCATAATATAGGAATGATGACTCTCCCTATAACCCCGATGGTGCTGGGCTTGTTTCAAGGTAGCCACCTTGTTCCAACCAGCCAAGTCCACAAAACACCGTAGCAAGCGTATAAGAAGTAACCATTCATCCATACCAAAACGACACCAGTTGGGAATCCAGCTATCGATTAAACCTCAAAACCTCCATAAACTGCCTCGCAACATCCGCCCCAGACCACGGATCAGGATCTCCCTCGGCACGCTCACCGACCACAGAGCCAGCCCCGTCGACCCTAGTATCAACCGTAGCATCAAGCCCAGAACCAGCCTTCTTCCACCTCCTCAGCCGGTCCTTAACCTCCATCCCAACATTCGGAATAAGAATCGCCTCCCGAGCCTCAACGCCCAATCTCCCCCAAAACTCCCGAATCAGCGACGCAGTGGCCGCATACTCAGCATCGATATCGGACTCCTCAATCGCAGAGCTAGCGAGGTCGATACCAGCAGCTTCAACATCCACATCACCAACATCAGCACCAAACGACCCATCCTCCCGATCCACAGGAATGGCCTCCACAACTGACGGACCACGCCACTCGATCTCAACAACCGTACCACGCACCCGCGCTGTCGGGAACGTCTGCCGCACGTCACCAAGACGCACGCGGAAGTCACCAACCTCGTAGACGATCCCGTTCGGGACAGCGAGCGTGAGCCGATGGCTCCAGAAGGGCTGACAAGCGTAGGTGAAGTGCTGGAAGAGGGTTCCGTACGAGGAGGGGGGGATAGTTGTCATGACCATTGGTGGGGTGGGGGAGTGGTCCGGCGCAATGGCATTTACGGGGCCGGGCGCACCTTGATTTTGATTTTGGTTTGGTGCTGGGGCGGGTTTCTCGGGCTCCGAGGTGTAGATGAAGCCGTGGGTTGGGTAGTGGGTTAATGAGAGGAATTGCATGTAGCGTGGATTTGGGGGTTTTTTGTTTGAGTTTGAAGAGGGGAGTAGGCCTGGGGTGTCACGGAGGAGCTTTTGTTCGAGGCCCCAGCGGCCGATTGGGGTTAGTTCTTCATTTGGGAAGGCGGCGCGGAGGCGCTCTGTTATTATTTGGAGGGCTGTTGAGGCGTTTGGGTTTGAGGGGATGAAGTAGACGCTGTGTGGAGTTAGTTTGGGGGTTTGTGTTGGATTGGAAGAGGAGATTTACCCTGTGATAGGCATTTTTTATGTTTGTTCTCTTATATTCCGGGCAGGTGCTGAGGAAGAGATGGAATTGATGGTCACAGCAGTGTCGAGCTGAGGGATATCAATTGGAGAATTGATGGGTTGAGAAAATGGCGGTGATGAGTTCCCAGGTAGTCTTCAATCTAGCTGGAGGATTGATTTAGGGAATCTGTAGCAGGTAGCGATAGCGACCATGCAATATAGATAGGTATAGAGATCGATTAATAACAATGATGATCAAGTCCAGTGCCAGAGGAATGACAAAAGATAATTCCTAAACAGGGTGGCAGGTTTGCAATCTATATAGTCTGATTAGTATAAGCACTGACAATGAGAAGAATCCGGTACCTTTGGGCAATTTCTATGTATACGAGGTTGTTCTGGAGAATCAAGTGGTCCTGCAGATGAAAGCCTGGGCATGATATAACATCGGAGTGCAAACAGAGCAAACATCAATGTAAACACTTTAACTTCCATTGGACCAAACCCTTTTCTTTTGATGTAGATAATTGAGAACCTCAGTTCCTTTCGATTTGAATTCACCTTGGCCTTGACTGGAATAGAGGGACTTGGAAGAACGATCTTTCTGTTCAGACCCCCCATGGGGTCAGGTCCATGTCCCGTAAGCGAGAATTAGACAAGAGCCACTACTAATGGCCGACAGGAATGTGCCGGTATATCGCTCGACACACGAATCTATTTATTGATTCTCCTTTTTTATTTTGATCTCAAAATTACCCATTAATCACCTTAGAAATCCTGATGAATATGAAGAGAAAGACTGCATCGTAACCCAAGAGAAAAGAATCCTACCCCAGAAAGACTTTGAGGAAATTCAGATATCTCACGCACCGCCCGCAGCGGCCGAGACGTTGCACTTTTTATGCTGTAAATATCACTCAGTAAAAGGGGCTTCAATTCCAGCAGTCGATTCCACTTACCGACATAAAGACCGAGCATACCAAGCTGGCAGCAGCGGCGACATACACGCAGATGAAACTTTCCCCCGAAAATCAGTATTTCATCCACCTGAAAAAAGAAACAATGGCCACTTACATGTTGTGCCATGCAGACACGATAATGACAAGCGCTTGATCACGTAGCGTCTCAGGAAGTGACGGGAGCAGCTGGCCACTCGTTCCGGAGACGATCTGCCTAACTTGTGATTGCGGATAATCAGGGAGTAAGGTGAACAGGTCGTTCGACGCGATATTAACGAATATAGCGCCGCTGATAGATAGGCCTAGCGTCATGCCGCTTAGTTGGGCTGCATAGTCTGCGTTAGCTAGGAAGATGGTAGAGAAGCAAAGTAACGAACCGAGGAGCATGAGAGTCAGTCCATTGGGTGCCTCAGCCGGGGCTACCACAGCCTGAATGACCCCAAAGGATGCCTGGGTGTAGGCGCCAGCTCCGAGTCCTAGCACGATCTCAAGTCCATAGATCACACCTGATGGGGTGTTTACACTAACAATAGTAGCTGTTGGTCTGGGTATTAGCATATGATATGTGGAAAATACAGGGCATTTTACCACTAGACCATAACAAAAACCTCGGTTCCTGTTTACAGCCCAGTGGTGTCATATTCTAGTCTGATATAGGAGTATAAGAAAAGCGCACTCCGTCCCGACTTACACATCAAAACAGCCGGGATTAGGGCAATTATGCTGCCACATAGATACCAGGGCTTATAGTAGCCGACACGAGACATCATGACACCACTAGTCGGAATGGTAGTGATTAGCAGGAAGATGAAAGGGAGTAGGCGGACGGCAGATCTGATCGCGTTGTCTCCTTGGGTGAACTGGAAATAAATAGGGACGTAATAGACACTGATATAGGAGACAGCGCCTACTGCTGCACAGGTGATAAATAGTAAGACTGGCTCCTTCTGAGTAAATAGGTGAATTGGTAAAATGCGCCTGTCGGCCGAGGTCGCGATGTTGAAGCCCTGTTGGAGGCCAAAGATGATCCAGAGAGCGCCGGAGACAACAAACAGCGCAATCGTCTGCCCACTATTCCATGGGTAAAGGGTTCCACTGAAGTTGATGCCCATTACCAGAGTGGTAAATGCTCCGACACTAATTGCCGTGCCCACCCAGTCAAAGGTGGCTAGTTTCCGCCACCACGACATCCCAGGTAGTGGGTCGTTAGATGGGATGACGAATAGATAGATTGGCAGCAAGATGGCGCCGAACAGCAGGTTGATATAGAATGCCCAGCGCCAAGTATACAGCTCAAAGGCGCCGCCGACAACAGGACCTAGGACCGTCCCGAGACCCCAGACTAAACCGCTAGGAGGAATTCTTAGTATACGATTCGCCAACCTTTAGAAAAAGTAGGCTCGGCTCACCTCAAGCTTAGCCATTTTGGACGTTCTTGGCTGGAGGTGTTCATGGAAATCAGAGCAAGCAGACCGAAGTACATTCCATTACCGCCCGCACCAGCAAAGACTCGCCCGATGATCTCGGCGTCCATCGTGGGTGCCCCGCCACAGAGTGCAGAGGCTGCCATAAACACGACGGTGGATACAATGAATACCCACTTGGCATCAAAAAGTGCGTAGATCTTACCAAATGGTAGTATCATTGCCATTCCCCCAATCATGAACCTATATAAAGTTGTGTTTGTTAGCTAGCAACATCTCTCCAATGCTCACTCCTCTCATCTACGTACCCTACCGATAGCCATGGCAAATCTTCGACCGCGTTGAAATCGTTGACGATTTTCTAGTGAGACAAGATAGAAAACATTCGTCAGTATATACCTCTCTCGTAGACAGTTAAAATGGAGAGGTAGGGGGTGTACCGGAGCGATGTTGGCAACAATTGTATTGTCTAGAGAGTAGACGAAGATGGCCGTCAGGGTGCTGAAGAGAAATAAAAACCACTAACGCAGTCAGCAATCTCATTATCCAATCTCGGGGCTCGAAGCAAGCAAACTCACCTTGAAGCCAGTGATGTGCCGTTCTTCCTGCGAATCCAGCGACGAATCACTCTGAGATAGCTTTTCGGCATCGTGAAGTTGCTTGGGGCCAGACGAGGTAGATATTACGGTCATCACGATGAATTAAATTAAAGTGATCAAATCTGTAGGAACAAACCCATAATGCGATACAGCTGCAAACGATAAGTATATAACCACGTATATCAAAGCCCCGGAGCCTTTCAGCGGATAGGTTTGTCAACTCGGGTCAACTTCTTTCCACGAGAAAGGACACTATGACACCTGGGCACTTTCCATCGGGCCATGATTTGGTCAGCATTGCAGCGAAAGTTGCCGACTGTACTCCGGTCCGCTCCATGATTCGTCAATTCCCTTTTCCCATGTGTTCCCCTGTGGAGGCGGAGACTTTCATGGACCTTCGGCAGATCTACACGCCGGGGTACGATCCGCAGTGGAAACCATGAAAAGTCTCCGATTTCATTACTCCATGTTGCTATAAGTGATGATAACAGTGCCTGGGAATTTGATCTTATTCTCTGTGATCACGGTCGCTCCGGAGTTTGTCGCATAATCTTCGTAGGTGCGCAGTATGTCGCCGCCGCGGATGATAGCTAGAGCCTAATAAGTCTGCGAGACTCAGTGTCTTCGACGAAGCTAGCCATCACACTCGCCTCTTTGCTGTACCAGGTGTTGGTTATTTCAATGGAAACGGTCGACTTGCGGCAGTTGTTATAAAACCAGATCGGATCGCCGTGGAGTTTATATTGAATCTTGCCGCACAGGCAGGATCCGGTGACCCTGGTGAGTATGCTACCCTCGACGATTAAAAATTGACTCAGAGAGGAAGATAAAGATTGAAGCGCGTTGTGATGAGCTAAAGTCACCGAACTCATTAGTCTTATTATCCATACGTCGTCTATGGGCCGGAATACAATTGTAATATTCTAAGGCCTCTGCTCAAGAAACGCTGTATATATATATCTAACGGATGAGTCAAACCCAGGCTACTTCCAGATTCAGAGCAAATATACCAAGAAGGTGTTATACGCCAAGAAAGATGATGTTAGGCACATTCCATAGCACCTAGACTGGCCCAACCAGTGGTTCAAGATCGACCCTGGTAAGGTGGAACACGGGTCCCAGTTTCGACTTTGGGACCATGTCACCGATATGGTAGTGGTGTCGCGCCGAAAAGACGACTATCCCGATGACTTCAGGGCCAATGGAACGAAGTATCCTGATCAGTACTTCTTTTTCACGTTTGAGGACATGGCAATCATCAAGGTCGAGTACGATATCAGCAAGGGCGAAACTACGGTCGATAAACCGGTCACAACCGGTCAAGAATCAATGGGAAACGACAGCTCTTCCGAGATGACGAAGTATATCACCATAGCCAAAAAGTACACACAAACATCATCCTTTGACTACACTTCTGGCCTAAGCCTCATCACAATCGGAACGACCGCAACAGTGGGAGTTCCTGGGGTCGCGGAAGGGAAGGTCCAGTGCACAGGATCGACCACGCAGGAGATGAAATGGGGGAAACAGTATTCGGAGGGACGCGAAATTAAAGAGTCGTACGACATCAAAGTTCCTCCTCATTCTAAGAGCAGTGTGGCCCTTGCAGCGACTTTCTCAAACTTTCGAGGTACCTTGCACCGTGCACTCGCAGTGGAAGAAGACGGGCGTTGAAGCCGTGACTCATGCGATATTCCATGGTGTAGCTACTGGAACATCCATACCCACATCCATTGAGTTGGGACAGTAATTGTTCTTTCTAGATTACTCGATGGATACATATGTAGGCATTGCTTTCTTCACGTTCTCGACCTAACCTCGAATATCCTCTAAGAGACATCAAGCAATACCATTTTTTATTCCCCTTGTCGATGAGAAATTCCGGGCCTAGTCCTTGTAAACCTGATCAAGCTCACGCGTATCTTAAGGTAGAATAGAGAGCACTTTTAAAAAAAATAGAGGGATGGCCAGGGTCATGTGACAATAACACTGATAGATCACGTGATTTTCAGGGTCCACCTGGGCAGGGCTGAGTTTCATTCCAGAGGAAATATGGTAGAGTGACCTATGTATGTAGGATCAACTTCCCGATTAGCCCCCGGCTCCCTTTGACCACATATGTAGTCAGTCATGGTACATATGGACATTAAAGCACATCTTTCAGACTCACATGTTCTTATTGTCCGATCTTCCAGTCTAAAAATTGACAAGATCAACCCTTACTCCATCAGGGAGAGTCAGGGGCCGCAGTGGGGTAGGTGGCGCCCTCAGACTGAGCAGAGAGAGACAAAAGAGCCTATTGGCGCTTTTATCGCAAGTCTAGACTTGACCATTGACACTCTAATAATAACATTACAGGTTGGACCCTGCAGTCCCTTGTTGCGTGGCCAGGTGTGAAGGGGGTGACATTCTCGAATTGCGCTAATCATTATTCGACCCCTGCGACATCATGCCTCGTACTAACTTCCAAAAGCCACCAAGGACGATCAATGGAGCTCCAATAAACTCGGCCGCGTCTGATTCCTTCGCAGAGACCTCTCACAATCCATGACGTGCCACATTGTGTAAAAATGTGTCCATTTCCACCTTTGTTTGCTCCAACTGCCTGGGATCTTATTCTCTCTGAGACACCAATGCCGGCCTTTTTTGCTGGTCCCTACACTTGACTTGTACACCATTCCACTCCTTTTCTGGGCTTCCTATGACCGTTCCTTTGTTTCTTTGGTTATCTTGCAACACCCTACTCTATTCATTCATTATGTATAACAAGCGCAAAAACCGACCTTTATCAATAGCGTTATTTCTGATTGTCGCGACATACGTTTTCTTCTTTTGGCTCCCTAGTACAAAAACATACCGAGGTCGCCTACCAAAGCCAATATCCAGAAAAGACAGCACCGTTCGACATGATGCCATCCGTCTAGAGAAAGTCGCCGAGCGATTCCCCGTTACAGAGTACTTCCCACTGCCAACAAGCTCAGCGAAAATCCCCCGCATCCAGCATAACTTCCCGGAAGAAACCCGCAGCGAGCGCAAGGCCAGACTCAAGAAACGAGATGCTGTGAAGGAGGCGTTTCTTCATTCCTGGAATGGATATAAGGATTATGCGTGGATGCGAGACGAGGTGAAGCCCCGCACTGGGGGGTACCAGGATACCTTCAATGGCTGGGGTGCCACCCTTGTTGATTCGCTAGATGCGCTTGTGATTATGGGACTGGACGATGAGCTGCAGCTGGCTCTGGAGGCTCTAGAGGAAATCGACTTTACAACGACGAAGAGCAGACAAGTGCCTGTCTTTGAGATCATCATTCGCTATATGGGTGGGTTTATTGCTGCTCATGACCTGACTGAGGGCAAACATCCTATCCTGCTGAGAAAGGCTGTCGAACTGGGTGAGATGATCTTCAATGCGTTTGATACGCATAATCGCATGCCCCAAGTGCGCTGGGAGTGGACAAGGTATGCTAAAGTACATACAAATGTGCAACGAGAATTCGAGACTAACAATATCTAGATCCGCCCAAGGCAAAGAAATCTCACCATCATCACGCACGAGCTTAGCGGAGATGGGATCCTTGACAATGGAGTTCACTCGCCTGACCCAATTGACCGGTGATCCCAAGTACTACGATGCCGTGCAGCGAATTATGAACGAGCTCGAGATCGGACAAGACAAGACCCGGATGCCTGGCATGTGGCCGACATGGATTGACACCGACCGAATGACGTTCGACGACTCCGAATTCACCATTGGCGGATGTGCCGATTCCGCGTACGAGTACTTGCCCAAAGAACACATTCTGTTGGGCGCACAGACGGACAAATATCACCGAATGTACGAAAAGGCCATTAAAACATTCAGCGAGAATCTGCTGTTCAGAGGAATGACCCAGGACGAGGACCAGCACATTCTCTTCACGGCTAATGTCGTTGCAATGCGGGGTGACGCGAAGACCTTCCAGTACGAGCCTGACCACCTCAAGTGCTTCATGGGTGGCACCGTGGCTATTGGAGCCAAGGTTTTCAATCGGCCGGAGGATATGTATGTTGCCCGGGGGCTTACCGACGGCTGTGTCTGGGCATATGATGTTATGCCTACAGGGATTATGCCGGAGGTGTTCAAGGTCAGTCCTTGCGAGCACATTGATGAGTGTCCGTGGGATGAAGAACAGTGGATGTCAGATGTCATATCGCACTCTATCGATACCGAGGAAGACCGCGAGAAAGCGGAGAACCAAATTGAGGCTCAGCATCTACCACCTGGTGTGACTAGTATTCGAGACGCATCGTACAAGCTCAGGTACGGTTTCATCTCATTATTCGTGGTGCAGCTCACTAACATAGTACCCTTCTAGACCTGAAGCTCTCGAGTCCCTGTTCGTCATGTACCGGATTACCGGAGATAAGACTCTTCAGGACTCCGCGTGGCGCATGTTTAAGAACATTGATAAAGCAACTCGGACTAAATTTGGCCATTCGTCTATTAACGATGTGCGTCATTCGCATCCAAAACACGAGGACAAAATGGAGAGCTTTTGGCTTGCCGAGACTTTGAAGTACCTCTATCTCATCTTTTCTGAGCCGGATCTCATCAGTCTGGACGACTATGTGCTGTATGTTTGCTCCCAGCTATGTTTATTCTGTCTTCACGAGCTAATAATTCTCTTTTCAGGAGCACCGAAGCCCATCCTTTCAAGCGGCCAAACAACTGATGCGTTATAATACTGAGATTTTGTGTACAGCTTTCATCATCAGCAACATCTTGATTTGATCCAACAGGACCGGCGTTACAGGCATTGAGGCTTTCAATATCATACACAGCATCTACTTCGTCCACAGCCACCAGCCCCGATTTATCTATTCATAATATCCCACATTCACGCACCCTACAAGAAACCATAATATAGAATAAAATTATACATAAGCAGAAACATCAACAGAATTAATCTTCAAATCCTCCCGCCTCCTCACCTCCGCCTCATCCTCATATTGAATCGAGTACCGAATCTCCTTGTGAATAACCATCTTATCCGCCCCTTCCCCATCCTCTCGCTCACTCGCACTACTCGCATGCCGAGTATGCGACCTCGGCACAAGCTCAATCAAATCCGACTCCACCGTAAACGAACCCACAGACCCAGCTCTCACACCATTCTTCCCCTTTTCCGGCATCTGGAAGCTCAGCTTCTTGCGCGGCGCGCGGAGCGGGAACATCGACCGACTCGCTGGCGCACGCACCGTATCCGATCTACCACTATCCCCATCCCTTTGATTATTTCCAAGCGCTCCGTGCGCACGGGGACTGTTATCCAGACACAACGAAAGATGGCCCTGATTCTCTGACTGTTGCGACCCAGCACCAGCACCAGCACCAGAGCCAGAGCCAGAACCAGAACTAGAACCACCAACGGCCGGAGTACCCCCGGCAGCCTTGACCCTGTACCTGCTCTTTTCCTCTGCATGCGAGAATGCGATCTCGAAGCGGAATTCGAATTCGAGCCCGAGCCAGACCCAGTCTTCGAGCTTTCTTTCGTACCGTTTGATCTCGACGCACTACTTTCCAGCGTTGAGTCGCCCGCTGTACCGTAGTTCGTGCTGACGGCTGCCATGAATGGTCGGAGACAGAATACACTGCATGCGACTAGAGCGTAGTGGAGCTCGACTTGCATCCAGACTGTTGGTTTGACAGCGGCGAGGGTTGTGTCTTTGCTGTTTAAAGATGTTCGGAGGGTTGCGATGTGGATTAGGGAGAAGATTATGAGACTGGGTTGAGGCGGTTAGTCTTGGGTTTGAGATTGGGGATGGGAGCGGGTTATACTCACGGAAAGCGGAATATAAATGCGAAGCCGACGGCTAGTTTGCGGCGAACGGACATGAAGAGGCCTTTTAGGAGGATCACGGCTAGTAGGAAGAGGAGGAGCTCGGTTATAACGTCGACTGCTGCGATGAATTGCCATCGTATGTACTATTATTGCGAGATGAGAGACGGCTTCGGACAGTTGATGGGTGGTATATCACGGGGGTTTTACGTACCAAGTCGCTGCATTGGCCACCGTCACTCCGCCAAGGTGTGTTTAGCTCACAGTTGACTAGGACAATGAATATAGCTGGGATGACCCAGGCAGTGCACAGAGCTAGTGTCGCCCACGATGCGCGGTTATGTGGTTTCTGAGGCGTGAGGCGGAGGTAGATAGCCACGACGCAGCATTTGGAGAGGTAGATGATTATCAGCGCGACGATATCGCTTGTTGCAATTAACTTAGGTATCTGCTCAGTTTGGGTCCATTGATACAAAGCGACATAAAATCAAATGACAACTTACAGCTTGAATCTGATCGAGTCGACCATCCTTCAATAACGATATAGAAGTCCCGAATCCGCGCGAGCATGCATAAAAGATGAGACTGGATTGTACCACAGCAGTAGCCTGTACATCAATTGAAATAACAGATCAGTATTGTGCTCAGGTAGCCCATTCAACCTAAACCTGAGTAGACTCGACTGGAATCTTCATGCCCTAACTCACCGTAGCACCCAACAAAACCCAATCATCGCGCGCAAACGGCGGGATCAACATGAGCCGCACATACAGGCGAATCAAGAAACACACCAAGGACACAACCAGCCCCAGCGCAGCAGTAATGATTACCCACGCGCCATGGTGCAAGTCATCGACGACCTCGAAGGGCGGCGACTGGCCTGGTGGCACATATGGGCCCATGACAGGGGGGAGGGAGCAAGAGCCACCGTAAACGACGGAGTCTAGACAAGTACCCTTCTCGTTGTTCTCATGTATGTCATGTGGATGGATGGAAATACTGTGGTGTTGTGTGGAATGTATATATGGCCTGCGCTGATCAACACAGACACAGAAGCGACTGCGAAAGGCTGTCAGATCTGGGGGCCATGTGGGCTGGATGGCGTGACGGGAACAAATTAAAGAAGGGGTTGATTCCAGACGCTTGTATACGTTGTATAGAAAAGCCGAAGCAGGAGGTATGCGGGTGTCAAGACGAGGCGATAACGGTTGAGCTAGGTTCCGTTTCTCCTACGGTGCGCTTGCGATTGTGATTTTCTCTGCCTTGGGAGGTCATATGCCGACACCCGATAAAAAGATGGACTATCGAGTTTATGCATGTACATACGTAGGGCTGGTGGGATTCGCTCGATATCGGCGGATGCTGGAAGGGGGATTCGAATGTGCATGGCCGGTATATCCCTTTCTTCCGTTGGAGGGTATAAACGGTGGCAATTATTATCATTTTCGGTGTAAGTTCAGGTCATCTGGTTGGAATGGCGATTTGACTTCTCTCCCTCACGTCGAACTTCGATGTAGTACGGAGTACTGTGGGCACGCTGCTTTAGGGCACGGCGGCCCGCTGTAGGGTCGTCGATCAGCGTGCGCCCTTCAGAATTAGGCTGTGGGTCTTTAGGAGGTTGTAATCCGATAGGCCATGTGGTTTGCTCTTGGACAAATAAAGCGAGGGGTTCATGCATTCACCCGTTATTTGGTTCGAGGCAGGCATGGAATGGAGTGTGGCGGAATTATCTGGGGGATAAGCAACGAGGGGATGTGCGACAGGGATTAATTAACTAATGGGTTAGAGGGCTAGCGCGAGTGATGCATCAGAAATGTATCCGGTAGTGGTGCCGAGTCTGTTCAAGGGGTTGGGTTTGTTTATAGTTCGTACTTTGTTGTCGATCATTTTGGTGAGTGCGCTCTTAAAAGAGAGAAACAAGTCATAGTTATTTATGTGCAACTGCTATACTGCGTAGAATAGAAGGATTTAAAGTAGCGTTAAAACCCTGATTGTCAGTCTAAATTTCAATATCTCCCAGGTTTAAGGACGCTAAATGGACAACCCCCCCCTGTGGCATGCAAGGTCTCAATACGCCCCATTCCGTGCAAGAGACAAGGGATAGCAAACACCAAAACTGAGTTTTAACAGTCCCATTCCCAATTGGATTAGATACATCACCCTTGAGCAAAGAACGATGTATCATTCGGATCGCTGCTTGGGTGTTCCGAGGAGGTGTGCTTCCCACATGGCGCGCGAGAAATTTTCCCAAGCCATGCCTTGCTCCCACGTCAATACCACGCTTCAATCCCGGCAATTCAGTGTCCAACATGTCATGATTCCAGTCCTTTGGGTTTTCTCCTGATACCTGCTTCTTTTGGTTACAGCCTTTTTTGTTAGATTTATTAGAGGGTGCTTTGGTCTTTGGGCGCTTTTATACTTCGCATCCTAGATCCTTCGGGGCATCGAGTTGCCAGGAGATAGAGGCATTCGTTTTTATTCTCGCAATTCCCTATTTCCTTGTCAGGAATTTTCTTATCTCGCCTAGATAGATTCTTATTTAATCGTTCAGCTACGCGCGCGATCATGACGGTCTTCAGCAGATCCAGACCTGACTCGCAGCAAACGATGACTGGTCTCGACGACGAGGAGTATGCGCAGAAAGGCCTTGTTGAGCCTCGGTATATGGGCACGTTGGCAGATCGGCGTGATATGAATGCTCTTGGTCGAGTGCAGGTACTGCGAGTAAGTTGCTCCGCCCTGGTTGTTTCGGTTGTGTTGGCCTTGCTGACACCACGAAGAGAAATTTTCGGTTTATCTCGATTGTTGGATTTGGATGCACTTTGATCTGCACATGGGAAGTTATCTTGACGTACGTGCTAGTTCCTGCATATGGTGATTATGTAGACCACTGACTCCATTAATAGATTGCTGGCGGCTGGCTTGACCGACGGCGGTACAGCGGGCTTGATATGGGGGTTCATCGGCATCTCAATTGGGTTCACCCTTGTCTATGCCAGCATTGCTGAGATGGCCTCGATGTATGTGACTGACAACTTGCTCTTCCTGGCCAGATCGCTGCTAATCAATAGATAAATAGGGCCCCCACTGCTGGTGGACAGTATCATTGGGTGTCGGAGTTCGCACCAAAGAGAGAACAAAAGTACCTCAGCTATATCACAGGTAACACAGCTAGTCCTTGTGTGAGTCTAATTAGCTAACATATCATCTCAGGATGGCTTTCTGCAATGGGGTGGCAATGCGCCATTGTGTCCATCGCTTACCTCGCTGGCACAATCATTCAAGGCCTGATCGTCTTGAACCAGCCAGACTATGACTTCCAACAATGGCATGGTACCATGCTAGTAATTGCCATCTCAACCTTCTCAATTTTATTCAACACCTTCCTAGCTAAGAATCTTCCCTTCGTGGAAGGATTGATCTTGATCATCCATATTGTTGGCCTGTTCGCTATCATCATCCCGTTGTGGGTACTCGCACCACGCAACAATGTGCAGGCAGTCTTCACCACATTCAACAACGGGGGCGGCTGGGATAGCCCTGGGACGGCAACATTGGTCGGTTTATCTACTACCATAACATCCATGCTTGGTTATGATTGCTCGGTTCATATGTGTAAGAAAGAGCTCTACGGACGACCTCAGATCTGGTATATCGTGCTGACATTCAAAAAGCCGAAGAAATCAAAGACGCAGCAGAGACACTCCCAAAGGCAATGATGACATCTGTTGCCGTTAACGGCGTGTTGGGATTCATCATGCTGGTCACACTGTGCTTCACACTAGGCGAGGTCGACAGAATCCTCGATACCCCGACGAGATTCCCGTTTATCCAGATCTTCTACAACACCACGGGTAGCATCGCCGCGACAAACGCCATGACAGCCGTGCTGGTGGTAACGCTGACCGCCAGCACAATCACCGAGGTGGCGACGGCATCGCGCCAGCTCTGGTCGTTTGCCCGGGATGAGGGGCTGCCCTTTTCGTCCTTTTTCGCATATGTAAGCCACTTCTTCTCCCTATTCTGACCCCCTGTGTGGCACCAGAAACAAGAGTTGTAGATTCGGCTATATTAACACGTAACCACCAGGTCACACCAGGCTGGAACATTCCCCTCAACTCCGTTATGGTGTCTCTAGTCATCACAGTGTTACTATCGATGATCAACATCGGGTCGCAGGTCGCTCTGAACGCCGTCGTCTCGCTCACCATCACATCCCTGTTGTCGGCGTATATCATTTCGATTGGGTGCGTATTTCTAAAACGTGTTCGGGGCGAGCCGCTCCCACATCACCGGTGGTCACTTGGGAAATTTGGCATGGCGGTGAATGTTGGGGCGTTGGCGTTCCTCTGTCCGATTTTTGTCTTTGCGTTCTTTCCCCTGTCGACGGATGTTACGCTTGAAACGATGAACTGGAGCGTGGCGATGTATGTTGGCATCGTTGGATCTGCGACGATTTATTATTTGGTTCGGGGGAAACATCATTTCATTCCACCTGTGGCCTTGGTTCAGCGGGATGAGAATAGTTAAGATTGCGTTTGGTTGGGTTGGAGTGTTTGTCATTTTTCTTTTCTGACATTATTTTTCTGTCTACGTTTGGCTGCTAGAGGGATTGTGTATGTTGATGACGTGATGACGTGACGTACTCCGTATATAGGTACGATCTTGAGATTCTGCTGTTATTATTACCCCGGCTATCATTATTTCATTCATCTTGTTCAGACAGAATCGTACAGCAATGACGTGGCGCCTGCCCCTATCTGTGTTGATAGTTACTCGGTTTTGATGTCTCGGAGACTTCCAAGAGCAAGGGCTCGACCATTCAGCCGGTCATCGGCAATTGAAATTAAGTTATCAGATGGAACCCGTTAGCCCTTGTAAGGTTTCTTCCCCCTAAAACATACGCCACTAACACTTTAGAACCTTCAAGACTACTCTGTAATTTGTACGCAAACCCCAGCCTTCTTACCCGGCGTGACAAAGAATATGGAGTGGATCAATACAACAGCGCAAATGCAGGGCCACTAGTACATAGAATAGAGACTTAGTGACACACTAAAAGTCCCGGAGATGAGCTACAGTGCGGAAGAGTCAGCTCGAGATCTCCGTGGGGAGTGGTTTCAGGCTATGTGTTATTATTGAATCACTGAATTCAGGCTGAAAGTTCCAGGGGCGATCTGCTTTACTGTTTTTCTAGAACATCCCTAGCTCATTATTCAATCTGACCCACTGATTGATCTCGGCCTGGCATCCCCACTTTGGACCGGATGGTTGGGAAATTGGTTTCCCGAGGGTTAGGGACGTGTAAGCTAGGAGAGCTGTGATGGGCCAACGAAATACACGAGGCTTGGTCCGGCTGATCGGAAAGTGGGGGAGACTATAGAGAGAGATACATTTCGTACTTTGTAAGAATGGGGGCTTGAGGCTTGGGCCCAGGGGATTTTTATTGCAAAATAATAATATAATGTGCCCCTGTCTGGGATTGCCCCGGTTCGTACGGAGTAGATAACTAGAACACATGCTTACATGTGGAGTGTGGTAATACGGAGTCGGTTATCAGATGGGATTGATTACTCGAAGAGGCGGACAAATCCGCTCTTTGCTATCTGATTGATCTGATAACCGAGGTAATGTGTATGGTATTGTCATATTACATACAATACACATGTTCGAACATTTGAATTCAACATTTTCTGTCGGCCCACCTCGGAACTTACATTTTTTTCCAATTGCAATTTAAAATATCCCTGTAGAACCCCTGTCCAACGTAAGTTGTATATTGTAGGATAATTGCAATCATATGATATCTTACTATGGTCATTCCAGGTCGGTTAATAGCCGGGAGTTTCCTCGGCTGTTCTCAGCGCCACCGAATACATGTAAAGTACAGGTTCATCTTCATATGCACCGTCGATCTGGATGGATACGATGACCCCAAATGGAGCCGGTGCCATATCCAGTAGTCGAGTCCTTATTACTGCTGACATTCAAGATTAACGTTAGTCAAGATCCCATATTCTAGCTCTTATATAGTTGTAAAATATCAATGCCGGAACCAACCGCGTAACATACCCGGTGACGAAGAATGTGGCGAATCTGATAAATCCCTGTTCTGTTTCCGATCTTCAACGCTGTGAAACCCTGTATTTCTCAATCCCATACCGTCATTTTCATTTTCCCCGATTCTCTGTACGGAACTACCATCCCGACCATTCTTCGGGTCCGCTCTCTCTTCCCTCATCCCACTATTTTGTTCCCATGCTCTATTCATAGAAAGCAAAAAGGGGGTTCTACATACATCCCTTAACCAGCATCACGTCTCGACTCATATACCCCGGTCTTCCCTCGTTGCGCCGATTCTTGTGCAACTTTTCGGTAACTCCCAACACTCCTCTAAATTTCCTCATGGGTATGCGGAGAACACTCAACCCCAATCCAATCGAGACTCACATTTTAACCTATCGAATTAGTTCACGCCGTCCAATCCATCATGCCGTCGGCGACTTATGCTTCAACGGGGTCCCGCCCCCGCAGAGCCACTTATCAAGAAATCCCAGTGTCCTCGACCTCCCACCCAGATAACCCAATTCCGGAAGAGCCTCGAGGCGTGCGTTCGCTCTCAGTGACCGACACCAATTTCAACGTCATCTCCTCGGGCTCCTCCCAGGGCACTGTATCGAGCGGCTCAAATTCCCCCGACACCCCTCTGACACCACCCACCGAGTCCCAATCCGAGGAAGAAAATGCAGAGGGAAAGGTCGACGGTGGTCGGCAACGGCGACGAGCATCCACTGTTCTCATCTCACAGAACGCGGACGATATGCGAAGGGTATTGGAGAATGTGGGCACAGCAGGCACTCAGAAGCTTCAATCCCTCTGCTGTGGTGGGGGTTGTTGCCGGGGACAGGCATTGCGCCCTGTAGATGGACCGATCTCAGGCTTCAATTCCATCGTTGGACCTATCGGCAACAAGGCTTTTGATAGCCTCAAACTAAACCTCGATCTCCTCACCATGGACAGTGAGCTTTCCAACATTGCCCCGCTCCCAGAGAAGACCGTTTCGTTCAAGCCAGCCCCCGCATCGGCGGCCGATATGACCTTTGGCCCCGCAGACCACCCTCCGGAATTCGTGCAGCCGCACCCTCCTTACCAGGTCTACCGTGCGCCTCTGTTCCACACCCGTGAGTTGACAGGACCCGGAGCCGAGAAGCGTACCTACCACTTTGATATCGATGTCACCGACTACCCTGCCGAAAGCGGGATGGTCGACTTTGTAGTCGGCGGTGCAATTGGCGTGTGCCCCAAGAACAAAGACTCCGAAGTCGAAGAGGTCCTCAACCTCCTAGGTGTGCCAAATTCCATGCGCGACAAGAAAGTCCTCATGCGCACAACCAATGGCCGCTGGCCGACAATCTGGGGCGACGACAAGCCCCGCGAAATCATCACTACCCGTCGTGAAGTCCTAAGCTGGTGCTCGGACATCCAGAGTTACGCCCCAACAAAGCCACTCTTCCGCCTCCTCGCAGAGTACACAAGCGAGCCAAACGAGAAGAAAATCCTCGATTACCTCTCCTCAGCCCAAGGCCAAGGCGCCTTCTGCGACATACGCACAACCTCCTTCGTCTCCCTCACACAACTCCTCACAGCCTTCTCAAGCTCTCAACCACCCCTCGACCACCTCCTCTCCGTCCTCAACACCCTCATGCCCCGCTTCTACTCCCTCTCCCAAGACCCCCAGATATCCTGTCAGTACAAAGGCAGCGAATGCCGACGTCTAATCGAAGTCGCTGTCACAGTCGCCGAGTCCGATGACTGGCGCGGCGGGTCCCGCACAGGCGTAGGTTCCGGGTACCTGGAGTCCCTCGCGCAGCGAGCGATTGCCGCCGAAGCCTCCGGCGAGAAACTCAACCTCCATGTACCCATGTTCCGAGGACTGATGGCGAACCCGCTCGCGACGCGCTTTGCCTCTGACGGGCCGATGTTGCTCATCGGTGCAGGAGTTGGAATTGCGCCTTTCCGCGGCTTTGTGCAGCGCCGTCTGCAGTCTGCGAACTGCGCCAATAAGGTCTGGGTGCTGCAGGGTGTCCGTGACTCACTGCTCGACGAGCTTTACTCGGGCGAGTGGGGTGTGCATGAGGATAAGGTGCGCACTGTTGTGCAGAGCCGTAAGGGTGAGAGCCGCTATGTGCAGGAGGAGGTTAGACACCAGGCTGATCTTGTTTGGTTCGTTATCAACTCGCTTGATGGTCGAGTCTTTGTTTGTGGTTCGGGTAAGGGTATGGGTGAGGGCGTTGAGGCTGCTCTTGTTGAGGTTGCTATGGCCAAGGGTAATCTCAATGCCCAAGAGGCCGATATGTTCTGGCAGCGGAAGAAGGAGGCTGGACAGTATATTGCTGTAAGTTTTGATGTGTTTTGATGTTATGGGGGGCTATGCTGACTTTTTTCAAGGAAACTTGGTGATCGCTTCAATTCTAAGTGGTTGGCTCTCCCGCATTATGCCTTGATGGCCAAATGCTCATTGCAATCATGTGCAAAAGTTATTGGTCATTCGCCTGTACATATTTGTCCCGTCCTGCTTGCATATGCAGAAGCTCTGCGGTTGTTATTTCTTTTGCTTTGAGCTCATGGCTAGACACACACCGTCGACTGGCCTTGCATCATTTTGCTCTTTATCTGATTAATGTTTTTTTAGCGGGGTGGTTATCTGTTCTCTCTTGTCTTTTTTCTTCTTCTTTTGCATTCTTTCTTGGTATCCCGGGTTTTGTTCCCCAGGTTTATGGGTTGTGATATTTCTTCCAGTTTTAGTTGAACATACATAAATCAATATTTTTTTTCTATCTGATTCTTCGTCTATCTGATTCTTCACGCTCCGTCCTGTATTGCCACGGTCTATTTGCTGCTTATGTAGTGTTCATTACTTCAGGGCAGTCTCAGATCCCAGCCTGAATACCTAAATCACATAACAGACGACATAATACATTCTGAAATAGGACACCAGCTCATAATCACATATCTTTCTTTGATCTCTTACTTTGTTCTCACCGTCACGGCCACCCTCAAGTGACCCTCTGAACCAATTCATCCTTCTCATAGGTAGGTTTTCTGATTCCACTGCCGGTCAACAGACGGCGTCATAAGGTCTTGCCATAGTAAGTTGTGAGCTACCAACTGCGGGCGGGCACTGTGAGAGAGGATCTGTCCTTCATCAGGGAAGGTATTGCGGAACGTGCCATCCGCATACCGATGGGCTTGTGTGATACGGTTAGCCCGCTTTCTGATTTTCCCGGCGGCATTGTAGAATCAGTGTGCTGGGCCTTGGGGGCGTTGCTTAGGTACCCCTCTTAGGCTCGTTTCCCGGTGCCGCTTCCTTGTCTTTCGGGTTTGAGGTAGCCTAAAGCATGTTAGCTAGAACCAAATCGGCGATAACTGAGCTTCCTACCTTTTGGCCGCGATTGGCTCTGGGTCTGTTCTTCTTCGGCTTAACTCGTAACAGACTTTTGGGATCGTTGAATTCGCCCACTAGGGTATCACGCTTGCTTGGCTTAAGAGCCGCTTAAGAGCCGAATGATACGTTCGGGCGTCAATAAGAGCAGAACGCAGAACCACTTCCGCATACCATGCGTTTAGTGGACAGGAATCGACGATTAGAATCTGTCGAAATGGGATACCTAGGCCCTAAACAGGAACCGAGGTTTTTGTTATGGTCTAGTGGAAAAGTGGCTGTAGTATTTCCCACAGAATCTTTTGATGGTGGCCAAACTTGCTTTGGTCTACCTCTTGAAACACCTTTTGCTCCAGAAGCTGTTGGAAGAGAAGTCTTAGCCGTGGCGAGCGGCTGGCGCCTTTGATGGCCCATGCGGTCCCCACATTGTGCTGGAGGATCTTTTCCAGATATCGATTTGGAAAATTCGGGCGTTCGGGCAGAACCTCCTCAAACAAGAGTTTATAGCACTTCTTCCGTAGCTTCCACCGATTTTGGTAGTAGTAGTGATCCGGGTCTACCAGTTTCTTTAGTCCAGTTGAGAACTGGAATGTCTCATGGATCTGATCATCGGTAACTTTTGCTTCCCTTGGGGAAGCCTCGGGGCAAGCTGGCGATGAAGCCATGTTATTGTGGCTACTAGCGAAGGGGAGAGAGAGGAAGAAGAATCTCTGTGTATTCAATCTATGAAGAGCAGGGTATTTATACCCTGAATCTGGCTAACAAACTGAGAAGGGGGAGAAAATATCTATAAAAATATATATTTAAAAAACCTATCTGAGAAGACAAATGAGAAGGCTATCTAAGAAGACATATAAAAAGACTACCTAAGGAGACACTAAAAAGACCACCAAAAAGACATCTGAAAAGACATCTGAAAAGACTACAATAAAAAACCACCAAAAAAATACTTGACAAGGCCGTATAAGCGGCCGGCTATTCTTGTTATGGAGAGATCCAAAAACATAGGGTAATGGAGAACCCCGGCATTTTTCACGGGTTAAAATCCGACGCCTTCCTAGGTGTGGCTCAAAGTTCGTGTATTTACACAATAGCAGTACATCGCTCAGTATGGGATCAGTGTAAATAGAATCGTTCATTCATCCATCCATCCATCATCCACTGGATAAGAAAAGAAACTGTTCTTGACATAATCGTCAGGTCTACCGAAAAGGCTAGAACATAAAGCAAACATAACATGAGAATATACAATTTGCCACAAATTGTGTGCTTGGGCTAATTCATCAAAACACCCTTCAATCAACTTTCTCGTAACATAAGAACGGTGCATGCAAAGGGTCAACAAGCAAAGCACTAGAGCATAGCAGCGATCGCCACGACAGCAGCTGCCCCCATTGGCGCAGCAGTAACCATAGCTCCCCCATTAGGAGTCTTGGTTGCCTCGCTGGCAGTGAATGAAGCTGTTCCGGCTGTGACATCTATCCCGTAGGAGGTGTAGGACTTCGTTGGCAGGTTTTTGGTGGAGCTGGAGGTGGAGGTAGAATACGAAACGCCTGCAGTGGTGCCGGTGACCTTCACGCTAAACGAACAAGAAGGAGATTCGGTGGCCTTAGCGAAAGTGCAGTCAAATTTTTGGGTTCCAGTCACAGCATTGACCGTTCCTGAGCCCGACACGGTATATACACCTGTGAGACTGTAGGTTTTCGGGCCCTGAATCATGGTCCAGGGGGTAGCGATCTCGCAATCAGACTTGGGCGCACCGCTAAGACATCCGATTCTGTAGGTAGTGGCGACGGCATTGATCCCAGCGACGCTGGCAGCTGTGCTGGTCCATGGGTGGAGGTGGAGACTATGAGCCCATTGCATTCCACCTCCAAAATAGTTGATTCTGGTTGATTCGTCCGCAGTGACGAGGGCAGCTAGTGCCGTTGAGAGAAACCAAGTGATACGCATTATGTATTTCGTTTTTGTGAAAGGATTAACTGTTAAAGCAACTGATGAGTAGAGATTTCAGGAATCGAGAAAAAGAAAGAAAAGAAGTGGGAAAAGGTCTTCTTTAAGCCGCATTCCCCCAACTATTAGGGGGCTGGCCCCAGAAACTCAGCCCAGCAAATGAGCTGATACCCTGTCAGCCTAACCACCTGGGCATGCAGCTAAAAAGAAGCGAGGTAATCTTATTGGCTCAGCCATAAAGGAACTTGTGTAGGGCACCCGATCAGTGCCGGATCATCCGCTGTGGCTTAAGTGATAGTGATGGTGATGGTGCAGATGAGCTGGTCAACCCTCCGTTTGATGCGTATCTTTTGAACAAAAAGATGGGAAAACTGAATGCAAAACCAATGAAGTCTCTATGTTTTCTTTTTTCTTTTTCGCGGACGTGGTTAGAGGGTCGAGCCCCGTGGGGGCCGTTTCAACAAATCCACATCCCTGCATCAGACTGGCGCCCCAACCGGGCAGTGAAGCATAATACACCGATGACAGCACAGGGAATTTGCGCACTGATACTTTATATACTGATATGGAGTTCTCGATTGAAGAAGACAGGAATAGCAGCAATGATGATCTACGGCATGGATGGATGGATTTCTGTGGAGAGGAAGGTGGGAAACAGGCCATGGATTGAATTGAGCTAATAACCGGAAGAAAGAAAGAGAGGAAGACTAGTCTAGATGAGAATAAAGGTCCTATCCGCCTTAGGCAGGAGGTTGCCTTGACATCTTCGATATTTCTGTAATCTCCAGACCGCTAGAGAAAGGCACTGGACGTCGTGGTAACTGTTGAGATGGGTGCCTAGTCAGGCAGTGGAGACTGGGGTTGGTGCCTGATAATTCTGGCCAGTGGCCTAGGATAACTAGTTAACTAGTTCTATGAGCTCGTCTCCTTTCTCTGATGCAACTCTCTTCTCCTCTCTCTGCCTTTCGTCTCTTATAAACTTAACAGTAACATTCTACAATCTGTGTCTAGACGCAAGAGTCGCGGGATCTATTGGTGACACTTCTGCCAGGTCCGATGCCAATCGTTGGCGACATGGGTTTTCTAGGTCCATGAGAGAGTGAGACTTATGACCAATGGCGCACACAAATCGATACATCCGTTGCCAGGGTGGATAGTTGGTTGCGCGAGCTAGCAACTCATAGGGAGAGCGATGTCTTGCTCCGTGCCACAGTAGGAGCAGCTTCAAGCTTCGTCAATCTATCGCCTAGTACTCTCACTGCTGTGCTGGAATATGATTGATTGCCTTGTGCGGGAGTCAACGATTTGATAGAGGTATTCCATAAGATAATAAGACAATGGTCGGGTTGTTTCCTAGGTTGAATACCATTTTTACTAGTGCTCCATTAATGTAGAAAGCTCTTCCTTCATGCAATATAATAGTACAGCCTATTAAACGTCCGAGCAAATAGGTCCCATGTGTTACAGGTCCAGTGTCTGTGATATGGTGTTAGACATGTTCCCAGCATCTCCTAGACTCAAGAAATAGACTTAAGCATACAATGGTCCTCCGCAGGTGAACCAGGGTATCAACTATTCGCTGCCCATCTATTGGCTTCTATGACCAAGACCGGAATATACAAGGCGGTCATGGAAAGGCGGTATGTGAGCTATTCATAAAGGATGCAGCCCTAGACATATTCAGCGCTTCTAACAAGCAATCATCTTTCTTCAATGAATATCATCCACATTCCTTCCCTAACACCTTACTATCAAAATGTCACAACACGAAATAAACCCAGACCTCCTTCCCATCGCAATTTCTGCCAAAACTTTAACTCCAACGCCCAGTGCTTCAGGTTCTGATCTCCTCTACTCCACTATCGAAGCCATCATCCAAGATGTGCAAGCTCGATCCGATTTTAATCACCCAGACCTTCTTGTAATTACCGATATTACAATACAAGAGGGTGAAGAACTCTGGGACAGGCTTGACGAAAATTTCGAGTCGAGCGGGATCCGAAAGTCCCTCAATACGCGCGCTAGAACCTTGAGCATCAAGCTGTGAGTCCTAGGCAGATAAAATAGAAACACACCTATCGCTCTTCAACGAGGTATTTATCGCTATGGAAGGAAAGGCCGAATGTCCATATTCACGTTGCTGAGATCATGTGCTTGCTCCGGGTCAGGGATCAACCTCATTATATATTTGCTGTTTCTAAGCCGACAATAGGACCCCAGAATAGAAATTCAGTTGCTTCCTTATCCTTCAACCTCCCCTTTCCTGCCTCCGTCTTCGAAGCCGAAGAGACGTCCACGGTAATGATCTCCCTATACCTTATACGAACATCGACTGTCATACTTCTATATCATGGCAGGACGTCGGGGATGCGACAGTGCTTATTATCCTCCTTTAGCAGAGTGGAATTGCTGCTTGATAATCTGGGACTTTTACACCCTACAAAGACCTGGTGAAGCCAACATCTGCAGCGGTCACCGAACCAGTCATTTTCCTTCCTCATCCGGCTGCCCACGCCAGCCGAGAAGGAATACTGGTCGACACTCACTCTTTGTCTCGAAGTTGGCTACATCATGTTCATATCGATGGTACTACTGGATATACGCAAACTCTTGATCAGGTGGGCTTGATGATATCACCGATGAGCTTGATTAAACAAAGCACGAGGTATATCAGCCATGCGGCAGGGTTCAATGACTGCGCCCAATAACTAGAAGGGCAAAGAAACAAAACTGGGCAATATTCCGCCGATTATGTGCTGTTTGGTTACCCCCCGTAGGCTGGAGATTTCTCTCCGATGGGGATAGAAAGAAATTTTACCGCTGTGGAAGCAACGCCCTCGCAGAAAAAGGTTGCAGACACAAGAAAAGCTGGTCGAAGCTGTGGCAATGCTCAGAAATACCTGCTACGGTCTATTTACGTTGTCATTTGGCGTCTGATGCAAACATGAACAAGTTGACATGGCGATCTGCTTCCTTGAGCCATGATCCTTCGATGTCGGGAAGTTCAAAGAGAGCCTGCAATATTAAACCGTGAGCTTGGTACCATCCTTCGTGATGCAGTCAACACAATGAGGGTGCCAGGATGAGATGCAGTTCCACATTCGTGCACATTTGTGCTTCCTGTAGATAGGAAACAACCCAAGCACTTGAACCTGATTTATGGCTTCCTTGCGTTATTTGGAATGTAACCCGTTAGTTAAAACTTTCACTATATTACTCTTGGTAAAAAGTCTCCGAATCTGGGACATTGTGGATACATTTCAAGGGGATACTAAAAAACACCCCCAGGTGTGACTTGTTTAGCATATGTGATAAGTGGGCTATGTCTTCCTCGCTAGTCCGTACTCGTGCATGACCTTCCGGTTCGAAAATTGAGCGAGTGCCATTTAGGAGGAGGATATATGCTTGCTTATATCACCAGTGATATTGCATTAAGGAAGTAGCAGGAAGTGATACTTCTGACATCTCGCATAGAATCAAAAGTCTTTCCTAACCGAGCGAGGTAACGTTAGATGTCGGCTCTAAATTTAGCCGACAAGGATAGCCAAGCTCTAGCCGAGCAGAAAGCAGACAAAGAAACAAAGTACTATCGACACGGTCTCTAGCGCCGAGTCAGGCACTAACGCATAACCCACCGATCCATCACCCGAGCTCCCGTCGCTACACCTTTCACCATCCAACTAGTCATATCAGTCCATCGGGGCAGGAATTATATTCCCGGGCCCTGTCTAACTGCCTTACCCGTTCAAGAAAGAGACGTCTGACACCCACCCACGTCATTTAAAAAGACAAGGCCCCATGTAAAATTAATAAAGTATTGATCGGACCAATAGAGAAAAGAGCTTGTAATATCACCTTGCATGGCGATGAGGGATTGGTGGCCTTGTCACGAACTATACCCTTGGCATGCCTAAATCATGCATGAATACTCCTCCGGTGACACGAGCCTATGTTGTTTTGGGCAGCCAAATAAGCAAACAATTCGAATTGTCCAGATTTCAGCCAGGTACATGCTAGAAGAGATGCACCTATCAACGATCTAGACGTTTAATTCGGGGTTGGTTTTATGCAGAGGGCCCTTTTGGGATTTCTAAAGTTGCATTCTTGTGTTACTTTGGCCATGGAGTACTTGTACTATGTGCGCTATACCGCTACGGACCTCATTATTCCATTTTATTATATTCCCAATAGCAGTTCTTTTCTGGTATCCACATAGAAAGAAAAATAGAAGAATCACGCCTCGCTTTGACAGTTCATGAAAAGGAGACTATTGATTCTAGAAGGAATTCTTGGCAATTCAATATCTAGAATTTTTATACGGAGTATTAATAGATAAAATAGAAGCCCAAATGTCAAGAATAATGAAAATAAGGTTAAACACCCAAAATTGGACCTAAATAAAAATTTATAGAATATAAATATAAATACAAATACAAATACATAAATAATAAAAAATAAAAAATAAAAAATAAACCCCCGGTTGACCCAAGAACCGGGAAATGGAAATGACAAATACTGCATGCATCCATGGATTATGTGTTCCCACCGATCTGGAGTAATACCTCCGACGCTAGGGTACTACAGAAAAGTATATGCAAGAGAAAGGCATGTTATGTTTACCCCTCCCAGTTTCCCCTCTAATGGCTCTCAGAGCTTTAAGAGAGATCACCCGCATTTTAGACCAGTCATTTTACCAGGGACGACCCTGGTTGCCTGCGAGATCCGATGATCTGCATTCCTTCATGCACGATCTCTGATCTCGTAAATGGGGCCCAAGGGCATGGCAGGTATGATGATCGGTTGGAATTCCAATTTCTTTCTTTTCTTTCTTTTTCTTTTTTTCTTTGTTAGCTTATGAGTATGGAGTACGGAGGACCTCGGTTAGAGACTTTAATAAAACTTTGAATTTTCCGATTTTCCAAGACCTCTCTGGAACAGCGAATCAAATGAAATTCTCGGTAGATCCAGATCCAAAGCTTCGAGGCTGGATCCAATCCCGATCGGAAATAATTTTCGATTTTATTTATGTTGTATTTTGAAAAGGATCTTCCTTTTGATGGGTGGATCGAATCTTAGCTTGAATGCAATACGGGCCTAAAGGACATAGGACATACCTTAGGGCCCGAGGTGACCGCGGTCCACGGGGGTTAAGTTTGGTTATTAAACTTTGAAATAAATAGACTCGGGTGTCAGATGAAGACGGGATATTTATTATAGGGGTGATAGTATAGGGCTGTACAGGGGGAAGACAACATTGAACAATTCCAATATGATAGTATTCTGGCACTTATGTTATAGTACATTTTGCTACAGGATTCACCAGGAACTTATCCAATCACAAAAAAATCGAGAAAAAGGAACTCCATTGTTCCGATCTGATTGGCTGAGTAGCATTGGGCTGGATCACACTTAGCTTGCATTTAGTCCAGGGATCTCCAGACATGACAGACTTGCGCCATTATTGAGTTGTCAGAATGTGACTAGTTGCTAGAGCGGGTCTGTTAGTGCAATGTGTGTCGTGTCAAGCTGAGAAATTGCTCCAGAATATATTGGTTCAGATTACATTGTCTGGACGCGACACGCGAGGTAAAGATTCTAATTAGCGTAAATTGCTCAATTTACGATCGGTGATATCCTAAGCTAAATACCTAAAATGCAACACACCTAAGAGATATCATATGCGAGGGTATCTCCACTCCAATCATATCAACAGCCACCAAATCACCAGCTCACGAGTGCATAACGTCGCGAAAACAGTAAAATAAAGGGAAAGACCAAAGCGGGTTCTCCGGGTGATCCTTGATCTGACATACGGAGACAGGAAAAAAAATCTAAAGAAATCCAAAAAAAAAGCCCTCGACGCCACAAGCTCTCGAAGGAAGTGGGGATACAAATTGAAGAACCCCTAGGCGATCTATCCCTGTAAACCAATACCAGCCCCTCTCCCTTTCTGTTTGGTCGATCAGTCACCGTGCCCACCGATGAGAGGCTCTAGGCAATCTACGATCGATCCGAGGCGTCACCTCTGCGGTTCCTGATTCGCCCAACTGAAATCCAGAACCTTTCTCTCTTTTGTACCCACCATCCGGGTTAAGCTCTGCTCGGAACACGATCTTTTTGGAACCAGTGATAACTCTTTTTGGAAGCGGCGATCTTTTTCTGCGACTCGGTGTCTGGAATATCCACTTAGGACACTTTTTTGGTTTTTTTTTACCATACGGAGCGGTTCGGTCTATATCTTTGGACTGAACACTTCTGGGTGTCTTTTCCTCTCCCATGGGAGTGGATGTTTCTTCCCTTTTGCTTTCATTTTGTCACGAACTACTCCGTGCTCCGTCCCGAGTACTGCATCTCCCATAACCCCAGAAAAAAGCAATGTGGATGTGATTTGATTTAATATATATTTAATTACAGAAAACAAGTAATTAACTTCAGCCTGACTCAGGCACATTATGACAGAATCCCCCCCCCCTCCTTACTCCCGGGGCTGTCTGCCGGACATCCCCTCTTCCCCAACCTTTCCTACAACGTAACGTATATTTCTTTTAGTTGTATTTTTATACATTTGTACTTTCAAGTACGAAGTACACTGTTCTGTATTGTTCTAGTATGGTTTCAAAGGACCTTGGAAGATCTCTTTTTTAGGGCCAATATTGCTTATAAGCACTGGCATGAGATCCCCGAATTTGACGTACACTAGTGAACCGCACTTACTTTTTTTAAAAAAAAATATTATTCTAATTTCAAATATCCTTTAATACAATCCTTTACTCCGAAACATCCAATCAAAACCCTGGAACTCCTAAAATCCCTACAATATATGGAACCGGGGAGTAGTTCGTGAGATAGATCCTGACGCTAAGACTATTCCACCAGAGAAAGACTCTATCTGTCAACCTTAAGGAACCTTTCTCTGTATGCTTCTCCGCTCTGCATGCCCTTGACACGGAGCACTGGTGCTCCGACTCATGTACCCACCAAGCCCACGATCGTCATTTTTCGGCCCCCCTGTTCTTGCTTTTCCATGGACATGTAACAGCTGGATGTCTCTTTTTTAATTTTTAATTTTTAATTTACTTTAATGTAGATTTTGGGGCCACTTTTTTTTGGATTGAAATAATGTACGGGGCCCTGCATTATTTGGGAAACCGCATTTCCATCTTTGCCCTCATTCCCCAACCTTGCATATAATCTTGGCCTTTCTCTTTTTTATTTTACCATGTCAACGTAAAATCAGCCTGATTTCCTGGTGAGTGCTTCTTTGGATACTTTCACCCCTCCCTTCCCTCTTATACCTTTTTTCTGGAGAGTCTTGGTGTTTGAACTACGGACTCCTCGTCTGATATTCGATTCTGACTGTGTCGAGCATAGTTCTATTTTGTAATACATTGTGAAACTCTTTTCCTACGGACATTTCTATCCTTGTCCCTCCCCAAATACCTTGTCTATGTCACAGTCTCATGAGGTAGACGAAGATACCAATATGGCTATTTCGTATACAACCCAGTCGTCAACCGGACACCCTCACCAAACCCTCCCCTCATTCCGCGAGGTAAGATATAACCCTAAATCCTTTAAAGGAATACAACCTGAAATCAGTATCTAACATCTCCCAGCTCCTCCCCGCTCACCTCCACGATGAAATCGAATCAACCTCCCCATTCTACACCACCCCCCGCCACTCACAAGACCGCCCACCCTCAGGCCACGAAATGGCCGACCCCCGCTCAATCCCATACAGCAATCAATCCAACCAAGTTCCCTACGAATCCCACCGCGAATACACAGTCTCCCGCGGCGCAGACCACCAACCCCGCATGCCAGATCCAGGCCACCATCACATGCATCTAGCCGAAAACGCATCCCGTGGGCCCAGCCCAATTCTCCCTCCAATCCGCGACCTGGACTCCATTCCCGGCCGAACAATGAACCCGTCCAGCAGTGGGTATCCCGAGCGGCCCCCACGCTCCGACCCCTTCGTTGCGCAGGAATACCGCCAGCCCGCGCCGACGGCAGCAGCAATGTCCGCTGATCCGCGCGGCGAGCACTTTGCCCAGCCCATCATGCATCCCCAGTCGCCGTATGGACATCCTGGTGTCGGGTATGCCGATGAGCAGATGTCGCCGCAGATGATGGGGCATGGGCAGGGGAATTTCGGGATTATGGGGGATCCGATTGATCCTAAGACGAAGCGGAGACGGGGCAACTTGCCCAAGCCTGTTACGGATATCTTGCGGGCTTGGTTCCATGAGCATCTTGATCATCCTTATCCCAGTGAGGAGGATAAGCAGATGTTTATGACGAGGACGGGGCTTTCGATTAGTCAGGTACGCACTTTTACAACTACAGACTGGCAATTGGGTTGTCGTGGTTGGTTTGCTAATGCTTTATCTCTTTTATACAGATCAGTAACTGGTTTATCAATGCTCGGAGACGACAGCTTCCTGCGCTGCGGAACCAAATGCGCAGTGGTGCGGATACGGACTCTCAACGACAGTCGCCATTTAGTGATGTCGATGGATCGGAACACATGCCCTCTCCTCATCACTAGAGTGGCGATGAACCTGGACCTATGAGGTTCGGGTTTGATCACGGCCTTTTTTTTCTTCTATTTCTGTTCATTCTTCAACGTTACACGGCATTCGCAACGTCAGCCTTTTATTCACTTTACGACTGGGAAGCTTTTATATTGTTTCTCTCTACCATTTACGAGTCACGGGGTCGAGGATACGGCGAGCTTGATAGACTGGCCTCTTTTTCTTTCTTTTTCCTATGTTTTTTTTTTTTCCTTTCTCACCTTCCAGATCTCTGGAGCTCACTCTACATGTCGCATTGCCGTCCGGTACGGAGACCTTGGTCAGACATTATATTTTGATACCCTTTCTCTTTGGTCGCGTTTACCAAGCGGGAACTTATTTTGTTGGAAATCAATAGGCAAAAAGGGTATACGACAAACTATGGCATTGGGAATCCCATCGAATCATTTCTGTGATTTATTCTACGATTTACTCTACTTTGTGTTTTCCTTTTCTCTCCATGTTGCACCGCATTTCCATTGCATTGAATGCCCCTGGACAAAACCCGCGAAAATTGCATTACTAGGTGTTTAGAGGAACCCTCGACTTTCAAATCTACATGGCACATTTCTTTTCCATTTTATTCTCTGGTTCTGATAATTACCACTTCTACAAACGCCAATGCGGATCCGAAATGTCAAGCAATACGGAGATATGGAGTACCAAGCAGATCTCAGCTGCCCACCGCGCAGCCCGACCCGACTCCACTTTGTCTCCATCATCGATACTAACCCATCCATGTTCTTGCTCGCATCCCGCGTAAACATGGGTCTTACCTTACCGGCTCGCATCACCACTTTTTTTTCCCTTTCGGCGCAGATATCTCCCAGGTATTGTGAGCCTGTATGGACTGGATTGGATATGGTTTACTCTATTTACTCTATGCATGTCCATACAAAATAGATATTAAAGGTAATCCGGACCTCTATTCTCTGTTGTCCACCAAATTTTTCTTCTCTCGGCCCATTTCCCTAAAGTTACATACTCCGAAAATATTTTGCCATTGAAAAAGTGTGGTTTTCGGGCCGGGGCAAGGAGACTGACCCATGGTTTGCCGGTCATTAAATCACGAAATTCCAAATTTATAGACCCGTAAACTAGTGGATATTCTAATAATACTCCACCTCGGCATGTGTCAAGATCGACCCCATTTTGACTTTTTATTTTGTTCATGACGTCGAGTTACCAAACATCAACCTCGTCCCTACCACGGTCTATGTTCCTTTTGACTTTCTGACAGTTAGAGTTTTGTCCGGTGAGGACCTCGGTATGATCTGATCTGATCCGAAATTATAAGCATTGCATTGCATGGAATCTTATGTTTATAATAAAATGAAAGTATTAACTTTCCAGGTTTCGAATAAATTCCAAATGACGTGAACTCTGACAGCTGCATGGAGCCCAATAAACTTAAACTTCAGCTTTTCGGTCTCTCCGTTGGAGTCCACAAATTCACAAATCTCACAGGAACCACTTCAGACCATGGAACTTACTTTCACTTTGTGTCAGCCGCGTGAGTCCAGATTCGATTTTTTTTTTTTTGCCCTTGACAGTCCCGAAGCACTATATATTTAGCCGGAGTTAATTTCGATGTGGAGTTCAACATATTAATTAGCATTTACAATAATGGTCGGTGATATGCTAGACCGCATATAGCTTATTGTGGAATATTAACTATTATCTAACTCTTTGGGGAGTTCCTTTTGTTGCTTCTCAGCCCTCTCAGATCCTGTTCCGATTCCGAGACATATCTGAACTGACTGCGGTTGGGAACTGAGACAGGTGGAATTTTCTTTGAATCACATCACATTACTAACATATTGTACCTGCTGGTACTCCGTAGAGAGGTGCTATTTGTACTATTTATATTTTTTTATGCTTTTTCTGTGATTTTCCCGAGCTGCCCCGGGAAGACACAATTATGGGGTCCTGACATGACCCCGAAAAAACTTACTTGACTGCAGATCTTAGACTTCGGTCATCCTACCGAGTCCGGAGTATAATTGAATCTTTTTCAGTGGGTACAATACACGATGTAGGTTCTACCATACCATACCGCTTATTTGAGACCTCAGTGAGGGGACTGCAACCCACTTGGTTGAACTCATATTTGGAAAAGTGATATCAAACGCGCATCCAATGAACCAAAGAAAAAAAACTGGATTAGGGTTGCAGTTACATTTATCTACTCCGTACTCCGTACATTGTACTCCGTACGTTCTGCTGCAAAGAAGTAAATAGCAAAACCATGCATATCTAGAATGCACAATGTACCTCAACATCATAAAAAGAAAGACCAAAAAAAAAGCAAATACCTCATATCCATACCCGTACCTTAAGATACAACATACAGGATCTATACGAACAGGGGATGAACCCCGTAACCTAGTCCCGCATAGAGGGGGGCAGCGGATATGCAAGCCATCAGCGCAAACCCCGACATCCAGTGTCTCTGGGGTCCACGAATGGCCGATCTAAAAAGCAAAAATGCACCCGACAAAAGTCGTGCAGCGTGCATACAACCTACCACGGCTTTTCGTCGAGCTCAACCGAATCACAGTCCATGGAAACATCCATCCCCTCCCTTACCGTTGTACCTTCGCAACCCTGCCTCTCTCACTTGCCAACTAACCCAAGACAAAAGCCCAACCAAACCCCGGTTCTGCGCCTTACGCTTTCCCCTTTCAATTCCGTTTCCTTCCTCGCCAGTACGATGGAATCCCGATCGGTGTCTTATCTACCCCCACCCCCACTTAGCCATTCGGTTATCCAGATACGTGCATCCGACCCGTCATATAGCGGTGAAATCGGCGCCCGACACTTCGTTGCGTGCAAGTGCAAGGACGCACTTTTGGAGCTATGTTAGGCAAGTACTGTGCATGTGTTTCCATGCTCCATTCGTCGTACGTCGTATATACATATATGCTGGGTGCTACGTATGTGCGCGTCTTCCTTGTGCGCTGTCATGGGCGTTTGGCCTCGGTTGAGGACGTGCGTGTCGATCACAACGACATCCATGCTTGGTGAGGTGGGAGGAGTGTCCTTTCTGTTTCTATCGGAGATGTCAACTGTGCGATTTGTGAGCTGTCTCATGTCATGATTTGGGTTGAGATGATCGCGTGTAGATTGATGGGTGGGTTCGTGCGGGCGTGAGTCTCACCGTATACTCCGGAGGACTACTAGGACGATATCGGTGTCCTTATGTTGTACTCCGAGCGGAGTACATGTTTTTGGATAATGGGATCGGAGTACGGAGTACGCGGGGCAGTATAATATATGTGGTATGATCTAATCCGATATCATATTGGATTTCAGTCCTCGCGTTGAAGTGGGAATTGAAATTCGAACCCTTGATCTACCTTGAATCTAATGTCATTTTATTTGTTGATAATAATTAATTTTTAGATGTTCCTCGCTACGAGCCGACTGCCATGATCTGGGTTTGGTCCCGTTCAAGCTTCCCACACACTATTGAATCTTGTCGTATTGATGAATGATCGACAGACCCACCGTTCGACGCCTATTATGTACTAGGATCAATAGTGCCGCTTTGTCTGGTCGCAGTAGCATTTTTGACATTTGCGTTCTCACTTTTTAGGGATCTTCGCTCGGGGGTTTGTTTGATTGTGGACTAGCGTTATACTCTGTAGACGAGATAGCCGCTTTTGTACGGAGTATAGCAGCCACAATATATACAGACCGTCTTTTCAATGCTGTACGTAAGTGTGTGGGTTTGCGAGCCACAGGAGTGATTGTGGGTTCATAGAGAGTCTGTGCAGGTAGGATATTGTGTGCCTACCAGAAACAAGTTCAATGCTGCTTATTCGTTTGTAATCAGGGATAGCAAGGCTGACCACGTTCTAAAATGAGTTTTATTATCAGCATGTCTAGGTACATTCGTAGATATACTTCACGATTATGTTGCATGGCGCATACCACTACCAACAAAGTATCAACCAAGTGTTGATCTATTGATCGGCCAACCCCAACTAGGTAGCAGCGATATGCAGCTACGTAAATTATGTGCTCTTGAAAATGACATATCTATGGTATCAAGTCACACCTCCACCTCCATCTGTGTGTCACAGTCCTCGCCTGGCCATCACAGTTCTGCAAGGGTAGAAGCAAGCAGCCCGGAAATGCATGAGCTTGTCTTTGTGCTTTATGACCCAGACTACCGAGTTGTGGTTGTGCATGCTACACATGCAATGCCATAAAGGAAAATCAAAGGAGAATATATCAGATGTCAGACATCAGATATGTCCGTCAATGCATATAATTTCTCGGGTATCTAGGAGCTCGCGCGTCTCATTTAAACACGCTAATGCACACTTGATGTAACTGACGTTAGACTCCCCTGGTACGTAAGCATGGCATTTGACCTACATTCTAGTAGATGATTTTATTCTAGTGGATTGCCTATCTAGGTAACTCGGCCCGTAGGCGCGTTAGTCTAAGTAATTTCCGACGCTGGGATCCCTGCTGTAAACGGTTGCTAGTATAACTTGTGTCGAGACATAATTTGTAGTTATCTTTGCGCTTTGTGGTATAACCGTGATATCTTCTGTGTTTTGGAGTTCGGACTCGAATTTGGGTGGTCTTTCTTTTGGTCTTGCATTTGCTAATACAATGTCAATATTCAATATCTGAGATTATTATAAATTCTAACTCGAACACGCCACACATAATGTCTTCCATATATAGCTCCCACGTAGCCTTAGATAGTTCCAATTAACAACAATCCTCTTCACTCAATACATTGATCATATGCATGCCCTATCTAACCCCACACCGGTATTCCTCAACACCAGCACTATTTCAGTTTTGGTGCAGTCACTGACCTTGTTTCTGTATTATCATCACTAAGCTAGTCGAAATACATAACCAGATCAAGAGCCAACCAACCCAATTCACCATAAAGAAAAGATAAAACGAGCCCGGAATAGGCAGCTATATGGCCACAAGTAGAAATACCCAAACAGACGCAAAATATCGACTTTACAAGCCTTGAGTTGTTAAATTATACTTGCGACAGCTCCGATATCCCAAGTCACGTGTGAGATAAAACGGGTATATGCGGCTATAAGCACATCTAAGCGAGCTCCACCATGCTCTCACTTATAGCGCACATTTATACAAAATTGTATAATAACCACGGCCGGCTGGCCCAATGGCAAGGCGCTTGACTACGAATCAAGAGATTGCAGGTTCGATCCCTGCGTCGGTCACTTCTTTTTTATATTTCTTTCTTTTTGCTCTATAAAAGCCTAGAAATGTGTTTTTGGGGCTCGCAGAGTGGTGCGGAGTTGTTGGAGATACATATCTGCCAATGTCTGTGATACATACCACACGCATTGCCAGATAGAAAACCAAAAATGCAAGCAATGATGAGAGCAGAAAGAGAGAGAGACAAGACGTTCTTGGTGGCCCCACAGAGATGGGAGTCGTGCGCAGCAGGGTAGTTGAATGACGAAAAGCCTCACATATAAGGCGAATTGTAGGAAAAAATGGGTAGAAGCACGGCACCTAAGCAGTAGGAAACTAGTCCGAGCATGTGAAAGCAACGAGCATAAGCTAAGGGTGAATGACGAGTCTCTCAATTAATATTCCTCATCAGCTGCAGGTTATAGACATAATCTAACCGTCCCCCAAGCGCAATCTAACATGAAAGCACACACCTGCAGCTTCAGCATCCACATACCCTTGACATACATATTCAGAAACCTGATTTTCAAACGATGTCTTACCCTGCGGTAAGCCTGGAAACGCCACAGAACTTTCAGAGCTAGATGAAACGTTCCGGCTTTTGCAACACTGCATTGGTCGATAATAGGCACCGACGTTTCGGGTTCTCGGGATCCCGGGGGTCCTTTTGTCGATGTTAGCGAGGAAATACTGAACCGGAGACTGTGTCCGAGCTTAAATCTTATGCATGTCAAACAAGGCATATATGTCGGACCATATGGGAATGACATGTTAAACATAATAAGGCTTTATAGGATGATACATTTGGAGTGTAAATTGCCTTTTCGAGCAGTTCTGCCTTCTTAGGGTTAGCACCCCAATACGCCCTCACTTAACCTCTCTTTAATAATGGGCAAGTAAACTTGCAGACTTGCAGTTGGTTATTATAGAGGCGAGTCATTTTCGACATGTAGGTATAAAGATAGAGAATAAATGAGTAGAGTAGAAAGGAGTGACTGCAGTACTAAAATGCGATACATGCGATAAGCAACAGAGATCAGTTGCGTTGATTGATTTCTTAGGCGTCCATCTTGCTATAATATCACTATCTTAACAATTCTCGAGAATTTGCACAACATGGCGCCCGAACCATCCATGTCGAAGCTACGATCCATTCACACTCGGTGATTCAATACCAACTAGAAGTGGTAGATGGGGTGCATTCGCGTGAAGAGCGCCACAGCCACGGTAGATGTTGCATTGGATACATCTTGATAGCACCTAGCAAAATCTACAATAGCTGCATGTAGCTATACAGAGGATATGGGGAGTTATTCATCCATTAACCTCCTACTTCACCCCTTCCGATTGTATCGGCCTTATCTATTACCCACCGTCCACGCAGTGGTCATGGCGTGGGTTCTTCTGGGATACTATAGGAGCCAGTCATAGACACCAATCGAGGCAGCGGCAGCAACCGGAGGAGAAATCTCGAACCGTTTAATCGGCGTCCGGGGGTACATTGACATAATGTAAATTGTTAGCGGCGACGGCGCGCGACGGCGCGCGACGGCCAACTTTGTGGGCGCTCTTGGCTCGGAGCAGATAACGCGGCCCACCCTCATTTGCAATTTCAATGACGGGCGTAGATATCGATATCGGACAATTTTGGAAGGTGAATAGTCATAAAAGGGAGCATTTGTAGGCATATAGAAACCTCTTTATCCATGACATTGAGGTTAATAGAACACTTCACTCTATCTCACCTTCGTATCGCTGGTTAGTGTACTACTGAATCTTGATTCCTTACTTTGACTGACAAGATGTCAAGATTTTATAGAACATCCCAATGACTTCAAGATATTCTACTGGAAGTGAGGAACAGCCCCTAACAATTCCTCAATGGCGTGAATTACAAAAGACTGTTTCCGAGCCAACTCACATTTTGTCGCTGCTTGAACGAGCACAACCAAACACATCAAATGCGTGGATCTCATTAGCAACGCCCGAACAAATCATTACGCAATGGGAGGAAATCACAGCACTTCGAACCCAGGGGAAAGATCTTCCACTATTCGGCGTGCCATTTGCCGCTAAGGATAATATCGACGCCGCTGGGTTCTGCACAACGGCCGCATGCCCGTCATTTGGCACTGAGCCTGTCGCCACCGATTCAACAGTTGTGCAACGGCTGAAATTGCAGGGAGCTATTATCGTTGGCAAGACCAACCTTGACCAGTTTGCCACGGGTCTTGTCGGTACGCGTTCACCATATGGAGCCGTTGCCAATTCCTTCGACCCAAATCGAGTAAGCGGCGGTAGTAGCTCGGGGAGTAGCGTGGTCGTCGCTCAGGGACTGGTCCCTTTCTCTCTTGGCACAGATACAGCAGGTTCAGGTCGCATACCTGCTGGGTTCAATAATCTTGTTGGACTCAAACCCACACGGGGGGCTTTGAGTGCACAGGGCGTAGTACCAGCGTGCCGCTCACTTGATTGCGTTTCTATCTTCGCCCTGACACTGGAAGATGCCGACCTGGTCCTGGAACTAGCCGAGGGGTATGATGTTCAAGATGCATACTCGAGAGATCGTGCCAGCTGTGCGACTCCTAAGTGTCCTCGAGGAGCTCTGCCCTCACAGCCGACACTGGCTATATGCTCCAACCCTGAGTGGTTCGGCCGGACTGAGCAGGCTGCAGCATACCAGGGTGCATTGACCAAAGCCCAACAGTTGGGGTGGAAGCTAGAGTACGTTGACTTTACACCTCTCTTCTCTCTTGCCAGCCTCCTGTATGAAGGCCCATGGGTTGCCGAACGATATGCTGCTATCGAGAAGTTCATCTGCTCAGTGCCAGCCGAGGCCATGGATCCTGTTGTTCGGAGTATCTTCTTGAAAGCCGAGAAATTCTCTGCTGCAGAACTTTTTACGTGCGAGTACTACCGACGGGACCTGTCCTGTGAAATCGAGCAGATCTTCGGGCAATATGACGCGCTGCTAGTGCCCACGGCTCCCACATTCCCTTCGATGCAAGATCTCAAGGATGAGCCGGTTGTGGCAAACAGTCAACTGGGTACGTATACCAATTTCGTGAATTTCCTGGATTGGTCTGCTTTGGCAATTCCTGCTGGCTGGAGAGAAGACGGTCTTCCTTTTGGTGTCACACTGATAGGAGGGGCGTGGGAGGAGCCGCGATTATTGGAGCTCGCTCGGCGCTGGATGGCCGATTCCCCGCGCTTGCTGGGAGCGACTGGTGTGGAATATCAAGAGCTTTGCTCTGGGCCTACCGTCACCTTCAATTCGATGCAGTTGGCGGTGGTTGGTGCCCATCTTTCTGGCTTCCCTCTGAACAAGGATTTGGTCTCACGCGGCGCAACCTTGGTCACTGCTACAGCCACGGCCCCGTTTTATCAGCTATTTGCACTGCATACAACAGGACCAGTATCAAAACCTGGTCTGAAAAGGGTTGCTGATGGTGGAGAGTCAATCGAAGTGGAGGTTTGGAACATGCCGCTCGACAAGATGGGCAGCTTTCTCGGTACAGTTGCAGCGCCCTTAGGCATCGGATCGGTTGAGTTGCAAGACGGCCGGTGGGTTCACGGGTTCATCTGCGAGCCTATTGGCCTCGAGAATGCAAAAGACGTCACCAATTTTGGCGGATGGCGAGGATACACCCAGTCACTCGACACTTCTACCGCCGAATCATCACGCGCTGCATCTACTACGCCCGCAACCAGCATCAGTGAGAAGCGTATCAGGACGGTTCTGGTTGCCAACCGCGGTGAAATCGCACTGCGCATAATTCGGACCCTGCGTGAGATGAATATCTCGTCCGTGGCTATATATTCAAGTGCCGATGCTCGCGCACCACACGTTACCGCTGCGGATGTTGCACTTCCCCTGGACGGGAAAGCAGTATCTGACACCTATCTGAATGGCAAGCAGATCCTGGCTATGGCTATCAAAGCTGATGCCGATGCTGTCATCCCTGGATATGGTTTTCTTTCAGAAAATGCCGACTTTGCCGCCGCCGTCGAGGCTGCAGGTCTAGTTTGGATTGGCCCAACTCCGGAGCAAATGCGTGATTTGGGCTTGAAGCACCGTGCTCGTGATATCGCAATTACTTCCGGTATTCCTGTTGTCCCCGGAAGCAAGGGTTTAGTCACCAGTCTTGAAGATGCGGTGGTAGAAGCAGAGAAAATCGGTTATCCAGTGATGGTAAAAAGCACCGCTGGTGGAGGTGGAATCGGCCTTCAGCGGTGCGCCGATATTGATGCACTCCGAGAGGCGTTTGATGGTGTCCGTCGACTGGGACAAGCAAATTTTGGCGATGACGGGGTTTTCATCGAGCACTTCATCGACCGGGCACGACATATTGAGGTCCAGGTCCTTGGTGATGGCGCTGGTCGAGTCATTTGTGCTGGTGAGCGCGACTGTTCGCTGCAGCGTCGAAACCAGAAAGTTGTCGAAGAATCCCCTGCTGGATTTGTCCATGCCAAAGTCCGAGCTGGCATGCGTCGTGCTGCTGCTGCTTTGGTTGCTTCCTTGCAATATCGCAATGTAGGCACCGTTGAATTCATCTTCGACATCGACACCGAGAAATTCTACTTTCTGGAGATGAACACACGTCTCCAGGTGGAGCACCCAGTGACCGAGGCTGTAACAGGCCTTGATCTTGTCGAATGTATGATGCGCATTGCCATGGATGATTGCGCCACTCTTTTCCCTCAGCAGATAAATGAGATTCCGGTCTCCGGTGCAGCGATTGAAGCTCGCGTTTATGCCGAAAGCCCCCTTCAAGGATTTCGACCCTCTCCTGGGAAACTATTGAATGTTGAGTTTCCATCCGGTGTCCGCGTTGACACTTGGGTCAGTTCAGGCCAGGAATTATCGTCATCTTTTGATCCAATGGTTGCAAAGATCATCGCACACGGCGATGACCGTGCCGCAGCTCTTCGAAAGCTCTCAGATGCTCTGGAAAAGACAATAATTACTGGCGTGGAAACGAACTTGAGATATCTGCAGCAAATTGTTTCTTGGGAATTGTTCAACTCCGGAGCCTTCACGACAGGATCGCTCAATACTTTCCCATACGAAGCTCAAGTCTTCGAGGTCATTGATGCTGGGTCTGACACGGCTGTACAGGACTTCCCTGGCCGTCAAGGTCTTTGGCACATCGGTGTGCCGCCCTCCGGCCCAATGGATTCCTACTCGTTTCGTCTCGCCAACAAAATAGTCGGCAATGATGACCATGCTGCGGGACTCGAGTGCTCGATCCAAGGCCCGACACTGCTCTTCCACTCCCCAACCACTGTTGCTGTCGTTGGTGCCAGTGCCCCTATATCTGTGGATGGGGAAGAAAAAGAGCACGGCATGGCCATAAGCATTCAGGCTGGGCAGAAACTTTCCATCGGCACAGCCACCAATGGTTCCCGAGTTTATCTTGCCGTTCAAGGCGGTATTCAGGTCCCTGAAGTCCTAAGCAGCCGTTCGACATTTGCAACCGGTCACCTCGGAGGACACAATGGACGCAGCCTTCGCATTGGTGATCTTCTCCCATTAGCACCTGTTACAGAAGAGGAACTTCCATTGCTCAAGGCCCCAATCCTTTCCATGCCGACACCTGAGAACCGAGAATGGGTCGTTGGCGCTATCCCTGGGCCGCATGGTAGTCCGACTCATTTCACACAGGATGGGCTTCAGGAGCTGTTCAACAGCGAATGGACTGTCCACTACAACAGCAATCGGCTCGGAGTCCGTCTCACCGGGCCCCGTCCAGAATGGGCACGGCAAACCGGTGGTGATGCTGGCCTGCATCCCTCCAACATCCACGACAGTCCTTATTCAATCGGAAATGTGACCTTCACAGGCGACGAGGCAGTTGTCTTGACAGCAGATGGGCCAAGCCTAGGAGGCTTTGTTGCGTTTGCAACGGTCGCGGAGGCCGAGATGTGGAAGTTTGGTCAGATGCGGCCAGGCGATCGCCTTCGGCTGCACCCTATTTCTCTTGATGATGCGCAGACGCTTGCAATGGCTCTCGAGCATTCGATCGCTACTCTCAGCCCGCTGACCAACGGAGACTTGAGACAAACAAGTTCTATTGGTGTCTCTAGTCCGATCGTGAAGGAGATCTCCGAGGCCGGCCGTTTCATTCGATGCCGTCAGGCAGGTGAGCGAGCCTTGCTGCTCGACTTCGGTAATGAAGATAACTTCACACTACGGCAAACATTTCACATCATGAGCTTCATTGAGATGCACCGAATTTCCCCCATTCTAGGCGTTGAGGAGCTCACATCAGGGGTCCGAAGCCTCCATATTCGCGTGGAGGCAAACTTCCCACTGCCTCAAGTCGTTGATGCGCTGGTCGCGCACGAATTTTCTCTTGGAACAGAGCTTCCCTCCCGACTACCCTCGCGCATTGTGCATATGCCTCTCGTTTTTAACGATGAGAGGAGCCGCAAAGCCATTGCCCGCTATACATCGACTATTCGTTCCTCGGCACCGTATCTACCCAGCAACATTGAGTTCTTGCAGAAACTGAACGGACTTGATAGCCCAGATCGGGTGGAAAGCAATCTCTATGAAGGCGCATTCCTCGTATTGGGCCTTGGTGATGTGTACCAAGGGTCTCCCTGTGCTGTGCCATTGGATCCCCGCCATCGACTATTCGGAACGAAGTACAACCCATCCCGATCTTTCACTCCTCGTGGCGCTGTCGGTATTGCTGGTCAATACCTATGCATCTATGCAACCGACTCGCCTGGCGGGTATCAGCTCGTCGGTCGCACGGTCCCTATCTGGGATGAGTTCCACAAGCCCGGACTGGGCGATGAGGCCCCATGGACGTTCTCACTTTTGGACCAGATTCGTTTCTACCCTGTCACCGAAGAAGAACTTTCAGCAGCGGAAGCCGATGGAACCTCCAATGATCTCATCAAGATCTCTGACGCTGAGCTAGACCTCAATGAATATGAGAAGTGGCTGGGAGAGAACGAGGAGGATATCATTGCTGTTCGGGAGCAACGATCGAAGGCAATGCATGATGCGGACTTCTTCGACGATCTGCTCAAGCCATACGATCCAATCACAATGCGGCCAGGTCGGGGACAGGAAAGCGACGAAGCTATGACTGGAGAGCGGGTGAAGGCACTTTTGCCTGGGAAATGTTTCCGTTGCGCTATCGAGGAGGGAGAGGAGGTTCAAGCAGGAGACCCTCTGGTGAGTACAACGGACATCGACACCAATAGCCAAACACCGAGCTAATGATATTTAGATCTGGATTGAGTCCAACAAAATGGAGGTCAAGATTTGTGCACCAGTTAGTGGGAGATGTGTGAGATTGCTGGTCGCAGAGGGAAACATGCTGGAGCCCAGTGACGATGTTGCTATTATTCAGTAGGTGATGATGCCGCATGTACATATAAAAGGAGTAACACCATGAAATATTTCTATTTCATTTAATTCGCTATTCGTTATATGGCTGATAAGAAACCCCTTGGGGGAAGCGTGCTGTGGGCAACCTTTCTTATAGACCAGTAGAGTACAAGAGCACACGAGCGCTAGGAGTCTCGGAATGTGGCTGCCTTTACAGCAGCCAAATCACCGACCTCTTCATGAAGCATGCGAAGTGCCTCGCGAGCAAATGGAGCTGCGGATGCCCGTACCTGCAGGACCCAGCGAAGCCTTTCGAGCTGTTCAACGTACCCTGCTGCTTCATCCATTTGAGGACTCGTTGCCCACAAAAGACCAGCAAAGGCACCGACTAGAGCCACCTGGGCTGCTGCTGCAAAGCCCCAAAATGATTGAATATGTTCGGGTTGAAAAGATTCAATCAAGTTCATCGCTGACGTCAGTCGGGCGCGGGCAGCGGTTCGAATCGCTGAACGAAGAGATAGCGCGCTATCTGGGGTCAGAACACGGAGTAATGCGCGATGGATGGTCAGCTCTGCTGTCATATGTGAGAGATGCAAGGCGCCGTTTGCTGAGAGCCGCAATGAGGGTGTGGATTCCAGCTGGAGGCTGGCTGGCAGGGCCGCATGCCATTCGCGCAATTCCAGCGCTAGGGGCTTTGCCAGACTCATCGCACCTGACGGTCCGATACGCTCAAGTAGTCCGCCTTTTTTGGTTGCGCCGATTGAGCAAAACGTGGACACAATGCGACTGAAGATCTTAGTCAATTCAATAGATTGCAGGAATGCCGCCCGACCTGCGGCTCCGTCCACACCTCCATCCCCATTCTCCTCTTCGGTGGTCGCTTCTTCTGGAAAGTCGTTAAGTGTACACGGGATAACATCCCAGTCGCTTGTCCCATCGTCTTCGTCAATCTGAGCAGGAATGAGAGATGGCCGCCCATGCACAAGAACGCCCCACTTGTCCTGCATGTATAGCGCCCAAGCTAAACGTCGTCGTAAACCTTTCTCCCAGTCTGGGATTTTCCAACCCGTACAGTCGATATGAACTCCCAAAGTTTGCCCGAGTGATAGTAGTTGAGCCGGAAGAGTGCTATGGGAGGACCTCACTCTTTGCAATAACAACAGACCCGCCTGTAATGTGGAGAGCTTGGGCCGCTTTAGATCATCGGCCATGGCTCGCATTGCTAGATCCTCCAGAGCTTCAGCATCTGGTGTCCGAGGTGCAGTAGCGAGCGTTCGATCAAAGAGCTTCCAGTCTAGCGCGACAAGGTAAACTGCAGCAAGTAATGGTGGTGAGAACTCACGGTAGGACCGGGCATATTTCTCCAGGAACACGCCCTGATCCAGGATGGGGAATGTGCGGTGCATGATGCGAAAATAAAGATTTACCAAGGTTGGTCCCAGCGGACGTATCGATTCCTCGATGCGATCTAGATCAGTGATGCGCTGCATCTCAGAGGCCGAGTCCTTGTCAGGGTAGGTCATGAATGCGGCGGATTGATTCACACGTCGCGGATAACATCTCTCATGGCCAGAGAGAGACATAGCTGATGGCCGCAGATCAAGAAGTTCAGGTTCATGATAGCTGGCGGGGCCAATATACTCGGAATGCAGATGAAGCTCTAGACCTAATGTACCATCCAGTCGTGAATTGATTGGATCAGCCATAGTCTGTTCTTCAACAGAGCCAACAGTAGATGGGGTTAGAGAGCTGCAGCGTCTTTTTATCCTGTGATGGGGTTAGCTAAGAATACTCCCGCCGGATATTGAAACATACTTGGTTTCTGTTGTGCTCGGCGACTTCTTGGTCCTTTTCCGCGGTCGGGGACCATGAAGAAATGTACATTCAAGACCATTCAAGTTACAAAATGTGCAATTTTCTTTCTCTGGCTCCCGTATACATCGCGACTTGCGATGACGGCAGCGATCGCATGGGCGTCGCGTAGGGTGGTCCACCACTCCAGTCGGGGACATTTGATGCAGATTAACTTTTATGTTCTTCTTTTGGGTACAGATATCTTTGGATATGAGGTTATCCACTCATCTACCTAGGTAAAGGTGGGTCATCGAGATTGGTCGGAAATGACAATCTTTGTAGCTCATTGGGTGAGACGACGTTCCAGGTTGGCTTGCGCGCGTCCCATTTGGGTCGAAAATGAGTCTCACGTGACGGCATATGGTTTTGTTCGAGCAATTTATTCACAACATTGAGTTATTTTGAATTCTATGGAGTGAATAATATGAGGTCTTAGTCGTCCAACTAGTACCGCTCCAGATGATTTTGAATCTTTCGAGAAGTGGCCATCTATACGGGCAATTCAAAACAGTCATGGAATCGTGTGAGCCACCCGTGACAATATTCCCAAGATACTGCCCCCAGTGCATGTTCGCTAAAATATAGGACAATCTTAGAAATACATGAGTTGTATACTTGTTCACCACTGTGCCGTGCCTGAAAGCCGTTGAGATATATATAAGGCTGGTGCAGATCAGGAACCAATCCGCATTATCGGAAACCTTTGGTCTCTATTTCCTGAATCCACAATCCATCCCAAGTATCCACTTAGATCCTGCCTAAAGACCTTGTAGATAACTAACAGTGCTTGACGGGTGTAAAATAGTAGTGTCATAGGATGGTGGACGGTTGAAGGGCAGCTTAACGTCCAACCTTATGTTGTACTAGTTACAGGTGGAAAGTCGGCCATTTCTGGCGTCAAAAGCGGTCATTTTTGTCAATTTCACATGTCCTCAGATTCTACTTGTAAATCAAGCTATGATGCTTGTTAGTCTAGACACGGGCCGAGATATTTACATCACAAACATGTGTTCTCAGCCGATCTCTCCAAGATAGGGATACATATATCTAACAGTCAAAACGGTCCTTATCTCTGAAACATGCATGTACATGTTCCCTGCAAGTACTCCGTACGGAGTAACCCATATCGAGAACTATGTCTGCGCATCAAGTCGAAAGTCATCTAGCTTGCGAGCCACCCGGGAGGAGTCTTGGGCATTTGAGTTTAGACCCACGTCTTGTGGCTTCCTGGAATTTGTCCATTGGATTACCCATGGTCTGACGGCCCTGCAGGGAAGATGCAGAGAAGCAATAAGGAAAAGGGGGGGAAAACTCTTGGCTAGCCAATAAGACTTGTTTAGACGTGCAGCTTGATCTGACTGCATTGAGTTGTTGACCCCTCGTCCATGCATCACGCCTATCACAAGAGGGGTTGTGGCTTTCTGTTTCTACTTGCGTGCTGTGACTGAAGGCTTGCCAATGCATTACTGTGCCGTTGAGAAGCGGGCAATATACTTTCTCAGTATCATTATCCGAGACATATTAATGTGATCGGCGTGTTCTAGAAAGAGCTTCCTCTAAACTCTAGAGGGTTGCTTCTCCGAACCTGGAACAAACTGGAAAGATAACAATGAAAATGCATTAACTTGAAGATTATGTTTATTTGACAGTGGGTCCAACAGTTTGTTTGCCTAATAAAAGGCGTAAGAATAACTACAACTTATGCCCATGTACTCCGTACTCCGTAGGTGATTCCAACTATATTATATGTTCACATCCTTTGTTGAGGCGCCAAATCTCTCGGCATAGCTTGATTGGGCCGTTCCGCTACGCCAAAGCTCAAAATTTTACGCAATAATAAACTTAAGCGATCACAGCTCGCATAATGCAGCTTAATCAAGGGTCCCGATAACGAGTCACGCTGAGGTGAGCGTCGGCTAGTTCCCGAGGTCGGTTTCAATGGCTGTGGACCAGGGAGCCAACGGTCGATTACCCCAGAGTTCAAAAAGCCAAGCCAGCCCACTTCAGTATTTGACCAGGACCATACTAGTACGTATTCGTACAACATATATTAAATCATAATAATGATTGAAACTGACCGCCTCTTTATCCGAGGTTCCCGCGTCCAATACAGACAAAGAGCGCTAACACCCAGAGGGGTCGGCACTAATCCCTCTGCATGAAAGTTATATTGCATTTTGATAGAGTGGATCCTTCAGAAGAGAAAATACCTCGGGTGATTATTTCCGCGGGCGACTACTATATATTCTTCCGCATTGCCACTCAGGATTGCGCGATTAGCAATTTTAGGATAAATTGGAAGACTTGCTCAGGTTGCACACTGGGTTGATATTGAATTTGGTTATGGGAGGCCAACCAAGCTCAACGGTATTGGAAGATATTAGAAGATTTGAGGTCGATGCTTAATTCCAGTGCGATCGGCGGTGTCAATGATATGAATATGAATAATGAATAATTATCCGGCACCATCTACGCCTCTGGTTTGGCTTTAGCTAAGGCTAAGACATAATCAAAATGGGAAATGGAGCATAGGAGATTCAGCTATGAGATCCAATAAAAAGCAGCCAGAGGACACGGTTGAAAAATCCCGATATCTCCCCAAAGGATAAGAACAAATAAGGCTAAATAAGGACTAAGTAATAGAGGGGGCCACTAGGGCATTAAACGGCATGATACCCGTTGTTAAGCGGGCCTGGAAAGTTACAAGGTCACATTGCTACGATCTCCAACACTGATAGCCACCTTCCTTTTGAGACATTGCACATGCTAACCAATAATTACCGAGATATTGTTGTTTGCCTGTTATCCCTCTCCACTTGGATCCTGATCCTCTTCCCCCCACCCCACTTATCAATTTAACAAGAGGGATTGCCAAATCATACTACAGAGTCTGTAATTTTGACTCTGGACCCTTGTCTAGATCATACTTATGTCGGAAATCCCCGAGCAAAACAAAGGCGCAAAGAAGTGGTCGAATTAGATAGGGAACAAAAAGGGAAAAAGGACCTCACGATAACCTCGGACTTCCGTCAACTAAGATGAACGAGTCAGGAATCAAGAAAAGGACTCAAAAGGACGTATCTGGTATAGATTGTGCCACTCAGCCCCCTCAAACCCCTCTCCTACGGTTCTCGTCGGGGGGAAATTGGGTCAGGGTGATAGTTAATACGACATTATCAACCCCTCTTGAAAGCATGCACCGACAATCGCTGCCTTTCTAGAAGCTCGCGGGATGTTTTCGGATTGGTGGATGCCATATTCGATTACCCCAGGTCCGCCATGGTCCGCTATAATCCGCCATGAACGGGATGTACTTTGTACCTGCGCGGACTCTTTCGATATCGTCAGTAGTCGGTCTCTTGTCGCCATTGGTTAAAAGTCCACACCCAGCCTAATGGTCTACTGACCCGCTATTATAAGGCTTGGATCTCCCTGATAGACACGAGATGATCTTCACGTTTTTGATTTTGGGCTTTTGCTTAATGGTCTAATTGTTGATCAGCCTTTTCCTTTATACTCAGACTTCTCGTCTTTCTTTGTCGATCAGACATAGACGATCCCCTAAACAGTACCTCCATACCTCCAGTACTCACAGTAACCATTCAACATCCAATACAATGACGAGAACCGGCCCTACACATAATCCTATCTCGTGGGACACCAAGACTCTTATCCCAGATGATGGCAGCAGAATCGACTCGGTCGCATGTCAAGATGCGAGGCCAAAGGGGCGAATCCGACGATCAATGACTGCTTGTAATACATGTCGCAAGCTCAAGACTCGCTGTGATGTGGATCCCCGTGGTCATTCTTGTCGTCGCTGTTTGTCACTTAGGTATGTTTGGCTCTTTGATTCATGCTATGCTTAGCATATACCCGATTTTTGCTTTTTTTTAGTCTCTCGTTTCTCCACATGCTGACTATTGTCCTAATAGGCTTGATTGTGAGCTCCCCGAGACAACAGAGCGGTTCCAGGACAATGCATCAACCTGGTCTGACGCCACCGCTATACCATCGATCGAGGAACGGCTTGTCTCTCTCGAACGAGGCATGGGGGAGATGATACATCTGATGCGGCAGATGGTGAACCGCTCCCCCAGCATGCCCTGCAGCCCAACCTCACAAACTAGAAACCACAGCATGGATGCAGCATCTTCATGTGATAGCATGTCCTCATCGTTCTATCCGCTCAAGCCAGCACAGCTCATTCGAGACCTGCAAGCCGAATGCTTCGGCGAGAGAGATCACTTATCCGATGCTGACATCCTCGGAGACATCGTCACCCAGGGCATCGTAGATTCCAAGCTTTCCATGAAATTGATTGAACTGTGTGTCTGATTGTGTGTCTTTCACTGGACCTCCCTGCTAATGATCTCGCCAGTTTTGTCGAATATTTCGGCCACTGGGTCTCAATAAATCATTCGTCCAGCATTCAACGGTCAAATACACTGCTTTTCAACACTGCATGTCTCCTGGCCTCGCGCTATCTGCCTGGCCTACCACAACACACTGTCCGCGATATCTCACTCTATGTACAACATGCCGTGGCAAAGGTGTTGTGGAAGCCCCCTCCAATGACAAGCGATATGCTGCAGGCCTTGACATTGCTTTGTCTATACTCTACTTCCATTCATAAAGAAGGACTGATGGACGACTGGTTGCTGAGCGGGATCTCGATCAATCATGCCCTCATCTCATTCAACTTCCTCAACACCTTGCCAGGAGACAGTTTAAATCCAGACGAGCTCCTTGCTCAGTTGCGTTTGTGGAATACGCTCTGCGCAACCCAGCTACAGTATGTTCTGTCCAACAAAACCGTCAGATATACGATCTAACACCAACCCAATAGCTCTGCCCTCGCAAACGGCCGCACCGTCAACATTCAACAACAATACATCGACCAATGCCCCCGCATCCTAGAACATGCAGCCGCCACACCAGAAGACGGAAGAATCGTCGCAGAAATCCAACTATACCGCATCGCCCTCCGACTCCAACACAGCCAGCACCGCCTCCGATTCGCAGAACCCGAATACGAAGAACTGGAGCGCTGGAAAATGGAATGGTCACATCTCCTAAGTACATCAACCCTCCCCTATATACTCACTCACCCCAAACCCAAACCCAATCTAACAACCACACCCCGAATAGCCAGCAGCGAAGAGTCAACTCTCAACCTAAACCTCTGGTTCTGCCAACTCCTCCTGCACCGAACAGCGGCCCGCCTCCAACCGGACAGCGAGCGCCTCCTCCCCGAAATCTGCGGCACCGCCCGCCTAATAATAACCCAATTCCTCCAAACACGCTTCACCTCCGCGCCCGCACTAATCGACCACGTCTACTTCATCGTCGGCTATGCCGCGCTCACGCTCTGCGACTACACGCTCACTGACCCACTAATCAGCCAAGTCCGCGGCTTCCTACTGCACCTCGCGCCAGGGGGCGACAACCTCTCCTACCGGATTGCGTGTATTGTCGGCGAAGTGCAGCGGCGGTACTCGGAAGCGAATGCTGTCGTGGCTGCGGGGTCGCATTCGTCATCACCGGTCGAGGAGGTCAAGGGCATGCAGATGTTCGGTCAGCCGAGCCACCATCGTACCGGTATGGATATCTCGCAGCTCATGTCTAGCGCCGAGGGCTTGGATTCCCTTGTTGAGGGGTATAATTGTCTCGAGCAGATGATGCCTGGGTATACGGCTTCGCAGCCTGCGTTCGAGGCGCCGGATTTGTTTCATCATTCTCCTCCGACCGGTGCTACTGGTGGGGCTATGCCTATCGGTCTAGTGCCGAGGGCTTTGCATGATTGGTAATGGGGGTTGGGATTGTGGGGTTGGCTTTTTGGTTCTAGATTAATGGAGTTGGTGTTGAGTTGATACCGAGGTTGGATTTGTTGGGACTTGGTTGTTGTGTGGATTTCTTTTTCTGGCGGATCTCAATAGCAAAAGCACAAATGAAAATACTCATGATTTGTTCGACAGGCGTCTTTGTTTCGAGGACTTATTCATCAAAGTAGTAAATTTTACCTATAGCTAGATTCAAATCACATATTCAATTATATGACTTTCCACAGGTATTTACCTAGGTCGCTCTGCGTAACATATTCCTCTGCCGGGGTTGACGTTTTCGACCTTAAAAAACATAACCAAGACTAGGTTGGGTCTGGGTCTTAGTAGGTCGTGCGGAAGACTAGATGTGATACTCGAAAATAGTTGATGAGAATCCAGGAGAAGAGAGAGAGCAATACAACTGTATTGGAATTGCTAACTGCTAAGGGGAAAAGAAGGAGAGGAAGAGCGAGAGGAGACTATGTAGCTGGCAGTCCTGCAAACAGGGTCAGGTGACCACCAATCTCAACAATAGTCTTGATCTTAAGCAGGTGTATGATCCTGATCCTAATTTCTTCGTTGCAAAAGGAATCAAAATAGGTATCGTAGAGCATACGAGAAGTGGGTTCAGAACGTGAAGAACGCGATACCTGTTCTTAAAATTTATCTCTACAGGTCTTCATTTAGGCGTCAGTGCAATATACGGTGGTATGTTTGATAATTCCCATACAAAAAAAATGGAACCTCATTGTTGTCATAAAGAACCCACCGTGTCCCATTTCTGGTTAAATGTAAATAGCCGAAGACGCTAAATTTAGACTATTTTTCACATAGAATGATCCCTTAGGACAGTGTGACGGAAGAAGAATGATGGCGCCCAGTAGGTGTGCAGTGCCAGGTCCACTATACTCCCTTGATCCAAGCGAGCGCGCGAGCGGCAACCGACAGATTAGACGGTTGGAGAGAAGAGAGCGTGGGAATGGTAGATGTACCCGGCGAGGCGGGACCAGGAGTTGTTAGAAGACCATCCCATAGATGGCTGTTTGCTAGTAGACTGAGCGTTGTTGAGATGGTTTTCCAGGGTATAAATACCCTGGCATTTGCTAGTTGAATAGATCATGATTCTTCCTCTTCTTTCTCCCCTCCATCCCAGTAGAACAGGTTATGGCGATTTTGATGATGAAAAATGATGAATATGATGGGATCTAGATCGATGTCGACGATCCTGATGGTGTTGATGAAAGTATAGCACTTTGTAGTACTATCCTTTTGATAGAAATGATGGAATTTTTGATGGCTCAGTGGAAGAAAGAGGGCTTCATAACCTGTTCTACTGGCATAGAGAAGAGAAAGAAGGGGAAGAATCATGATCTATTCAACTAGCCAATGCCAGGGTATTTATACCTTGGAAAACCATCTCAACAACGCTCAGTCTGCTAGCAAACAGCCATATATGGGATGGTCTTCTAACAGGAGTAAATGACGTTCATTTTGGCTTTCCTTTACGATTATCGTTTGCATCCATGCATTTCCTTTGTATAGTAGGTATCGCACGCCAATTCGTGAGAGACATTAGCCACTAGGTTAAGTGTGTGAGGAATGTCTCGCCGGTCGACCAAGCTACGCAGGCCGCAGCTTAAACATATAGGCAGGCGTAAGAAGGCGTTAGTATAGACATAACTCCTTCAATGAATGATTAGGCTACAACTATAGGTACACAAACAGTAGAGCTAGCAGAGAATCGAAGCAATTTTGATACTATTGGTGTATATATAGTGCCACTGTAAGACCCAGCGCCATAACGTTTCAAGCCCCAGTAACTAGCCGTGAGTCCAATAACCACGCCAGCATGTCGGAAATGACCTAAAGCACTCTACTAACGAGATCCAGCAACCTCAATGCGCTACTCGAAACTTTGAGACCCTTATTCTGAGTCTTCTTCATACCGCACCCAGTTGCGTCTAATAAATGCTTTCATTCCGAGAGGAACTCGTCGATAGGATTTAAGTCAGGTAAGGTGGTAGGTACACTAGCTTTACTCCTGCTTCAGTGCACATTTACTCGATACGATCAGAAACGATAAAAAGACGCGTTGTCCATGACTAAAACGGACTTTGGCTTAGGCCATTTTCCACAATGCCGAAGAAGCCGATCGTATATCGCCATTTCCCCTAAAGCCACATGAATCAAAAGCTCTAAGAAACAACCTTCGGGTCTGTACAGAGAAGGTCATCATGGTTTAAGTCGTTCTCATTTTCGGCGATCGCAGCTTTGGGGCAGCACCGAGGTCGAGCAGTCTCGTTGACTTTGCGGCAGCCTTCCTCGAAGTCGGCTGTATTCTTTGTACTCGTAGCTGTTTGTTTAATATAGGTCAGCAAGAGTTGGTCCCTACCAAATATCTTTGTGGTGACTAGGGGGTTATCTTACCCTTCAAGCAGACGACGCCAGGTAAATGTTCTGCACTCCACGGCGTGTAAAAGCAGCATGCAGCAGTAGGCTCCCAAGGTGCGCCGAAGGTGGGACAGACACCTGAAGTGTCGTCGCGCTCGCTGAGGGAAGCAGGCTGGGCCAGGGCAAGGCCAGCGGAGGCGGCAAGAAGAAGAATAGAAGCCTTCATTTTGGAAAATTGGTTGTTATTGGAACGTGGATAGGTGTTTTGTTCAAACAGCAGGTGCGAGTTTAGGATATTTATACCTGAGATCGATCCCATGGGTCCACTACTATGGGTTATATCCTTTTCATCTCTTTCTTATTCAAACTTCTAGTCTGTAAATCATTTTCCCTTTTTTGCCGCACTATGCAATAACATTGTATAAATTGCTCCATGATTCTCCGCTCTATAACTCCGATCTGCAGGTGCGTAGTATAACACGAGCATTATGGACGGCTCGTAGTGGGGCAGCTCAGCTGAAGAACCCGGCGATCGCAATTCAGCTGCACCCAGAGAACTTTCGAGGCCCCGCCACCGTACACTTAATTAGGAAAGGGAGGCGCATATCAAAATACGGGTGTATCGGCCTCGCAGTTTGCCCATTACTGTTACCCACGGGTTGGTTAAGGGTACCTAGGTATTGGAAGTCAGAAAATGGGTGTCCGTTTGGGTAAACAACTGAAGTTATAGCCACATGACTTGCATATTTTATGCCAGTTTATGACCTCAAAGCAGGAGTACACTGCATCAATAGCATAAATGACCTGATCGAGTACCATGTCTGCAGGTTACAGTACTATTGACGATAGTTTCTCATAGTCTAAACTTGGAAGAGATCGGCCAAAACTACCGAAGGGCAGTGGGCGGGCACAAGTACTCCAGAGTCCTAGACCTCGGAAGTGCTAATCGGAGACCTAAAGAAAATTGGATGTAGCTATCCTACGTCAAGTGCTCTTTGCCCCTGAATCAAATCACCCTCAAGTGCTGTTTTTTACTGGCCTGTTAGTTATTGCTTTTGTTAAGCCCCGATCATAGGAGTTCGTCGGATCTCGGGACGCACGTACCTATCGAGATCCCAAAGTCAATTTCTTATAGATCTGTAATTAGCGTATTTAAGTATTTTATAACGTAATTGACAGGCTGGAATTCCACACATGATTAATCATTAGTTAATCATGTACTCCGTAGCTCAGCGCGACCATATACGTACCCATTTATCAACTGTCGCAGATATGACTCGAGGGAAAGGGTTGTTTCCATTGCTATTCTTGTTCATAGCAGCCTTCGTCCATATATTCAGCTAGTATAGAATAGTATCTATCAATACACTGCAGACCACAAGATTATTTCCAGTGCGTCAGTGGGATCCAAGACAAGGCCCTGAATAGGTGGTAGTGTAGACTCGAAAATACGGTGTGATGGTTGACTACATTAGCAATAGATCGACCAAAACAAGTTCAGCTGGACTTGACTAAATCATCAGACTACATAATAGGTAATGATATACGTGCCTGTGTGGGTCTTTAGAAGAGGGGAGAGCTGTACGTAACGGAAGAAACGGAGAAGAGAGTGAAAGAAATAAAAAGCTGAATCCGCCGCTCATTTTCGCATTGGTTCAGATTTATCGGCGAGAACTCATCCTTCGAATTTCAAGAAGACCATCACCTTCAAGCATCCTCTTATACATATCTGCCTACACTCCTAAACGCCGTCCACAATGGTTGTCATCGAAATAAAATCCAAAGCGCAGTTCAATGAACTTGTGAAGCGCGGTTCAGGCGTCGCTCTACAAGCCCACGCTGAATGGTGTGGCCCCTGCAAAGCCATCTCGCCTATCTTCAACAAGCACGCCCAGGTCTACGCCGATAAGCCCGTGGTTTTCGCCCGCTTTGACACAGACGATGTGCCCGAACTTGCAGAGCAGCTCGGCGTCCATAACATCCCCGCCTTCTACTTCTTTAAGCACGGCGAACTGTCGAACAACGTGCGAGGCGCCAACCCAGGGGCACTCAAGGAAGCTATCGAAAATTTGACTAGTTAAAAGATTATCCACGCGCCAGTTGTTCGGCCGTGCCTATGTGATTGATTATATATATACTCTTTCCTTTATCCTAATATTATCGTTTACTCCTACTATTTAGGATAGTTACTACCTGATTTCATAGGCCCCTATTTTCAACAAAGCAAAGGAAGAAAGATCTATTTATCAAGCCCCGAAAGAGCAAACAGGCAGTCTGGCCATGACCCGACCACCAATAACTCGAACCCGAAGTCTACGACGAGCACAGAGTCGAGCCCTCAAGCAAAGAGGTGGGTAGCAAAATCCTGGGCTCTCCACCAGCCATAGCAACAGACACCTCCCCTTTCTCACCGGCAGTAAGACTGGCGCAGGACACAACCTCCGTCAACTTCGCACCAGCCGCGAATCCAGTATCAGGAATTGAAACAGAGTACTGTTTACCTCCTGCACCGAGATTTGTCAGGACGGTGATTGTCTGCCCGCCGTCATAGCCCTTCCGCATGGCGATGGTGCTGTCGTCTTTGTAGATTGGGTAGTTCTGTGAAGATTGAGTTAATTTTTCTCCGTTCTTCTTTTCTTCCTTCTTTTGAGACAGAAAGAGAGACAAGCACATACCTGGTAAATAGTATAATTGGTACCCTTAGCAATCGCCTGGTTTCTAGCACCATTGGCCTTTGCAATGAGCTTGTATAACTCGCTGTCTGTGTTGAATCCGGACAACCACAGAGCCTCGCGATTAGCTGGGTCCTCACCACCACTATAGTGCTGCTCTTGTCCTGCGTAGACAATAGGAATGCCGTCTGCCATGATAGTGAATGTGGCTGCGTTCTTGGCGAGGGCCATGTCGCCCGTGACGCTGGGTTCCCGAGGGAGATATGTCAGCTTCTAGAGATACAGAATGGAATCATTCTCCATTTATTTGATGAATGTCCACTTACGAGGCAAATCGAGGGTTATCATGGTTCTCCAAGAAATTTCCGAGAAGGGTTGAGTCCTTGCAGGTCGATTTCACCGTGTTGATCATGTTGTATAGGTCAGTCATGCTTCCCGAGGTCGATTGGAAGGCTTTGAGAAGTGGGTAGTAACTATTTTCATGTATTAGTTCTGGCTCTCCCTGTGTATCTGGTAAATTCCATGGACAAGGGTCTCACATTGGGTAGTTGAGCACTCCGTCCATTACCTCCTGGTATGGACAGGTATAACCAACGTCGCCATCAAAGACCTCGCCTACACAGTAGACGCCCGCGGCTTTGTTGTAGCCGGGCCAGAAATCCTTCTGGACGTGTTTGACCGTGTCGACGCGGAGACCGTCGACTATGTCCTGGTTAGTTTCTGGATATGGTGATATGTTCTGCTGAAGCAGGGGAGTTTGAGAGAAAATAACTTACTCGAGTAGTTGGAGACCAAAGAACCAACCCAGTTATACCACATATCCTGCACCTCTGTGCTCTGTGTATTCAGATCCGGTAGCGAAACCTTGTCATCACCAAGCCAGCAGTTTTGCGCCATGGTGTCGTCGTTGTAATCGGTGATTGGGCAGTAGGAGTGGAAATACTTCGCATCGTTGAAGGGGTTGAATTTGGTGTAATCTACATCAGCACCTGCGCCATCGTAGCCCTTTTTATCCGATGCATGTCAGTCTCGGCCCGGATGTTTGGGGATGTGGATGATTTGACTCACCATGTGGTTTGCTACTACATCGACCATGAGATACATGTTGCGTTTATGCAAAGCTGCAGCGAGGGCTTTGAGGTCGTCTGCGGTTCCGTAGTTTGAGTTGAGAGCATAGCTTAGATTTGGTTAGTAAGGATGCAGGTTTTAAGGGCTGTCTTTTCTGCTTTGCGATACTCACATGTCCTGCTGCCAGTATCCGTGATAAGCATCTCCATACGGGGTGTCCTCAGTCAATTGACCGGTCACGGGAGTGATCCAAATGGCTGTGAAGCCCATTCCTTGGATGTAGTCCAGCTAAGAGATTGGTTAGTTGGATGATACAAGAAGGATTAGAGCGTTACTGACCTTATCAATGATTCCTTGCCAGGTTCCGCCACAGTATTTCTATCGAGTGAGTACAGTTAGCTCTATCTCAATGTCCCAAAGTCGATAGATAGATATAAACCTACTCTATCACCGGTATTACAGGCAGCTGTAGTCGAACCATCCGTGCGGGCAAAGCGATCAGTGAGCATGAAGTAGATCGACTGCGATCGCCATTCAGCCGGGGTCGCAGCGATAGCAGTGCTAACCAAGCCGGCAAGCCAGGCAAACCGTGCAAGAACCATCTTGTAGATATTTCAGCACCGAGAGCTCAGTAGTAAAAGAGAGCACAATCGTTCAGCAACGGGATATTCCAATAAAAAGCGCTGCAAGGGGCTTGATATAAATACCCCACCAAAAGCCATGCATACAATGGCAGACGAAAAGAAATAAAAGAGACCAATAGCCGTTGAAATCAGACTCCGGGAAGAAGTATGGCTTAAGCCAATAAACACCAAAAGCCCAGACGAAGATCTTCACACATGCATCTGCGTAAATGAAAAAGGATCCCCTTTAAATGCCCGTCCCCAGCCACAGCAGAGTTCAAGAGGAAACTACACTCCGTAGAAAATAGAGAGAGAGGTATGTATGGTCAGGAACTCCATAATTAATTAGCAGATCATCTCCCGAAAAAAAAATCTCACTATGATCCTTTACATCTAATTCGTCACATCCCGATTCGCCCTTCCAGCCCTGCCGAGAAAAAGCAAAGTCACAATAGTATAGATGCATGCATAACCTTGAAATGATTAGCCCAGGTTACAAGGTTAGCGCACGGCAATTACAAAATTAAATAATCCCTGCACAAGCCCCTGAGACGGGCTTTGGTCGAATCAGCGTGCGCGGAGACTCGTACCCCAAATTTGCAGGGACACGGGGATGAAGATGGGGTTGCAATGGCTCATTGGCTCGTTTGAGATGATGTCGATCTTTTGGAAATTGCGGGTTTTAGTCGGGGATGAGAAGATGCTAACGGTATTGGTAGATGCTACTAGGATGATTTAGGGTATGTACTCCGTATGTTATAGGGAAACGGCTATTAGTAGAGATATGGTGACGTGTGTTCGTGTGAAACGCAAAGACGAACTATATTTGGGGCTTCATAAGTCGGCCCGACATGGGAGATTGGAATCTGTGGATATTTGAATAGCCCATTTGTGAATGCGACCGTGGGGGTCGTGCGGCCTTCTCTACTCAGCTGAGGTGAGGTTATACGGAGTCGCAGGCACTTTAACAATGAGTGCTCGGTCTTTTAGATACAAGAAAGACGAAAACAGGACACTCAAAGATATCGCAAGAGGAAGAACAAAGTATATGCGAATAACAAGTCCAATATATAAGAATTGTCCAGCGTGCCGTTAATGAATAGAGATCAATCTGACTGCCATTGGGATAAACTATAGAGAAGACAGCAGATTTGCATGCCAAAAGACACAATTCCCAATTTTCTCCCCAAAACATTCCACAATCTACCACTTCAAAGTCCAGTTCTCACTGAAAGCGCCCTCCTTAGTCAACTTCTGCAAACCACCAACAGACAACACATGCGAGGTAGCATTATACTGCACCCCAGAAGCCGGCACAGGTCTACCATTAAGCGTCACGGCGCCAGGCTTCTTAGAGACACCAAGAACAGTAACAGTAGCGAGAGGATTCGACTCCTCCCAGTCACCCTTCACGCTGGCACTCAAGCTAGATCCCTTAACCCTGAAAGTAACATCAAGCGTCTCATCTGGAGCATTGCTCTCTCCATCATCAAGGTACAACTGCCCAGAGGCAGCTCCACTGCCGCCGAGCGCGACAAGCAAAGACCAGGGTGTGCCACGCGCCTCCTTGGTAGTCAAAGCCGGCTCCTGCATAGGCAAGACGCTGCCTCCACGCACGAAAACGGGGATATGACCGAGCGGGGCGGGGATAGTAGTGTTGACACCGGGCTTTGCGTCCACGGCTGTCTGGGTGTACCAGTCGTACCAGACCTCGCCGTGCTTAAGACCCGGGAAGACACCCTTGACGGAGGTGGCTTGGGGGGCGAGCACGGGGACGACCATGATTGAGGGACCGAGGAGGAACTGGGTGTCGACTGCGGCGAGGGAGGGGTCTGTGGGGAATTCCCAGGCCAGGGCGCGCATGACGGTGGATCCGGTTGTGTGGGCTTCGTGGAAGAGGGTGTAGAAGTAGGGGAGGATTGCGTAGCGGATCTTCATGGCGGATTTGGTGGCGGCTGTGACGGATTCCCAGACGTAGGGCTCTTGGGAGATTGCGGAGAGGACGTTATGATTGCGGTAGAAGGGGAAGAAGGCTGATAGTTGCATCCAGCGGTTGCATAGCTCTTCGTCGGTGTTGCCGTTGAAGCCGCAGGTGTCGACGCCGAACATGGGGATTCCGAAGAGGGAGAATGAGAGGGCTTGGGGGATGGAGAAAAACATGAATGCCCACCTAGAGGCATTGTCACCTCCCCAGTGGCCAGCCCATTTACCGGAGCCTGCGAATGTTGAGCGGCCGATGATGAAGGGACGCTTCTTTTCGTCGACCTTCAGCAGGCCATGGTATGTGGCGTTGAGGATTTGGTGGCCGAAGAGGTTGTGGACATCGTATTCTTGGACGCCATCGAAGTGAGTGGCGTTTGGGGACACGGCGTGCGTGCTGAGGTCGTGGCCATCCTGGTCATGGTTGATCACATATGGCGGGTAGTTGATGTTGCGTACTCCCGCAGTGGGTGTAGTCCGCAGATAAGAGGTTGATGAAGAGGCAGAGCCGCCAGTTGCGGCGGCAGCAGCCTGGCTGGACGCCGCTGCAGACGCAGATGCAGCCTCAGTCTTGTTGCTGAGCTCAAACCCTTCCGGATAGTCATAAATAACGTTGCCAGGCTCTCCGGGCAGGGCAAATGGAGGGTGGGCTGGGTTCATGCTAAGGTTTCCAGATCCACAGCTGCCAACGCAGAAGGAAGAAACCTCGTTCATATCAATCCAGATACCATCAATGGCTATTTTCTTGTGCCAGGTAACGATTTCGTTCGCCCAGAAATCGCCTGTCTTAGGATTGTGCCAGTCGGGGAAGACAGTGTAGCCGGGCCAGACGGCACCAATGTACTCGCTTCCATCGGGATTCTTCAGGAAGACGTCATCCTTGTGGCCGCGGGTATAGGTATCGTAGCTGAATAAAAATCAGCATTGCTTCTGCAGGACAGGCCCAGGGGAACTTACGCATCAGAGGCGTTGTTGGGGTTTGGAATGTAGATAGCCGCATCTATAATGGGGACATAATGACGGCCACTGCTGTGCAGCTTATCTAGGAACTTCTCACCCTCACTGTAGGGATAGCGGTGTTGATCATTGTCAAAGTCGCGGTAACCATGCATATAATCAATGTCCGTCCTAATCATGTTAGAACTTGCTTTAACCATCGAAAGGCGTAGTGAATCAATTTACCAGATAGTCTCGAGCGGGATTTCAAACTTCTCGAAATTGGAGACAACCTCTTCAAGCTGAGTCCAGTTATTGTAACCCCAGCGACACTGGTGGAAGCCAAAAGTAAAGTACTGTTGCAATGCTGGCAAGCCAATGGTGCTCAACTGGTAGTTCTTGGTCACATCCGCTTGGCTAGGACCCGAGTAGAAGGTGAGATCAATGCTACCTCCCAGGGTGCGCCACTTCAGGCCCTCGGGGTTCATGATGATCTCCTGACCGTGGGCATTTCTAGAGAAGACACCGTGCGAGAAGGAAACATAGTCTTTAGACTGATCGGCCTTGTCACTGGCAACGAGGGTATGATGACCCGTATGGTCAACCTCATAGTACCGGGTGTCCAGATAGAAAGGCTGGGAGCCGTAAAGATTGCTGGTAAACGTAGTCAACATCAAAAGAGCAGTACAATCGAGGGGACAAAAAAAAATGTTTGGGGAATGAAACTCACTCATCAATAGGGTCACCGATATCCGACGCATAGAGAGTCAAAGTGAGATTGTTCAAGAGGCGCAGCTGCTGGATGTGCTCTCCGATGCCATACAAGTTATAATCCTTGGGCAAGGAGGTAACAAACTCAACAAATTGGTTCTCAAACACCAAGACCGAACCAGTGGTATCAAAGATGGTATCACGGGTAGCCTTGCGGGTCACCTTGAAATGGAAAGAGGGCTCATTTGACCAGGTGATCTCAAGATCACTATGTGTCTTTGAAGCATCATGATCGGAAATGGGTCGGGGAACGACATGCTCATCCAACACGAACCAAGAAGAGTTTGAAGAATCGAGATAAGTCGGGACGATTTGAACATTGACGCGGTCATTAGCGAGGTACTCGATGGAGAAGTCCAATGAGTCTACATCGGTCCCGTAGACATTGCATGGCTTTCCGGCTAGTGTCAGAGTAGCGGTCACTCCACGCGAAGACTCCTTGACGTTCGATGCCTTGTACCCGGGACAAACCGACTGCGCGTCGACGGCTTCGGGGTCATCGATATTGGCGATCAGCTGTGCGCCAGCATCGGCATTAGCGGGAATGGTAAATTGAGTGTATTTTCCCGAAAATGTCGAAGAAGCAGCGGCAGATTGAGAGCCTGAGGCCGTAAAGGCGGATGTTGAGAAAGCACCATAGGCTGCTGGCAAGAGCCAAGCACCGCTAAGAAGGTTCTTCACACCAACCATAATGACCACTTCCCTATTTTGGTTGTAGATCCGGGGAGGATTTTCGTCTCAGATATTAATGTCCAAGCTCGTTCTTATAGGTTGCGTAACCGGTTATAGCACTTCGCGTGTACACAGGAACCCGAATATATGCCGTACCCGAGAGAGTTTCCGTTGATTCTCCGATGCAATCACATACTTTTCTGAGTGGATGCCTTTATGGGGTTGGTCAAGCTTCAAGCTAAAGAAGGCTGGGAGGCTGGGTAAAATGCGGAGAGGGGCCCCTTACGTCGACCCAACACCACTAATAGAGCTGTATAACCTACGATGTACACAAAAGAGGGGTAGGGGGTCCTTTTTAGATGTCCTTTAATATCCCATAAATTATAAAAGATGTCAATCCGGAGTCTGCTGGAAGAGGCAAATATCTCTTCAGACTCCCATACGTAAATACCGACAAGTGGTAGAGTTCGAAATAGTTCGTTCAATAAATAGTGTGAATGAAAATAGTGCAAATATGTAGCGTACTCCGTACGGAGTAGTATCAACCTAGTCCAGGAAGATAATTACCCCGACCTACAACTCATCTAAACTCACCGCCGATCATAATAGATCATGCCATTCCAGGCTGGTGATTGGCCAGTTGTCCGATAAATGCCCGTCTACAATAGTGCAAGGCTACAGAAACAAGACCCTGAAATTAATAGCATTATAAACCGAACCCCGCTTACACACTATAATGATGCCATTGTAATCTTATAATCCTCTATGTGGCAAGCTGCGGTGAGTCCTTTCTCTCTAGCGGAGAAATCTTATAACTACGGGATACCCGGACGCTCAGGGGATTTTAGTAATTCTGGGTCCTCGGGACTCTCAGGAACATCATTCAACTGGTCAAAGGACCTTGGGAGTAATTTTAGGACTCTCGCAGGAACATTGCTCAACTGGTGAACCGTCCCATTTCTACTAAACTATACAAACCATACAAACTATAGCAGGAAACAGTGCCCCCTTTTTCGCACTTTCGGGAAGCCGAGAAGGATACGAGAGCGAGCAATCTCGGTACTGGTGGGAGGGTTCTAGGTCCAAGCTATACCTACAACATAAATCAACGAAGCCGTGAAGGAAATTGATTGGATCGGATATCAAGATTCGAAGCGGAGATGGATACTCAGCGCAGCCTAGCGGTGCCCACTCTATACCAAAATGGTTAAACGGGATGAGAAATCCCGCATCTTTGATCTTAGTGCACATGTCATAAATATGTCAGGCATCAGAGCCGACTTGGCCCCGTAATGGCCCCGTAGGTAGTACTCCGTACCTGGCCAAAGGGATATATATGTACTTTGCTTACGGCCCGAGATTTGGGATCCATATTAATATTAGCAGAAGATCATAATAATAATATATAGAATGAGGTAGTCACTCAATGAGTCAACTTTCATGGTGGTCATGGTGATCTTATGTCTTGTATTCTTTATAGTTCGGAGGCTGAGGGGTACGTACGTAGACGTAGAGAGAAGTCGGGCCGAGAGGGAAACGCCCCTAATCCAGAAGAGCAGTAAGAATAGCAATATCCATAAGGATGCCAATGCGAATAAGATCAAAATATGAAGCACAATTCTAACGCAGGGGCCGTTGCGGGGGTTTCCCTTTTCCTTGCCCCCCGCTTCCCCAGGTTTGTGTTGTTTTTTTGTATTATAATGGGCGACGCCAAACTCCCCGGATGAAACCATCGCATCTTTTTTTATATCTTTCGACCCTAACATGAACGTCAATTCTACTGAGTCTAGTCAAGACTTAGCAACAATTCAACAATGTCCACCAAACAATCCAAGCCAAAACAAGCATGCGACAACTGTCGCCGCCGCAAAATAAAATGTTCCCGTGAACTACCATGCGACAAATGCCAACGGCTACTTCTCTCTTGCTCCTACAGCGACGTCCTCCGTCGCAAGGGCCCCAAATTCCGCACCCTGTATCCTCTAGCCCCGATCCACCCTTTTTCATCCCGACAAGACCCTCCAGAGAATATGTATCCCGAGGACGCCGGCACCGGCGAGATTTCGGACTACCAATTCAACTCGCCCATCTCGCCGGGATTTATAATCGCAGACTCGCAGTTCGCAGGCCAAGACTTCTCGGATACTTTTCCCCACCTGCCGCCCCCGGAACTCGTCTCGTCTCCGGGCTCCACAGACTCAACCGTCGAATCCGCCATTGGTTATGGCTATGGATATGCGAGGCCGGCCGCCCGCCGTCTCTCGCCGCAGATTCTGCTCGTCCATGTCAATATCTACCTCAAGTACTTGTTCCCGATTATGCCGGTGGTCCGCGCGGACCAGCTCCGGCTCGATTGCCATCAGCCCGGGCAACTGTCTGCGCAGCGGTATGCGCTTTTAGCATCACTGTGTGCGGCTACGCATATCCAGTTGAAGTTGGATGGGGCCACGCCTGTGCCGGATCCTGCGCGTTTGCAGAATTTTGGGGATGAACACTCCTTGATGTCTGGGGAAGAGCTCCTTTCGGAGGCCGTGCGGGCGCGGCGAGATTGTGATATTTTGGAAGAACTTAGTACGGAGTCGCTTTTGACTTCGTTCTTTTTGTTTGCCTCATATGGAAATCTTGATCGTCAGGATCAGGCTTGGTTCTTTTTGTGCCAGGCTACCTCGTTTGCATTTACGCTTGGGTTGCATCGCGAGTCAACGTATGCAGAGTATGAGGCTGAAGAAGCGGAGGAAAGACGGCGTGTGTTCTGGCTTTTGTTTATCACAGAGAGGTGAGTGGGCCAATTATGAAGGACCATGGTTTGGACTGGGGCTGACTTGTAAATCGGCAGAGGTTATTCTCTCCAGCAAGCGAAGCCGGTTATGCTGCGCAGCTCTATTCACAAGCCTCAGGTCCTTTCCTCGGAAGATCCTATCCTGGCTTATGGATTCATCAACCTGATCAACATCTTTGAGAATCTCACCCCGAACCTTTATGATTGGATTTCCGCCGGTGGCGGAGATGGTATCTTGGAAAGGCCACCAACCTCTGCCATCCAATCCAGCCTGTGCAAGGCTATTTCCCTAGAGGGAGTCCTTGAGATTCAGCAGGTTGATATATTGATCACGCAACAGTGGCTGCAGGCGATGATGTGGAAACTGTCTATGAGCCATGCCACACAACCCGGTTCGTGCGATGACGCAGTTTTGCCATTTCACCTACCAGTGGTGGTGGGTAAATCCGTGATGAGTGTGATTGGTGCTGCATCACAGGGGGCTGTTGATGCGCATGGGATTGGAATGGTAGGTCAATCCGAGATGAAGCTGTTTGTTTGCATACTGATTTGGATGCTATAGGAACAAAAACTCTTTGATCTAGGATCCTCCGTCGCCGATGTGACGAGATCTCTTGGACCAAAAGCCGTCCATAGACTGGCTGAGTCGACTATTGATCCGAACGAGTTACTGTGGGGTATACTTCACACGCTTTCTCAGATTCGTGGCTCGCCCTCGTACCTCTTCCCTACATTGCTGGATCGATGCAGAACCGTGCTTGGACTCGACTGCAATATCACCACGGGGAATTTCCTTCCTATACTCGGTGCTGCTGTGCCGGATCAGTTGGCTTCGTGGTCTGGCCAGCATGTCTGGGATTACGCTGCCAGTGCCGAGGATAATGAGCTCCATGATGTCGACCAAGCCGATTCAGCTCCTCATCCGAATGTGCCGCAGGAATTGGGCTTCGAAGATTGTCTCTTGGGATGATCGGCATCTGCCGACTGTATTGAATGTGTGATGCGAATTGTTTGTTTTGTGATACCAATGGAGTTTTATAGATGGTTGTTTATGATATGGAGGCACAACGAAATGATAGAACACGATCAATGCCTCAATGCATCCAATCCATAGCCATTGTAGTCGATGTGCATCGTAGTCGAGAAGGAAGCTCATACTGAAGGGCAGTCAAATTGTCTTGGCATGTTTGGCTCGGCATTGAATCTCCAATTCGGTGATCGGCTTCATGCGACTTTCCAAGGTTGTCTTCTCAATTGCTCAGGATATTCTTTACTGGTATGCTCTCTATTGCTTTCAATGCTCCGTGCAAGCCCCCAATTAACACTTCCTCACAGATACTCCTCGGGTCTCCGCATCAACCAAAGCTCACCAGAGCACCAAAACCCCGGAACTAATTTCCATTGAACTTCAAATCTCGCCCACAACCAATACCATTACCTACACAATGGCCTCCCTCCGACCCCGTGCCCTCCCTCTCTCAGTCCGAGCCCTCCGCTCAACCCTCCGCTCAACACGGCCCTCACCAAACCACTTCCCCTCCGCACCCGCATCCGCCCCATCAACCCGCGCGCACTCAACATCTTCCGTCTCCGCCGATGAACTCTCTCACTTCTCCGGCCTCGCCAGCTCCTGGTGGGACCCAATGGGCCCCTCCCGAATCCTGCACCTAATGAACCCCCTCCGCCACGAATTCATCGCCTCCTGCCTAGCAGAAGGAACCTCATCACCAGACCCGACCTCCTCCACCGCAACCCTCAACTACCTCGACGTAGGCTGCGGCGGCGGCATCTTCGCCGAGTCCCTGGCACGCACAATCCCCCTGGACCCAACCGGCCCAGCACCCACCCCAACCCTCGCCGCCTCAATGACCGCAATCGACCCCTCAACGGACCTAATCCAAATGGCGCGCGAGCACGCGCGCATGGATCCAACCGTCGACACGCACCTGCGCACAGGTCGCTTCAAGTACCTCAACACGACGCTGGAGGATGTACTTGCCGGCAACGCTGGCACTCCGACAAACCCAACACCAAACTCCAGCTCTCCCTCTACCGAACTCAAACTCACCCCCCAATACGATATCGTAACCCTATTCGAAGTGCTCGAACACATCGACCCGAAAACCTCAACACCGCTAAGCTTCCTGACAAACTGCCTGCGCGCGCTCAAGCCCGGCGGGTGGCTAATTGGGTCTACTATTTCGCGGACGCTGCCGTCGTTCATCCTGAACCAGGTTATTGCTGAAGCGCCGTGGCCGATTGGTGTTGTGCCGCGCGGGACGCATGAGTGGAGCAAGTTTGTCAACCCGGATGAGGTTAAGGGGTGGTTGCAGGAGGGGTTGATGAGGGCTGCTGATACGGGTGTTTCGAGAGGTGGGAGTGCGGTTGCGGAGGGGATGAGGTGGAAGTGTGTTGGTGCTATTTATGTTCCTGGGATTGGGTGGAAGATGGTGCCTGGGAGTGAGGATTGGGGGAATTATTTCTGGGCAGTTAGGAAGGAGATTTAGATGATTTTGTGGTAGGTGTGTATGTATAGTTGCATTGTTTTGAGCTATTTGTATATTATTTGATTGTTGTACTCATTGCATATCGATGTTTCATAACTTCATATTCATTGACTCGTTTCTAGTGTACTTAGTACATCTCGCTAAATGCATATAACCACCCAACCATATCCCTATTAGGGACATAGCAAAAGAGTACTCGTGGACAATCCTAAACCATTCACTCCAATCCCGAGCAAAAGTAAACGTAACCACCCAACCGCATACCTATCAGGGACAGCAAAAGTAAACGCAAAAACTTCCCCAACGCCCAAACTACCTCTTCCCTTTCCCCTTCCTCTTCTTCTTCGAAGCAGCCGGGGGCTCAGGCACAGAAACAGTCCCCTGCTCAACCTCCTCACCCTGCCCCTGCAACCTCTGCGTGCCACTAATAAAGAACGTCAAATCTCGATTCTGTTCCGCGAGATCCGCATTCGCAACCTTCAGCTCATCAACCTCTTTAGCAAGCCCATCCAACCTCAACAACATATTCCGATTCATAGCCTTCTCCTCCTGAAAGCCCTTCTCAAACGAGCGCGCCAGGGCCTCGAATTTCTCCGCTCTTTTCTCCGCGCGGGCGCGGTCATGTTCAAGCGCCGGCAGCGTCTCAATCGTCATGACATCGTACTTATCTTGTAATTCCTCGAGACGCGACGAGGCGCTGGAAGCATTAACTTCCGCCACAGCGGCGGCGGCACTTGCCTGCGAAGCTTTGTCAACGGCGCGTTCGACGACTTCTTCGAAGTACGCGCGCTGACTTTCAAGCTGGCTGGTGAGAAGGTGTGTGTATTCGATGCTCATGTTTTCTAGTTTCTCGCGGGGAACGGCGTCGCCCCAGTCTGGTGGGTCGAGGGCGCTGTGGTCTGCTGCGGGTAGCTCGAGGAGCTTGCCGTCTGTTTTGTTTTGGATGATGCGGTGGACGTAGGCGTCGCCTACGTAGTCCCATACGCGCTGGGAGGTGAGGTCCATGGAGAAGGCGTGGGCTGTTTCTTTCCAGTGGGCGAAGGCGTGAGCGTTGTCGTAGCGGCCGCAGCCGATCGTGCCGCAGATTAGACAGGCCCAGAGGTTTTCTTCTGAGTGGCAGATGCTGCATTCTTGGGGTTCTTCGTCTGGTTTGAGGGCTGCGTTGCTTTTGCGGTAGTCGTCTTGTGTGTATCGGCATACGGGGCAGCCGCTGCCTTTCCACTTTTGGAGACAGGTGCAGTGGAAGACATGTTGGCAGTTTATTGTTAGGAGCCCCGTGGTTTCGTCCATTCGCTCTAGGCAGACGGGACAGGTTGGTAGTTCGATTAGCGCAGGGGTAGGTGGCGCGAGAGGTTTGCCGGTGAGAGTTGCTTGTCCGGTAGAGGATACTGGGGGCCGAGAGGGGGTTGAGAGGTTAGAGGAGAGAGCGCCATGCTCAGCAGACGGTGATCCGGCATCCACGACTTGGATTTCGACCGTCTTCACAAACACCACATGGCAGGTCTCGGGCTCGATGCTATTGAACACATGCCCATTCCATTCCTTCTGCCATTCCTTCGCCTTCCGCCCACTCCGAAACTTCATCAAAACCATATACCGATTCGCACGCGCAGTCCTAATCATCCGGAAATGACTAACATCATCCATAGTCTTTTGCCCTATAAACCCCAAAAAGTCCGGCGGTGACAGATAAGACGGCACAGCGAGAATACATAGTGTCGTACAATCCTCATCAGGAGTTTGCGCAGAGGAAGAAGCTGTCTCAGGAAAAGGATATTCCGCAAGACCCGCCGCCCCGGATTGTGCCGCACCGGCCAGGCCCTGTCTCAACGTAGCCTGCTGCTCACCAGGCTGGCGGGCCGCAGCTGAGGAGCCCTTCAGGTAGGCGGGGTACTCGTCATCGTTTCCGAGGTAAGGCGTCTCCTGCAAGTCGCGGTACAGGTGTACAATTCCCCAGACGCTGTCGGCAAGCTCGTAGTCGAGTGGGATGTATCGGCCTTTTGTGCGGAGGCCTCCTAGAATGTCGGTGCCGATGCCTGCGGCGACGAGGTTCTCTGTCTCCGCGGTGGGTGGGGAGCCGCGCTTCGAGGTGCGTTTGGGCGGATGCTTTGGGGTGACCATGTCAATGCACTCGATGGAGACGGCGCCGAAGCGCTTGTCGTCTTCAAGTGGGGTAGTGCTGGTGAAGGAGCTACTGGAGGAGGTGTTCGAATCGTGAGAAGTGCTGGTGGCGGAGGGAATGGTTCGGGGTGGGGTGGGCGCAATATGAGTGGAGAGGGTGGAGATGGGTTTCTGGCGATGCGCCAAAGTGTGGTCTGGGGTTGGTGGGGTTTGATTATCTCCTGCGGGTGATAGGTGGTTGGAGGTTGAAGGCCGGCTTCGTTGGAATGGTTGGAGAGCTTCCCATGCGGATTGTAGCGCAAGTGAGGATCCCTGCTCGCTTGGCGCGTCGGATGGGCTGTGGGAGAGGAGTTGCAAGCTAAGGTGATAGAAGTAAGCGGGCATCCCGGATGATGGCTCGCATCCTCTGGAGCTTGCGATTTGTGGTTGGAACCTTGGAACTGTCAAAAGAGGAAGTCGTGTTATCACGATAAGGATATATGATTACTTAATATTTGATTCTCACCCGCTTCTGCGCCTTACGCCACAAGTGGTTCCTGGCACGCGAGAGTGGCAAAGAGGCGAAAAAGAATGGAGATTCTGAAGCGCGTTCTGGCTGAGAAGGTGAAGTGGCGAGAACTGGTGTGGTTGAACAGAATTGCCCAAATGAGCCACTTACTTGGGACTTGCAGATAAGTTTTTTAAGACATGTTCCCCCTTAGATATTGATGTTGGAGCAAGAATATAGGCGATGCAAATGGCTCAAAATGTGCAAAAGGATTTATCTATGTATGACCTTTGATTGATACACCTACAACTGCATTACAATGAAATGGTGTGCTAGGTAAAAACCAGCAAATATTGCTAGAGTGAATTGTAGAGAACTATCTATCACATATCGATGAGGATAATGTGAGCGAAGTAAAAGAGAGAAGCCGTCCTCAGGAAACACATTGCAAGAAAAGAAGCCTCAGCCTCGAAAACCGACCAAACGCCATGCAGGTCATGTAGGACCTATCGAAGTTGAGAAAAAGGATCGTAAATCAATTACTGGCCGCCACGCAGACGCAACACCAGGTGCAGGGTGCTTTCCTTCTGGATGTTGTAGTCCGAAAGAGTACGTCCGTCCTCCAGCTGCTTACCAGCGAAGATAAGACGCTGCTGGTCAGGAGGAATACCCTCCTTGTCCTGGATCTTGCTCTTGACGTTGTCAATGGTGTCTGAGCTCTCAACCTCCAGCGTGATAGTCTTTCCGGTCAAAGTCTTGACAAAGATTTGCATACCACCACGTAGACGGAGGACAAGGTGGAGTGTGGATTCCTTCTGGATGTTGTAATCGGAGAGTGTGCGGCCATCTTCAAGCTGCTTGCCTGCGAAGATGAGACGCTGCTGGTCGGGGGGAATGCCCTCCTTATCTTGAATCTTGGACTTCACATTATCGATAGTGTCGGATGACTCGACTTCAAGTGTAATAGTCTTGCCAGTGAGCGTCTTGACGAAAATCTGCATACCACCACGTAGACGGAGAACCAAGTGCAGAGTGGACTCTTTCTGGATATTGTAGTCGGACAGAGTACGACCGTCTTCCAGCTGCTTGCCGGCGAAAATGAGACGCTGCTGGTCGGGGGGATGCCCTCCTTGTCCTGGATCTTGGACTTAACGTTGTCGATGGTGTCAGATGACTCGACCTCGAGGGTGATGGTCTTTCCGGTCAGGGTCTTGACGACTGTGGCAAATGTTAGTCAAGAGAAAATGACTAAGAGCGTGAGAGTAAAAAACACTTACAAATCTGCATACCGCCACGGAGGCGAAGGACCAAGTGGAGAGTAGACTCCTTCTGGATGTTATAGTCGGACAGAGTGCGACCGTCCTCAAGCTGCTTGCCGGCAAAGATCAGACGCTGCTGGTCAGGAGGGATGCCCTCCTTATCCTGGATCTTCGACTTGACGTTGTCGATGGTATCGCTGGACTCAACCTCAAGGGTGATGGTCTTGCCAGTGACTAGAGACAAAGGAATGTTAGCAGGGATGCCCATGAGCTGAGTTGCAGGAGAGGGCCAGGCGGTCATCTCTCGGCCTTGAGGCCAGATAAGGGTTTGAACGTACGAGTCTTGACAAAGATCTGCATGATGGGCTTATTATTTGAGACGTTTGACGTTGATATGAAAGGATGCTCAAGTGTGAAGTGAGCTGTGGAGAATGGGGGATTGAAAGAAGGGAGAAGGCAGAAGAGGGGAAACAGTGTCCTTATGTAGGAAACTTTGGAAGGATGAGGGGGCGAAGGCGTCTTAGTCAGGTGCCGTGACGCCCGTGAAAATGCCAGAAGATGCCGGATGAGTCAAACGGGCGGTGCCTGAGAACAGCCCATTCACTTCATTTGACGCCACTTGGAAAATTCAAACCTGTATTCTATTGGATAAAGCCTACAAATAGCCTATTATTAACATATTTAAGATTCCATGATCTTCTACTGTTTTAGGTCACTTATATATCTCTCATAATCCCTCAAGTCCCCTTTGTCCTCCATCCCCAAGTGATGACGTTGACTTGCTTATCGCCAAAAGAGGGGGTGGACCTTAAAAATGGAGACGCTAGTGATCTGAAAGTACAGGGTACGGGGCTGTACGCGGCAACTGCTGCGGTCTCCCGGGTACCCAGTACCCGCTTCCAAACTTAGTATCAAAGCCGGATCCGGCTTCACCGTGTTTTCGTCTTTTTATAGTTCAATAGCTTATCAACAATGAGAAGAAAAATAAGAATTCAAGTTATAGAGTTAAAAAAACTATCGAGATATAGAGCATAAAGCCCATGTATAAGCAAAACGCTTTCGCAAATATCCCTCCGACGCCGTTTTCCCCGGCAAGATATGCGTCAACCACCACAAAGAATGTGACAGTTCGGGGATAAGACAGCCTGCACACCCTTTCTCAGGGCCTTGTTTTAACTTGAATTGTTGGCCTGTTCCGTGGCGGGTGCCAGATGCCACAAAAATGAAAACAAAACAATAGAAACACCTTCGGCCGTACACGGTCATGACATTCGTGATCCTCGTTCATCGCTGGAGACAAAGCTATGCGAAGAAAGGTATACACCAAAGACAAGAGCAAAAAAAAAATCAAGCAAGAAATATTCCAAAAAACAGACAAGTATCAAGGAAAAATGAAAAGGTAAATATGACAAAAGACAAGACCAAAAAAAAAAAAAAAACACGGGTCATAAAAAGCTAGATCAAAAGAAAGTCGGTTCGCTCGGAACAACAATACAAAAAAAGGGCAGAACCTCGCTAGGAGGGGGGACCCGTCGGATTCTTCGTTAAAGAGCGGAAATAGATGCGCTCGCACATCGTCACGATAATGGTTCGCATATTCTCAGTGTTAACATTTAGCATTCAAAACGCAATCGCGGAAATGTACTCGCTGCTGGAAACGGTAGTCGTGGTAAATATCATCATCATAATGCGTTTGCGCATCGGGGTCGTTGTCTAGTTGGCGCGAATGACCAGTCGCGACACAAATTTATTTGAAAGGCAGTCGAAGTCGCCACGGTTGAATTTCGTGCCGGTGCGGCTGCGAAGGTAGGTTTCTGCAAGATGGGGTTAGTTTCGGAGATCAAAGTGGAAGATGGGGAAGAGTTTATCTCTTACCATGTTGCTCGACATGTTGGCGGACTTCGGTCATGGTGTTGCAAACATCCGGGTTGGAGTACAACAGCTGGTGGTGCTTTTGTGAGTCCCACTCGGTGAACGGGGGCAGCTTCTGTGAGATGGCCTGGAACAGTCCGACGATGACGCCCACCGGGGTGGTTTCCATGTCGGTGCAGAACTTGTCAACGGCAGCCGCGTCTGGTGTCCGGTAGTGGCTGTCGAATTGCATCTCCTCCCATACGGCCAGCAGAATGGAGGCCAGGATGAAGATTGTTGGCCAGTTCTTCAGCTTGTCGCCGCTGTACACACTCGAGTAAAGTGCTGACAGCTCCTCCAGCACATCCTTTTGCAGCTCACGCCACATGCTAGCCATGGCACACTTAATCTGGAAGTTGATCATGACGGGGGCCATGGTCTTGCCGGAGAACTTGGAGCCCATGTTCTCGATCTTGCCGAGGAAGCCTTCTTCCTCGCCAATGCCTTCGACCATGGTGACATGCATGGTGAGGTTGTAGGCAACCACCAGCTTAAGTGCCTTGCGGATAACGGGCAGCTTAGTGCGGAAGTAGAAGCGGAAGGCGGTCTTCAGCATTTGCGTCAGGAAAGGAGTGCCCTCGAAGTAATCGTCGACAAACTTCTCAAAGGTGCCATTGCCGTCGATGTGGCGGTCAAGGTAATCCGACAGCATCGCGTGTGAGATGCCCTCCATACCAGCGGAGAGTTTGGCAGTCTCGACCTCGTATTGTGTTGGATCACGGTGCATCGACTCGATCCAGTCAACGGTGAAGCACTGCTCGTCCCGAACATAGACCTCGCGGGCGTTGATGGGCAGGATCTGTCCATAACCGTGAGTGATGAACAAAGTGCGTTCCTGGTCCGAGAATCCGGTAATGTTGCCGACAGAGAAGCCCATGGTGATGTGGCGCTCATAATCCGCCTTCCAGTCCTTCATGAAATACCCAATCTCCTTGATATCAATGCGAGTACATGGCACCTGCCATAACCGTGCGTGGGACGGTTGGCATCCTGCACAAGGCTCGCCCTTATCACACGTCTTCTTGAGGAACTTGCAACGCAGACACGCGCGCAACTTCCGGATCTCGCTGGCCTGTTTGCGCTGGTCGGGCTTGAGGGGTCCCTTTCTCTTGCCAACACGCTTCTCGGTCTCGGGTTTGCCGGTCTGGGATTGCTTGCGAACCTTGGTCTCGGCGGTCTTGGCGGCAATGGGGCTCTTGCGGGACGGTTTCCGGCTCGGTGGTGAGGTCGATGCCTGAGAAGACCCAGCTGATCGAGCAGGGGATGTTGACTTCTTGATCGGAACCGGGATCGGCCGCACCATTCCGATGGGGCTGACTGCGGAAGGCGAGCGAGAGCCTGGCGAAGATTGGTCACGAAGGACAATTGCGCTGCTTGTCGGGGAGGTACCGTGGATTCCAATGGAGCTGCTGTGACTGTGACTATGGCTGTGGTTGTGGCTGTGAGTATGGCTATGACTATGACTATGACTATGGCCGTGGCCATGGTGATTATAGCAAGGCAAATCCATATTGTTCTCGGAACCGGGAGAACCGATCGGATTCGTGATATCCACAAAGCTGCCGTATGAAGTCGAATATGAAGACTCTGAAAGGCTTCGGTCGTGCAGTGTCTGGGTGGGGTTGACAAAAACACCTTGTTCGGGATAACCAAAGTCGAGAGAGCGGCGATGATCGATAGTACTCCAACCGTTGTCGCTGCTGGACAAGGAACGGACCTCCAAATAAGTATCGGTGGGCGAGCTGCTTTCGAGAACGGGGTGCGGGGCATAAGAAACATCCGGAAGTCCGTTGGGGAACGTCATCAGATCCGCTTGGAAGTTCTGATACGTGAATGGCACCATGTCGACCGGTGCTGACATCGGCAGATAGGGACCATCGAGCAAGCCGGCGCTCATCTGGCCCTGGCCAGACATGAGATCGACCGGGGAAGACTGCATGGGCATGCCATAACTAGTGGTAAACTGGGGCGCTGACGAGGGGTCTTCGGAGGAATATGAGAGGTGGTGGTGATGATGAGGGGTGTGTAGTGGTTGAAAGTGCCAATCGACCATGAGATTTGGATCCTGGGTCACCGACTGTTCCAGAGGGTGACCGCCAGTTTGCAACGGGGAGAGACCATGGGCCTCTTCTGACCGTGGGGGCGCCTGATCTACCGCCACAGGCCATGATTGATGCTGAAGATAGCCTCTGGAGTCGTAATCGACGCCAATAAGGCCATCACTAGATATATCGACATTGGACATGACTTTTTTGGAGTCAAAACGATCACGGGAGAGTGAAATAGAAGGGAAGAAAAGGACCAGCCTGGATGAGAGGACCTTCTTCAGAAGGGTGACACAACCATGAAGAAGAGGGAAAGTGAGGCGGTGGGGGGGACAAAGCAGCGGTGAGCGAAGAAATGCGCTAGGGGAGTTGATTGTGGAGAGTGGAGAGGCTGGCTGATGGCGTGGACCGTTGATCCAGTCTTGAGCGATGAATTAATGCCACGGGAATTTAGTTTGCAGTAGTGTTGAACTCGGGATATGGACAGGAGGGGAGATACAGTACTCTGTATAGCCCTAGAGGTCCTATGGGGCCGGGAATCACGGAGTTCGCTGATCCCATGATCTCTATTTATTGAATTCTTTCCTAAATGGGAAAGGTTGCCTTGTTTTTTTGCCTTTTTTCCTTTTTTTTCTTATTTTCTCTCTATTTCATATACTATTTCATATCTACTTTGCTTTTTTCCTACCTCTCCTAGGTTCTGACTGAGATCCTTATGACCATTAGGAAATCATCGGACCGTGAGACCGAACCCGGAAGATCAGTGGGGAGAAAAAAAAAAAACTAAAGCCATTGTGTACAACTGCGTGGCAATATATATTGGCGAGATCTGACAGTCGGATCGTGTTATCCCAAAATTAGTAGTCTCTCCTAATCAGATCCAATCAGCTCCCTGTATGCCCACCACCATGCCCGTGATTCGTATCTCACGGTTCCCTGAATGCACCATACCTCAAAGGTACTTAGCGGGCCAGTTCAGGATGCTGATGCAGGAGTTCCCCCGAAAATAATAAATAATAAAACAGTTGAAATAGTAAATAGTAAAATAGTTAGTGCTAAGGTATATTGCACGGACTATGTGGAAAATCTTGTTGAGAGTGCCAAGTTAACATCGTGAACCCTGGCAAAACAAGAAATTTGACAGGTCTAGCTTTTTTTTAAAAAGAAATTCTTTCGCTCGGATACCTGGGGCATGGGCACATGCAGCAAGGGTGTCATGTAAGCCAACAATATACTTGCGCACCGTCGCGTGCATGGCGTCAGATCCATCACATATATATATTTTGGCTTCTGTGACATGCAGGAGCTCTTCAGGACGGAGTAATAGCACTCGATATACACATCTCCGGGCCACGAGAAAGCCTATTCTAGCTAAATCGAGATAATCGAGACGAAATATATGGAAATGGTCAAGTGAAACCTGGGCATGTTGTTGACCATCCATGGATGGTCGTCAAAGATAGGAATGACACCCGGTAGAGATCGAGTGGGGAACAAAGAATTCTAGACTTTTTTTACATTCACATTCACATCGACAGAACAATAGTAAGAAAGTTCAATCTACATTTCTTTGAGCTTCAAATCTCCAAAATATCTCACATCCCTCAAAATAACCCCCCATTGATGCCGCTCATCGGGAAACCTCGAAAAGTTCGATTTCCGAACGCACAAAAAACCCAAGAACCGCCCAACCTCAACATTAATTCCAGCCAGGACAACCATGACTACAGCTATGAATACATCTGACTCCAACCAACCGCGCCCGGGGATCCCGGCCTTGTTCACGCAGCCGCCGCCCATCCGTGACCCGCTCATCACTGAGACCATCGATCTGCAGAACGCGACCCTGGAAAAATGCCTACCATTTCTGAAAGGCATCCACAGCAGCCAGAAAGATTTCAACGACCATGGCGTGCCTGCCCTGCAACGTGATCTCCACACTATCTTCCTCTATGACGCCCTCGAGGATTATCCCGAGGGGTTCGTCGCGATGGATGCCAGCCGCCCGTGGATTGTGTACTGGGCGTTGGCGGGACTTGCCATGCTGGGAGAAGAGACGACTCGATTTCGCGAACGGTGCGTGCATGCTTTTACATCCTTGATTTCTTTTATATATTTTATTATTTCTATAATTTCTTGCCCTTTCCCCGCCTCGTTCTCCCCCAATTTGCTTTTTCCTATCTGTCATATATCCACAGAATGGAGACAGAGCCTCTGGAGATATACCCTGATTGGAAAAGATCATCTCATCTGTACAACGTGAAACATGGAAAAAAAAGCCATACCATTCTAAAACCTTCCTCTTCTTCTATTTTAGTGTGATCACTACGCTTCGGCCGATGCAGAACCCCACAGGTGGCTTTGGCGGCGGCCACGGCCAGACATCCCATCTGGCCGGCAGTTATGCAGCCGTACTGTCGCTGGCTATGGTTGGAGGCGAGGAGGCCTTTGGATTGGTGGATCGACACGCGATGTGAGTTGTCACCGGCAGCTTTCTGCATGTGCGTCTTGTGTGATCCTGTGCGTCTAACCCAGTTTTTGCCCTTCCCAGGTGGCAATGGATTGGAAGATTGAAGCAGCCCGATGGGGGATTCCGTGTTTGCGAGGGCGGGGAGGAAGATGTGCGGTAAGTGAAACCCCAGGGCTGGAGCAGGTGCTTGCTCGTCAATCCCGCGTCCCCTTCCCCATTGCAAGATCTGACATGTCATTAATGCAGTGGCGCATACTGCGCTATGACTCTTATCTCGCTACTTGACCTGCCGCTGACGCTTGCTCCCGGCTCTCAAGCGCGGGAGGCGGGATTGGAGAGTCTGACGAGTGGTCTTCCTGAATATCTCTCACGATGTATGAGTTACTGGTGGCTTGGTTTATAGAAGGCTTGAGATGTGCTGACACTCGCCCTTAGGTCAAACGTTTGAAGGAGGTATCTCCGGTAGCCCTGGGTCGGAGGCCCATGGGGCATACGCATTTTGCGCCCTGGCATGTCTGTCTATCTTGGGACCTCCCGAGGAGATCTTCAACAGGTGCGAGACTATTCTAGCCCGGAATGCTCTGTCTAATTCTCGTATGCTAATGGTTCCTGGCAGACACATGGACATTCCTATGTTAGTGTCGTGGTTGTCCGCACGCCAGTCCGCTCCAGAAGGTGGTCTTTCCGGACGAACAAATAAGCTGGTGGATGGATGCTACAGCCATTGGGTTGGTGGATGCTGGCCATTGCTTGAATCTTCTCTGGAAGGAAAGCCGGATAACACCGAGCCACCAGCCAACAGTCTTTTCAGTCGTGAAGGTCTAACCCGATACATCCTTGGATGTTGTCAAGGGAACGACGGTGGTCTTCGTGACAAACCGGGCAAGTATGTTCACTCCTGTCTGTGACAGTTCTTTTTGCACATGTAGCTGACCAAGCCCCAGGCACGTCGATTCATACCACACCTGCTACGTTATGGCAGGATTGAGCGCGACTCAAAACCATCATTACCGGACAGACTCGAGTGTCGCAAGCAACAACTTCTCATCCTCATTTTCCTGGAAGTCTTCACCGAGCCGCGATCAGGCCAATGTGTTTTCAAGGGGTGATCGGCTAGAGCCAATGCACCCTTTGTATGTGATCCCACACAAAGCCGCGGAGCAAATGCGGCTCTGGTCCGAAGCCCAGCCCCTCACTATCTAACCGGGAGGGACGTGAGCCGACGCTATATCAGAAAGAAGACACGGGACAACGCGCCACGACGGATGAGATTTCCTTCAAAAAGTCTCTCGAGAACATTGTAAATTGAAACAGGGTGTCATTGGTAACGAAGGACTCCGAGCGAGTGCATTATGCATGATTAGTCTTGGATGCTTGAGACTGCAAGCCCCGCGGTCATAGCAGCGGCCATGGCATGGGAGCCACGAGGATGATTTTTCGACCAAGCCAAGGAGGATGCTGTGAATGAGACCGAGACGCAAGGGGTTGGGTTCGGGGGCCGAGTATGACTCTACAACATAGGTCATAGCACATAGCACCAATTCCTTCTGTTTTTTTTCTTTGTGCTGGCACTTTCACCGATTTTCCGAAGTTTACAAAAATGGTTCCTTTAGCGCGAGAGTGAAGATTTTACTTTTCCCACCATTCTCGCCGATCAATATGACAATGCTCCTACGATGTACATCATAATGTGTTTGCCACCAAAGACAACAACCTGCACGAGGCCCAAGAGGGCAAAAGTAATCATCAGTACCAGAATATGCAGATAAATCCAACGCCTTTCCCCACTGCAATGCCAGCTCATCATTGCGTCCGATGCCTGTCGAGTAACTGAAGTTCCTCGGGGGGTGCATGCATTTTCCCATTCTCCGATATTGGATGTTCAAACCCAATTACCCACTTTGATCCTCTCTACTTTGATTATTTAATTGACTCATAGCCCTTTCACAAGCAATTGACCCCTCTTCAAACGCGTTCCGCACAACATGAACGGCCCCTCCTTGGCGCCAATCACCATTCGCAGACCTGCGCGTCTCGACAATCCATAAAGGCGGCAAATTAATTGTACTTTCTCTGATGCGTCTGCGGGGCCAAAAGTGAAATGAAGAGATCATTCCGAGAAACCAAAGTCAACCCAAAAAAAATAACCCGTGTACGGAAGGGAGTATAGTATAGCACCAATATTCCATTCAAATCACTCCGGAATACTGGGATCCATAATCTTCAGGTATTACCTTCTGCAAGCAGGTTGCAAGGTCTTCCTTAGTCTCCGCGAATGTTTATGTTTCGATCGGCGAATTGCAGGGGGCATAACCAGACAGCTCACGGTGACTCCCGGTGCCTCAGACTCGGTTCAATTCTACTGGCAAAGAGATATGCCAGCGCATCAGTAAACCCGCCGAGAAAACGGCACACTAAATACGTCGAACACGAGTTACTGTTACCTTTTCTTTTGGGGCCTTTTCCGAGGTCCAATGCGAGTCTGGCGTTTGCGTGTATCTATCGTCTTCTGTTCTCTTCTCTTGTACTTTGTTTACTCAGTGGAGGTAGTCTATACCCGGATTCCAGATCCATGTCCTACGATCTCTTTTGAGGTTTGATTGTTTACTATTACTGCATACTATTATTGTTTACTGTATACTTGTCTTTTCTTTTTTATTACCTTCAATCTTTCAACGGTGAGTATTAGAATCTTAGTAGTTTGACTTTTTGGTATAATACCTTTTTCTTCTTCAGGTCATCTGCATTGACACCAAATGTCTCCTTTTTTCTTTGTGCGCTGTCGCAATTGCAACCGTTTCCCTTCTCTATTGGTACTGTGTACACCGGCCAGCTCACGGTATGACTTGGGAAGGGTATCAATGCAAAAGCCCCACCTGTTTTCCAGAAGTAATCAAGTATATGGCAAGCAGCAGCTCTTTTCCCCTCATTAATTTGTTTTTCTTTTTTTTCCTGTTGTACGGAGGGGGAGACTCAGTTCTGGGAAATTGTATATCTGTATATGGGTGTGGCATCTTTCCAATCTTTCCTTCGAATTTTGGATTTAGTTCTCATTCCCTCTCTCTGTTCTCACCCTCGTGCCTTTCATTCCACTCTTGTTTGAATTAGACCTTGGCCTTTACTAGTATTATAATCGTGCTTTTGTTTGGAACGCCAGCACATCCTCCCCGCTGCTAGCGAAGCAAACGCGGTCCCGCCAGCCGTTGGGCATCACAATCCGCATATTCTTTTGACTGCACACCACCTGACAGCTCAGCCTCAGCCCTAAGCCTGTCTTACTGCAAGCCAAATCCGTCCAATGCGTTCCGAGTAACCGTCGCAATTCGTTGCAGTTGGACAAGTGGCAACGCTGCCATCCGTCGCCTGTCTCCAGTTTTCCCGTCTCTCTCGCTCCCGGCTTGCGTCTAGTCCAAATCCCAAGATGTACTATATCCTTTACCTGACCAGTATGTCATCAATCTCCCCACCAGCACCCCTCCTGCCCGAGCTGTGTATGTCATGCATCATTGCCAACACAAACCAATCCCCAAACCTGGTTCATGAATATGCCACTCCCAAACATACACCCAATGCAGACAAGCAAACCCAAGCCCTACTCCGTCTCCCCCCACACACCCAATCAACCCCACCCTCCCAAAGCCCAAGCTAATCAAATCCAAAACCAGGCCTCTGCCGCCGCCGCAACTGGCCCGAACCAATCTACAACGCCTACACTAGTAGCAGCGGATACACATGCACCGTGCGTGTCAATAATCGCGAGTACCGAACAGACAGTACCTGCAGCAACGAGACGCTTGCGCGCGAGAGCGCCGCCATGTGCGCCTACCTCATCTGCCGCAATTTCTCCGTCAACGACGGCATGTACCCTGCAGGGCATGACCACGGCGGCGCTGTGCAGGGCATGCGTGTTGCCATTGGCGCGGGACGGAAGCCTGCTCGTGAGGATGATGTGCTTTCTTTGGGGTCTGTGAGTGGGAGTGGGAGTGATAGTTCGCGGGGTGGGAGTTGGAGTGGGGGGAGTAGTCCCGTTAGGGTTGGAATTGAGGGAGATGGGAGGGGTGGGTTTGGGGGCAGGGTTTGATTTGGGCTTTTGTTTTGGGGGAGGGAAGAGGGGGGTTACGATTTTATGATATTATGGATGATTATGACTACGCCTTTTTTGGTATGATGGTGGATTCTTTTAGAGGGAAAAGCTGTGGGATATTGAATGACTGATTTGTGGTTCTTGATGGCTATGGTTTGGTTGGATTAATGATGCTTTTATCTAGATGGTGGATTTATTTCTATTTGTGAGTGGTGGTTAGCGATGAATTCTGTCATGGGGTTGTTTGGTTCTGATAGCTGTTGAATTTATAGCGTATAGGACTCGCCAACTTGTGGATAACTGGTGTACACTGGTAGAGTGCTTAGACGTGGCTGTTAGTGATACTCATCAAACCTTTGTTTTAGATATCTACTGAGGAAACTTCTATTCCTCTTGCTGAACTTGTACCATTATTTGCCTCCAACTCTAAGTATGTTAGCCCAGTGCCTGGACTGCTTTCAAAGGCCGCAGGTAAGATGGGAAATCCGCTGGCAGAGAAAGCTCAGTATCTAGAGGATTATATATTTAAATTTAAGACACTAGAGGAGAAGGGAGGTGTAAAGTCTGGGATTCTCGATGAACGTCAAAAATGCAATATATCTGGAAAAGCGCATAAATCAAGCAAGAATAATCTCACCTCTATACCTTTAGCATCGTGTTCGATTGCACCGCATTCTTTCTCTCCATAGAGATCCATCAATCAGTAGCATCCGTGAGAAAGCCCCACTCCGGCAAGATGTGCAACCACGTAGGATCGTTAGCTCGCTTATATAGGATAAGATCATATAGACGTAAACCAAGCTCATCTTCATCTGGTATATGATCCCTCACAGCCACTGGGACGTGCCAAATCTGATAGTGGAGCTCTAGTAGAAGTTCTGCCTTCGCAGATCTAAAGAATCTGCTAGGGGCGTATCTATCAAAAACGTAATTGTTGTGGATAGGGGCGTAGACTCGCTGGACAATCTCTAAGATGCAAGCCTGATCGTCGGGTCGGTTGAGGATACTAAGTGCTTTCCATGCCTGTCTCTCATTTTCGATAACTCTCCGTGGAGGTGCCGGTATGTTGGAAGATGGTTAGAGTAAAGAAGGTAAATAAAGATTATCTGTTGAAGTATTAATGGTTGGGCTGTTAGTTAGAATGGTGCTTAATGCTAAATATCGGGAGTTGACGTGGAACTTGTCGATCATTTAAACCTCTGGTACTCGATTAGCTTTTTCCACTCTAACAAAATGATATAATAGGGCTTTCAACCCCGAAATTTTTATTGTATTGTTTGTATCTGTGTATTAATTCCTTATAATACCTAAGGAGATTCGAGGAAGTCAAAACCCTTGTTTAGGATAAAGTAATGCGTCGATAATTAAAGCCTGAGAAGCTCTTTGTTAATAATATAAGTTTGACTAGGGGGAAAGAGGTAGGGCATTTAGAAGAAATAACAAGAGCTTACTCTAGTTGATATAAAGAGATGACCTATGAATAGTAAAGATAATAAGAGGTGGCTCCGGTTCGTTCCCCCGCTATGTGGAATCTTCTAGCTTGACCCCCTCCTCGAATGTGAAACCTATAGCTAAAGTATTGCATCCGAAGATTAAATCACTAGTTGCTCTTAATTCGCCTAGGCTATACTCGCTCGTTCTCGACCGGTGTTAAGAATACGTTCAAGCACCTAGGTAGGTGCTTGCGCTGAATAATCTGAAGATCCCCCGTGGTAGTAATGTGCGGAATCACCTAAGCATCCAATATGATATGCCTCTCACTTTTTAGGACTCTAGGGGCATACCATTATATCTGGACTATCGGGGCTTTCACATGTCTATATAACCTAGACGCTAAAACCAGCCCTGGAGGCCGCTACACCTTATTGATTGCATAAGGGCATTCAACGGCTAGGTTAAAAGATCATAACAATAATCGGAACATCTGATTAGCGTAGCATTATATATATTAGACCCTAGTTTCCGCTAGAGACCACTGTCATCCACTATACCAGTCACGTGGGCGAAGCGCTAATGAGGCTGACTGTACTGCGGCTCAAGCAGGCGGGAGGTGCCCCCTAGATCCACCGGGGGTACGTCTTAGGCTCTAAGGTCACCTACCGCAGTTTCAAAATCGTAAAAATATATTTTCCATCCTAGCTCGTCAATATATCGTAACACCGAAGCAACCTTAGAACCTACAGCGGGGCTTCCACTACTATACCGTGCTACCGAAAATGGAATCGCACGAATCGCAGTTCCATAGTCTCGCGTGGGAGGAAGAGCGCTTCGGTTTCGAGCCCCGATAGACTCTTGAACCTGAAATTGGGGCTATAAAGCAGACAGTACAGTCACTTCGGCCATTAAGTATAGTCGAAGTGACTTTCCTCACCTAGGGCGGATTCAACAAGATCTACAACGTTAGTATAGATGATAAGATATTTATCATACGAATCGTATTGCCCGTCGATCCACGTTATAAAACCATAAGTGAAGTTGCAACCATAGATTGGATACGCCGTATCACAAACCTCCCAATTCCTAGAATTATCGCCTATAAATCTTCTCGAGACAATCTGATTGGATTTGAATAGATACTCATGACCAAAATGCCTAGAAAGCCCTTCGCTAAGATTTGCCGCTCTCTTCCCTTCGCTGCGAAAGCACGCCTAATTAGGAAGCTTGCGGGGGTATCGGCTTACCTTTTTTGAAATCAACTACGCGGAATTGGGAATATCTATAGGGAATCCTCCGTCGGTGAACAATCAACATTAAGCGAGCAAATACCCCCCCTTAGAGAGCTGGCCGATACCAAAATATCAGTTTCGGCAAAGAAATCCGGCTCAGTTGATGGTAGCGCACCCACGAGAAAGAACTCGGGAGTTCCTCTATTTAATCTGCCTAATAGGGTTTCTTCAGAAGGAACTTTACCTAATATAGGCCGGATTGTTTCTATACAGTTTTTTTGGGATTCAAACCTCCACCAAGATGTCTACCGAGGCCCATTCCGCTCAAGTAAGGACTAGATCACAGCTCGCCTTTTATTGGACGAAAATGACTGTCATTCGGCCATAAATAAACATTCAGCTGGAGACCTTGATAGTGATGCTAAAGATGAAGTGGAGGACGCTACAAGGACGCTACAAATAATTGAAAAGCTCAGATCCCTTCTTCCGCTGGTTTTTCCAACGGATGGGGATGTTCAGAACCATCAATGATATTCCACCATGACCTCTCACGACACAATATCCTCGTTGACGACAACGGGGAGCTGACTGGCCTCCTAGACTGGGAGTGTGTTTCAGCGGTGCCTTTATGGAATGCCTGCACCTACCCTACGCTTTTAAAACGGCGACCACGTCAAGAGCCTAATCCTGGAAGCTATACACCCGAAGCTAATGGGGAACCCAGCGAATTGTACTTTGAGGACCTATGGGAGCATGAGGCCACTGTCTTGCGTGATGTATTCATGGATGAGATGAGAAGACTAGACGCAGGATAGATCGAAGTTTTTGATAAGAGCCAGGTCAAAAGAGACTTTGACTGTGCAGTGCAAGAATGTGACATGGTCTTCTCTGCCAGGGATATCAATGCATGGATCGAAGATATCACTGCTGGTATAAGCAATCCGCGCACCTTGGGCCATAGGATGTATTGTTTAGACAGTCTTCCTAACTACTGCGTATAGGACCTCTGCTCCTTACCAGGATTGATATTCCTTCCTCTCTCGCTCTCAGCGAATAGCTCAATTCAATCCTAGTTTAGTTTTCTTTCCCATTTGCCTTCTCTACATGTATTCAATAACCGGTCCCTAGACAGCACCAGTGCAATAATGACTGCGTCCTCAAGGGTGATGGCTGCACTCTCTCAAGAACCTATGTACCCTGTCAATGTCCATAACCAAAAATGATATCTTCGCAATTACTCACCGACAAAACTACACCAAGTTTTTGGGTCGAGGAAGTATAGTCCGTTTAGATACAGCCGAAATGTAGCTATCATATACACAAGGAAGACAGCAAGGTTTTGCATCCCTCGACCTCGTGATCTAAATGGCCTTAGTTCAAAAGTCGTGTTATATAACAGGTTCCTATGATTTGAAAATATCCTCATAATTTGCCCACTATCTCTTTTGCTTTGCCTTCTAGAGAGGAATGTTATTTATCGAGCCTTTCGGTTTGGTTTTCCTTCATCCTTGATTTAGTCATGTTTGTTTGATCTGGTTTTTTTACAACTTTATTTAAAGAGATATGGATACTAGTCAGGATAGTTGCTCATCGACCACGAAGAATGTGACTACGTAAGAGGGAGCATATACAGTGGGTAAACATACTAAATCAAATTCGAACCCAAAACAATACTCAAAAGGAAAGAAGTAGATACAGTGTGTGCGCGACCTCTTTAGCCCCTTGATGGGGTGAAACTCGATCCCATATCTGCAGGTATTTAGTACATGGTCTTGTGATAATTCTTCGTCCCGATTTTGAAATCCTTGCGGCTTTCATGACATGAGCAGTCCTCCGCAAAATTCGTTTTAGACACGGAAGGCTTCGGAACACCAATCGACAAAGTTTCGATGTCATAGCTATAAAGTATCGACACACTATCTGCCGTACAAGGCATACAAAGAGCTACTTTGCATATAGATAGTTAGCTGAAATTCATACCAGAATGTAGAATCACAAAGTGAGGGATCATTTACACTCTTTCACATGATTGCACTTGATAGAAGCGCCTGCCGGACCTGCTGGGGACTCCATGACACATCGGTGGGTACCAGTGCCTTTGTCAAATTAATTTTCGGTTCCTTTCTCAGCGCCGAGCTGATGTTCGCTTGGATGTAAATGTCATGGCATCCGGGATCGCTAGTCGTTGGCTATGAACAGTATAATGTTAACTCTGCATATTTCAGGATACACTTCAAGGCAAGAAGAGAGAGGGATCGGTAGCCGTACTCCCTCATGGAACAAAGTGAAGTTCGTGTCTTTGTACAGTACGTAATTCAGATCTTCGAAGCCCGATAACTTCTCATCTGGAATATCGGCGATGAAAGTTTTGAGAGCGTTGTTGATCCTCCCCATTGTAAACGTATGTACTGATAAGCTAGGCTTGAATGAGCTGTAAAGAAAATTGACGACGTTAGAAACCGTGTGAAGTGAAATGGGTCCTTAATTGAGATAATTTGAAAAAGGTGCTGTCCCTTCAAGGCTCTTATATTAGCACACTGGAATATACAAATACTCTAGCTCTTTATCTCTTTATGGGGCTGGCGGTAACTGAAACTGCAACTATGGTGCTAAATAACTCACTAGGAGGTTCAATATTTGCGGAGTACTCCACAGCCGCCAATGACTCGGGCCGTGCCACCGCGCGGCTAGATTTGGGAGTTATCGATAGGCCACGAATTCAACCTGGATTTTAAAAAGGAGGCTAAGACAAGCCTAGGTACATCCATGGATAATAAACTGTAAATATAGACATTTTTTCATCCTTGCCGAGATATCATCCCTTGACTAAAATTCCGTACTAATGCGGAGCATTACCTGCATTGCTATACGCGCCAGCCCCCGCATCTTGGAAACCTATCAGACTCAATGACTACGACAATGAGATGTGATGGAAATGCATATTATCCCTATTTTGGGTTCCCCTGCATCCTACTCGCAAATACCCTTCTGGATCTTCCGAATAGATATTATTTTAGCAACTCGAAACAACCCCCTCCAGAAATCTTTGGAGTGGCGCCCCCGAAGCGCCTATGCACATCTATCAAGTTCCAAAGAAGGCAAAACGCACTAGTATGATAGTGAACCAATTTGCTTCCAAGGTTGAGAAGATCTTTTCCAAACTTAGGACAATATGCAGTCTAAAGCGGTTGCAAGACCCGAACATGGCTAAGATTGATTCAATCGTCACTTCTTTTTGGAAATACTATGACATAAACGAAATTATTGATAGCTGCCCTCAAAAGCGGATGGCAACTATTCCCTCCCCGTTCACAATAACAACGGAAAGGAAGGCTACAAAATACGTTTATTATCTCTATATACGACCAACTATAGTGAGTTATATACTCCCATTAAAGGCAGAAATTAGATTTCAATAGTATTTACATTGAATCGAAACTCGTGGAATACTCAAGGTTATGATTGATCTGCCAATACAAGAGACTACTTACTGGGTGATGCCTCGAGTTAGAACTCTCGCTATGTCCATCAGACTGCTATAGCCGAGGTTCTCAAACATATGGATTGACTAATTACAACATAGTGAGGTCGATACCTGCCCTGTGCGCATTATGGAATACCTGTATTTCATGGCAAGATAACAAAGTTCCTGTTTTTTAATATGCATCATAGGGGAGGAGTGCAAACTAATCTGTTCCCCCACAATTTCAAGGAAGCGGCCTGCAATGTACCCCAAGCTGAATTACGTTGCTATTGTACAATATAGAACAAAATAATAAGTGGACTTTTTCATCATCATACATTGTAAGAACAAGTAAACTGCCCTTTTGTTACATCACCAAGCTGGCTAGTCGTCGGTTGATTCTTGTTTGTCGGATGACGTCAGGAACTAAACCCTGCTACCAAACGCCACTCCATTTACTATAAGAAGCCCCTTCTGCCTCTGCCATTCACTTCATACATCACAATACTCAAGCCTTCAAATCAATAAACAACTGAAACTTTCAAACCCATTCCAACAATCTCCCAACAACATCATCATGGAGACCGTCAAGGTTCGCATCGTCATGTCTCTTGAGTAACATGTTTGTCTTCAGTACTAATATCTGACCTTAGAACGCCGCCAACTACGCCAAGGAGACCGTCCAGGGTGGTGGTGCAGAGGCATCAAAGGAGACCAACAAGAATGTCGCCAAGGACTCTGATGCCAGCTTGGGCAGCCGAGCCAGCGCCGCAAAGGACGCCGTTGTCGACAAGAAGGACGAGACGTCTCACAACACCAAGGCCGATGTCCACAAGGGTAAGATTATCGAAATCAAACAATGTTGTGTCGTGGAATAAATGCTAATGATATGCAGAGGCCACTAAGCACTAAACGGGTGCTCATGGAGATTGGACTGCTGTGGAATAATGAGATACCATTTTTGCTAGCACTCAGGTGGTAAAAGACACAGCTCTCCACCTGTACGATATTTGCAGATGACCTTATGCCAATGAATACTTCATAACTTTCAATGTATCCTGAAACTTGGGCGCGATGTGCAAACCAACTTCCTCTCGCTTTTGTCTTAAATTACTATTATCTCCGTGATGAATCATTTATTTGACTTATATCAATCACTTCAAAGAACCAAACGCTACGTCTTAAAAAAGTATTAGTAGCAAGATGTATAACCATCATTGAGTCTAGAAAGCAACGATGGCTGGACTTTGGAAATCTGGGGATTGACTATCTCTGATCGGATCCACATATGACGTCACATGGGGTTCCAAGGTCATCTACAACGTACCTAGGTAGGAAGGTCCTAGATATTATTCACCCTCTACTCTAGGATATCATTCTGCTAATCTCAGTTGAATGAATTCATTTTCTTATTTTATTTTACTTTCAAACCTGCACATGTGTGGTCCAATTCGTGTGAGTCACGTCATCAGTGATCAGAAGATCACCAAACCGGGGATAGAGAGGCAAAAACAAGGACTCGAAACAAACAATTTCGCCCAATCCTGCTGTGTGCCAGTATATTCACTAAAACACTATTATGCACACATACTTCGTCATCGGACCTGAGGTTATGCTTTTGTACAAATACCTGGTCTACCCTCCCCTCTAAATTCGAAGCCTCCTCTTATTTTGAAGATACCTGCAAAACACTACTGTTACTCTCGCAATTCTCTCAGAAAAAGCTCCCAGAGCTAATCTCAGCAACAATGACATCAATTATAACCTCCGTCAAGGACCTCATTGCCTCTGTATTTGAGGTGATATTCTCTGTGGTTAAGAACACGCTGGATACGGCGTATCAGCTACTCATGGCCTTTGTCGACTTCTTCGTCGGTATTCCCAAGATGCTGGAGCATACGGTGAAGGGTAGCTTGGAAGCTGTGGGCGGAGTTGGGACATTTATTGCCAGTGAGTTTCTTATGTCTGATGATTCAGAAAAAGATCAAGCTAATGGTTCCTGGAAAAAGGTAACATCGTCGTTATAGCTATCATCGCTCTTGGCGGTTATGGCTATTTGGCATATCTACGTCGTGATGGCCGCCCAGTACAGGCTGGAGTGAAGAAGTCGAATTAGGGACGAATTGGCGATTGATATTTCAGTTTCAGTGGGATGATGATACATTACATCTCGACGAATCTTCAAGGCAAGACAATATGGCTGCGTGAGGCCAGAATGTTATATCAGCAAGGGGATGAGGTCATGTCACCGAACTATGTTTAATTAGTGGCCTAAGGCCAGCAGAGTTAAATTCAAGAGCTCTTTTCATCACCATCACTTCTTCGGCCTTGATCTTCTTTCTTACGCTACTCCAACACCGATTTTGACCCTTTTTATGAAAATGGCTTCCCTAGGGTGTTTCGAATCATTTCCTGGCACTGTTATCATACTCCCAGCCACTGATACCACGCCCTTCCAACAATGGACTATCGGCGAACAGCTATCGGAAGATATGCACCAGCAGACCAAGAGTGCTGTTGAGAAGGGTATGGGTCCTTCCTACGCTGCAGCCAAGTTTTACTGCCATAGTATCGACCGCGATGAGAAAGCTATGATGCGCATTCATCTTCAAGTTCCAAACGTCAGTACAGAGCTCTCTAGCTCTGCAACCCGTGCTTGTCAGGCTGTTTCGGCCCCTGAATTTTGCGAGATCAGCGCGTTCAAGGCACTGAGGTGGCTCCGAAACTACTTGCTCTTCACGAAGGAAAGCAGGATAAGGACGGCGTTATTTCCGGGGGCTTTGTGAACTATCTCACTGGGAGATTGTGCCAGGCAAACCCTTCATCGAGGAAAGCTTATGGGCTCTCAGTTATGACACTCGCAACGTCATCCGTATTCAGCTTCGGACTCTATCAGTATGGTTATGATTGTACCCTTTAATGGAAAGAGTTAATCTAACCGTAGAAAACTAGCAAGCTCTTACAATGCGGAATTGACCTCTACCCACCTCATCTCCACAAGATCATCTATGACGATCAAACATCAACGATGTATGTATATTATACTTATCTGTTACACATTATAGGAAACAAACTGATTTACACATAGGCACCTTGGAGGCCGAAGAGGAGCATTGAAGGCGGATCCAGACGAGGAGTCGACCGAGGGTAACTATATGAGCTTTGGGTTGCTCAAGCTGTCCCAAAATGTGGACTGGACTCGAGATCTCAGTGTCTGGGAATGGTGTAGAATTGATGGCGAAGCAGCATGGGAGAAAAGTCATCAATGTATGCCTACCAGGTGCCCATAGGCGTCCACCGGGGGTTGGAAAATCGAGGCTGTTTCAGATGCCATCTCGAACATAGGAGACACCACGACGAAGCTCAACTACTGATGGGACCCAACGGTGCTGCTAGAAGGCGAGCTAGTTGATGTGCATTCAGTCGGGGCAATCAGGAAACACGTGGAATACCCGGACAATGTATAACAAGAAGAGTCACACATCTCGTTATATGCATAATTCACTCAAGCCAACGACATCCCAAATTAATAGGAATATAGCTGCCCATTATCTGCCCAGCATAGGCTGGAAAAGCGTTCGTCTCCTGCATCATGAAAAATGCCACACCACGGATAGTCTACCGTTGATGTAACTTATTAAAATTCTAACTTAATTTGTCGGTTTATTATTGATCGTATTAAATATTAAACGTGCTTGGTAAAATCTAACGTGAGAGGAATGGATATCACCTCGTTTTGATAGAGGTGGAATGAACTAGCATTGAGCTAGAAAGAAATTCCTGTTTTCTCCAATATTCCTAGATCTCTGCTGATCCAGTCCAGTTGAGCAAAGCGAAGTTGTTAATTATTGTTAAAATTAGGAATCATCTATACCCCTCGTTGCCAGAAGTTGAGTCTAGTCAATATTGAACACGGAAGTAAAATCATGTCCACACCCTCGGATATCCCGGGGTCTTAAAAATGACGGACCCTACATTATTCTTTGAGCATCAGGCTGGCTATAAATCAGGGTCGTTTTTTTTCTTCCCACTCGATTTATTCAAATTTATGTTGTGCGGTGTGTGGCTGAGCTGTCTAATCAGCTCTCTTCTTGCCGCGCATGATCTTGCGTCTTTGGGCAATCATGTGCGTGTACAGGACATAAGATCCTGGTGGGTTGTTAGTAGCCGATACTATGAACACTTTACAAGGTGAACAACATACCAGGCACATAGATCACGAGAATCGCAATCAAAAGATAACGGAAAAGCGGGTTCAGTTCGCCAGCAGGACCAAGGGCCTGGAAGATAAGCGTGCACTCGCTGGAGATACCAATGGGGTAGAAAATGTAGAAAGTGTTGTATCTAGTCAACGTGAAGCTCATCAGCCAATTGAACACGGTAGCCACGCAGAAGAAAAGGAAGAAGACCAAGACTTACCGTAACCAAGTCCACCAGCTCGGAACCGAGTTCCCAGACAAGGTAATCGCGAAGAACCCATAGCGGATAACCTCCGTAATGCCCCAAGCAAAAACACACCCCAGATACGCATAATCACCCAGCTGGGTATTCCGCCCAGCACCAACAATCTCCCCACCAAACTGCGCCATAATCCCCCACACCAGCAGCAGCCGGCTAGAAACCTGCATGGCAGTTGTCATGAACGGCGCGCGCACAAGGCCCACAATGCTGTGCACGACTTCCAACAGGGCGAGGGACTGCGTGGCCAGCAGTAGCGGGGAGAAAGTCTGGCCGAAGACCTTCGGGAGGGTTTTGGTCGAGACATGGGCTGGGAGGAGGGAGGCCGTGTAGACGACACAGGTGCCCCAGGCGAGGAGATTGAGGGTGTTGTAGGTGAAGAGGTAGGCCTTTGTTAGGCCCGAAGAGCCGGAGCGCGGGGCGCTTGATGTTTTGGTTGAAGCCATTTTTGACCAGAATTGTTTCTCGTCGGTCTCGTGGGCGCAATTGGTGATGATGTTGCCCTGGATGGAGGAGCTGGAAATGTTGATTTGGTTGGGAAGATCGCGATCAACAAAAAAAAAAGGGACCGAGGTCAAGATTCCTTACATAAGCATTCTGGAAGATCTCGGGAGCCCTGGAGCCCGCGAAGAAGCTGTGGAGAAAAAGCGTGTTTGGGATCTGGGGTATAACACATCTTTATTTTATTGTCTATTGAGTTTCTTGGACGATTTATGCTTATTTTTATTGAGGGTATATAAGTATCACTATAACTTTGATATTACCAGCAGTCGGGTGCTACATGCTATTTAGCCAATCACCCTTTCAAGAAATCAGCCATGCAGTCTCTTTGCTCTTCACCCCAAATATAATCCATAACCGAGCTGTCGTATCCGGATATATCTTCTCTGCAAGTTTGGACTATGTGAACAATTTTCAGAAGCTCTCTGCCGAGGAATAGGCTTGATGTGATTCGCTCCAGGAAATCGAGTGCATGTGTCGGCAGCCAAACGGATGGCTTCCAATGAAGGCGCGCTATTGGCGGCCAGGGATATGTAGCTGACCCCGCGGTGTAAAACTGCATGATCTAGTCCAGACTACTGCAAGAGCCTGGCTGCCATCTCGTATTGCCGGCAGCAAACATGCGTACAACATAGTTTGGCTTATTTTGGACTTGACTGGTTTGGGCGGTATGTCCGAAAGGCCTAAGGTGGGCCGATGGGAAGATATCGGAGGGATTATTATTATTTGATGTGATCGCTCTGATTTAAGATGATAGCGGTTAATTTACATAGTTCCTCGGTGAATTTAGCGCTAAGTCACCCCGCGTGAACCAGAAAGTTCTTCAATTTATAGTCCAGTTGATTCTCCGGTGTTATCTACCAGAGACTGATGTACCTTAATTACCGAAGGCGACGAACTGAATAAAATTTGCGTCTGCAATTGTAATCAGTACTACAACAGTCATTCTCATCTCATGTTGTACGCAACCCAGCAGTTCACGGGTGTATGCGAACTGACATCATGGGGTCGCTTTGCATAGGCCTTAAGCCTTTTGAGGAGTAGATCAAGCTCTGTCAGCGAGGGAGTTAGGAGTATACAATCTTCTCCAGGGCTATACATTGCGCATGACAGGAGAGACCTTGCACAATGGAAGTATTAGGGTACACAAGTGGAAAGTAAACAGTCCAGGGGTTCAGGTTGTATGTACTATGTATGTAATTTGTGTAATTTGACGTAATTGACGTAATTTGCCGTGACGCTGAAATGACATCAGCGGCTGGTGTGGGCTGAACTACTGCCCCATCATATGATGTCATAGCAGCCATCGCAGCTTCTCATTGGTGGGTAAGTGTTAGAGCCAACCAGTTCGTGCAAAAACCAGGGGAAAAGAGATGCACAAATGCCCCCATTCCTCTATATAAACAAAGATGGCTGCGGTTCGCGAGTGTGGCCTTATTCGACCTCATTTGACATTTAACGAGCCTCTACGCCAGTCCTTCTATAGGACACCCGAACCGTGAAGCCAGTCCAGGAAAAAAAAAAACAAGAATGAAAGGAACAGCAAAACACCCCATCGTCATCGGTGACAGCATAATCCATCGTGTCTTAGCCCAGCAATATTACCCCCCTTTCTTCCCCCTCTGAGAGAATAAAAAAGAGCCGTGGAGCCATGGGCTCACACATTGGTCGTTCAACTCACTGTCACCGAGTACGTCAGATGGGAAATCCATGCAACATACAATCAGAACGAGCGCGTTCCGAGTTACTGGACACGGTCCTTGAGGGTCCAGACCAACCGAATCAGGTTCTATCTGCGCACTTGGCCCAAGTCGATCGTGCTTCCCTGCTGTGTGAGCCGGGATTTATTACGTCTTACCCTTTTTTATCCCTTCGCGGCTAAAAAGTCTGCTAGGACACTAGGTGTTTTTTCGGTTTTTCTGGTTTCAACCAGTACTGACCGAGTCACGAAAAGTTGTGGTCCTCTTACCAGAATGGCCCCCAGGGACAAAAAAGAGAAAGGTCGCCATTCACAGTTCCCCAAATGTTTCCGCGTGTGACCATCCAAACTTCGCTTGGGAAAAGACCAAATGACGTTCCCTGCTGGGATCGGCGGTCCGATGATGTCGTCCTGCCGGCCCCTACTCCGTACCGCTGCCAGATGGGTATAGCAGCGGTCTTTGCGGTCAGAAAACGTGTCGTTTTTTTGATCGTTTTTTTTAACCCTATCAGTCCCCACTAAACCTTGTACTATTCAGTACACTTACAGCAGGTCACCGAGGGGTTATCCCGTTGACTTCGTGCATTTTCTTTCCGGTGGACCCATTAGTTGAAAGCTGTTGTCACGGTTGTACTCCACTATGCTCATGAACAGAGCCCAGAGGAGTTTGATCCAGAGATGTCTGAAAAATCAAGATGATAATGTACTATCTAACCAAAAAAAAAGCAAGAAAGTCTACTCCGTACGAAGTACAAGATTGTGCTAATCGTGTCGGACGTCTCGAATTGCTTTTTTTGGAGACCTTGGCCACGGAAAAAGAATAAAATCACGTTTTCAGAACATCGAGTCCAATTAGAAACCATTGTATAGATTGTAGCTAATAATATAACATACTAGTTCCAGTGCAATCATGTTTTCACCCGATTCAATGCCAAGACGATGACAGGAATGTAAAATAATACCAATATTACTTATTTTATATATTGGGGATACAATATTCAAGTGAATATGGAAATGAACTCTTAATTTATTTTTCACAATTTTTTCCAATTTTCTATATCTTTTTTTTCTCCTTCAAATCAGTCAAAGCAGTCAAATCAGTACCAACATCCTCTTGGTTCCTTCGGGTTACCTACCCACCTCCTTCCCTTTCTCTTTCTCCGCCCCTCCGATTTCCTCTCTTTCCCCCCCCTCGTCTTCTTTGACTTCCTCCTTTCTCCTATTCCGTGTCTTTTTCTTTTACCTTTCCTTTTTCTTTTTCTCTTTGGGGTCTATTGTATACCCTTCCCTTTTCACGGGACTTGGTCATCTCCAAAACTGAGAAAAAAAAAAATTATTATAGGTGGGATGGACTTTCCTATTTGCCCCTCTCTCTTTGAATATCTTCCTTTTCTTCCCTGTCTTGAATTCCCTGTCAAGTGGAGACCCTGGCTTTGGGGCTGCAGCTTATGCGATGCGCTAGTCCTTGTTTACAAGGCTGTGACTGGATCACCGTTCGAGTATATGCGCTGAATGGCCCTGTTTGTTCCCTCTACCACATATACGACCTCCACATCTGGTTCCTTTAATTCTTTTCCCAACCCCTGCTTATTGTGTATCGCGCTACCCCTCTATCCCCCTCAACTCCCGGGGTCTTGGTTTTCCCACCTCTCACTACCCAGCCCTGGTCACTATCTTGGTCACTCAATCTGGTGGCTGTATTCTCGGTTCCAGCCTCTTCACCTTGGCCTTAGACCCCGGAGCCGCTCATCATTGTCCCCGTTAACAGCTCCCTTGCTACCTTGGTGCCTGGATCCGTAACACCTGCTGGCTTTGTAAGACGACATATGCGTTGTGTGCAGATCTTGCGATTCTGACGTCCTTGTTGTATCATCGTTGATCTTTACATTCGAGAGTCGTTTCATTGATTTGCCACATTGTTTTGCTCATTCAAGATCTGGATCTGTTGGATGAATTTGAGCTGACTGGGATTTGCAAGCAGAGCCCCTCGTATTCTATCTGGATTGGCTGGGTATCAGACCGGAGAAATAAACCCCATTTCCATCCAACGATTGTGACGATCCGCGCATTGCACTAGGTTGCTCCCACCTACTTCTTTAAGCATCTGCTCCACACACACACACACATACAAAACCATGGCACCAACCGATACCAAAAAGGCCGAGCCGGTAAGTGCTTCTTACCCCATGGTCGAAAGTTCCTCGGCCTGATATCCGAGTCTAGGTCAAGCAGGGCCCACCCAAGCTTTCTGATTATAAGGAAATCCTCGACGAGAGCACATTCGAACAGATCCTTGAGATGGATGATGACGAGGAGGATCGCGACTTCAGCAAGAGCATTGTGTACGGTTTCTTTGACCAGGCCGAGAACACCTACAAGAAGATCCAGAAGGAAATGTGAGTGGTGTCTCATTCCCTGCAGGTGGAGTTTTAGAGATTGTCCTTTTGCTCATCATCGCGCAACAGAGATGACAAGAACCTCGATGAACTTTCTGCTCTCGGGCACTTCCTTAAGGGCTCGTCCGCCACACTGGGCCTTATCAAGGTCAAGGACGGCTGCGAGAAGATCCAAAACTTTGGCGCCCACAAGGAAGAAACAGGTCTCATTGACGAACCGGACACAGAGGTCTGCCTCAAGGCCATCAAAAAGACTCTGGATGAAGTCAAGGTCGAATATCGCAAGGTCGAGAAGCTCCTCCGCCGATACTACGGTGAGGAGGTGAAGGACGAAGAAGAGAAGCCAGAAGAGAAGGAGGTTAAGGAGGAGAAGAAAAAGGAAGAAAAGCCCAAGGAAGAGCCCAAGAAGGAGGCCACCGAGTCCAAGGAGACTAAGGAGCCCACCAAGGAAGTCTCGAAATAAGCGGTCATGTGGGCTGGTTGATATCCCTCTCTCCCCTTTTTCTTTTTAGCGACGGATGGAGCATGGCAAATGGCTTTTTCTTTTTCATTTCCCCTTTGCCCTTTTTCACTCACTTTCTCTTATCCCATCACTTCCGGTCCTGGCTTTTCTGACTTTCTTGACACGTACATAACAACCTCCCCCATATCTCCCCTTCCCGTCCGGACACTGGCGTGGAAACGGATATTCCTAGTCTGTCACCTAGGTGCAGGCGCGAGAAATGTGACGATTCCGAGGAGTTTTGAACAATAGCGACATATGGAAATCCGAGTGCCTCTGTCAGGCCCTGTTTTCTTGATCTTAACCTACACGTTTTGTTTGGATCGTCGTATGGTAGGCATTGCGTAAGCATTGAGTGACGGGGCGTATAACGCGAGAAGTAACCTATGATATATATGGATGTCAAAGTGTAGCCAAAGTAGTCAACAAAAGTACCTAAATATTGGGGTTGAGCAAGCTTACATATTTCTAGAGATAGCCATTGAGAGAACTTTCCCTGATAAATCAAATAACCCACGAAGGATCCAAGCCGAAAAGTGGCGCTCTAAGAAGCTTTTTACCTTCAGCCACTTGCGTGGGCCTCTGGGGTCCCCGGATAACCTTGGAAGCTTGACTCAACCTTGGGAAGTTTATACTTTTCCCGATGCGGGATGGTCGACGGTTGGCATCTGTTCAACAATATGGAAAAACCATTGACTAGCGAAATTCGATTTAATAGGAAGTTATGACTTGTGTGTGTGTGTGTGTGTGTGTATGTATGTGTGTGTGTGTGCTTCACAGGCCCCGATCCCCGAATGCTGCACTTCATGAGATTAATGTGCTCAAAACAACAGATCCCATCCTCCACCATCTACTACAACTGACGGCAAATTCTGCTGTATCTATGTCTACATCCGCTCTTGCATGGCCAGTAGCGAATGATAAACGAGTACCGGGGACCTGCAGTATGGAGATGGTGCAACGCCGGCGACATTCAACGGCATGCTCACATATTGCCCAAGCTGAGATTTGGCCGGTGTGGCTAGCTACAATTATTTGGGGGCGTTATGGGCTTTTGATTATACAAAGCGCCTCTAGAGAACGCTCTTCCTATCCCAATTCATGATTCAGTATGGCAGATGCAGACGCAGATACTCCTCATATCTCCTTGGCCTGGCCATCCCAACCAAAGCTCGATCTCTCAACAGTCTGTGTTAGTCTGCAATGCAGCGTCGGGATTATGCAGTGCCATTCAAATCGCGGTGCGCAGATGATCCGCCTTGACTGGCCCTCGTTTTGTGTACAATGTGACATCCGTTCTTTAATCGCAGCGCCAACGAGGAAAAGCTCCGTTGAGCGGGAGATTGGACGGTAGGACCTCCTGTCAAGAATTATATATCTTTCTGCTCTGGTCGGCATCTGGTAGTTGCCAAACTAGCTTTCGGCACGTATAGCAGCCGCAACGGTATTTTCAACTCTATCGAGTTATAAAGGCACTCTGTCGCTCGGAGTCCGCCCAAAACGATAGACTCAATGCTTTTTGCCACGTTGCTCGTCGCATTCAACCAACCATTCTCCCATTGCATATGCACCCATCACAAACGAGAAAATTGAAATCGAGTCAAGCTACTTCCCAACCGGATCCCCTTTGCCCGCAACGGGACGCAAGTACGCGCTCACCATAAAAAATGCAAAGGCCGGCGCAGATGCAAGCAACAGCACCGATTCAGGGTTTCGGTCTGTCGGATTTCTGCTCAATTGCATCCTGGCCTGGACTCCCGCCGGCTAGATCACACGACATAGCCAACGAGCGTTGTTTTTTCTGCAGGATGCCCGCAAGCCGTCGGGTAGGCACATGTGCCTTATTTGGCTTTATTTCCCGCTAGCAAAGGTGGCTGAATGTTTTACTTGCTGCTGGGTTGGGTTTCAGTGGGCCTCGATGCCGAGTTCGGGAAAATGTGGCTTTCCATCTTTTCCGTTAAGCTACTCCGTCTGTGTCAATTTTCTTCAGTGCGGATGCGTACAGGTGCATGGCAACGAGATTAACATGACAGGAATACTAGCTTTCCCTGCCAAATACCTACCTGTTGCCAGTTCGGATGGGGATCTCAACGCGGATAGCATCCGGTAGTATGTACTCCGGACAATATGCAATATACAAATTGACCTCGAAAACACACCCCTTTCTCATGCATGCAAGCATACATATATCTCCTACCCGTCTGTCTCGGATAGCAGACCTGAGCTCAGTAAGTCACCCTCGACATTCCAGAACGCATTTAGCCTGCCATCCTCGCTCAGTCCTCGACTCCGAGTGCTGGGTCTACGATGACTCTGTTTGCAGTTGTCTCGCTTTATTCGACTTGTCACCCTGGCCTGCAATATGTTTTTTTTTCGAGGGGGCGAGCGAGAGGTAGAGAAAGGAATAGGAGGATTGTGCTACCTCCTTTTCCATTTCTTCTTTCCTTCACTTCTCGCCTCTGATGTGAACCTCACACGCGCTCGTTTGCCCTATCGGAATTTCATGCCCCCAGCCTACTTCCCACCGAGAAAGATTGTACCACAACGCCGTTGCCCTATTCCCTAGCTTCCACCAGCCCCCAACGGTTTACTTACCCTGCACACGCTAAACCAATAAAAGCGAACACACTCCAGCCCGGATCGCAGCTTGAAGTAGTCCGGGGTTGTATATCAACGGGTGTGCAGTGATCACCCACACACACAGATTGTACATGTACCACCCTGACTCCACGAATCCTGCAAGAAGTACAGTTGCGTCTAATCCTGGAGAGAAAAATATAAGCGCCAGGACAGACAAAAACCCCGGAATATTCAAAAAATACCTCAACTGCAACACTGGACTCGTGCCCTCCATCTTTGTCTTCCCCTCTTTCTTAGTGTATGCATGCACGACAAAAGAAACAATAATAATCTTTATCATTTTTATTTGTAGGGGCGAGGTAAGAGGTATTGTCTTAGCCTCGAAGCACATCCCTTAGATCCCTGTCCTCTGCTCCGGATCCTTGTGCTTGTGTTATATCGATCTGATTGTGGGTTTGTCCTCTGCCCCATTTCCCCATTTCCCCGCTTGGTCTGATTGCGTCTGTTTCTGTCTCTTGTCTCGCGCTGTCCGTTCGCTCTGCTTCGTTCCGGTATAGGCGTCTCTGATTGTATCGGCACGGCGGCTTCGGCGCCGTGCAATTCGAAGCCGCCGTGCAATTTACAGCCAACGGCCGTTAGATGGGGTTCCGCGCCGTTGAGATCTGTTTGAATGAGAGGGGGAGAGGGATATAAAGTCTGGCTTTGATGTGGACTGTGAGTTCGATTCTTTAGTTTTGAATTCACATTCATATTCATATTCGTTGATCCTTTTTTCTTTCTTGGATTTTGATCTCACGGCTGATATACAAGCTCGGTTTCTACTCTTCGATCACGGCAAACACAGCACCCTATCCAATACACTCGATCCAATCGAGGAATCCAATAAAAATGCCCGTCGGACCTCGAGTATCCAAAGAAGAATTCATGCATGCATTGGGTCTAAACCCACAAGACCCGCATCATGAGCAATACTACCGCGCCATGCGAGTAAGTATACCAGCCGGACCTTTAACACTTACCTACTTCTTCCCTCTTTCCTTCTCCCTCTCCAATCTCCATATATCCCCCCCACACAATATATATTCCAAGAACCCCCTAACAAACCCCACCCCAGGACGAAGCAATCATTGTCTACAACCGCATGAACCTCGACACCTCCAACCTCCTCGACAACGTGCGCGCCGACCCAGCAACCCGCCCCCCTTCTTCTGGCACCACATCCGCCCGGACTGCCAGCGCTGGGCGATCCTCGAGATCTGCCACAATGCGCCGCCGCTCGTGCGCGGCTTGTTCGAGCGCGGGGCGACGAATGGCGAATACGGCCCGAATTGGGTCGCGGGTTGGTTGTTGTATAGTGTTTTTCGGTCGCGGGATGTGAGGAATAATCGGAATAGGAGGAAGGGGGAGGTTGGGGGTTCTGCGGGTTCGGAGTCTGGTAAGTATTATGCTTTTCTTTTCTGGTCTGGTTGGCGATGGGATGGCGTGTGCTTTATTGGTGAGGGTGATGCTGATGGATGTTTACATATAAAGATAAACGTACGAGGCAGGAGGAGACGACACAGCCGAAGAAATACTATGATCCTGTGCGGAATGGGACGCTGTGATCTTTTGGGGTTGAGGTTGTCTTCTTCAGATTTTGTTTTTTTTTTTCGCTTCATATCCAGTGCTTTCACTAGTAATATCTATCTTGTATAAGTGAAGTATGAAACTTGAAGACCATCTATGTAATGCAAAGTACATACGCTTGGAGATAATGGCAAGTAGATCGAAACAATCAATCATCGTCTTCATCCTTCTTATCATCCGAATCCCTCTTCTTCTCATGCTTCTGTTGACGATCTGACTTCAAGACCTCCGTCACACGCTTATCTTGCTCATCAGCCCGCTCATTCCACTCAGCATCATACTCAGCGGCGATATTCTTAATCTCCCCACGAAGCGAGTTCCCCTCATCAATCAAAGACTCCCAAAGCTGCAAATCAACATTATGCAACTGATAAAGCTTCTTCTGTCTCGCACTGATGGTAAAATCCAACGCAGACTTGTAAGAAATCTCCCGATTGTGATACAAAAACCACAAATAACCCCCCATCAACGTAGACAAACTGACCAAGTAAGTCACAGGCTCCATAGTATCCCACCCGAGATCAGTCTCGAAGGTCAACCTGTAAACCGTAAGCCACCAAATGGAAAGAATTCCAAACCCGCCAATCGCAACCCGCTGCGCACCTCGATGCGCCAGCTCATCACACTCCTCCTTCACATCCGCCATAGTTTGGATGCGTCGCGAGAGCTTGCGCAGCCGCAAGCGGAGGTAATACGTGCGCTCGTTGAACGACGGCACCGTGATGCGGATCTGGCTCAGCCCGGACGGCGCGCCT